AGTCCACGAAGCCTTATAGCGCATGGAAAGTCACGTTGACAACTTGTCAAAGCATCCCAGCAAAATGATTCACTTCGCGAGAGAGCAAGCAGATTCATCAGCCATAAAATCCACCGCATAATGCTGCACATGAAGGAAGGATTCTCGTTCGCTTTGTCGTGTCGGGTACAAGTGTGTAACAATGGGAAAGATGATCTCAGAATATATACCGTCGGATTGATTGATTAATTATTTGACATAAGGTGAAATCCGATAATAGGTTACGATGAATGGACCAATAGGAGAAAAAGTCTCGCGTGATACATGACCTCAGGAAGTGCGCATTGCCAGGATAAGTTTTCAGTTGTCTCCATACCTTGTTTCCTCATTGAATTACCTTTATTTCAGGGTATTAAGAAGCATTAATGGACAGTATACTTCACTGACGAGTATCGGCCTCTCTCTCCAGTCGCCAATCTTGTTAGTATCTTGGTGAACTTGGTTCCCTACCAAGATGGATAAAAGGATCCCTGGTGGGTGCCTGCCCATCTTTGCTGTCTTCTCAATGAGCCGCGAAAACTAACTACCTGACAACCTCTGTATGAGCGCTATTGACAGCTAGAACTGCGGAAATCACCAGCAACGAACTGACTAAATCGCTTTAACAGCCCCTTTGAGAAAAAAAGCTGAGATGTACCTTTGATTTCATTGACATGGAAGTGAGATCAAATTAGTTTCTTTACTGACGCGATATGGAATGATTTTCTAACCTTAAACAAGAGAACGCTTGAGAAGCTCTGAAGGGCTCTCGAGTTGATTAGTTAGATTTTTTGTAAATATTAATTGTGATTTAAGGCGGTGATTGAACGGACTGGCATAAAGGTTTATTGGAATTGCGTGTCAAAGTGACGTCTTTGTAGTTTTCACGGGCTGCAAAACTCATTTGAGGGCATTTCTCAGCAGGTTTGCCATTGACTATAGCCGGCGTAAGCGTGTATTCACTCTTCTGAAAGGCCGTGAAAATCATCGACTTGTTCATTTCTTTTTTAAAGACCTTTTCAGCCAATCAAGTGCACAGTTTTGCAGAGTCCTTGGAAATAATTTGAACAAAAATAAAACTGAAAAAAAAAGATGTTTATTGCTCATTTTGTTCTTTAAAAGTTTCATATTTCTGAATTTCCTGCAGAGTCAGTGGAGAGAATCCGCTGATATTAATATCCATCATTCCTAATTGACCATTGACGCTCTTTTTATTTGTGGAGCACGGCTGAAATCAAATTAAGCGAAAGACGAAAGATTAAAATGCATGCCTACACGTTTTTTAGTTACTTTTTGTTCTCGTCTTTCGACTATTTCGGTTGCAACTTTGGAACAAATAAGTCTCTTAATAGTGTTTGTGTCATCACAGAAGTAGTTGCCACTAAAGGCTTTTCAAACCATCAATTTAACAGGTTATTATTAAGCATAGGCTGGGCTGCCGACACGAAACATGCAGCTCCAGCTCATCTGCGTCGCGCAATATTTGCTATTAGTTTTAAAAAGCTAAAATGTTTGGTAGAAACAATCAAATTCCAATGAACAATAGTCCAGTATTGGTATTTTCCACTATATTCAGGAATTGACAGTTTTTTCTGTCGTCTGTTGCTGGCGGTTGCCTAAGATGGACATAGATTGAAACTTGAAAAATTATGTCAGCTTTTTCAAGTTAACGTTTACATACAGTATGTTATGCTTGCAAAAACGACTAAAAAATATGGTTAGTTCTCACTTGCGAAATTTTTTTAATATCTTCTTTTGACTCTATAGAAGCACTTCATGCATGGGTAAAAGCAAGAGCAATGAATGATTTTCCAGTAACCGGATACTCATGTTTTGCGCACAGGATTTTGGGATCGCCAGGGGGCAAACATTGCGAGTCGCTATAAAGAATTGTATGGCGTGGAGTTGTTTCTCCGTTAAAAGCAGTGTCTCTGGACATAGAATGCCGCACTTTGCCATGATTTTATGAGAAACGGAGGTGACTAATGTTGGTGCGTTGAAATTTCAAGTTTCTGTGTGATTAATGCCATAAATTCTATCGATAAACACTCCTTGCGTGAGGTTGAGTGTGAAATTTATGTTTACTGAATTTACACAGTGATCTACATGAAGAAAAGGTCTCGAAATATATAGTGCAAACTTAGGTATACATGTAGGGGGATTGGCTCATTTAAGCTTTTTAGTTTTAATTACGTGTGGTGATATTTACAACGAGTGTAACTATGCTCGGTCGCGATCAGCTGTGTGCGGGTTATGACGCTCAACAATCGTAGGACGTGGCCATAAAAATAAAAAATCCTCCTTTACTTTGGTATAAACAAAGTAACATCTACGAAATATTTCATGGAAAGTACATGGTATTTAACCATTAGTAGATGACGCAGAAATCGTACGAACTAGTAAGATTTCCGATACAAAAGCAGTGAGCCGTGTAAATAAATACCAAGTTGATGTGCGAAATTCAGAGATTCTATATCTTCCCTCAAAATGATCAGAAAAGGCATTAGAACTAATTGGTGCTCTGGATCATGACAAAACATTTCGCTTGTGTTTTTTTGGCTAGAAGGAATCAATATATTAATGTGGGGAAGATGTTTTGCTTTTAAAGTTAATACATATCAAATTCGACAATACATAAGCTTACCTTCGATCGTTGTCACAAACTGGCTCAGCGTTGTGATCGCCGCCGAGCCGAACGTAAAATTTTTACACTCGTTGTAAATATCAGCACATGTACTTACAACTGGAAAGGTTTAATAAATGAGTCCACATTCCCCGCTCATTTATACCTGGTAAGTTAGGTACTATATATTTCGAGACTATTCAGTAAATTTCACAGTCGACCTTTCGCAAGAAGGAGTGTTTATCGATAGATTTCATCGCATTGATCCCACAAAAACTTACAATCAACGCACCAGCATTAGTCACCTTCGCTTCTCATAAAATCACGGCAAAATGCGGCATTCTCTGTCCAAAGACATTGGTCTTAAACGGAGAAACAGCTCCACGCCATACATTTCTTTGTAGCGATTTCCAATGTTTGCCCCCTGGCGATCCCATAATCCTGTGCGCATAACTAAGTCTCCGATTACTGGAAAATCATTCATTACTTTAGCACAGAATACCAAACATAGGAATATCCTCGTGATCCCCTTTAAGGCCGGCTGACAGCATTTTCTTCTGGCACTTTCCTTCTAACACTGCCCAGCAAATAACCTTTGATCGATCAATGTTACCACTCTTTATTCAATTAGTTGTTGTTGCAGCAGTAAAGTTATTTCTTCATGAACGCACAAATTACTAGTAAGTAAGTAAAGGACATTTTATGACATAACTTGTTACTATGGCAACATTATAACCTGTTAAAACTGTTGTTTTTAAATGGAGCGCTTATAAGGCCCATCAAAAGGTAAAATGATCCTTCTGGGCTTGAACCAAACTCGAAAAGTGAAAATATAACACACATTGTTACAAAATGTATTCTAGTTACAGGGGCACCCAACGAGAATATAGTTCAAAACCACTTAAACATAGAATTGTTAAACGTATTTTAGTATTTAAACGGTAGACATAGGCAAACCCCTGTTCGGATTTCCTAAAAGTCTAGTGATCCGAAAATTATAGGGATCAAAACTTAACTTTCCGAAAATTTCAGCCAGAAAAAGGCTCCCGAAAATTCTAGGTGACCTTTTTAGGGTAAAAATCCGTTAAAAATAGGCAATTATACCATTTTTTAGATGTTCGAAAATCCTAGGAGAGGCAGGAAAGCAAGAAATTTTACAGCAAATGTTCCGAAAATTCTAGATCTCAAATCGTCTTCCGAACAGATATTTTTCCGAACATTGTGGTTGGGTGCCCCTGTAGTTATAAGACAAACTGAAGAAGCTTGAAGAGCAAATGAGATACGTACACCAATCCACGGCCTGACCCAACCTCGTCCCCAGGGCTTTTCCCACCCATTTTTTAAGGGTAAAGCCCTGGGGACGAGGTTGGGCCTGACCAGTACCTCACGCATGTGCACAGCCATATCACCCCTGCAGTGGCAGCCATGGACAGCTCAGTTTCTACCTTTCCATTAGCCTGTGTACAGACTACCTTTCCATGCCACTTTTATGTTACCATTTTTGCCGACCTCTCCATCATTTTTGTTCCCAGAGGCGCGTTCCTACTCGTCAGTCCCACTGATTTGATCGATCCTAGGTGCTAGCCGATCACAACTCATGCCACAAAATTGCCTTTTCATTTCTTCTCCTTTGAGATTCAGTAACCCACCGCCGTCTATTTTCTATTCCTGGTTTAACCCATTTTATACTGATCCCCGAGGTCTACAAGAGATTCAGCATTAGTGGGCTGTTGCTGTGGTTTGTTCTGAGTTTTTCAAGTTATATCTTTATCCCATACTGAAACTTGCTATACTTTCTTCAATTTTTAACAAGTTTTAACCGATGAACATTGATTGTAAAACGATTACAGCCACCTTAAATTTTTGAACACTCTAATTGGGCATGGTTTTGCAACCCCTTCCACGAATGTTTTTGACTTTCATCAATGAATTTTCGACCTGCTGTAAGGCGCCTGTGTGCACAATTGATTTGGTTTAATTTCCTGACACTGTGACACCAAGCTCTGTGTTGGTTCGGCGTTCATTTAATGGAGGCCTCTCATTTTATCGTAACCTGCTGTTGCTTATTGCCTCATTTTAAGACTGAATCGAGTATTTCACTTATTCATTTTATTTTAACCTTGATTTGGCAAGAATAGAATGACTATAAGCGAATGTGTGAGATAATTGGTTTTGTTAAAAAATGGAAACAGGATCGGGCCCATAACTCGGAGTGACACAGCCTCTTGTCCAACAATTCTTCAAAGACCCGCAAAATTATTTGGAGCAAAGGACATTTGATTGGGACTGGGGTCGAGTTTATACCGCAATGTGTCAGCGGTATTGATCCGTTCGCAAATGCACTTTTCAAAATTCCATAATGGCGGACGCGGGGGAGAAAGTGTTGGAAGTGTTGCTTAACAAGAAAGATCTTTTTATGGTAGGTAGATAGCCCTTATTTCTACACCTGGATTGTATCCACCATCGTTGGACATCGGTCGGCTCATAAATCTGCTTTTTGCCCGCAGGTAATGATATCCCACTCAGGGACAATCCGCGACCTGTGTGACGAAATTGAAAAAGTTGCACGCGAGGAGTTTGGAGAGTGAGTTTCCCTTCTTAACCTTTTGTTTTATTTCTTTTTGGAATTTGATGAAAGTAAAAAGCTGAGCTTGTAGTGAAAGTGATCCCCGTCAATCTACACATTTTGTTGCATGCTAGGGCAGTTTTCGATGGTACAACTGAATGATTTTCCCATTCTCGAAGGTTTTAAGAGCGAATGCACAGAAAAATCGAGCAAACCGTGGCCACAGCTCAAAACCTAACCTACCCTCATTTTAAGTCTGTAATAAGGTTTTAATGAATTTATAACACTGCTGAGGTTTAAATTTCAAAATGCGGCCGAATTTGGGAATTATTTGAGATTTTCGATTTCAAGGGTCTGTCAATTAGCCGCCAAACACGGCAATATAGCCTAGCGGCAGAAATGAGCTGACTTTCATAAACGAACGAATATATTGGCAATCTTCCACTTAAATCTCAAAAAACAGATATTAACAATTTCTAAACAGCACACTTTTTTAGATTTAGAGTATAAAATATCGACGAACCAGCAGAATTTTGAAACGTAATCTGCATAATGCTTATAAATACAACAATTTACCGCTAAAACCAAAATCGAATTTTCTATATGGGGGAATTCTCCAAATCACCCCAAATCCCGCTTACTACCCAATGAGATATAGTACTTCAACATTATCTGAAAGTTAGTCTGGTGTTCTTGCGAACGCTTGTAAAATAGACTGATTATTTTTAGGTTATTTTGCCCCAAACAACTGCTAATTGACCCCAGGGTCATGACACGTGCACGTCACCTTAGTTTTATGCGTCGATTTGAGCTCGTTAAAAGGGAGAAACTAACAAGATTCTTTTAATATGTACCTGTTTTAATGAAATACACGCAATCTTTAAAAGGAGAGGCCGTTCAATTGGTAACTTCTGTTCTTGAGATCTCGTAGATTGTACCATGGCGTCTTTGAGTGGACCTGAGTCCAGGTCTGTTTTCCCGTGACTGCGAAATCAGAATAACATCATGAAATAATTCTCGCTCGAACCTTCGTAAATGAATCAGCTTTGCAGTGCCTTACCTGAGATAAAAAGTGGGCCGAATAGGAAAACATTTCTAGCGCAATTTGGATCCTTTGCAGCACGTAGTGTATTTGCTAAGCGGTGACGGTATCAATGACTTTTTTAAAATTAGTTACTCACCTCCGATTGCGTGACCAGGCAATTATCGATTGTCTCCTGCGAAAAATAAGTGCACGGGAAACCTTTTGTCCTTTTGTCCTATTTTAAAAGCGGTTAACTAAGATGATTAGCAAACATACTGTCCCACTTTTAAAAACGCAGCAGTAACTGAATGTTCTGTTCTTCTGATTTTACCCCCAACCCCGGAGTGTTCAGAAGATATATTTGCACTACGCATGAGAGGCAAATGGATTAAATTTTAAGGTTCAAGGTGGTTTTAAGGCATGGGTTACCAGTGGATTAGTCAGACTTGTCATAAGGTGCATTGAACAGAAAATTACAGGCATGATATCTCTGCTATTGTATGTCCATTAAGTGATTTTCCAGCAAACATTATTTTTTGACTTTTTTACCCCAAACGTTTTTTCCGTTCAATTCTTATCTATGAGATCTAAACTTAGTTAAATTTCTGTAATTTGTTGTTAAAAGCAATTCTGCAAACAACTAAGTATTTAATTTTGCGTAAAAGCTACATGAAATTGTACTGTTTAGCCGTAAATCATTAAAAAGAGAAAGCATCATGCTTTCTCTTTTCAAGTCGAGTAGGACTTAAACAATGGCATTGCTTAAGTCCTAGTAGTTGTTTTCCATGTCTGCTAAGGAGGAAATAGTTTGCTCTTTTCAAGAAATTGTTCTTGCCCATTGCGGTTTCAAACCAAGGATAGCAGCAAGTCTGTCGTGGTCATATACTGCTACTTTAGTGCAAACGAAGCATAGGCGCACAAGTCAGCGCTTGCGTTTAGTCAGGTGCCGAAAATGAAGTGGAAACATAACCCCAAGGGCGTCCATGTTCGCTCCGGCTCGAAAAGGTAGAATCAGTTGTGCAGTAAAAAGTAATGCGAAAAACCTGCGAGGGCTGGGGAAAGAAAGGCGTCTTATTTTTCTTTGGCTTGTTCTATTTTCGAGACGTGGTACAGAAATACTGACAAGCTCAGTATATGTCTTCACCACCGAGAGTCACTTGCCCTTAGCCGGACACTCCCCTCACGTATCATGTTTCGTTCCTAAAGTTATTTCAAAGCACAGAACCAAACCTAATCAGCGGCCGAAGGCAGAAAGGGGGATGAGCAAACGGATGTCACAGCATATTTTGCAAGAAACTGGTATCCTTGTGCCTATCGGCTCAGGAACGTTTGATTACTATTAGAATTAATATCAGGGTCAGAATTTGAGTGCTACAATGGGAGGGAAGGAAGAAAAGGAAACCGCCGAGCACACCTGTTAAGTCTTTTATAAACCCAGCGCGTGTTCGCGAAGGTTTTTTAAGTCAGTCAAGTTCTTAAACCAGGCCTTAAACGGCCAGTTTTAAGTGTCGATAACAGTTAAAAAGACATATAAGCCTCATGCAAAAGACGGTGGGAAGGAAGTGCACATCGGTGATGGGGAAAAAGGAGTATCCCACAGTTATTTAGGGGTGGATCTTTCGAAACATTCTTATACTCTTGGACAGATATGCATTTTTGAAAGTTTTAAACAAACCAGGTGTAAATTTATAGTAACAAACTGTTAAATATACATCAGCAAGATTTTTACGAATCCTATTTTTCGCTGGAGACTATCTTTTTACTGGCTGGTCACGCAATCAAAGGTAACGTACTTTCCCACGTTTGTTTACTCACCTTTCGCTCAGCAAACACTGCGTTCCACAAAGGACCCAAATTGCGCTAGAAATGTTTTGCTATTCGGCCCACTTTTTATCTCAGGTAAGGCACTGCAAAGCTGTTTCACTTACGATGATTCGACGGAGAATTATTTCTTGATGTTATTCTGATTTCGCAGTCACGGGAAAACAGATCTAGACTCAGGTCCACTCGCAGACGCCATGCTGCAATCTACAAGATCTCAAGAACAGAAATTACCCATTGAACGGTCTCTCCTTTTGAAGATTGCGTGTATTTCATTAAAACAGGTACATATTAAAAGAATCTTGTTAGTTTCTCCCTTTTAACGAGCTCAAATCGACGCATAAAACTAAGGTGACGTGCACGTGTCAATTGACCTTGGGGTCAATTAGTGGTTGTTTGGGGCAAAATAACCTAAAAATAATCAATCTATTTTACAAGCGTTCGCAAGAACACCAGACTAACTTTCAGATAATGCTGAAGTACTATATCTCATTGGGTAGTAAGCGGGATTTGGGGTGATTTGGAGAATTCCCCCACATAGAAAATTCGATTTTGGTTTTAGCGGTAAATTGTTGTATTTATAAGCATTTTGCAAATTACGTTTCAAAATTCTGCTGGTTCGTCGATATTCTATACTCTAAATCTAAAAAATGTGCCGTTCAGAAATTGTTAGATATCTGCTTTTTGAGATTTAAGTGGAAGATTGCCAATATATTCGCTCGTTTATGAAAGTCAGCTCAATTCTGTCACAGGGCTATTTTCCCGAGTTCGGCGGCTAATTTTAGGCCCGCTGACCGTTGAAATCGAAAATCTCAAATAATTCCCAAACTCGGCCGCATTTTGAAATTTAAACCTCAGCAGTGTTATAAACTCATTAAAACCTTATTACAGACTGAAAATGAGGGTAAGTTAGGTTTTGAGCTGTGGCCACGATTTGCCGATTTTGCTCGATTTTTCTGTGCATTCGCTCTTAAAAGCCATTGATTTTTTAAAGCTGTACGGATGTGCTTGTGGAAACAGGAAAGGATGTTATCATCACTGCATGCAAATGAAATCATCAAAATAAAAACACAAAAAAGAATTTGACAAGTTGTTCGTAACTAGAAAAGCAGTTACTTGAAATATTATTTATCATTTAACACCTCAAAAATGTAGTTCTGATGGTGTGGCTGTCCATACAAAAAACACACAAACAAACAAACAAATGCAGTTGTAGAAGTCAGGGTTGTCACTAATATTTCAAGTTGCTGGGTAAATACAACAAGTAGGCGGGAAATCAAACAGCTAGGGATTTCTTTTGGTTCTATTTTCTTCTGTTTTCCTATGAAAGTAGCTGGGGGCCATGTTCTTAGTAGCCAGGGGAAACCCCTGGTCCCTCCTCTTAATGACAGCCCTGAGCAGTTGTCTGAAAATATGCAGTAATGATATAGTCTAACTGCTGATGCTATTGTAGTAGTAATCGAGAAGATATGCACTAGTCCTTCGCACTCAGATAGGAAACTTAAATGGCTTGTAAAGAGTAATGCAAAATACAGTGAAACCTGTATTAAGCGGACATCCTCGGGGAATGCTGTAGTGTCCGCTTAATACATGGTGTCCACCTAATGCAGGTTTCGATAGATAACGTCATATGAGGTGTCTAATGCCATTCAAATGAACGGTGGAAACGTTTACAATACTCCCAGAGACTATGACGATATACGTTTGCATTAATTTCTTTATCAAAGTGGACCAATTGATCATAGTACCATAAACATAGATTGCAACTCAAATTTGAAGAAATCAGATGAGTGAAACAAGCTCTGTACAAACAAAACGAAATAGAAAACAATACTGTACTGTGAAACTAATCAAATAAGTTCGTCAACTCAAGTTTTTAAATGTAAAAATCGAAAAATTTGTGGGTGGCAATTCAAGGCAATCTTTCGCATTTCCACTGTGTGGCATGTTGGGTGGTGGAATTTAATTACAAGTGTCTGTTTAATACAGGTTGGTAACAATAGAAATGACCATTTCAGGTACTTTTTAGGTGTCCGAGTCCACTTAATAATTGAGGTGTCCGCTTAATAAAGGTTTCATTTACACAGCGTGCAAAGAAAGTAGTGTCCGATAGCCCGGGGCTAGTGGATTTTGCTATCGGGCTAGTGAATTCTATTTTTAACTTGCCCGACGGGCAAGTGATGTCTTTTGAGGAATTCGATCAACAGAAGAACTGTAAAATCAATTCTGCTAGTCAAAAAGTTTTTTGGGCTAGTTGAAATGACGTCAGGGCTAGTGAATGCTAGCTTTAGCTTGCCTGAATGGCAAGCTGTAAAAATGATTTTCTTTGCACCCTGATTTACAGTAAATAAGGGAAATAAATTTTGGGACTTCGGCTACTGTCTGCTTAATAGAGGGTGTCTGCTTAATACGGTGTCCGCTTAATACAGAATTCACCTTAGTGTAAAAATATATACACATGTAAAACTGTTCTAGTGAGGCCTTAAACTGCTGTTTAAAAAGTAAAAACTAAAATCCAAGCTTTCGCCAATCAATGGCATCATCAAGCAGCTGTTTAAGGCCTCACTGGAACAGTTTTGTATATTTTTAATTATGCTGCTGAAGGACAACATGAACAGATTAACAAAATAGTGTTATTGCTGTTTGTTGATGGATCACCTGTTGTCTTTACCATCATATTAGAATTTACAATTGCAGCCTTTTATGAAATTTCACAGAAATTCCCTATTATAAAATGGACTCTACTCTTAACACAGGTGAACATCTTATGTCAATTCCAAAAGTTCCCAATGTAGCTTCTTTGTGGATAAGTATTTGATAATTATACATAACATTTTGTGCTCTCCAGGAAAGGACAAGTCACAGTATTAGAAACTAAACAAGGAGCAAGACTTCCAGAGAGATATAAAGTGGGAAACCTCCTCAAAAATGAACGCAGAATTATGGCTTATTCTTCAGGTAAATTATTAAAAAATATATAAACATAAATTTTATATCTTAAACTTTGTGTTATAGAGGTCAATTAAATTCAACACACTGTGTACCAGTCACCATACAGCTGTATTATATAGTACTGCTGGCCTGAAAAATACTTACAATTTGTAGTGTTTTGGAGGCACCCTAAATTCCCCTGTGTAGAGATCAGAAGTATTGTTTTTTTGTTGTTGTATTGGTAATGTGCAAACTCTTCTCAATTTGAAGAAACTAGGCAAGTAAGGTAGTCCTGGTTAATTTTTCTGCTTGCACACAAGACAGTCTTGGGTAATTCTGCTTCAGCAAGCACCATGGTGGTGCAAAATAAACATCATATCTAAGGTGGTTGCAAATGTAGTGAGAACTTCGTATATTGCTAGTAGTGTTCTAGGGAACAGTACTAAGACAACTAGCAATGAACAGGGCTTCTGATATTTCACGCGGTCACGGAGCCGCGAAATTCAGGTAAATCCGCGAAATACTGCGAAATTCACAAAAACACAAAAAATACCACAAAATTTGGTAGAAATCTTATCAAATACATGCTTGTACAACATATTTGCTATAGGGGCTATTTACTTGCCGTAAACTTACAAATTTATCTTAGAACCTCGTCACTGAAAGGTGCAAACACCAGGCGTAGATTATGTTGCGAAAAACTGGGCACTAGCCATGATGTTAAAGGCTTTGCCATTGGTTCATTTCTGGAGCGTACTGTTGAGCAAATAAATTGGGCAATTCCATATGAGACAAGGAAATTTTGAATTTTTTAAAATAAAATTTTGCGCAATGAAACTTAACCAACATAAAGCTGAAACAATGGGCTGTTTGAAATTACTGAGATCTTGTGCGTCTTGTCCATGCATTTAATGTGAGAAGGCATGAAATCCAGAGAATTTGAATCTCATTATATTTGGAATTTTTGGAACGAAATTTTAAACAAAGTTTTAACATCTAAGAAAACATACAGTCAACATAAAAGTATGTGTGTATTATAACCTTTGCCTTACACTATCATTAGGCTATAAATTATTATCCAGCTACTGGCAGTTTCCTAAGAAAATTGACATTGAATTTTTGTTGCGGACATTACGTAATGTCCGCAACGTTTAGGTACCTTTTTTCAGTTCCTGTACACAGTGTGCTGTATTTTCATGTGCTATTGATGCTGCTCAGTTAGTCTGATGTATACTCTATTTCAATCTCAAAACATTTCCTGGGTGGGTTTTCTTTGCTCAGAAATTACAAGTTGAAAAGTGTTGTGGACATTACGTTGCGGACATTACATATGTTAGATTTTTCATTTATTCAGGCTGTTGCGGATATTAATTTAGTTCTTACTATCTCTGAATTAGATTCAGACAACAGCCGACTTAACACTAAATTGCTTTTTATTGTTGTACAAATGTAAATGGCAAATTAAAAAGAGCTGGTAGCTTTTCTGTAATGTCCAATGAATTCAATTTACAAACGATTAAAAACATTCTAAATAATTTTCGATTTCTGTGATATTCTTGAAAATGGGCAAACATAGTGATTTTCGAATTAGTCCCTTCCATAAAGTAGTATAGATACATGACAAATTTTGCAGTACTTTAACAGAAAAACGGAAAAATATTTTAAAGAGTTTATATGGCTTTGGGGGACGCTGTCACAAAATTACAGAGTGACATTTGTATGGATCTTTAACTGTGTTTCAAGAGTCATAACTTGATCCCTGTTCAACTTTAGAGCACCAAACCTGCTCAACCAGCCAGTCTCAACATGACCTTTTATATGGTGGTGTCAGTTTATCGATTAGTTTAAATTTGAAACTTGCCCCAGTTCCCTATGCAACTCCAAAATGGCCAATGAGTAGCTGGTCAGGGGTTTTGTACTGCTGAGCATGCTCAGAACGGTTTGTAAGCATGCTTTTTGAGGAAACGCACTGACTATCATTGTTTCTTCCGCAAACTTGAATGGGTATTACTTTTTTAACTACAATTTGTAATATAATGTGTAGTGAACAATGTGCAATTTTAGTGCAAATTTACATTTTATCTGTCTTTAAGTCAGACTGAATGACAAAATATGATAATTTTTTAGTAGCTAAATCAGTTTTGTAAAAAACAAAATAATATCCTCACTACTGAGAACGTTTTTTTTTCTCACAACATTTACTTGAGATGTAATAAAATCAATTTGGAAATTATTTAAGGAGTCAGTATAACAGAAAAAAATCTGACAGGTATTGCATGATACTAGGTCTCAGTAGGAGATTATATAATATTATAAAAGAACATAAATAAAGTAAATGATAATTTCACAGCTTCATTTTTAGACAAGTAACTGCAGAACAAATGGACATAGCCACAGTCAGCAACACTGACTAGGAAGGGAATAATAAAAAATGTGTTCCCAAAAATGTAATGTCCGCAACAATTTTGTGTAATGTCCGCAACACAAACTTTTGTTTGTAGACTCACTGGAATAAGGTTGCATGGAATTTTTCTTTGACAGTTGAAAAATCTACTTATTGTTATGTTTTGAAGGCACAATTATTTTCTGCTCTTGGTTAAAAATTCACAGGAAAATCTCTTTAAAGAAAGTTACTTTAAAAAGTGGTTGTTTAAACTGTATGTCTGTATGTAAAATGTCCGCAACACACTTTCTTCAACTCATACCTTCAAGGTCTTAAGAGCTAACTAAAGCATCTTTTTATTAGGTACAAAGGGAACACTAAAAATACTTTCTAGATATGTTTGAACACCCTTAATGAACATTTTGACATCTAAATTGGGGTTTAAAATATTAATTTTAGTATCTGAACGTAATGTCCGTAACATGGAATCACTTAAATGCTGACCTCTGTTAGAAAAACGTTAAAAACGCTGGTCTGATCAGCACAAAACCGATTGATTTCTAGGGAAATTTGCCTTGAAAATAACCACAAAATTGGCTGTTTTTTACCGATTGCTGTTTGGTGAAGTTTGTTCTGAAAACTCTCACAAAATTACTGCGAAATTGGCCGATTTTTCCTCGAATTTGTCCCTAAAAATCCCACGAAATTTGACTTTTTCTTCCACAACCTATCAGAAGCTCTGAATAAAACACAGCCACAGCCACACAAACGGTTCAAAGCTTGGACACGCTTACATGTACGTCCGTGCTCGCTACAGGTCAAAATTAAATTAGGGTTAAAATTTTTTAAGCTTGATTATTCTCAATTTCCATTGTTTCCTAGTCCTTATTCATCAATAATTAAGGCAAGGAGACAAAGGAAATTTAATATCAACCAGGGTTAAAAAATATCAACCTGAATTTAATTTTGATGTGTAACATACAGCTGTTTTGAGAAAGGTCGTCGGAAAAAGTGCACGGGACAATCCCGAAAGGTGTTGTGGGTGGTTTTGTCTGCTCTGTTCTCCAAAGAAGTTTGAAAGAATGGCATGCGAGGCCACGGACATATGTTCGCAATTGCTAATGGAAAGCAACAAAAGTAGGTTCGACATCTACAGTCATTAGGAGCAGTGTATTGATCATATCCCATATTACCTTTCGGGGTTGTCGTGTGCACATTTTTTCCGACAACCTTTCTCGAAATAGCTGTATACATTGTATGACACCTGTTAGGATAAAATTATTCTGACAAGTGACATGGCCTTGAAACAGTGACATAAGACAGCAGAAAACAAAGCGAACGACACAAAGATGGGTTGAAACTGTGACAATGACAGAGAAAAGCACATATTCAATAGTGCAATACCAACAGCCACGTTGCTTCCTCCTCAATATGTGAAATGACAGGTTTGGAAATTCAAACTAGGAACAAATGTAACCCTCCTAAGAAGGCCTCATATGATTATACATACTGATTAAAATACATAGTCTTCATGTAGGACTTCATAGATTGAACTAGGTCGGACAGCCAACTTATGTTATTAAAATGCATACGTGTATGCCAATTCAGCAATCTCTTTCTGGCTTTTAAATAACACCTGCTATAATTTTCTCAAAGGCTTCCCTTTTTTAACCCCAAATAACATTGTTGACAATTATTTTGATACATGTAGCTATGTGTCATCATGTACCATGTATGATACACAATCACAGCTACTGCACTTAGTCTTCAGGTACATTAAATTTTGAATACGGTACATTTAAAACTGCAACACACTAGGCATTAAAACATGTCACTGCAACACTTGTTGCACCAACAAGTTACTTCTTGTTTACAGGTCAGGCAAAAAGTTGCATGACATGTTGCAGCGACAAATATTATTGTTTCTTTAACCTGAGATCAGGCCCAATTTGAGCGGTTCTCATACTTTCTCTCTAACAGCTACCGCTAAAATTGGGCCTGATACTAAATTTTGGCCATAACGCTGATTGGGCCTCTGATTGGCTGTCGGAAACAAAGTTGAAAGCTTATTCCTCACGTGGTTGTTTTCATAAGTTTTTGCTTCCTTTTTCATTGTTTTATGGTCTCGTTATGGCCAGATTTTGGCCGTAACGCTGATTGGCTGTTAGAACAATGCCACAAGATCTGATTGGCTGTCGGAAACACCGGAAGTTGAAAGCACTTGTTCCTCACGTGGTTGTTTTCATGAATGATCTGTCGTTGGCGGAGAGAAGGATCGATTTTGCTTCCTTTTTCATTGTTTTATGGTCTTATGGTGGGAAAATATGCCTTAATATGTGCCATGGAAATTCAGAAAATTCATATGGTTGTTCATTTCTTCTCAAGATTTGCTTTATTTACGGAAAGTGAGTGTATCGCGGAGTTGAATCCCTCTGCAAGTTGTTGACCGCTAACAAGGTGCATTTTGATTTACCAACAAACGGGTGCAAATCAAAATACTGTCCATCTTAAAACTGGTTTCATTTGAAAGTTTAGCCGGGAATGACTTCTCTGAACGGGGTACGCAAGCGAAGGCTCACTGCGAAAGAAACCTCAATCACCAACTGTGAAGTATTAGACGAAAAATATCGCATTGCTGTTCATGGAATTTTCAGTGTTTACAGACTGGTTGTTTGCCTTTGCTTTTTGTAAAAAATAAACCAAGAAAATTGGTGTCCTCGCTCGTTGGCTGTTTTTCTTTGTTTTTAAAGATTTATGTACTGAAAATCGGGGGAAATTGCTGAAGAAAAATTAATATTAAGACAACGGAAAAATAGAGATTTCAGTATTTTAAATTCCAGAGCGCCTAACCAAGAATAATAAAACTGGTAGAACATCGTGTTGCCATCTTTTCGAAAACTTTTTACCTTCTACGCCTACAGAAATAACCTTTGAGATCTCCCTTAATCTAGCAAACAGTTAAATGTGATTGTGCTGACTGTTTTTTTTTAGCTGAAAAAATTAACAGATAAAAGCTATTTTTTAAGTCAGCCAGTCTGCATTTTTCCCTCTCATGAAAAATTTGCATACTAGAAAAACAAGCAATGGAAGTAATTCTGATTGGCTGATTCGGCAAATGTCAATCAATCAAAAAAGTGGGCGGCGGACGTTTCGTAGAAGGTTTGCATCAGGCTCTCTTTTCGTTTCGCCTTGCCCGCCGGAATGTAATTTTCAAAGCGAAACGAAAATAGAGCCTGATCTCAGGTTATTGTTTCTTGTGCACTGGATAATTTTTGTGAAAATCTTTGTCTCTACAACACTGAATTTAAATTCAATCTAATTTGATCTTGTGGAACTTGTTGTGGTGACTAAATTCTGTTGAAGAGACAAGTATGTTTTATTTTCACAAAAATTCTCCAGTATGCACAAAGTAATTTTTGATGTAACATGTTGCCACATTACATGTTTCTGGATTTTGTTCTGACCTCAAGGGCATTTGAGTGCATGTGCATTTGGCACATTTAATATGCACTGGATTATTGACAATTTACGTGCTCAACAAAATTAGTGTTTATGCTTTCATTCATTTTGTTATTCAGTACACTGTAGAATTACATGTACATACTGTAGATCACAGGATGAATTTCATGAAGATGTATTATCTAGCAATGTATCTAACTTTATTGTCTCCATTAGACTCTGACAATCATTGTCTTGTAGACTTGTTTGATTAGAAGACCCTGTGTATTGATGAACTTGTAACAATTAAATCTGTTTATGCAATCATTTAAAAGCTTAAGTTAAGTCATATGCAAATTCCTGAGCAAAACATAGTGTAAATATATAGCTTCTGTTGGTAATATTTTAACACATAAACAATTTAAAATGCAACTTCTGGCAGATGGTACACATAAACATAAGATTCAAAATGACAATTTTTCAAATGGGACCTTTGTAGCTACATTTGTTAAAAATCACTTGGGACAAAAAAACCTTGCTGGAGAGCATACATGTACATGTTGATGTAAGATGCAGTGGGGCACGAATAAAAGCATGATTTCATCATTTACTTTTACTTAAGCTTATTTTCTTTTTCGCGACATCCCACTGCATTATTTGCTTTCCACCGAGGTTTTTTTGTATCATGTAACTGTTAGGCTACCAAGGGCCTGTGAGTGACTACATTTGTGTAGATAAAAACTACTTACTTTTGTGCAGATACATGTACACTGTATAGTGAAAAACAAGTTAAGGGAAACCTTGTCCTCATTGTACAATTTGACCGTTGACATTTTCTTTCAACAATCTTTCTATTACCTAGAATCTCAACCAGTACAAATAATAAATACAGTCAAACTTCCATGTGTTACAACCTCATGTACATGATCACCTCCCATAAGCAACCTACCAAAAACCCCAAACGTTTCCCACTCAAAGACTAACAGTTGGAACCTCTCACAACAACCACCTGCTGTTAGCGATCATGACCACTTTTTGCAGCGGACACTTTTATGGTTTTCTTTTGTTTTAAACCTCTTGTAAGTGACATCTTGTTGCATGGTCTTACATGATGTTCATGTATTTCTGTGTTCGTTGCGTGCACTATGCTGCTCACAGTATACATGGAACATTAAGCGACAACATGGAACTGCACATACAGGTATCATAACTTAAATTAAATTATCTTTTATATTTAAGAAGATGACTGAGTCCAGACCTCTTCTCCGAAGAGATCGCCCATGGATCGATTCAAGAGCTTATTTACAAAGGAAAGAACAAATTGGTAAAAATCATTCAATTTTTTCTCACATGATTATCATTTCTCTGCAGAGTGTAATGTATCAAGTAAGAGAAAGAGAAAGCTGCCACATGTAAGAGCAACTGAAGAGGGGATTCACAAGCCAAAGAGGAAGAGAAAAGAGAAATCAGACAAGAGATTGCACAACACTTTTGCTATTGCTACAACTGTATCTGAATCAGATTCAAATTTAGGACATAATTCTTATGGTAATGGGAAAAACTCAAAAGGCAAGAGTTTTAATCAAGGTACTTGTGGCGTCAGCCACAGACGGACAAGATCAACTGTGAGAGGTCTTAACAAACTATGTGGAAGTTCTTGCAATAAGTTATATGTAAATCTGAGGCAGAGAGAGAGCGATAACTATCTTGGCGATGAAAGCAATGCTGTTGCTGATGACGAGAGTGGAACTGACAAAGGCATCTTAAATTGCAGTCATAGAGAGCATGTGGATTCTGACATAAGACATGAAAAGGAAAGCATGATCTTGTCTGCAAATAGTAGACATAATGAAGAGGGCGTCCAGTCTTGTGATCACCAGTCTGAAGTTGATAGTGAATACAATGAGGTAGCAGTCGATAGGATAAAAAGAAAACTCTCCTTTAGTGTTTCTTGTAGAAGACATGATGACAGTGGTGCAACCTGTCATGGAAGGGAAAGCTCAACAGCCTCAAATAGAGATAAATCCCAGAAAGTGAAAGAAACTCTTTTAACAAAACAAAGCTGTGCAGATGAAAGTGATGGCAAGTGTGGAGACGAAAGCAGGAAAGGAAGTAATTTATTAAAATCAAACCATCACAGCAAAGATTCTGATAGTGAAGATTCTTATAGTGAGTCTGATTCAAGATCTCTGTCTGACAATGTGGAGGAAATAGTTTTCGATAATGTTGATTTGAGTGATTATGAGGGACCAGTGCTACGCAGTGCACAAAAGCAAACAAAAAATAATTTACAACACAGGTCTTCAATGTCAGAACATTCCTATGGGAATACGAACAGAAGGATCAATGGCAAACCCAACATCACCTCTAAATGTAAGTAAAAAAGTTCAAGAACTTAAATATTTTTTTTTTTATGTACACAACTGAACCTCTGCCAATAGTCAGCTTTCCAGAGCGGCTAGTATTAAATCATTCCACTAGATGCATTAATTTCTTTTTAAATTGATAACCTCTGTACAATGTTCTCCTTTAGTGTTTGTTGCAGCGGCCACTTACATGTACAGTGTGTACCTCTGTATGACTGTATATGTTGTGGTCATTGTATCAAAAGTTCGAATTTTAGTTTTGTTTTGTTTTGTTTTTTTTTTACCATGCTTTGCCATACAATATTCCCAAAATCAAAGGAAAGTCAATTTAACTGGGGGTAAACTTCACTCATTTACATGTACATGTACATGTACACAAATTGCATTTTGAGGAAGGGACCAACATCTGCAAAATCCATACATGTGCTGTGAAAGTAAATGTATTTTAAATGTTTACAACTCGTTGTAATAAAACTTATTCACCTCTTTCGGGTGCTTAATTTGAGGGTGTTGAAACTCTCTCAGCTGGCAAAGTGCTTATAAAACTTAGGGAAATACTCAAAGAAAACTACACTGTTCAGAACATTTGTCGTAAACGTAACATAAATAATTATGCCTTAGTGACCGGGCATGAGGTCAAGGTGGCTTGATATTTGCCAAGTTGCGTTTTAATGGACCGAGACGAGACATCTACATGTGCAAATGCCGTAAAAGGAGGTCAATATCCAGTCATCTTGAGTGAACTAGCCTGTTTGATGAAGAATCTATGACTAAGAGAACTTTTTACTTGCGGGAGCAAAGCGGGAATTCCCGAGAGGGCGAAGTAGGTTCATCTTGCCCACTCGGGTAGCCAATCAGAACACTAGATTCCCTTCATCTTTCCCGCTCGCGAACCAGGTATGTAATAGCGTTAACTCTTACCAGCATACAGAGTACACCGTTGTTTGCAAAGACAGCCGTCTCTCCCACGGACGGTCGAGGCGAAACGTCCCTAGCGGCGAGGAGCGAGGAAAGACGCTGTCTTCGTCGGCTAGTTCAGTTGAGAGGGTTGTCTTTTTAGATCATTCTTTGTTCTATTATACTGCAGGTAGAAAAGAGAAATCCATCAATAAGCAACTTAGTCAAGACAATCGAAGACTTCCACTGGGAATAGGGAAAAACGTTCAGATTCGAGTTAGTCCTCTATCGAGCCCAAACAAACCCAGACGTTTACAAGCAAAAGAACAGATGACGCGGATCAAAAAGAGCAGTGGACGGACTCTTGATAAACCAAGAGAAAAGGGTCAAACGAACCAGATCGAAAGGACTACTGAATTGAATCAGGGAAATCCTGAACGGTCACAGACTGGAGAAAAAACATATCAGACAGATACTGTTCAGGAGTCAGAAAATGCGTTTATAAGAATTTTTTTGGGCGACATGCGAGAACTGCAATGTGAGGGTAAGCGTGATGATGACTCTACAAAAAAAAGTCCGGGACAGCGAGGACACTCAAACACTGGTGCTATAGTTCTATCGTCTTTAAGGTCGCCAGAACGTCGCAGTCAAAGAAGAAAAGAAGAAATACATAAATCTACATCAAAGGTGGCAGATTGGCTTAGTACACACGATATCTCAACTGGTATCAACTCAAATGCAACGGAAACATGTCAGACTGAACCTGGTTGCGAAGGTGAGAATGGTTGTTGCTATTTAGCTGGAATTTGTCCTCAAAAGAAAATGCTGGCGTTGGAACACCGTGTCCAGAAGAACCCTTCCAAGCAACTATTAAGTACAATGTACAATTTGTTGATCGGCTTTAGGTTCATTCCTTTATCTCCCCATTCCTCCTTCCAGCAATGTTGCGCCAATAAAAGGACGTTATTTCCACCCATTTTATTTAAAAATTCAACATTGTTTGTGGTGGAAAGTGGCCCGTTTTACTATTAATTATCACTAGAAGGTCCCGACACCTTTGCTCTAATGACATTTTTTATCGTCTTTGGATTCATTCCTTCATTCTCCTATTCCCCAGCCATGTTGCGCCCAGAAAATGACTGTATTTCCACCGATTCCGTTCAAAATTTTAGCATTCTTATGGGTTGGAGGTGGGGGAGCTCGCTTGTTTTACTTCCCAGCGCTTTTGACCTTCATTGTATTCCACTTCATGTGACATCCAACTGATGTCAACCAATATGTCCAAAAATGAACTTTGAAAAATTGTTAGGCTAACCTTTTTCAAAATCACCATCGCAATCCGTTTCAATCTTCACCAAGTTTGTCCATTGTGCCTTCTTTTGAACACAGTTTTTGCTCTGTTATTTATTCCTACTATTAACGTTGTAAGCGGTTGTTTGAATTTCGATAGATCTCGTGACAGCTTCATGTACTTCAATATTCGTTGTTTCTTGTTGGTATTACAGCTCCTTCAGAACGTGTCATCAGTACCAGAGCAACTGCTAGAGACCGAAGTAAAGAGGCTTCAAAGAGGGTAGCAAGAAGCGACGATAACTGTGATACTTACTGCAATGAAGGTAATGAGCGAGGAAGCGCTGACAGTGTTAGCAGTGACAGAAGAATGATCAACGGAACAAGTTTATCTGAAGGATCGCCACTTCAACGCCGATCACAAGAGAAAGCAGACAAAGGCGTGAACGAGAGTTCGATGACTCAGTCCACACTGCGACAGAATAACGCAAATCGTTTGACAAGTGGAAGGCCTCCAGTGTCTTCTGCCGGACCGAGGTTTGCTGGCATGACTAAGCAATGCCTGGTCAAGGTACAAAAACTCCCAGTTCGTAAACAGAACGGAGAGCTAAAAGTCATACCATTACAAGGGATTCTTTTCAATGAACACAGTGCCTCTTGTTTCGATGAAGAAGGCGATGAAACGTTCAGCAAAACCAACAATCCGGGCCCTTTAAAAATAAGTGCCGAATTAAAAAAAGCAAAAACCATGGAGGTAGAGAGTGATCGTTCAGAAATTCAGGGGAAAGATGAAGGAGGGGCGACAGACGAAAACCAGACCATTGATAATCCACCGACTACTCGATCTCCTGCAACACAAACTAAAACCCCTTCTCCTAAACCAGTTAGACCTACAGCAGACTTACGTCCACAGATGCCGTCTTCGCAAGATGGCCCCAGTGACAGACTTGCGGTTCATAGTTTGGTTGACCGGGAAGGAACTGAGGATTTAAAAAGCAAAAGGAGTGGGGTTCCATTGTCAAAATCAAAGCGTGATTGTTACAGTCTCTTAGAAAACGATGAAGAAAATTTGAGCTCTTCGAAAAACGATGCAACAGATAGTGATGCAAAGTGGGTCGCACCTAAACGGGAGAAGGGGAGTGTGAAAGCAATATCAAAAAAAAGGAAACGAATACTTCAAATGGAAAATGTGGACAGTGGGTCCGTAAATCAAGGTAAGGCTCTGCACGGAGGCACATCTATAACCAAAGAGCGTCAGTCGCTGAAAAATTCGCGCTGCGAAATCGGAGACAATGCAGAGCCGCCAGCAATCCTGAACAATATTCCGATTCACGTGGATCGATTGCGTCATGACGAAAGAGAGATTGATGAGGGTAGAGGGGCCACGAATGAGGGGTTAAACCCTAGATGGGGGCAACAATCAAGGGAAGTTCAGCTGCCGTCTTCTAAACAAGAAGCTGCTCAGTTGCTGGAAAACCAAAGTGATTCCTTTATGAATGGCGATGGTAATAACACAGACGTGCAAGAAAGGCCAGGTACAGAAAAGAACCGCTGTGAATTGGAGGAAGACCGAAATGTCGGAGATAGTGGGTCAGACTCCACCGTCTGCGAAAGTGGTGTGTTCTCCGCAGATGGGAAACGTCACAGAGTAGAGAAAGGTGTCTCCAAAGACAAAGAGACGATGAATATTGCAGGAAAAAGGCAAAAATGTTCTCTAAAAAATCAGGAAAATTCGGAAGTGGTGAAAGATAATATAACTGATGGACGTAAACAAGGGCAACAAAGTAAATCTGCTCAAAGTGCGAGTCACGGTTCTGGGAAAAATGACATTTCCACGGAGGATGATTTGTGTAATAGAAATAGCGGGAAAGGGCCAGTGGTGTCGGCGGATCGATTAGTGAGTAGAAGAAAAGAATCAAAACATTTGGAACAGTTGCAGGATATTGACTCTGTCTTAGACATTCAAGAACGAGAATCTGAATCCGTTGAAACGTTCACTGAAGACCTTGACAAAAAGAGTGAACCGACGCAAGATCATCTTAATAATAACGTGAGCATTGGGCAAAGTACCACTGACTCGGTTGATCGAGTTGTCAGTGGAAACAAAGGGTCAAAACAATCCAGTAGGAGAAAAGAACGACAAGTTAAGGAATCTCCTGTAACTAAAAACCAGAAAGAGACCGAATCTACTGACCCAGTGGATAGTATCTCAAGCGTTGACGATATTATTGATCGCAGGAATACTGGGCAAAACACCGTAGATTCCGTGGGTCTACCGGGCAGTCGAAACGGAGAACTAGGACATTCTAATGTTACGGAACAGGTGCAAGATGTTGACTCTAATGTATCTAAGCAAGAGCAACAATATGATTCTAAGGCAACTTCCAGAGAATACCTAGGGAAAGGTGACAGACGGACGATAAATAGTTTGCACAACAGCAATAAGAAACGGTTGCAAGACAATGTCGCCGTTGTATCTGAAGAAGGTGAAATATCTAGTTCTGAGGCAACAGTTATGGCAAGCTCCAGTCAAAAAGGCAAAATAGCGAGAACTAATTTCCACCTTAACAATAAGGAACGGTTGGAAGACAGTGACTCCGTTGTATCTCAACAAGAGGAAATATCTGATTCTGAGGCAACTGCCACGACAAAGTCCGGGAAAAACGACGATACAGGGAAAAATAATTCGCACTCTAGTAATACGGAGCAGTTACAAGGTGTTGTCTCTGATGTACTTGAAAAAGAGCAAATTTCGGATGCTGAGGCAACTGCTCGTGCGAGCTCCAGGAAAAATGGCAAAACACCAATAAGCAGTTTGCACTCCAGCAATACGGAACGGCTGCAACACGTTGACTCCGTCTTATCTGAACAAGAGCAAATTTCGGATCTTGAAGAAAATGCTGTTGGAAGATCGAGGAGAAAATTGCGGTCCAGCAGTACGGAGCAGTTGCAAGGTGACACTGTTCTATCGATACACGAGGAAGATTCGGATTCTAAGGCAACTGCAGGTGTAAGCTCCAGAAAAAATGACAAAACGAGGAAGAATATTTTGCAATCCAACAGTTCGAAACGGTTGCAAACGAGAAATAGTTTGCACTCCGGCAAAACGGAGCAGTTGCAAGATGTTGGTTGTGTTGTATCTGAACAAGAAGAAATTTTGAATTCTAACGCAACTGCCAATGCAAGCTCCAGGAAAAATGACAAAACATGGAAAACTATTTTGCAGTCCAGCATTCCCGATCAGTTCCAAAACGTTGGCCCTGTTGTATCTGTAGAAGGGCAAGTATCTGATTCTGAGGAAAGTGCTATTGCATATGCTAAGAAAAATGGTCAAATGAAGAATAGGAAAAGTAACAAAAGAGACATGGAATCCTTACATAGACTGAAAAGACAAAGAGAAACAACAAAGCACTCTAACAATACGGAAATGTTGGAAGGGATTGATTCTGCTGTTTTCGTCGAGGAGAAAGAACCTGATTCCGAGGAAAATGCCAGTAGTGGTTCCAAGAAAAATGACAAGACGCAAAATAGTAATGAAAAAAGACACACGGAGTCCTTGCATGGACTTGAAAGACGAATAGAAACAACAAAACACTCCAACAATACAAAAGTGTTGCAATGTATTGACTCCGCTGTATTTGTCAAAGAGAAGGAATTTGATTCTGAGGCAACTGCCAGTAGTGGTTCCAAACCTAATGACAAAGCAACGAGAAATAGTAATATTAAAAGACACACGGAGCCCTTGCGTGAACTGGAAAGACCAAAAGAAATAACAAAACATTCTGACAATACTGAACAATTGCACGGTATTATATTAGAACAAGGACAAGAAACTGATTCGAATGAAATTTCGAGTGGAAGTGACGGGGAGGACGACGAAACAATAAAAGATAATATCTCCGGTAAAGGTAGCAGCACTAAGAGGGCCATGAACTCCTTTGATGGACAAAGAACTGGTAGAGGAAAATCAAAACGGCATACGGAACAGTTGGCAGATGTTAACTCTGGTGAGCGAGTACCTACAAAACAGCAAAAAACGGACGTTTCTGCCATGGTCAGCGCAAGCCGCGGGGAGAGTAGCAGATCAAACAGAGATCATACGCATAATTACAGAGACAGTAGTAAAACCGCAGTGGAATCTGTAGATCGATCGAGCTGTGAAAATGAAAAATCCAAACAATTCAACCTTAGTTCCTTTAAAAAAGACAGAGCTTCAGAAAAAGACAGAGAGGTTTTGATGGAGAGAAGCAATGCTTATGTTGGTAAATCTTGTGTTAATAACAAAGATGGGTCGATATGTCAGAAGCAGGACGTGTCGTCTTCAAAACGAAAGGATTCCAGAAGCTCTTTTGATGACGATATAGAGACAGAAAGTGAAACAGACAAGGAGAAGGAAGGTACTTTTTAAAATTAATTAAGCAGCCAGGGCCCTGTTCGAAAGATGGATAGCGCTATCCATTTGATAAATCTCTATCCAGTGGATGGCGCAATTGATTTCCCTAGTACTTATCCGCTGGATAGTGATTCGTCCAGTAAATAGCGCTGTCCACAACCAGGGCCTGGCTAATATTATGTAGCAGAATTAAGTTTGCAAGACATTAAATGGCCTAATTGTCACGACGATTTTGCTGTTTTGGGTCAAGTCTGTTCTCACGTCATTACGTAGTTCCTTTACCCATACAAACATGCTCCTGTAGAATTATCAAAAAGATATCACACAAATTTAATCAGAGAGCACTAACCGTAATAAGTTTTTTGGTGACTTTTCCAGGTATAGTAACAGTATTAAAACTCGGAAAAGTTGGCCCAACTTTTTCAAGTGTCAGTCCATGTCTATCCGTGCCATCCGTAGCGATAGACCACAGGGAACAGTTTCAGTTCCTAAATATGGTCTTAAATAACTCAACTGTACCATTATTTTTGGAAATCAATTGATGCGAAGACGCGTTTTAGTTTAAAAAAGAAAACAAAGAGCGTGGTATATCCCGTTTAACAAGAAATTGACAGGATTTAACAGAGCAGAGTAGCAGCTTACAGACGGTTGTTTTGCCGTGACTATTAGTGACCTTTAGATTCGAGGATGAAGATGAGATTCAACTTTAAGTTTTTTCGTATATTCTCAAAAAACCGACACGCCGGAAAGATTCATTGCAGTATTTTCACCAAAAACGTTAGCACGGTTATTTTTATTAAAGGAGGTTAAGCCCTCTCCAAAGCGCAAAATGATAAAACATGTAACTTGCTTCCGCCACTACGACATTCTCACTAAAACCCGTAGTTGAATGACGACAGCGATCACGTTGTCCCGCCAAAATGACGATGGTTAACGCGCGTGCACTACTTAGTATTGAGAAAATCTCGTCTCGTATTAGAATCTAAACGTCCCTAGTATCGGTTAGAAATAGCTGGTGACGTGACCTGACACTTTTGAAGGTTTGTTTGGACACACCCACAAAATCACACATCACCTGTGTCTCTATAATGCCCTCCCAGCTGCCAAGCATACATGTCGATGCGTCGCAAAGGCAAACAATATAATGCCTGCATAACCAACCACGGAAAAATTTGCGCAAAACAACGACAAAGTAGAAAGCATACGGGATTTATTAGACTTTTGGTGCCCCTCCCCCCCCCCCCCTAAAAAAAAAAAAAAAAATAAAGAATAAAGAAAAGAAAACAGTGGTATCGTCATTGCCCCTTTGTTTACTTTTCAGTTCATTATGTTTTCGGCTGGTCATTGTCGTACGTTCAGGGTCGATTCTCGCGAACGTGATTGATCAATCCAAAGGACCAAAAAAACTAAAACATGCAGCTAAAACTGGTTTTAAGTAGCTGTCCAGTAAACCAGTGAAATTTAGAAGCCGTGGAATACTAACTCGACAGTGACTAGTTATGAAATGACGTTTCTCAGTCACTCCGCTAAGTTTTTGTAGATAATAAAAATTCAATTTTCCCCACTTGTAGCATATATGTTTCTTATTTATAGGAGACGATAGCGAAGCATGGAAGTTGCCGCTGCAATTATCACCTTTTAAGGAAGGCAAACACATCGTGTGGATGAGAGAAAGAACTGAACAAAAAGCCGACGATGTGACTGGTCATGCGAAGGCAATAAAGCGTCATTGTATGAAGGCTGACAAATCTGCGGTCCAATCAGAAGATAGTAGCCAATCGGAAAGCGAAAACACTGCTGTTGGACGAAGCCAGACTTTTGTTAAGAAAAATGAAAGTAAGGCAAATGTAAGCGCTTTAAACGGGGAGACAGGTCTGGAGAAAGGACAAAGCACTATCACAGAGAAGGATGTATCGGATTCTGAAGGTGATCTTGAAAACAGAGTCGAAGGGAATGGAAAGATCATAGAACAGGGGTGTGATAAAGGAAGTGACATGGAAGTAAATGGAATTAGAGAAACTGATGGTAAAACTATTGTTGCCAAACAGGAACCTAAAAAAACTCACGCACCAAAGAGAAAAGCGGCGAATGAAGACAACTCTCAATTTCTAAAAAATTCAGGAAACTATACATGCAGTGAAGAGGGAGGGAAAAAGCGCAAGAAAAGTAAAAGTAAAGATTGTTTGAATGAAACAGAACAAAAGGAAAGTCATAAAAACTCAAGTGATGAAGAAATCGCGGACGATGGAGTGGCAGAAAGGAATGAAGACAACTCTCAATTTCTAGAAAATTCAGGAAACCACACGTGCAATGAAAAGGGAGCGAAAAAGAGTAGGAAAAGGAAAAATAGAGATTTTTTTACTGAAGCAAAGGAAAAGGAAAGTGATAAGGACTCAACTGACATAGAAATCGCGGACAATGGCGTGGAAGAAAAGAATGAAGACAACTCTCAATTTCCAGAAAATTCAAGAAACCATGTGTGCAATGAAGAGGGAGCCAAAAAGAGCAGGAAAAGTAAAAGTAAAGATCTTTTGAGTGAAGCAAAGCAAAAGAAAAGTGATAGGGACTCAAGTGACCGAAAAATCGCAGACGATCGCGTAAACGAAAAGAAGGATAAACAAAGTCAGGTGGTAGAAAGACCGGAATTTTACAGAACGGAAAATGACAAAAAGAGGAAAAAGAAAAAAAAGATTAGGAAGTATGATTGGCCTTCACCTCAGAAAGAAAGTGGCCTCAGAGGTGTGCCAGAGGAAAAGTGGAAGATGGAGGAATCGGTTGACTTTGGGACAATCAAAGAGATAGAGAAGGGGACGAAAGAAAGATCGAGCAAACCAGGTAATTCAACTACTGTAAATAAGTTTTCTTTTCTTTTCTTAATTACCAGTATTATGTAATAATTAACATTGTGACTGAAAAGCCCTGTTGAAGAGAGTCTCAATGAAGTATGTATGTATGTAAGTATGTATGTATGTAAGATTCCTTTCTTTTAACCCATTCGCTTCTGGAGATTTTGCCGAAAAACGCGTTTTGAAGCTAGTCGAGTGGTTTTCTGGTCACTGTCGTGCTATGAAGGGCTAAAACGTACCACAAACCGGTTTACCGGTCGTACACTTGGCGGCCTTCTGATCCAGATGCAAAACATCAGCTTGCGAAGTTCGGGCATGCGCAGAAAGCAAAATTTCGAGATTTTCAGGTCAATGTCACGTGGTTTTTTGCTTCTTTCTCCGGTGTCCTTGACTGAATTGTGCTCATTCTGGTATGGTTTGAAAGATCTCTTCACTCTACACAAGTTAGCGAAGAAAGTTGTCCTTGACCGTTAAAACTGATGACGTCACAAAGGCTAGAAAGGACCTGGATCCGCACGGGCGGTTCAGGGGCGAATGGGTTAACGCATGCAATTAAACAACTTCATGCAAGCGTTGATTTGCCAGTATTCAGGAATGCGCCCTAACAATTGTAGGATTGCAGGTACAAATCAAGGCTAAACACTGCAAAACAGCCTCACTCTAGACTTTCGTTTTACCCCTCGCGCGCGCGTTCCTAAAAATGCAGGCGTTTTTGCAGTCTAAAGGGAAACAGGGAGCGTTCTCTCTGCAGCTTGGTAGTGGTCTACTCATAAAATAGCTGTAGTCGGAAATATAAGGATATTATTTCAATGACGTTGAAGCCGTTAGTTATATTAAACAGTACTAAAACAACAAACGAAATGGCATATAGCAACTTGATTAACACGTGCGACTTTTGATTAAACGGTGAACAGTAAACCTAAACATGTTTTTTTTAAGCTCCCGTAAGCGGACACCCGAAATGAAATCTCATTCTCCTCTGAATCTTGTGATTTAATTAATCAACTTGCAATCACTGTTCGTCACAATGAATTTATAGCTGTTTCAGTGTTTGTTTGTTTTTTTTTTCCACACACACATACGGTTACACTTGAAGAGACCATTTGAATTTTATGCTTGTGACCAGCCAAACACTAACATTTGTACTCCCAGTATTGATTTGTAGCTGTGCAAGCTCCCATAACTGACCATCTAACCCTTACACTTCTAGTGGCTGCTTACGACAGCTTCTACTGTATATTAACATCCGCACTACATGACCTTAAACCGACTCTCTCCTTGCAGCACAGCTACTGTTCTTTAGTGTTTGCATTAAAAGCATAGAACTTTAATACGTGTTTAGCTATTGTGACGTAACATTGAGTCGATCAATTTTGGCACACAGAAGAGAAAAAAGAGAAGAAGAAAAAAAAGAAAAAGAAAGAAAAGAGACAGAGTGAGTCATCTACCTCACTCAACGACAGTGGTTACAGAACTTTAACCGAGGTCAAGGATGAAATGAAAGAATCAGATGAGTTTAAGAAAAACAAAGCAAAGGAGAAATCAACTGATCCAGGTAAGAGTTCTTTTTTACTCCCGACCCTATTTATTAGGGTCCTACAGAGGGTTACTTCGCAAGATTCTGTAGAAAAAATAAAAGCTGTGTATCAACGCCTCTATAGTTATCTGGAGGAATTAAAAATACTTTACCCACTTCAATTTGGTTTCAGGGATAAATTTTCGACAGCTCTTGCACTTATTTCTATCACTGAATGTATTCGTCAGTCCATTGTTAATGATGAATTTGGCAATGGCGTATTTATAGATTTGAAAAAAGTTTTTGATACTGTTAACCATACAATTCTACGAACTAAGCTTCACCATTATGGAATGAGAGGTATTGTATGTGATTGGTTTAAGTCTTATTTATCCCAAAGAGAGCAGTTTGTATGTGTTAATGGTCATAACTCGATTTCCTTACTTGTGACTTGTGGTGTTCCACAAGGATCCATTCTAAGACCACTTTTATTCTTGTTATAATGAATGGCCTACTTTCGTCGCACTCGTTTGCTGAAACGTGTACCAAGTGGCCATGCTCCCTTTAACTCCCCTTTTCAAAGGCCTAAAACAAAGACTCCGGGTCCTGGGCATGGCTGTGGTATCCTGTGTCTGACTAAATCAGGTAATTGTTTATTTGCCGATTTGGCTTGTAGTTCGCTATATTTCCAGAGGTTTTGGCTAAGAAGCGATTTATACTCGGCCATTTAAAACTTTTGCAAATAAATTCACCCATCTGGCGTAAAATTGTGACCACTAGCGCGAAGTTGTGTTAACACAAATATTCTTGTCCAAAATTACAAGTACATACATTTGGTGGTAACTTCAGCAATGGAGGGGCATAACGAAACCACCCTATAGAAAATCAGTTTAGACTGATATTTGGCATGAGCCGTGGGGAGAGGGTGTGACGGAGGAAAACTAGAAAGACGTTAAGCTGGACAGTGCTGGTAAACTAAACAGTAATAATGAGCCTGCCTACTTGCATCTGTTTGGAGACATCTTCGTAAAATGATGCCATTCCCTGCTTTACCCAACTTGAATAACTGACTGACTGGATGTGTTTCAATTAGCTAAGAAAACGGCTCGATATAAAATTAAAACGGATTTTATTGTGGGGTTTTTGAAAACTTTTTAGCCTAACAGTTTTCAAAGTTCATTTTTGTTGTTTTTAAAGTTCGATACAATGCTTGGGAAGAATATTTGTTGGACAGTGTTAAACTTTTTTCGACAGTGAAAGTTGCATCATTATTTTTCTTTGCAATTTTTGTGACTTGTAAATATGGTTTGCTTATTATTTTGAAGACGTTCCGACCGAGGTTTGGAAGCCAAGCTCTGAACACACGCAACAGAAACCAGTAAAGAAAAAGAAAGCCAAATTACTGTCTCTGTTGGATCTGGCACAAGACGGTGAGTGTTTTTTCTGTCAATAGAGTAGAAATTGTGGACATAAAAATATTAGTTTAGTAACTTCTTCGATGTGTGCTGGCATTTCATTTTTATTTTTATTTTTCATTTTGCTGCACTACTAATATCCGGCATGATAACAAGTTAAACTATTACGAGGTGCTATGCTTACTTGAACTTCGACTTTCTATAAGATGATGTACATCATTTCACTCTGTGTCAAATGATAATACACTCTTGAAATTAACTAAGCCACATTCGATTTTGTTTTTGGCAAAAAAAGGATTTTTAACTGTCCGCGGAGAAAAAAAAATACTCAACCCTGACTGACATCCTCATCTAAATTTTTTTCATGCAATTTACTCCTGGCTTTTGTTTCGTTAACTGTTGTCATTACAAGATTGTGCTGTCGTTTAATTCTTTCGCAAGTCCTTAAAAGGACTACGACTTTTTGCTTTTTTTTTCCAGGAAGCATCTGGCCTAGTCTAAACGCTGTGTTAGTTCGAATCCACATCGAACCAAAAGTAAAGAAAGCAAGCACTTGCTTTTTTTAACACGGTTTTAGCCAGACTTCACTTGTACGAGAATCATGCCCATAATGCGGCTAGTACTTTCTGTATGATCACGCGCTGATTTAACTTTGTTTTTATTATCCTTGTTCATATTCAGCGGAACAAAAAAGCAGCAGCACGGCAGAGAATACTAAAACCCTTTCAGCTTCTAGGAAACATGACCATAATCTAAAGCGACATTTTCGGCAAACACCCAAAGGATTCATCCACACCGTGAAGAACAGAAAACTCTCTGCTTCAACATCGACGATACATGTCAGGCGTAAACCGCGGACAAACCCTAAAGAAAACCTACAGTTCAAAGGAATGCCTGCTAAAGAGAAGGACATGACAGCTAGGCAACTCAGCTTTGAGGAACTTCTTAATGATGATTCCTTCTGGAACACTTGATCTGCCAAGCCCGTGATTTTGTAATCGCGTGATGCCGAATTAGTCTCAGCTTTCTTGAACATCATTCTTACCAAACAGGTCATTTAATTCGCGCGTGTTTCGTATCGGCAGTGAACGATTTTTCAATTGCCACGAGAGTATGAAGGCGAAAGCCGCAGCAAGCGAGCGACTAAGGGAAGCGAGGGAGTGAGAGGAGCGAACAGCGAAGCTACCGCTCCCTCCTGGGATTTAACATCTTTTCCGAGTAACAGGAAACGAATCCACTCAAAACCCCCAACTCGAGAACCTGCTCGCAGGCTATTTACTTAGCAACGCTGTGACTTGCTATCTTAGAGGTTACTTTCTTCCTTGTTTAAGCCGGTCAGCATCGTCTCAGCAGGCTTTGTTCCATATTGTTCCAGTGTGGGGACTTACCATGACGAGTGCAGCTCAGTGAACGATTTTTATGTCTTAAACGTTTAGTCCATTCCAAGCAAAGCATTTTCTTTGGTTTCTTGGTCCTTTTAGTTTTGACACTTTTGTAGTATTCCTGATCACAGGAATACTACAAAACTTTGCTTAGTTGTCACCAATAATTTGTTTGACAACGCAGATTCCTAAAGTTGAAAATGATATTGAGATTGAAATAAAATGCATGAGACTTGATTGAAGTCACTTTAGGAGTCTGTTGTCATATGGTCAAGTAATACCTAAATGATTCTACAACAAAATACCTATTTCTTTCTACAATGACGCTTAAATATTATGTTGTTTGTACACAATATTTCACCCTTAGTAGTACTCGTACAAAAGCGACGCCCCAAAGCAAATCAGAACAAAGGTATTAATAAAGCAAGTCATGATTTCTCAATACTCTTTGCAAGAGCAGTTTTTTAAGTTTGAAAATCACCTGAGCGCGTTCGTTTGGTCGTATTTCTGAATAACAATATTAAAAATTTTTGTTACAAATCTCTTTTACCGTAATTTTTGGACTTTCAGGATAATCTCTAGATATTGTAATGCAATAAATTTTTAGAGTTAATTCCATTTATTCTTAACGCGGAATACAGTCAATCGAACTCGCCCTTAAATACGAAAAGGAAAATTATTCATTAAAATATTATTTAGGAAACCGAACATATTCTTCAAGTGTATAGAAGAAAGGCAAACCCAAAAAATATAGTTTTACTAATTATATTTATTGAATATATATTATCTATTTCGCGGTTTCGTAAAAACGCTTGCATGGTTTGATATTTATTGAAAGGTACAACTTACGATGCTATTAAAAGTTTATTTGTGAAAACATTATACTTAGTATTTTTATCTGTGTTTCGTTCGCCTTCTTGAAAGAAAAGGCCAAAACATCTTTTTTGAACGGACCCATGTGTATACATATATGAAAGCATGAAACAAACAATTGTTTGAAGTAACTTCAGGTCAACTTTGATCATGTCCAATGACGAGTGTAATGTTTGTAGAACACGACAAGAAATTCAACAGCGAAGCAGTTTGACGTCGTTCGCTTAGTTGTTGTTTTCTAGAAAACGCTACATAAAGTTTTTAAGTGCGTAAATGAAATAGAGGCAAATAGGTGCGGTTACACACACCACGGTAAAAGACATTTCCCACGTAAATGAGGCCGTGGTGAATTTTGACGTGGGTTTAGTTTACCATGGTAACATGTGGCTACACATGAATTAATTCCCAAGTTAATTCAGCCGCTTTTATGGTAACCTGAGATCAGGCGTCTTTTTTTTTTTTTTTTTTTTTTTTTGACTTCTTTGGCTCGAGAGGGAAAAAAAAATAACGCCTGATACATTTATTTAACAAGCAGTCAACCGCCCCCTAATTTACATAATCTAACGTTTGCTTGACCTGTCATGTTTTTAGCCAATAAGCGTTTACCAAACGGGAATCAAATTTTGGCGCGAATAATGTCTCATTTGAAATCAGTTTTAGGGGAAAAAAAAATGTTTAAGTACGTCCGTGTTCAGATGGCGCTTCGTAAAAAAAAAAAAAAAAATGTGTTGTTTTTGTGATGAAATACTGCTAGCTGGAGCTGTCGTACCTTTGTGAATAGCTACAAATAATAAAGAATTTACTGGTTAAAGCTCGTTGACTTCGTTCTGTACTACGAAAGCAGTGGAAAAAAAATTAGGCTGAAGCACCATATTTCACGAACTGAAAGGTGTTGTGAAAGCGAAGATCGCTCACAATAATTCGCAGCATGATTTCTGAAGGAGGAAATACAGTCAAACCAGGTCAAGATTCCATTCATGAATTGATTATTTGAAAAGTGAACCCGTTTGTCGCTTCTGTAACTTGTAGCCGGTATCAAATTGCATTCAAATGATCGGTGAAGTTTTGACTGCAACTGTTTTGGTATACGATGAGATGGTAAATATTTCAATGGATGAAACTTCTATTTAGGCATTCTTCAAATTCAAGAAAACTGAGCGGGCAGAAATTTCATAACGAACTCGCGTGTGTATTCACTGCTTATCACGCAAGCAAAAATGCAGACTGAAATCAACAACAACTAACGGATGGCGTCATTTTGGCCAATCGGAACAGCGCAAATCATCCGCATTGTTTCCTATCCAATCAGAAAAAAGTCCAGATTCTGGCATTTTTACATGTGATCCGACAAAGAAATGTATCATGCCCTCTTCCCGTCAGAGACATAAAGGGATAATAGGGAGAGGGCATGATCTCAGGCTACTTTTATGGCCTCATTCGCGCTATCGAGGTAATAATCGCCGTCGATGACGGCAGTATTTCATGTTAGAGCGGTTTTCACTTGACTGTCGTAAAACCAAAACCAAAGTAAATACACTAGCCAACCAAAGGGCGTAGTAAAACCAAAACCAAACCAATTCCTCAATTACTTTCGACAGTCAAGTGAAAACCGCTCTATGTTGAAAATTTACGTAGAGTTTAGCTGAAATTTCAAATGGTTTGTTAGTCCTGATAATTTAGCGAAGGTATATAGCATTTTTTTTTTAATCTTGACCTTCGATTCCATCTTACAGTTCAGCTGGATCCCATTGTTCGATTACATGCCAGGAATAGAACAATTTTTGGGGGGTGGAAATATCTTTCCTAAATCTAGCCCAACAAACCAATTCAATCGATCTCTTATTTCTCTCAATCACGCAAAAAAAAAAAAGAGAAAAACAAAATATTTTTTGGCGGTTTCATGTTGTCAAATGAAGAAACTTGATTGGCTCTCTTGCCTTGGGAATCTAAAAACCCTGCTTGCTACTTACCACGTTAAATGTCTGGCCGGTTTCTTTCTTCTTTTTGACGTAACCATGGATATTTTCCATGGTAAATTTACTTCGGGAAAGCCCGGTCACACGCACCACGCCAAGTTACCGCAGTAAAAGGGTCATTTACCACGGTAAAAGTGTCCCGTGTAACCGCACCTAATGTATGTAAAAGTAAAAGTTGAACACGCGGGCCTTTGATACATTTCTTCTATTTTTATTAAACAGTAGAGTAAAATTTACGTGCGTACGCACTTAAAAACTTTGCGACCGTCGAAATCCACCTTAACCGTGGCATTTTTCTTTTTGCGATTGTTGCCTTTTGAAATTCTCAAACTTTCTGCTATTTCAACTTGATTCAATAATCGCTTAAAGACCTGGGTACTTGCCTGAACTCTTGCCTGAAACAGTTCCATCGGTTTTTTGTCTGCGTCCTTTTTTAGAGGCGTTGCTTAAAAGTCTTGTTTTGAATCGTAACGTTTTAGTTTTGACCAGAAGTCGACGTGTCTTTTAAGCACATGACGCCATAATACTTAGATGACGTCGTGTGAAACAGGGTAAATGAGCGCGAGCCTTGGAACAAACGCGTTTTGGCAGGGATTAAAGCAAAGCGTGTTTGTTCCAAACAGCAAAAACGATCATACATGTTTATGGTAAGAGTAAAGCCATGGAGTCTTAAAAGCGTAACTTCATCGTTTTTGTATGAAAGAGGAACCGAGTTTAAAATGGAAGTACTTGCACGTGTTCAAGACCAAAAATAAAGAGCGTTTTTGCAATAAAACTCGGAAATCCCATCAAAAAAATGTTTCCTCGTTTCAGTCACCGGCAGTCATCATGAGCTGCGATCGTGAAATTAAATGATATGGTCAAACCATGTTAATATGAACACTGAGGGGGCCATGGGGAGTGTCCGTATTAAGCGGGTCGTGTTATTTAACTCAAAAAACACCTTTGCCTAGAACATAATTCTAAAAAAATAAAAAAGCACAGTGCTATCGTTAAATTAGACATCTCTAACCTTCACAAAGAGCTACAAAGCCACCATTCTGCTGACTAAATCCACGGAAACACTAACAAATCGCACATCTATACATAACTGTGCGTTCTCTGGAAAACTCGTTTGATGCCAAAATAGTCTGAAATTGACGTTTAGAAATGATCGTATCTGGTGTGTGGTAGGGCTGGGGTTATCGACATGCTATCAACTGAAGGCTTTTTTTACCTTCAGAAAGGAAAGTTCTACTATAGCACACTGTTTATAATACGGACCATGACATGTTTACAGAAAAGTAGGCTCGAAAAAAAGTTGGAATCTTTAACCACACTGATGGTTTAACCCCTTTGGAAATAAGAAAATTTTTCGACTAAAGTAAAATGACCTTTTTTATCGTCTAAAAAACCTTCCTTCAAGAAAACAACTTTACAGACGACAAATTAAAGGTCTTTTTTACAGAAAAATAGGGTCGAAACTGATATTTGGAATTTTTGACCAGAATCATAGGTTAACCCTTTGGAAAGATGCATATTTTTCGACAACAGTAAAATGACATTTTCATCGTCTAAATAGCCTCCTTTTGAGAAAACATCATCATCAAACTACAAAACCAAGGTCTCTTTTACAAAAAAGCAGGCTCAAAAGATATTTGAAATTTTTCACCAGAATCATGGAAAAATGGAAATTGGAAAAATACAAATTTTTCGACTATAAGAAAATGACATTTTTATCGTCTAAATAGCCTCCGTTTGAGAAAACAACATCGTCAGACGACAAAAGCATGGTCTCTTAAACAATAAAGAAGACTCGAAGGATATTTCAATTTTTTTACGAGAGTCACGGGTTAACCGCTTTAGAAATATGCAAATTTTTCGACTATAGTAAAATTAAAATGACATTTTTATGGTCTGAAAAGTCTCCTTTTGAGAAGACTACAAAACCAAGGTCTCTTTTACAGAAAAGTAGGCTCGAAAGAAATGTGGAATTTTTTACCAGAATCATGGTTTAACCTCTTTGGAAATATGCAAATTTTTTGACTATAGTCAAGTGACACTTTTATCGTCTAAGCAGCCTCTCTTTGCAAATTTTTCGACTATACTTAAATAACCTTTTTTTCGTCTAAAAAGCCTCCTGTTGAGAAAAGAAGATCAGAAGACGACAAAACCAAGGTCTCCTTTACAAAAAAGTACGCTCAAATGATATTTGTAATTTTTGACCAGAATCATGATTTGGAAAATGCAATTTTTTCGATTATTGTAAAATGTCATTTCTATCGTCTAAACAGCCTCCTTTTGAGAAAACAACGTCATTAAACGACAAAACCAATGTCTATTTTACAGAAAAGTTGGCTCGAAGGATATTTGAAATTTTTTAACAGAATCATGCTTTAACCCCTTTGGAAATATGCACATTTTTTCGACTACAGTAAAACGACTTTTTTGTCGTCTAAAAAGCCTCCTTTTGAGAAAACAACATCATCAGACGACAAAACCAAAGTCTCTTTTACAGAAAGTTGGCTTGAAAGATATTTGGAATATTTAACCAGAATCATGGTTTAATCCCTTTGGGAATATGCAAATTTTTCGACTATAGTAAAATGGCATTTTTATCGCCTAAAAGGAACCTTGTTGAGAAAACAAGAACATCAAAAGACAAAACCAAAGCCTCTTTTAAAGAAAAGTAGCCTTGAAAGATACGCGGAATTTTCGACCAGAATCATGGGTTAACCCCCTTGGAAAGATGCAAAGTTTTTGACTAAAGTAAAATGACATTTTTATCGGCTAAAAAGCCTCCTTTTGAGAAAACAACATCATTAAACGACAAAACTAAGGGGTTTCTTTTACAGAAATAAAGGCTAAAGAGATAATTGGAATTTTTGACCAGAATAATGGTTTAACCCCTTAGGAAAAATGCAAATTTTCGACTACAGTGAAACGACTTTTTTGTCGTCTACACATCCTCCTTTTAAGAAAGCAACATCATCAGACGACAACACAAAGGCCTCTTTTACACAAAAGTAGCTTTGAAAGGATGTTTGGAATTTTTGACCAGAATCATTGCTTATGCTTTTTAGAAATATACAAATTTTTCGACAATAGTAAAATGACATTTCTGTCGTCTAAATAGCCTTCATTTGAGAAAACAACGTCATCAAACGACAAAATTATGGTCTCTGTTACAGAAACGTAAGCTCGAAGGATCTTTGGAATTTTTTACCAGAATCATGGTTTAACCCGTTTAGAAATAAGCAAATTCTTTGGCTATAGTAAAATGACATTTCTATTGTCTAGAAAGCCTCCTTTTGAGAAAACACGATCATCAAACCACAAAACAAAGGTCTCCTTTACAGGAAAGTAGGCTTTAAGGATATTTGGAATTTTCGACCAGACTCATTGCTTATGCTTTTTAGAAATATCCAAATTTTTCCACTATAGTTAAAATGACATTTTGCTCGTCTAAAAAGCCTCCTTTTGAGAAAACTACATCATTAAACTAACAACCAAAGTCTTTTTTTACAAAAAAGTACGCTCGAAGGATATTTGGAATTTTTGACCAGAATCATGGGTTAACCCCTTTGGAAATATGCAAATTTTTTCGACTACACTAATGTTACATTTTTACGGCCCAAAAGCTTCTTTTTGAGGAAAAAAGGTCATCAAACGACAAAACCAAGATGCATTACCATACCCAAATACAAAAGAAAAACAAATATTACGTGAGATAAAAAGAAGTAACTGCAACATATTAATCCGGGAAAAGTAGTGGGCCCAAAACGGAACCCTGCGGTACTCCAGATGTCACAGTTAACCAGTCAGAAAATGCACCATCCAAGACAACGCGCTGTTATCTTTTCGACAGGTAGCTTGCGAACCACTGTAGGGCAGAGCATGACACGCCATACTGCTGAAGTTTGGTCACTTACAGGTGGTGAGGCACCTCGGTCGAATGCTTTTGAGAGGTCAAGGTGTATAACGTCAAGTTCCCGGCCTCCCGCCATCAAGTACAGAATTTCATGGTAGACCTACAGTAGTTGTGTGTAACATCGCCTTTAGAAACACCAGCGACCGACACAACGTTTTCACAATTATAATTACACAAACAGTTAAAACCTTGATTGTGCTATACAGTCGGAGTGTGACTTTTCCTTGCGAGTCAAGGGTCAGGGATTAAGAAACTGGCTTCAATTTCAGGCCGCACTCATACCAAGTTAAGAAAGTCAGTAGATTAAATCAGTTTCACCACAACGTTTTAGACCCCATTTTTACCCATTAATTTAGTGGACTTGTGCAATTCAAGGTATAATATTTTATTGTGTATAAATAATCAATTACAATTATATTATAATAATTCCATTGTAATAAGTTCTCATTTTATAAAATTTATAGCTTAAATTACTGCTAATAATGATTATACACCAGACAAAAAGCTCTAACTCGATTTGTTCTCAATTTTTTTATAAATCATGAAGAAACAAAACCATGGAAATCATTGCTGACTACGAGTAGAATGTATGATCGGAAATGCAAACCTTAGCTTTCAGTTTCTTGAAAAGAGAGTCGCATATTTTAGCGCGTATTTTAACACTTCCAAGTTAGTGTGTGGCTCAACTTTCTCCCAGATTTTTTCGTGTTTTCTGATGTTACTTTCTATTCTGTGTGCTTAAGTTTGCTTAACCTTATCTAATCTAGCCGCTGAAACACAACGCACCGGAAGGCAATGTCCCTTCCTAAACAGGATGGGTATAGAGCGTTTTCACTCACGTGGCCAGCATCAATGCTAATTTATTGGAACATAAGAAAGCATTTACATGAGAAAAGACGTCAACTCCCACAGTATTTTCTGTGTACACCGACATGGCCACCGTTTCATTGTTTTGGAACACCAATATGGCTCCCGTGACGTCACGTGAAAACGCTCTATAGGACCTCCTTCATCATATACAACCACTTCTGATCACGTGACTGAACTGAGATCACGTGGCGACAAAAGAGCAAAGTATATTTGCTGAGAGAAGCCCGTGGGATGTGGACAAACACTACAAGGCTACTATAAATGGACCTTTGAGTTAGTTTTGTCTTTTCAAGACGCATTTCTGTCGTCAGTTTTCTCTCTTAACTTTGAATACAACAACTACTGCGTGAACTTTAATATAACTTTCAGCACTATTTCCCCTTCCCTAAAAAAACCGTATGGCAACAATGGTTCCTCATCAAAACTAAAGCGGAACCCCGATATCCTACAGCGAGCCCATTGACAATGGAGAACCCAAATTGACGACACCCTTTACCCCAGTTATCATGAAAGAAATTAACCGAAAAGGACCCCCATATAACAAACCCTGTTACAAAGAACACATTTTCCCCGCCATTCGTAATGTACTTAGTGGAGTCCAATTCGGTCTTTAGTCATACGAGTGATAAACAAAATCGGACGACCGCGTAGAGGGAGTCCGATTTGTTTAATCACGAGTAGTTCCAACGTTTTCCTGTTTCAGGCTTTCCAAACCTGACGACACCCACCGAGTACTGTAGGGTACTTTCCTTTGTGATTATCCATTCTTGATGCAAATATTTAACCCAAAAAAGCTACAGGTTTCCTTCCTTAGAATTCATGATTCCTTTAAAAAATAAGCCCTCTTCTGGGTTGGCTTTGTTATACTCGGGTATATACTGTATGCGCGTTATATGACCATTATAACTACATGCCTGCTAATTTCATTACGTAACTAAGAGACCTCCGTTTTCCCGGTTTGCGCGCTTCTTCTTGCTTTTGTACACGCATCAAATGGAAGCTTAGATTACAACTCCACTACTAACCAGCTCACAAGGAACGAAAAGCTCACTTGTTCGTATCCTGAGAAAAAAAAAACCAACAAACCAGAATTCAATAAAGCGTCTTTTGTTGGGTGAGTATTGAATGTTTTAAAATGTTTGTTTGTTTGATGTCACCTTTGTTTCGCAAAGCATCAATACCTTTGGACGCACGCACCCCAAAAGAAAATACCTATCCTTTGCCGTCCATAACCAAAGTCAGTACTCAGAACTTATCAAAAGGACTTTTGAATTTCCAGGAACCAAAATGTCCACCATTTAAAGGGCCTACGATGACCTGCGTCTTTAAGGACCAACTTAGAGGGTCATTTACATTTTCAAGTAGAGGGGGAGGGGGGGGGGGGCAACCCATTCCAAATTCAAAGTCGTTCACTTATAAAAATTGGGTTGAAATAAGCAAGCCAGAAAACTAAGGACGGAGAAGCCTGTGTATGACGAAGGTTCCTATCTTAGCTCCTCTACAAAGGCATCTTTGTGCCACTGACTTGTGTATACAGCCGAGTGTCTCGACAAAGGTCACCTTGTAGATAGAGGGCAGTTCCAGAGAGGAGACCAACTTTGGAGGAAAAGGGTAGAACATTTTAACATTATAGCACTTTGATAAGCAGCAATCAAGCTTTCTCAATACATTAGAAACAAGATGTTCACACCAACAAGGTAACAAAACAGAGCGAGTAATGTACATCGGTACACCTGTTTGAACATCATCTGCTCTCCAATGGCGTAGCAGGGCAGTTGAGACGCACTGTTTTGGCCGTTGCCATGAGGTTCAAAAAGCGAATGGATGGATGTACGCTAGGACTGAAAGTTGTCCAGAGGGGGCGTTTCAAAGTCAAGGTTAAGAGGCAGTCTCCCTAAAAGCGGTCCACTCGATTTCGCGACAAAAAATACTTTTCCTTTATTTTTTGTCGGTGAAGAGGCTTTAGTAGGTGTATACTAAAATCGCTATTTTTGTTTGCAAATTCTTATTCTTAGCTCTGCTACAAGCCAAAAACGAATTGAGTCCGTCCCGGCTTCTCAGAGAGTGTTTCGAAGACTAAAATTGATGGATTTTGAAAAACGCGTTGCAAACAAACGAATGCCAGCACAAAAAATCTGTTCGATTCAGTTTTTCAAGTTAACCTTCGATAGTTCACAGGCTAAATAAAAATATCTTTGATCAAAACATGTTCAAGTTACAGTGGTTCAAAAAATACCTATTTTGCAGGCTTAATCCAAACCCTGAAAGTAAGGAAGATTTGAGGAAAAATATCTCAAAAGTTGCGGCCTAAATCTGGTTTAAAAATCATATCAAAGTAAAGTTTTAAGCTTATTTTTTTGGTTTATAGGCTCAGACTTGCGGGTATCTTCTGGGATTGCAACCAACAGTTGATTATAATCTGCCATTTTGCGTATTTGCATAATTACTGGCCGTGTCAGATGTCATGATTGTACAGGGTAAAAGTTCCATGAAATTGCCTCTTTTGACACTTGAATTCGTCTCCGGCCTCTAAAAGAAAGTAATTAAGCTGCTTTAAGTACTTTTGAATCGAAAGAGATATACTAACAGGGATGGTCATGCATGTTACTGATAGCCACGATCAACTGGCGGGCGCCGTCGTCTTGTAACTACCTGCACTGAACAGTAAACAATGTTTTTAATAGAATTCTCGAGATCAGAAGTTGATCCAAGCGCTCTAAGTAATGAAAATAAATATCACTACCCCGGGATACAAAACATGTACAAGAAAGGCAACGTAGAATTTTAAGTTCTTTCCGCAATTTAAGAGTGAATTTCACTGCGGTGCATAAAAGTTCATAAATTATAGTAATAATCAAGCTGTTTAAAAACGTTTGACGCACAACAAAAACAATTAGTCCTCTACGGTCTTATCTGTTCTCGGTAAATAAGACGCTTACCTTTACTTTAGATTCTTGATGGAAGAATTCTATCCAGGCAGCTGAAGTTATGCAGTTTCGTTAATTTTCAAAATGAAATCATAGCGTGATAGTGTCACGTAATGTTATGGTCACGTGGCTACGTAACCCGTCGGCGGCCAAAATCTTTGTGATAAAAAGCCCTATTTGAATGAGTTTTTCCTCCTTAAATTGCACAAAAAACGTATCTCACCAAGGAATTTGTATTGGTAATGAATCACTATTTTCACGGCATGGACTCCGCCCTTCCATATTTTCAGGCCCGGCGCGCATAGAGAGGGTGAGGGTGGGGGACGTGGGATACCAATATACCCGCTTTTGTCCACATAAGATACCAATAGAGCTAAAGATTTGTAAAACTTTTGATACCGAATGCCTGAAATTACCTTGAAAAAGAATACTATATACCTAAATAAGGTATTTCCCGACTGAGACAGGCCGTCCAACCTTTTTTATTTATCCCAGAATCTAGTATTAGCGTCCAAGGACAAGGAGCGAGTCGCTACGGGCGGGATAAGGCGGCATGCTTCCCCAGAGACGCCCTGATTTCTATAGTGTTCTTAGCCTGCGTAGCAGGCCCTTGGAAATAGTGGACGCAAGAAAGGCTACGTGTTCTGAGAGAACAATTTAAGTAAAAGATGTGGTTAAATCGACTGAAGAATACTGTGAATATTAAATATTAAATAAACAAATAAAATATATAGATAAATGATCTTTAATCACAGGTGACAATACAGTGCTCATACAGAGCCCACTGCGCCTGTCCTCAACTCTAACGACTCTAGCAAATTGTAAAGCTTCCGGAGGTATATTATCCTTAAAGCTCGCATATTATTAAAGGCAGATGGGCAGGAAGGGCGTTATATCAAGCCACGAAACATTGTACTCTAGGACGGAACGTAAGACAGCGATGCAGATAGCCACAGGTCCACTGCACCAATTTCCTGGGAGATACCTCCCTCCCCGCTGCCTCGAACCTTGTGCGAACGAACTGTTTTGAGTACTTGTTGATCAATTCGTAAAGGGGGTAGCTGAGGGTCCCTTTATGAAACACAACCGTGGCTCTTTACCCTTTTTAGCATTAAGCTTCATCAAGAAAAAGTTTGGGACGTAGATGGAAATTGACAGTGGCACTTCTTAATTTTTCTTGGGCTTAGGTGGCCCATCAGATCCTACAACAAGTACTGGAATATATTCTTCGATATTTTGACACACAGAAAGCCACTTGAACTGGAAGAACGGTACTTCATACACGCTTCATCAAGCAATATTGGTGCAATTTGGAAGAAATCGGGATTATGAGACAGTTTGCTGTAAAACAACACACCCAGATGAACTGTATAACTTTCGGTTCACTGCAGTTCGGTCATGCAAGTCTAATCCGGTAGATTCCCTCTTTTGCCAGCCCATGCGAACTTTTGGTCAGCATATTTTGATCAGTGTGACAACGTATATTTACATAAAAAATTCTGTCTTAATATCAAAAGTTTAGAAAAAAAGATAATTTATATCCTTATCGTGGCACTGAAATTCCGCAAACCTGAACAAAATTGAGCCCAGATACCTGAAAACCCAAAACCCCCGGCCAGACCTCTCTCCTTTAGAACGTCAAAATCGCGTAACCCGTATGTCAACAAGACGTCACATTAAATACTCTACATGGAAACTACAAGACTCCCTGTAGGTGCATTTTTAAAGACTATTATAATTACATCCGTTCTTTGGAAACGTTTTTGTCGTACTACCTATTTTGGCCTCTTATATGGGACTTCTAAGTTGACAGCATAAGGGATTAGAGACCAGGTAGCACAGGCCACCCTACCAGGTTCCTAATCTCAATTGTGCGATTTCACTTCTTTAAGCAACAAACTTGAAAAACAGGAATCAAATTTTGCTCTAAAAATTATGCTTTGCCAAGTCCGAGAAATGAATGCTCATGTGCAACAATTACAATTAGCGAACTGGCAGGTTGGGGCAAAAGGGTTGGTAGGTCACCTCTCTAATCCTTTATACTGTTCCTCAATGTTAGAAATGTACCATATATATATAAGATGAAATGAACGGATAAAAGAGGGTTCAAAAAATGCACCTAAAGCCAACCTTACACCTTGCTGGCATGCTAACGTGATTTTTGAAAACGTTTTAAAGGAAGCGATTAATATAGCTTGCAAGGCGTATTTTGCTGTGCGATCGATTTGAACATTCGATAGACCGAGAGTTGGGGGGGGAGTCAAAAAGTGATTCGAAGGGAGAGGTTGCCTGCCCCTCCTCATCGGGTCGCGCGATAAAAAATAAAAAAAAAAAAACTTTACCAATACAAATTCCTTGGTGTGATACGCATTTTGTGCAATTTAAGGAGGAAAAACTCATTCAATTAGGGCTTTTTTTGTCTGGAGAGAAACAGAAATTTCGTTTGTCACAAAGATTTTGGCCGCCGACGGGTTACGTAGCCACGTGACCATAACATTACGTGACACTATCACGCTATGATTTCATTTTGAAAATTAACGAAACTGCATAACTTCAGCTGCCTGGATAGAATTCTTCCATCAAGAATCTAAAGTAAAGGTAAGCGTCTTATTTACCGAGAACAGATAAGACGGTAAAGGACTAATTGTTTTTGTTGTGCGTCAAACGTTTTTAAACAGCCTGATTATTACTATAATTTATGAACCTTTATGCACCGCGGTGAAATTCACTCTGAAATTGCGGAAAGAACTTAAAATTCTACGTTGCCTTTCTTGTACATGTTTTTTATCCCGGGGTAGTGATATTTATTTTCATTACTTAGAGCGCTTGGATCAACTTCTGATCTCGAGAATTCTATTAAAAACATTGTTTACTGTTCAGTGCAGGTAGTTACAAGACGACGGCGCCCGCCAGTTGATCGTGGTTATCAGTAACATGCATGACCATCCCTGTTAGTATATCTCTTTCGATTCAAAAGTACTTAAAGAAGCTTAATTACTCTCTTTTAGAGGTCGGAGACGAATTCAAGTGTCAAAAGAGGCAATTTCATGGAACTTTTAACCTGTACAATCATGACATCTGACACGGCCAGTAATTATGCAAATACGCAAAATGGCAGATTATAATCTACTGTTGGTTGCAATCCCAGAAGATACCCGCAAGTCTGAGCCTATAAACCAAAAAAATAAGCTTAAAACTTTACTTTGATATGATTTTTAAACCAGATTTAGGCCGCAACTTTTGAGATATTTTCCCTCAAATCTTCCTTACTTTCAGGGTTTGGATTAAGCCTGCAAAATAGGTATTCTTTGAACCACTGTAACTTGAACATGTTTTGATCAAAGATATTTTTATTTAGCCTGTGAACTATCGAAGGTTAACTTGAAAAACTGAATCGAACAGATTTTTTGTGCGGGCATTCGTTTGTTTGCAACGCGCTTTTCAAAATCCATCAATTTTAGTCTTCGAAACACTCTCTGAGAAACCGGGACGGACTCAATTCGTTTTTGGCTTGTAGCAGAGCTAAGAATAAGAATTTGCAAACAAAAATAGCGATTTTAGTATACACCTACTAAAGCCTCTTCACCGACAAAAAATAAAGGAAAAGTATTTTTTGTCGCGAAATCGAGTGGACCGCTTTTAGGGAGACTGCCTCTTAAACTGAGTATAAGTGGAAACAACTACGGAGGCGAGGAGAGGTGATTGCAAGACAAGCAAGGTGAATGGGCTAGGGCATGCAACATTAACAGTTTTACACGCTTTTAATCGACGATTTGATACTGAACTGTTAACAATCACTTACCAAGAGCTATCCGCAGTGTGCATTTCACTCGCGCTGTCATTCGACATCTGATTATTACGGTAGAAGAACGAGCGGCCAACACGAAGCAGGCCAGCACAGAAGAAGCGACCCATCTCCTCAAGCTCTCTTGTTCCCACATGATAACCCTTTGAGAGAAAAAGCAACCCCACCCGTAACTTGACATACCAAAGCACGCTTAATCACTTATTTTATACTTTTAAAAAAGAGGTTCTTAACCAGTAAGAGCCTAGTATTGATATTATCAACTAAGTGACAAGAGAAAGTCACAAATTCCTCTTACTTAAAATACACTGTTACGTCCTTAAACATCACGTTTTAAATTATTCAACTCTTTTTCTCAACTGTTGAGATTCACTTTAAATGGACACAGTTTGCCTAAATCGTAAACAAAGAAATATAAGGTGGTCAAAACGCTCCTCGCTCCAACGCTGTGCCTTGCGTAGTTTTACGTGATAGAAGGTCTAAACAAGCTTGATCAGATTGCGTTCTGCGCATTCCGTTTCTATTTCGTGGACGTCCAAACGAAGCTGTCTATATACGTGCCGTACTTGCTTTGCACGCGTAAAAGCAGCCTGGAGATTAGGACTGCGGGTTCCCCTTGTCACCCGCAAATAGTGCATGTCTAGGATATCTGTTTCCCATGTCACTTGAACAATTGCTTTTTTGGAAGGTATTCTAGCCTGCCCAGATAGTAACCGTCCCTTTTGGATCAACGACATCAGACACGCCTGTTATCTCTGGCTGGAACTTTAAAAACATTAGCGCCGAATAGACCTCGCTCTTTCTTCAAGCAGTTAAGTAGCCAATATGAACACTAAGAGTGCAACCATTGCCCATTTTCTCTTCTCATCCTTTCTCTCTCCTCAATCTTTCTATTTTTTCTTTCCCTTTTCTTCGCTTCTGTGATTTTCATTTTCGCGTTTTATCGGAGGCAAAAACCTGCCTATTGGCCCCTTTCCACTCAAGTGGATATGAATGCAAATTTCGGTACATTCATTTTCAAAAATCCGGCTAGATCTATAATGGTGTGTTTAGATACCAGGTACAAACCTTGTACGGCCCTTGATCACAGCCACTATATGTACTTTCCATTGTGTAGCTTCTCACCACTCCAATCTCTCTCCACACTACAACTCTGGCGGTCGATTCCTTAGACTGCTCTACAATAAAACTACAGCTGCCTAATGAGAACGCTGGTGCGATATTGTGAAGCACGCGAGGTAATGTCTGCAAAAAATAAATAAATAATAGACAACACTGACACGTTAGATTTGAGTGCCGTAATAAGTACATATGGTACTTAGATTTTGTTTAAAGTACGGGAAAACCCCTGGGAAATTGCATTTTACTAAACTTACCCAAGAAACAATTGAAATCCCTGCTTTTGACTTTTTTGGCCAATCAGAAGCAGGGAATTCAGATGCTTCAGAGCAAAAACAAGAATAGCTAACTATAACTGGCTGTAGATTTTAACAATACTCGCCCTATATCCGGGATCTTCGTCCACATCACTCGGATCCATACTACTGGTGGAGTCGGAGCCAGACAGCTCTGCTACACGCTCCCTCACTGAATCCACCAAATCACTTTCAATGTCAGCTGAACTAGATGAACTTGCTGCCAGAGTAGCAGCCGTGCTACAGCCGTACATAAACACGTTTTTCTTACGTGAATGGCCGTGGAAGTCACAATAAACCTACAATCAACAATTACCATCAGTGTTATTACAGGTAATAGAACCGCCTACTTAGCCCACATCGCGAAGGTTTTGCCAAATTTGTAGGACGTACTGTAATACTTATACCGCATTCGCACCAAAGCTGTTTTGTCAAGCGCTGTTTAAAATCGAGGCTGTCTGGATGATTTAGATCGACCACAACTAAAGCCCGTCTTGCTAAAGTCAATTTTCCACAAGCCTGTTTCCGATTTCTATAAACACCCTTTGCTGGCGTAAATACGATGAGTTCTCGAATGAACACGTCTACGATTAACCGTTTTAACGTTTTGACGAGTGATAACTACTTGATCATGTAGGGGAAGTAGACCCCGGTGGTGTGGCCAACCTTTCCTGGGCTGGGTGGGTTATCTATAAGGAGAGATCTTAATATAGGGATAACCTCATGATCCTCCTTGTAATGACTACCTGTAAACAGTGTATGTATGTATCACATTATCAAGGGTTAGCTCACAATAACATAAACCTGGGATCACACCCAACCAACTCACTCCGCCAATCACCAAAATACAAATAGCACAATACAACAATGACAGGAAACTCCAGTCGTTCAGACCGTATTTTCTTGTTTCATGTACTATATCGTCATCGGCTTTTGATCCGTCCGAGGTAGGATTTCGTCTTAATTGGCCAGGTTTAGCCGAATATGACCGTGACCGAATGTTATTTGTAGCTCTGCGTTATTGTTGTCTTTTATATCTAGATTCTCTGCTGTAGACTAATCTTCTGGTTTGTCGTCCTAAGACTGGTGCATATCCTCATTTTCGGTGGAAACACCATATTACGAACCTCTATATAACGAGGTCCTCGGTATAACGAACGATTTTCTTTACCCCAGTAATTACGAAACGTATAAAAAAGAACCTTTAGCTCTTCGTTATATCGAGGTTCCACTGTACAAAATATTGTTAGGCAGTATAAAAATGTATTTTAACGGAATCTCCGTCTTATAAGTGATAGAATACACCACGCAGTTTGTCAAGACCCGCGCATTAGCGAGGTCAAACTCACCAAAGGCGTCTTTTCTATTGACTGGAGATACAGGAGTAAACCCTTCACGTGATATATAGTAGGATGGAGTAGCATGCTAGGATAGATCCAGCGTCTGTTCAAATCATCACCTGATAAAGAGCATCGGTGACTGCAATGCAAGGTTGCATATAGTTAATTACAATTCTTTGTTGTAAGGCTGGCATTTAATTTGTCCTCAACCGCACGCACTCTCATTGGCCACTCCGAAGTCCCATTACATCTAACAATAAAAATGTTTCACGCCAAAAGTCGCTGAGTACTCAGTACACCTGGAGATGACCGACGACCGCTCTTGCGAGTATCTTGTTGATGAATAGCCTCTCCGCAGACGTCCTTTGGGGTTCGTTTGTCACGCATGCGTGACAAACGAACCCCAAAGGACGTCTGCGGGGAGGCTAGTTGATGAATTACATAACAAATTACTTTATGATTAATCTCTAAAGAAACACAAACAACGTGTTTGGCTACTCTAGACAAATTATCTCCTGCGAGTGAGAAAAAAAACAAAAAAGAAGAGAAAGACAGACAACATTGGTGTCCACCGCGAGAGAAAACATTGTAGCGGTACTGAGATTTTCTTCTCTACGCACAACCGCAAATTAAGTATTCTAACATATATCGAGATTGGTATAGTAGCCAATCAAATAGATCAGGCATGCAAGGACCCTTACGAAAACGTAAGACAAAGATGGCGCAATAATAGCCGCGGAGTTTTAAAAGCTTTAAGGTACACCTATTCCTTACCAGCCATTAACAACGCCGTCAATGTTGAGCATGGGAACAATCTTGAAGATAAAAGTTTCCCGAAGATGACGGGCAGTGTAGAAGTTACTCATTAGAAAATCCAACACTCCTGCCATCAAAACAAAACGTACATCAGTTAGGCTGGATTTCCACTGTCGCGTATTTTTTCCGTGCGTACGCACGTAAATTTTAGGCGTGGAAATAAAATAGAAACCAAGTATGGTAGGTCGCGCGTACACGTTAGGGCTGATTTCCACTGTCGCGTTATCTTTATCAGCAGAAACCTAACGCCACCGCTTAGTACAAGGTGCAAGTACTTACTTTAAGGGTGAATTTCCGCTGTCGCGTCATTTTTCCGTGCGTACACACGTTAATTTTACTCGTGTAAATATAATAGAAGCAATGTATGAAAGGTCACACGGAAACGTAACAATTGAGCGAGGTTCATCTTTTAAGGTTGATTTCCACTGACGCGTTTTTGGCTACTCACGTTAACGCACGTAAATAAAATATAGACATGATATAAAGTGTTGAGATTAAACGTGAAGTTGAGCGAGGTTCTACTTTTACGCTTACGAGCGACCTTTCATACATTGCTTCTATTTTATTTGCGAACGTAAATTTTACGCACGTACGCACGTAAGAATTACGGTTTCGGTTGTTAAAACATTTAAGGGGGGATTACCCTAGCACGTTCAAAAGAAAGCCCCCGTTTACAAGAAATAGTTTAACGCCAGGATATGTTGCTAGTGACACTTAATTATATTCTTAATTTACCATGACCTGGCCTGTAACCTCTTAGACCATTATTATGCATGTCAAAAAGGTTGTCCCTCTATAAGGGTTACACTAGAAAGCAGTTAGTGTAATTCTTTCGTCAAAGTAAACCTACTCTCGTGCAAACGAAACACAGAGAAAATAAAGGATTGTCCTCCCTAGGATGGTCACATTCCTTCTATGTAACTAGGGCCTAGGTGCTGGCTGTGAAATTAAGCCGATATTTAAATAAGAGAACTTCCTTAAAAAGTGACAGTGTGGCGCGTGTGTTGCCTAAAGATCTTTCATTCTACCTTAAGTTTAGTCACAAGTTGTAAAAGTTAAGTGATGAACAAACATCTTGACTACTATGCTGCGTATAGATAAGTACAAAAAAACAGATCATGAAATTTTAGAATTTCAAAAATGCACTTTCATTTCATACCTTTCATGACCCAACTCGAATTGCTTTCGCCTGGATGTACCCGACTAGTAAGGAATATATACGGTCTGTTCCCTGTAACACACAAACTACATTTTAACAAACCATGTGTATTGAACACCTATAACTGATATGTCATATATGTCAAGAGGAGTATTGTAGGCGATCGATGTTTGGAATAAAATAGGTGTAAAAAGAAAAATTAAGGCTAATCTCTTAAAAGAACGAAATGAAAGAAACTTAATCAAAGTTAAATAGTTTTAATACAATCCAACATTATGGCTATTATTATACATTCAAGTTGTCGATGAAAGCCAGTAAACACCAAGGCCAGCACACCTAAATAGACAAGCTCAAACAAGCCTCCGGAATAAACACAGACGGCGGCGTTGAAAAGACCTTCCATGTCCTCACCTTTTGACACGGACTCACGACTGGTTACCGAATCTCCCTCGACACTGCTACAAAGGGCGCCTTAAACTTGCCGAGTCTAAGAATGATATTGTAATGGAAGCGTAACCCCATCGTGAACCCTCACCAGTCCACTGGGATGTTTTGTATTGTAGTTTTACGAACGTAATTAAGATGGCCGCATGTTGAACCATAGTGGGTTCCACTGTTTAATAGATCTACACAGAATGAGTTTCTCTCTTCCTTTACATCGATGACAGCGGTGGTCGCGTCCAATAAGGTCGGTCAATCCATTTAAACCTGACGACTTTGAAGACCTAAGCTGGTTGTTTATACGCTCGGAGATTAAAGGCGAGTGCCGTTTCAGATACTAGTTGATGAGCTCAAACGCAAAATAGAACGCCAGCAAAAAAAATTGCAAGCCCAACAAAACACTTAGCTTCTCTAGCCCCTGATGAAGACTAGTTTTGTCTAGTCGAAATATTGCGCACATAAATTTGTAAATTACCAACCCTTAGCTATCTGATCAGCCTTGCCTTCAATTTTAAAATATCATCAGTCGGACACACCAACTCTGAGCTCAAGTGCAGCTACAGGCTCCCTACATCGAAATGACGACTCTTCGAGTGAGCTTTCCGGAGAAAAGTGGTACAGCACGCTAGATTTGGCTTCAGGGGTACTGGCAGGTTCCCGCTAGCAGTGGCAAAGCGGCTTTCTGACTACCTCAGGTCTTTGTGAGTGAGCTTCCATGCCTTTGGATTTACGCAAACACCGTTTGAGAGATATATGGAACTGGCTTTGTCAGGACTCATGTTTGAAACCTACTCAATTTACTTAGATGACGTCAAAGTGTAGGGAAACATTCGTAGGGGAACTGGAACAGCTAGAGGTGCTCCCACAGTTTAGATCTGCTGGACTCAAGCTCAAAACGAGTAAATGGGTACTGTTCCAGAAGAGCGTCACGTAGCTGGGTCATATTGTCTCAACGTGACATAGAGACTGAGCCTGCTAAGGTTGAACGCGTGCGTGATTCGCCAGTGCCAGAGAATGCAACAGAAGAGCTTCTTAGGACTTGCCAGCTACTATCGACGCTGTATTCCTAATTTTGTTCAATTGACCAGACAGCTTCATTAACTAATAACTGAAGGTCATGTTGACTTTGCCTGGACATGTGAGTGCCAGGCGTCATTTGACCTGTTGACGACCTGATCTTCAAAAGCCTTAGTCCTGTTGTAACCAGATTTACAGCCGACACATATGCTAGCAAACATGGTATTGGAGCTGTCTTAAGTCAGGTAAAGGATGGGGTGGAGCATCCGGTTGCGTATGCCAGCCGAATGTTGAATAAAGGAGAGGAATTACTGTCAGTGTGCGACGCAGAAAGAACTGCTTGCCGCATTGGAATTAGTGAAGAATTTCCAAGCGAGCCAAAACTTCTCATATGAACCGACCATGCACCTCTCCGAACTTTGCTAAAGGTCCAGGAACCAGAGGGGCAGCTGGCCAGGCCGATGGAGTTCCGAACCGAGAAGCTTCCACAGTAGCTGAGAGGTTAGTGGGTGAATTTATCTGTCGTTTTGGAATTCCAAGGGCGATATAGAGCGACCAAGCAACTGACTTCCTGACTTCGAGTCCAAAGTTATGTGAGAGACGTGTAAGCTCTTGGACATTGAAAACGAGAAGGACCCCCACATCCACAGTCGCAGGGCTAAGTAGAACGTTGCAATTGAATATTGAGTCAGGATGATTGGGACTTAAAACTTCCCACGGTTCACAGAAGTCGTCAACGATTCCACGGGATGAGAAATTAAAGTGTCACAGGATGTAATTACTGATGTCAGCCCCGAACGCTGTTCCTTCATCAACTGAGTATGCGTTGACCCTACGGCAGGGACTTGCTAGCGCGTACGAGACAGCGCGGCGTCACTCAGGGAATGTGGAAGAGAAGAAGAAGAAGAAGAGAAAATAAAACAAGCGAGTATCCAACAAACCTTTTCGAGTTGGTGACAGCATTTGGCTACACAATGTTCGAAGAAAGGAAGGCAGAAATTCAGTCGACTATTGTCATTACCCTACTTAATGGTGTCCGTTCTATCATACGTAACATACAGCAAACAAAGAGTTTGAGCGGCGAAACCAAAGGAGATTCATACAGATTGTTCAAGCTGTACGGAAAGGACTTAGGAGCGCATGACGGCGAAGCCCGAAGGATGTCTGCTAGTGGGAGGCTTTACCTCGAGCCAGCGTTAAGAAGCTGGGTCTCGAAGGGAGAGGACACTGTAATGTCTGTTGCATCTCCCCTTGATGTTACTGAATATTGAGCCAGCTATATTACAAATTAAGGGATTTTATGCATGCCTATCCCTTCCTTGGGGTCGCCAGTGTTGTTGCATCTAACTGCAACGCATCATACTCGCATGTCGAATTTCGACATAAATACTCCGCTGCGCATCGTTTTTTCAACTCTCTTCTCAGTGTTTCATCTGGTGATGAAACACTGCGTCTCATGCTTGATATATTACATAAAAATTAGGTAAGCGCAAGGCCAGGACTCCATCATTTCGTTAGCACACTCTCACTTAAACACAGAATCGGCTTTGTTTTCTTACTCAGTATTTCAATGGACTTAGCATCTCCTTCTCGAGGCTGCGCAGTAATAGTGATGACGTCACATGGATTTCCTCCTAAGCTGCTGCAGAGCGTCATTCGGCGGTAATAAATATCTTTGGTGTTTAGAGATGACTCCAACCGTGACAAATGACCCTGCAACATGAAACAGACCACGTCAAAATCAAAACAACATTACAACTAACAGAAAACAATATCTTAAGTTGCATCCAAATCAGAGAGCTACGTTAGAGGAGATTAATGAGTGCATTGTTGCACGAACCTACCTGAAGCATCGTAAATGTATACGGATAGTGATAGGCAAAGTAACACACATCATTCGCATGAGGAAATGCAATAGTGAATGTTGAAGTGTAGTAAGTTTTTCCTCCTAGCCCACCGGTTGCCTCGCGGCTTCGAGTAAAGTAATTTCTATAATAACAGACATTGGTTCCTGCTCGAATCCATCCTGCTCGACCTTCTTGAGCTTCTATTGTAGAATACATGACCGGCTGCATTCCTAAAAGAAAGCAAAAATGTGCATCTAGGTAAAGAAACCTACACCCTGTTGCTCAGAGACAAGGCGACAAAGCTGATGGACAAACGGGTTATAGGTTTCGCGGCAACCATAAACGTTTGCCGAAAAGAAATTCAGGAAAGTTTTCTACAGGTCGTACCAGCCCGCCGTTCATTGTGAATGGTTTTACACAAACAGTATATTACTTTCTAGTGATGTATAAGGTGCGGCTTTCTCTTACCGAAATTAAACTGACTATTTATCTTCTCACAATTGACGATGTTGAATTTGTAAGGAATTTCAGCGTTCATATTGCTGACCTGAAAACAAAGCAAAGCCAATTTTTAAGCTATTTGAAAACTTTTAGCTCCTAAAACTAAGCTTCAAGAAATGAGATGTAGGTGGGATGAGCTGTCTAGACCCTGGAACCTTTAGCTTACACCAGACCAAGTTCTGCTGAATTTTGCCACCCAATACTAATACTACACTAAACTGCCAACTGTTTCTCTAGTCTTACCTAAAATCGTCAACCCACTGAACATGTTCCTAGAAAATGATGACCTACAATACTCTTCACAGCGGCACATACCTATCAAGCATAAAGATGGTCTAGACCACCCCTCTCGGGGGGGACTCTGTGACATTCCGCCGCACGCGAGAAAAAAAACCTCTGGTACCCAGGGTACGCAGCTGACTCTAAAAGAGCATGCGAGTAACACTGGATTTGCCCTTCGAACAACTCGACCCAAATCTTAGAACATTAAGCAACCAAAGACACCCACCTCGAAGTAAAACCATTGGTGATGGTGCTTACAGTTGATGTCCGGATTCAGGACCAAATCATATTCGTAATCACGCACCTAAAAGAGTACGCTGTAGTGTAAGATGCTGAGCCTGAAATGTGCTACACACATCGATCTCTATTTAGCTCATATGTGACTCTGTCAACCAATTAGGTTAGAGAATTTTGTTAGAGTTACGCCTAAGGTTAAATATTGATGCTAAATGCGAGGGCAAAAGACATCTTTGTATCAGGAGATGTTGTAGGTAGAATCGATCTGAGGTTAACTCAGTATTTAACGTACTTTGATCCAGAATTTCCCCCGTTTTCAAGCCTTTATTATTCATAGGAGACAAAGAAAATTCGGATTTAACCCGAGAACAGATTTTGCCTTTCACAGAGGTATGTTGGCCTCCTTTCAAACTACCGAAAGGGTCGATAATTTGTAATTTGTTGTTTGATTAAAGGGGCTGCGTCATGGCTGTCTGGTTCATTTTGTTAATAATGCCAATTACGCGTCCTTATTCGCTATGAAACTTGAGAAATTACATGCTTATAAAAAATCACAGCTTCGTGTCAAACATGTGTCTCGCAAGCATTATATCAAACGTCACAAACAACAAAAACGAACTTTGAAAACCTGTTAGACAATCTCGTTCCCAAGGTTCTCTCCTAGTAGGAGAGAGAACCTGGGAACGAGTTGACTGTTAGACTGACAAGGTTTCAAAAACTACAATTGCAATCCGTTTTTATCTTCGTCAATTTTGTCCATCCGTGGCTCGTTTGTATTTCCGGTGTTACTTACACCTTTTTTGAATGTTTTGAGCCCTTATTTTTATGTTCCACTAAGTTTGGTGGCAGTTTCTACTATTTAAATTTTGACAAATTTTGTGACACAGCTCCTTTAAGCTTACCAGTCAGGTGTTCTGCTGAAACGGATGGCACGCTCTTTTACTGGTCGACAAATCCAAAACGTGGAAGAAAATTTACTGGACTTTAATTTTCTCTTACAAAACGCAGGGAATGATTGATGAATGAAATGAAACTGAGGAAACTCGTAAAATTCTTGGGTCCTGCAACTAATGCATATCTTTTGGTTCTTTTGCCATTTGGAGCTGTACCTGTGTGTAGCTTCTAGAACCTACACGTCAGCTATAACCAGTCAATATCATATATGACAATTCTTCATTTAAATTCTAAATTGTTAATGCAGGTTCATAACGTAAATGCTGCAGTTATTTTTTTATCACATGTAATTTTTTGTTTTTCCTTTGTTTTTGATTATGGTAATGTACGGTAATGTATGCTAATGAAGTTGAAACAAAGGAAAAATAAAAATTACCTGAGATAAAAAAATCTACGACAACATACACACCAAATTCTGACCTGAATAGCTTTTCGAAGATTCCCACTTTCAAACCTTGACTCAAACTTCAGAGGTTTGGCTGTCTCTTCAGGAGATCTTTCACCCTCCGATATACTGTAATAAGAACAAGGTCAACCGACTTACAGCTAACACTGTATACACATCCAAAGGATTTCGTTCAAACTAAAACATTAGAGCTCCATTATTGTAATGAGTGTCTCCCACATTTATAACAATAACAGTGGCCAGGTATTTGAAAGGTTAAGCATCACGTTTACGTCAAACGGCAAACACGAATTTGTACCACGTGACCAAGTTTCCTCTTTACTTGTCGATTGCTGTTCATTATTCCCACACCTAAATTAGTAGTTTCACGACATTTTTTTCCACACGAATTGTTTTGAGCTGTTTTTATTTGTTCATTTTCTATTTTGAGAAATTCTCAACATGAAGCCAGGGTTGTCACTAGGATTTTAAGTTGCCGGGTAAACAAAAAAAGAAGGCGGGGAATTAATCAGCTAAGGGTTTCTTTTGGCTCCATTTTTCTTCTATTTTCCTTTCAAAGTAGTCGGGGGCCACGTTCATAGTAGCCGCGGGAAAGCTCCGGCCCCCGCCTCTTAATGACAGCCCTGATGAAGCTTAAACTCTCTATTACCGTATAACGTATTTCAGTATGCCGAGGTACGACAAACCTGGAGTTGCTAGGTTTACGGGCGTGTCCAAGCTTGAGCTGCTCCTTAGCTACCGCTAACAAACAGTTATCGTCCGCATCGGGCTCCTGCTGCTTCATTATTAGATCCAAGTCAAAAACGACTTTGTTTATGACTCTTTGAGGATGAATTTGACGCTCAATATCCCTGAAGATCATAGTTCTGGAAAAAGGGGGAAAACAGAATGCGTTGCAAACTGGGTTCTCATTCCAAATTCCAGGAAATTAGCAAGAGTAAAATAAAAAATTAAAGGTTCTCTATTGGGTTAATTTCCGAAAGAAAATAATTCATAGCCTTAATTCTTCCACTGCATTCTACGCCCCAGTCACACAATAAATTATTCGCTCCAAATTCCAGACGTTTTCCCGGAATGGTGGAAAAGACAGACATTCTCCGAGGGTCTTAAAAGGCCCTGGACCCCGTGGAGAAAATTTTTAATTTTCAATTACGCGGTAAAATGAACCCTGCGTGTTAGCATCGAAAGAGCTGAGCACGTAAGGTTAAACAAATATCCATGAGTCCGCGCTGGATGCGTGGTGAAAGAGAGACGAAACTTTACGGATACGAACAATTTAATAATCATCCCTTCAGAGCACTCCAAGCTGCGACCGTTTGGGTCGCCATGGCGTATAAAAATGGCAACTAAAATTACATTGAAAGTGGCCAATTAGGCGACGCGTTTTCGGCGTAGAAACGTGAGAAGCTGTAGCGTTTTAATTAATAAATGGTTACAGTAAGATGGAAACATTTGCATGGCATTTTGTAACAGACCCTTATCTGTGTTTTACCAGGTCAGGTCACCAGCTGGACTAAAGTGTTCACTTTGAGAAAGTTCGCCTCTATTAATACATTATGATAAACATCATTTCAAGCTACATGCCTACGTTTAGTGGACTATAGGCGACTCGCATACCTCTGAAGCCCTGTTTTCTTCTGTCCCAAAGGTTCAGGTTCAACTGGTGGGTAGTGACCATAAATATCAGGAGCGGGTGTCTTGATAATTGGCAGGACGCTCTTGCACTGTCCGTAGTTATCAGCAGTGGGATTGTCATCTGAGTAAGGTCTTTCGTCTTCTGTAAGCTCTTCCTGTGTTGCTGTGCCTTGCGTCATCGTTTCACTCGCTTTTGAATGGTTAGGTGGACTTTGGGAGATTGAAACACAAAATAAGAAAAATCAAGGTTGGAGTAGCTTTTTTCTTCATCTCGCCTGAGTAAAGTGGGTACCCTGTGAGCAGAGGTTTCTTTCCCGTATGGCGTTTTAGCTTTCACGAAGTCGTTCTCGTCACTAGTCAGTCGCGTAGTTGGTTTGGACGGTCTCAAAAAAATTTTTTCCGGCCCTTTGGTCCTCAGTTTGGTCTAAAAATAAAGGTGGGGCGGACCCCTCTCCTGGATCCGCCACTGATTACTTATGAACCATGCATGCAATCGCATGTTGGCTACGTACACACGGTAACGGATAAATAGCTGAAAAAGTTGACCGAACACTTCGTTAACACGGGACCGTTCAATATTTATTTACACGGGCCATTGAACGTCTAGACGTCTTACTTTTCTTTATTTCGTATGAACGGAACACCTAAACGCTCAAATTTTCAACGGGTCGTCCGGGGCGTAAGAACGTAGCCGTGTAAGGTGGGTAGTGCTACAGTTGTACAATTTAATTTAAAGATGGAGCGATTTTCGTATGACCTTGAAATGAAAATGCGCGAACAAAACAGAAACAACAAAAGAACGGAAATAGAGGGATTTGATTGGTTAATCGAACGGATACCAACGCGTGTGGCTCTTGGTTGATTAAGCGAACGCTCGGGTGGAAAAACTTCACGCCCGAGAACTTTCTAGAACTCAACCGATACTTCGCTTTGACGTCATACTGCAAAGGACTGGCCAATCGAACTATGCCTTCTCCATATTAAGGTTTTCTTTCGCGGTAAAACGAAGAGGCCGTGTTTTGATCATCCATTGGCTGGTAAAACAAATAACAAACTTTTACCGAAACCATTCTTCAAGGTCATACGAAAATCGATATAGCTCTTCACTTCAGATTATACAAGTATATAACACACCTATCAAAATTCATGGAATCAAGCTGGTTTGACAAGCAGTTTGGTCCCGTTGGTGAGCATGATAGCGGCTCCTCAGCACCTGTTGGTATCACGATTGGATATGATACAAATGTCTCATCATCCTCCATAGGTTCTGCAGTCTCAACCTGTCAAATCAACAGCCAGTGAGTGAATGGATGATTCATTCGAGTTTAAATAGAGAGTAGCCACCGATGACCGAAGAAATACTATTCCCCCTTGAATTGAAGCTCGGAATGAAGTATTAAATTAAAGAAAGGCTTTGTAACATTCAAGTTCAAATTCAATTTGATGGACTTGAACATATGTTTTACCTCAATGGTATTCACCCACTAGCTGGGTTACGGATTGAAGGAATGATTGACTGACTAACAGACTGATTGACTGATTGATTGATTCACTGACTGACTTAGTGACTGAATGACTGACTGGTTGATTGACTCACAGAATGTTCAATGACTGACTGCCTCAGTGACTGATGGACTTACTGACCATTGACAGATGATTGATTGATTACTGTTTGACTGATTTACTGACAATGACTGACTGACTGGCTGACTGACTAGGTGATTGATTCACTTGCTAACTGGCCAACTGCTTAATTGACATGCTGACTAGTCATGTTACAGACTTACGCATTGTCTTTGTAAATGGATAACTTAAATTGACTAACTCGATAAAAGAATTGAGCAACAGCCAACTCGCATGACTGACGGAGAGGGCCAAGACCAACAGCAGCAAGGAACAACTTTTTTCAACATTACTGACCTCCCATTATCTATTCTCACGGCATACATAATTGGCCCGTGACGCGGGAAATCGTATTGTGCCTGCACGTTGAAGGCATGATGCACTACCGCCCTTGCTTAGAACTGCTCGGTGTTGGCCGACTCTTGGCCAGTTCAACAAAGTTTAGTGGAAACGACTTCAAAGTATCGCCCCTCCCACCTCCCCTGGTGGCGGTTGACGTCGCGTACCCTCATTATCCGGCACTGACCTGTTCGCCAACGTCTTTAAAAGTCGTTTCGCTCACGTGTTAGGTCAGTTCCCTATATTCTTTCGCCTAATCAGTACCCACCTGAAATTCAAACAGCTCTGGAAAGAACTTTTCATACATAACCAAATCATCTCTTGGCTTTGGTTTGTTCTCCTTGGGTGCTTTGCTCCCAGGTTTTGTAGTTTTTCCACTATCAGACATTTCTTTGTCATCTTGACTGGTGCTACCACTTTCATCATCATCTTCTTCAGATTCAATCTCTGACGATTCACCTGGTTTGAAAAAATCAAATTACAGAATGGTGAATGTGGTTCTGTTTGTTGAAAACGATTGTTTTTCTACATTTCTTATAATCCGACGTCTCTGACAAAACACCGGAACATTGACAATAATAGCCTTAGGCCCTCGAAATCGGTCTTTTAAATAAATTTTGTAAATCTAAACGTTTCTGTGAAATTAAGTGCCTATAAAGATAAGGAGCAACAAGGAAAGTCAAGTGACACCAAAAAATGTAATGTACCCAGATATTTTTTAATCCGCAAATTTTTCTTTGTGGCTTCAGAAACTTCCACGTCCACACGTGTACCCGGGACTCCTCTGGGAATATTGGCATCAGAGTATGCGTCGTTAGGCGCGCAAAATTCGTATCTAGAATTATGGCAGAATCAGCCCAGAAATCAAAGAAAAATGCGAAGAGCAAGGTTGACTCCTCGACGAGTAACAGAGAGAACCTGGGAACGAGGTTGCCATCCTAAATTAATACAGTATTCAGGGTAATGAACTGGCCCCGGGTGTTCAAAAGCTGGATAGCGCTATTCACCGGATAAATCGCTCTCCAATGGATAAGTATCTGGGAAACCAATTGCTTTACTATCCAGTGGATAGAGATTTATCCGATGGATAGCGTTATCCACCTTTTGAACAACTGGGGCCTGGGCTCTATCTTGTTACGTCACACGATAAAAAATATCCGGATTTAGCGTCCACACGATTTCGGATTCAGAGCGTATTCAAAAATTTCCACTCTGGAGAGCGGATTCAAATAGTTGCGGATTCGTATTCCGGATTCACCGGCTACGTGTGGACGGAAGCCGAAGGATTCTCACGGAGGTAACGCGCAGGTTCAGAGAAATAAGTGTTTTTCGGAAAAGTACACTTGTAAAGCACCTCACAGAATGAAGACAAGTGCATACCTCTAAAAGACTGCTTAAGAGGAAGCACAGTGCATTTATGATTTATGGATACTGAAGATTTTACTACTAGTTCCTATCACGGAGTTCTCAGGATAAGACAGAAAACTGCTTTTACTCACCTTCTCCACTGTCATCCTGTAGATCTTCAGCAGTTGAATGGGCAGCGCTGTCCAAATCCAACAAAGCAAATGCTACTGGGGATGACAGAGTTGATACTGGCAACTTGTTGGTGGGGAAACACCTCCGTAATATCTGGCTACTAAGGTTATTGACGCCTTCAAGTTCGCGACCTATGAGAAACATGACTGGTGATTAACAGGAATAGGCAAAGAGTTGAATTTCTCAGTCTCCCAATGAAACACTCCACGCATCATTAACGACCACAATATATACATTTATCTAATAGAGGGAGTTCTCCTGAGATCCAACAACATCCATACAACAACTACAGTGAACAAGTAACTCTTTAACAAGACACTGTGATGAACAAGCCTGGCCGCTTCATGTTGAGTTAGGGCAGATTAATCTTATGTTTTATTAGTGGCACGGTTGGTACAACTTCAGACAAACAAATTTCAAGGACTTTTCAAGGACTACGATTTAAGCAAAAAATCAGTATTCTTTAACCCCCTTTTGAACACCTTATGGCTAAAACACTGAATGGAGTAATTACGTTGATCACATTATTTTACACTACTTTCTGTAACAACACTTTGTAAAATGGAAGCAGTCGTTGGGTATGACTTACGGCTGCATATGAGGTACAGAAATACCATTTGAACAGAAATAAAGTAATTTCATGCCAAAAAGGTTTTTACGTTACCCGTGAGTTTTACAGGTTCTTACACCGAGGATGAGGCAAATTCTCCTCGTAAGATAATCTAATTTCACAGAAATAGTGTGGTGTAAACAAGGTAGTGAATTTCAAGGACTTTTTAAGACCTAATAAAGAAATAAGTACTTTTCAAGGACCTTAACCGACTTCAAGGACTTTTCAAGACAACTACTAAAATTCAAGACCTTTTCAAGGTTGTACGAACCATGAGGGGGTTTTAAATCCAGAGTCAGAGCTGTCATTACATGTCACACACTGATATAACTGATCAAAACGCTCACTTGATACAGCACTGTGTATATAGAGCATTTTCACATGACACCACATCAATCACACTGGTGTCCCCAAACAATGAAGTAGCGGCCATGTTGGTGTTCCTAACCAGTCCTGCGAGAGTTGAACTTTTTTGTAAAAAAAAAATCAATGACAGGCATGAGCTTAAGACTTACAGACAAGCGCAGCCTGCCTTTTTTTTCAGTCTAAAGCAAACTTACATTCCAAAGTTTCCAGAGACAATGTATAGAGGGTCTTTATACCATCTGCTTGAATAAATGCCTTCTTGCCAGTTCCTGTACATATGTATGATCAGTTAGTAGAGAAATAATATACTAAAACTTCTGGTAGAATGCAAAAAGTATTAGGAATTTCCCACTGGTCACATCACACTGGATGGGGCAAAAAACAGTTTATCCAGCAGCTCTGTATAGTGTTTTGATTCAAACCGAGCACTTAATTAGCTCTTGAATAATATGTTCATTATTACTCTTTTTAACTACTTATGTTTTTTTAAGGATAATAATAGAGATAATTTATTGCAAGTGACATGAGATTGATAAAATACACAACACCACAGCATTAGAAGCCTAATTTTCATGAAAACAATTATTTTGGTTTACATGTAACCACAAACACAATGACTGAAAACTGCTCTTACTGCAACAATTTGTATGAACTTTAATAATTAGAACTTAAAAATATCATCATACTTGACATGGTGATGTTCTTGATAACATTTAGAATGGCCTTTCTTATGTTGGTTTGTCTGTGATGATGATCAGTTCTCTGCCAATCACAAAACATCTGTAACAGCATTGGAACAGCTCCATAACTGACAGCTTTGGATGCACAGTTCTCTGTAATGCAATAATCAATAACTTAGGTGTAGCTTGGCTGTATAAGAATCTGCTCACAAGATTATTCTAAAACACAAGAATACTTCAAAAGGAAAATCATATTGCAGGACAAAGACATCTTTTGTGAGAAATAGTAAGGAGCTAAAATGATCTAAAAATAACTTTCCATATAGGTAGCAATAAACAGACAATAACCCTGTACAAAAGCATTTTTTGTGTGAGAGGATGCATAAATTTGCAAGTAAATTATTTTCTTTACATTGTGCTTTGTTAGTTGAAAAAGGACTTTAGTAAGAATCAGAGAAGAACACTAAAATGTGAGTAAAATTGTGGTTCTGTTGTTACTGTCCTATTGAAGTCAACAACCATGTTTAATCTACATATATATCTATCCAATCACAGCAAAACTATAACCTTAAATTATTACAAGTAAATCTTGTGACTGACAGTATTATTCACCATTATTATTAATATTCTGTACAAAAGAAAAACATTTGAAAAAACTTACTTGACTTAACAAGAGTGGCTAAAATCTCCAGCACTAACCTAATAATCATTGAAAAATAACATGATTGTCACAACAACAATAAAAATATTATTGTTATAAATTAGTAGTAGTAGTAGTAGCAGTAGTAGTAGCAGTAGCAGTAGCAGTAGCAGTAGCAGTAGCAGTAGCAGTAGCAGTAGCAGTAGCAGTAGCAGTAGCAGTAGTAGTAGGAGTAGCAGTAGCAGTAGCAGTAGCAGTAGTAGGAGTAGCAGTAGCAGTAGCAGTAGCAGTAGCAGTAGCAGTAGCAGTAGTAGTAGTAGTAGTAGTAGGAGCAGGAGTAGGAGTAGGAGTAGGAGTAGGAGTAGGAGTAGCAGTAGCAGTAGCAGTAGCAGTAGTAGTAGTATATTTTATTCCCTATCAGTCTCCTGTCAATAACCATAAGGCTGAATAACATAATAAATTTATTGTGGAGGCACAATAGAGGTGCTGTCCGATAGCCAGGGGCTAGTGGAACAACACGTCAGGCTAGCATGTTTTAATTGAGCAGTTTGACAGATTTCCTGAGCCAAAGTAGATGTCACTGAGAAGGGGAAAGGGGGTTGATAGACCGGGTTCTCATCAAGTGCTCTGAGCTAGCTAGTATTAAAGTACATTAACGTTCTCACTTTAAACAGATGACTCTCTTGTGACCACAGCTTGTAACAACTTTGAAAAGTACACCAACCGCTCCTGCCTTTGCCAAGGCATTACAGTTAACAGCTGGCAATTTGACAACAACAAAAAACAACTGATTACTTACATGAATTATAAATAATGAAAATAAACTGTACTATAAAATTCACAAAATAAGGAAAGCCCTTTGAAGATGCCAATAATTTTCCAATAATTTTTCAATTGCTAACTCAACACTTATCAACTTCTACATTGCTGCAGCAGGCTTTCTGCCCTTGAAAACTACTGCAGTACAGGTGCTGTTTTTTTGCCATCATATAGACAAATGGGAAATTAAATTTCAATTTGAACACATGAAAGTTAACTTTGATTAGTTTCTGTGTTAACAAAAACTTGAGAATTTATTTTATTAGGCTCGATTACCAGCAGCTGTTCAGGAAAATAAGCCCACACTCACTGGACTTGGGAAAGCAATGGAAATCAAGCCTATTGTTTCGTTTTTTTTTTACTAATTGTTGGAAGTAAGTTTTACCAGATTTTACTCCTAATAGAAGGGATGACAAAAGCAAATACCTTTGAAAAGTGGCATTTCCTTTGCAATGTTTGATGTCAGTGGGTTGAAAAAAAAAAGTTATTCATTTACAGTTAGAAAAAGTAGAGTAAAGGGAAAACATGGCTATAGACTTACAGTTAGCAGAGTATAGTTTAAGAACTTGTAAGGCTGGTTGAAGAACTTTAAAGAATGCAGTATTATTCTTGATGACATTCATTGTCACTTGAAGAGCACCTGTCAAACGAGCTTTAATGCACAGCTTACGATCTGAGGGGTAAAAAAAGCACATAACATTACAGAAAACACTTTGGAAACATTTATCTTTTGCTTCATAATAGTCACTTAAGCTTATTGTCAATCAATGTGGTCTACTGTGGTGGCGATGGGCTGCTTGCTGCCACAGCAACAGCAGACCACTGAGGAGGGGGGCGTAAGGGTTTGCGGTGATGCGGTTTTGCGTTATTTTTGGTGCGGTTTTGCGGTAATTTTTATTTTAACTCGCGGTATTGCGGTTTCAAAACACTAAGCGGTTTGCGGTTACTACAACATTTAAGTCGCGGTTTTCGGTGAAAAAAGTGTCTGCGGTGATAACACACTTTAGAACGGTCGGCATCCCGTTGTTTTGCAAGCGCGAGCCAAGTGTTTTGTTTTACAACGCATCAGGGTTCATTATATCAGCTTACAATTTAACTCTGTGGTTTGCAGTTACGGCCTTTTCCAGTTAATACTTAATATGATTAACCGTTTTGGCCAGTGATGCGTAAAAAAATCAGCTGCCGGATGTTAGCTCGTACAGCCGTTCAGCGTCGTGTTCTCGTTGCTTTGATTCAATGGGCGACGATGGCAATTGAGGTCGTCGAGGTCGCAACTGAAAGCGAAGAGGACGTAAAAATTAATTGCGTGGCAATCTTCTATGAAGAAGGAAAGGAAGGGGAGAATTTCAGAAGAGCTGTGCGTTTTAACAATCGTCTTCTCCACTGAACGTGAACCCTTTACGAGACAAGAAGGTCACATTTCCAGAAGAAACATTTATTCCGCGTTCCACAACTAGCACAGGGTCGTCCAAAGTAATCAGTCACCCAATGTAAGACGTACAGGATCAGTTACAGAGTTTTTCAAAGTCAAGGGAGATATCAATACTCGTTCAAGTACATGACCAGCATACTTGGCATTTGGTTAGTAGTTAATAGAGTATAATAGTGTAGTACAATATATCGTTAGCTTTATGATGGTATGTTTAATACTAACGCACAATGTTATTATGCGTTAAGGTAATGCGAACGCAACCCCTAATTTGTGTTGGGTGTTGTGTGCATTATTGGGTGTCTTGTGCAATTAATAAGGGAGGTTTTTTGAGATTGCATTTTTAAATAAGTAAATAAATTACACACATTTGCCTCGCTTTGAGGAGCTTGCTTAAGTTTTGCCTCACTTTGACGCGCTAATCCATGTGGTGATTCTTGTGTCCTCGGCATTCACCTTTCAAAGGTTTGCTAAGGTCTGATATTCTGTCTTAAGTAAATGCGTTCATCTTTTAAAAAGTTTGCTAAATCTTAAGTAAAGCTTACATCGATATGTGTTTGCTGAATCGTCTAAAGCGTTAAATCTTTCAGAAGTTTGCTGTTAAATTTTACTTTGGATTAAGCCTTCATTGTCTTTGGAAAATGTCTGCGACTCCTGGTGCATGCATCAAACCATGTTAAGTTCGGCGGCCGTTATGCCACAAAGTAAATTTACCGAGTTGTGTAGCTTGGCGGTCGTTGTGTCAAAAAGTAAATCTACCGACTTGTGTGGCTCGGCAGCCCTTGTGCCACAAAGTAAATCTACCGAGATGTGAAGCTCGGCAGCGCCATTTGATCATGACTTGTGATATTTTCGGCACCGGACAAACGAACACTTTAACTCTACGTTATTTATTAGGAAAAACTTATAAACCAGCCCACAGTAGCGCCACTCTCGAGTCACTGAAATCAACATGCTGGACCAAATTACTGGAAAAGTTATTGACGTGAGCCGCACACTCGTACCATTGAAGGCTTTGACAGGGTTAGTGCGAAGTTTGAATTCAGATGTGAAAGCTTTTAAAACAGTAAATTCAATGTAATTCATTTTGTCAACAAGTTGATGATTGGATGCTCTTAAAAACAACAGAGAAAATTATCCGAAGAAATGTTTTTGAAGAAAGAAAAAGAATCCCGGGTTAAGCACTAATCGACCTTTGAGCAACTGCGCCCTGTAACTCGCGCCAGTGAAACAAAATGTTCCATTTACGACGCACTCTGGCCAATGTCTCCTCCGATTTAAAGCACTTGACACCGAACCATACGATATCTTTTGAAAACGTTCTTATGATACACAGTTTAAATAGAGGTTTCGCTGTATGCAACCCTAATACGTTCAAAATATGCCATAATCATATTTATCGATATCGCAACCACCCTTTCGCCTCAACTGCTATTTGTATGCCTAACAAACATATCGAACACACTCTCCTAAGCTCCGATTACTCCTAGTCAGAATATATCACAAGTCTTGCTGACGTCAGCTTTCATATTGTGGCCTACATGTACGCGCGGTTTCGGTATTCGGGAAAAAATCCGATGCGGTTTGCGGTTTTTTGGCGTATTTCTGTGCGGTTTTGCGGTTTTCGGACCCCCCTTACGCCCCCCTCACTGAGGGAACAGTTTCCTCCTCTGATATTTAACACTTACAATGCTTTGGATTGAAAACCACCAACCATCATGAGTGAGGTTCCTGATATGCCAATATTACTAACAACTACAGTGGTACAAATAGTCCCAAACAGTAAATTGACACTATTGCCTAATGAAGACCTGCAGTATGCAGTCAATATGTTGCGATCAATATCTTACGCCAATGATTCAATCAAAACTCTAACAAAACATGTAAAAAAAATTTGGAAAGCAACTTAAATATTCTTCTTACATGTACAAAGGTTTAATTGACAAGAATCAAAAATCAAAATTACTTTGTGGAATATTATGTTTCTGAGTTATGCTTTTCAATTCAAACAAGCAAATCCTCTTTAGATGGCTTACAAAGAAGCAATCCATGCAGGTAAAATACAGTCTACATATCTTGCGCTTCCGGCCTTGATACCATGTATGTTTTCACAAATCAGTACATTATTAATAACTAAAAAATAATTAAATACACTGTTTTTTTAATCGGGGTTCATACACTACTTCAGACATTAAATTCAAGGACTTTTCAAGGACTTTCAAAGTCCCTATTTTTAATTTCAAGGACCTAATAAATTACTTTTAACACAGATTCCAAATAAACTAAGAAAAAATGAAAATATTTCGTCACGCACAATCATGATCAGTATCATCTACAATGTGAATGCATGAATTAACTGATGCAATGGCACTGCTAACTATTCTAGACCTCAGCCTTTTCATCACAGGCTGTCCATATCTGACTTTCACTTCCTCAATGCTGATTTTATTCCCGACTGGTGGCTTTAGACTGGTATTTGCCAAAGTTTTTTGGACAATTGAAAATGCTCCTCAATTAAACTTCAAGGTCCAAAATGAACACAAGAGAATTTCAAGGACTTTCAAGACCTAAAAAGGACTCTAAAAATTCAAAGGTTTTAGAGGATATATATGAGCCCTCTTTAATTGACTTGATAAGCATGTACAGTATTTTACCTTTGGGTCCCACTTTAGTTAGAATAACATGGCTCAATAGCAGGATTTCCTCTGCGCAGACTGAGGTGTCTTTACTTGTGTTCACAACAACTCTCAGAATAATATCCACCGTTCCCTTGGCAGCAAGAACAGAGGCTCTTTTTCCTAAAGGAATTAACACTTGAGTGAGGTTCATATTAAAGAGCCAATCACAAGCAACCATAGTGTAATTAAAATTAGTCTCACACTATTGACTGATCTAGAGCAGCAAGATGCAGTTGAAATATCACAATCCATAACAAAAGAACTACATGTACATACAATGTATATTATTCATTAAAAATATTAATTTCTCGGTTTCTGATTGGCTAAAATCCCACACATAATTCATCACCACCAGCTACTCTACCAAAACGATACACCTGTATGTGAAAAATGACATCAATATTGTGCAGCATGATCGCCAGATTATTGAACAATTAACCAAGAAGACCTGGGGATGTGGTTGAGTTGTTTTGGAAGTGAGTACAAAATGGTGGAACATATCACTTTTTTCACGAGGCAGAAATAGGCAAACTATAATCATTCTGTTGGCTAAAAACATAGCAAGAACAGCAAGAAGACAACTCGACGGACAACATCTGATATTTTGAGAATATTTGCAGTACTGAACAACCCTTTATCTCCTAAAACTTGCCAATAAAGATCAACTTTACAGCTTGTTTTTAAGCTAGGAATTATTTTTAATGAATAATAAAATAATTTATTATTGAATCCCGGAGAGTGTTATCCACCTTGGCCTAATCGGCTTCGGCGGATAACGCCCTCCTCTATCCATAATTCTTCAGATGATATTCAGCCTGATCCAATAATTGTTACATCTAAGTATCATGAAACTTGTAAGCAACAAAACAAGGCTATGTACAGCGTACTTGTATCATACAAAATGCACCTGTACCATAATGAATAGTATTGTCCATGATAACAAATGAACCGCTTCTCTTGCCTTGCTGTTTTCTGTGTATTATACTTTTCAAAGACTTACAATTGATTGTATGAAAAGAGCGGTAATCTGGTTACAGTCTGGAATTGCACATGTATGTTTAAACGCTGGGCCAGTGATTTCAGCATTGAAATTGCATCCAAGTTATCACAAATTTGAGATCAAAGTTTAGCAGTTTTGTGCACATAATCTCTTAATTTATAGGAATCCATGCTTCCTGGGCATTCAGCTTTCAAAATCTAAATAAAAGCCCAAAGAGTGTCCAGGTTTCCGGTGGATGGCCATTTTAAGAAGAAATTTAAGGAAAATTCACCTTTTTATCTCTCAAAATAATCCTAAAGGAAAAAAATTTAGACTGGATGCCCAGATTTCAATGCTTAGCTAAAAGCCCAAAAGTTGACCCATTGAGTAAGAATGAATAGTTCCACAAATTAATTACAGAATTTTTGTAACTTATATACAGTTGTATATTATATAAGCTAAGAAAAGGAACCTCACCTGTAGTTAGCAATTCACAAAGGCAGCCCAAAATATTTAATGTCAGCTGAGTGTCCAAGGACATCTGAAATAAATATTTTCATTAAAGGGATCAAATATGTAGTAAAGCTTACATTAGTGAACAGTGCTACATCATAGTCAATGATTAATTAATTAATGAGTAATCAACATGTTATTAAACTAGTCATCAGGGGTTTCAATGAGCAACGACGGTTGATGAAACGCGCCAGCTACTTTGCTCAGAGAAGTCGGCTACTTTTTTCTAGAAAGAAGAAGCAACTAGTCTACTTTCAAAAACTTTGTAACCAAAAAATGCATCATAAAATCTGAATGAAAACAGTGTAGCTTAATTACATCTCTCTTCTGACCGGTCAAAATGTTAAAAATGTACAAGGAGAATAACTTAACAAAAGACAGATAATCATCTTGGCCAAGCAATGTCCATTGACAGGTCATTATTTTGAGCCCTGGAACTTGGCTATCATCAGAAGCAGAAGCATATAACCCTAAAACTCTATTCCAATTCTGGGGTTTTTTGGAAAGCCAATCAAAATTTACTTCCTAATATGGAATCACTGAAATGAGAGACTGCCACACTAGTGTTGTGAAACCTTGTATTGTGAGGTAACAAAGAGCTACAAGAGCAATAATTACAGTTCTGTGTTATGGAGTAAATTTGACAAAAATTGGAATCCAATATGACCATGATTGACTTATTTCAGACAAGACAAAAGTCAACTAATGATTTTATTATTATGATACACATCTTACAGGCCTGGCTTAAGACGAAAGCTAGTGTGTGCTCAAAAGAGTATGCATCAACATTATGTGAGCCTATTTGTTTACCTGATAGTTTTCAAAGGTTGTTATCTTAACATTAGGAGCGATGCATAAAGTTGTTCAGAATAACATATAGCATGTTTTGCACTGAACACTGAGACAGAAAAACTACAGTCCTCTGCTTATCAAATAAGAAGGTTATTTTTAGGGAAAGTATTTGCAAAGAAAATCATTCCTACATGCCATAGTGCAGCTTAGCACACGACAATGACAACACACTCATCAGCTCCACTACCTGGCAGCCTAAATATAAAATAATGTTTTCGTCCATTGATTATGTTAAATAACAAATTTAAACGGCTTAATGTGTGCTATTGAGTCGTGGATGTACTTCGAGAACTCTTAAGGACTTAAAGAATTTGTAATTAGCTACTTTTCAGGAGGGTACCTTCAATTGTCTGATTCCATATTTGGACAAAAGAAAAACCCGTGCCTCTGATTGGACAGCTAAAGAACCCCAACATGGTTCCAAACAAATAAGGAAATTTAGAAGCTTCAGCATTATATGGGTCTTATATGCTTCTGTCAGAAGGCAGCATGGCTGCTTTATGAAGGAACTGGAATGGTCACTCCTGATTCAAGTGTGCCTTTTGTTATAAGCTCAGGTTGCTCTTGGTAGCTCATAGTTTAACTCCTTTGTCATACTTGTAAACTAATACTTCAGTAAACTAGTTTGCCCCCATCCACTGGGATGTTTACTTTTTATGTTTACAAGTATTCAAAATAATTTGTTTCTGTCCTATTGTCTGGGTAACAATATAATTTATTAGTATAATTATTATACTAAGCTGCTGGTTCAGTGGTATGTGTCAGCCCCATAAAGTCAGGGTAGTACCAGTTTGTACATGTGCACCCTTAGCCTGCTATTGTTGTGCTAAATGTGTACATGTATAGTGTACATGTAGTGCTGTATTAAAAACAGTTTGAGCTGAAGTCTGTAACACCACATACATGTACAGTTGTTGTTTGGCACAGGATGACTATTATGGTGTAAAGGACAAGCCAAAGAATGTTAGCCTAGGATCTGCTGTGCTCTATACAAGACCACAGGTGATTTCCCTGTGTAATGATGTCTGAGAAATGAGCACAGAAATTCATACTGAAGATGTGTCACTAACCAGATCTGGGTAGTGATGCGTCATTAATATGGGATTTCTGTGCTTGTTTCTCAGACGTCATTTTGCAGGGAAACCAGTGGTGGCATCATGAAACGTCAGCTGTTTTCTCTGGCTAAAACAATGAAAGTTTCAAGTTTCACACAATCGCACCTCCAGAACAACAAGCAGTGTTGAGAGGCCATCAGTGAACTTTGTGGTAAGATCTTTGCGGCATTTCTCTGGAAAAAAAAAAAGAAAAAACACTTTGACTGTCTACAGCCACCTCTCTCTAAGATGGTCTATGCTGGACCAGGGGTCAATTTAATAAAACTTTTGCACGTGTAATTTACAAGTGTAGCCATTGTTTTAGAGTCTGAGAACAATAGCTACACTTGTAAATAATTTACACGTGTAAAAGTTTTATTAAACTGACCCCTGCATACATCTCTGCCTTTATAGAGAGAGTTTCTCTGATATGGAAAATCACTCTTTCACACCTAATTAATGCAATGACAGAGCTGGTGTTTATATTATAAGCCCCACCCCAAAAAGAGAGAATAACAGTTAATAAAATTATAAGATTATTAATACAAGTACACAAATATTAATTATAACATAGCTAGAAAATTCCCCTAATCAAATTCAATAGCGCGAGCGTGCTTCATATTCCTATTGAGCACGCTGATGGCGTGAGATCATTCTTCGCAAAGTTGTTTTCTCTCAATAACAATTTTTCGGTGAATTAATAGTTTTCCGGCACCTAAATATGGATTTTACAACCATTTTAGAGTACACTTTCTCTCCGTTTCAGGATAAAAACATAAGCTTAACTGTGAGGGAAAAAAATATACTCACGTAAACATTGACGCGTACTGCTTTCGCGCCCTACAATAATAAAATTTTAAGTGAACTGATGCATTGATCGCTTTGATAATGTTATAAAACAATTAGTTCATGCTGCAGCTGTGCGTATGTCGAGAGCACTTACATGTACATGCAAGCACTTTTCAAGAGGAATGACTGAAATGATATATTAACGACCATTAATCATATTTACTTTATTTACCCATTAATTTACCCGCAATGCTCCATTTAAGCTCCATAAAGCCTGCTGATAATACGGCAACAGCGCTTTTTTTCAATTTTTTCTTTTACTGAGACGAATGGTCATAAATACAAGGAGATGGCAAGTTTATTATGCTATATCGGAAATACTAAACTCAAAGGAATGATCATCTACTTTATTATAAGCTCTTAACTAACCTTGAGATGACAAAAGCTGATGGATTTTATTTGTAACGTAGCGCAACTGTTCCACATCAACCTTATCTTGCTCATATTTCGCCTCTGAACCAGCGAGACAAAGTTTTTGCAGTTGTTCAAGCAAGGCGCCTATCCTTGCAGTACCCCTATAAATAATAAAAGACAACTTGACGCTAAGGAAGAAAGTTCCTGTTTGAAAGTTAATTTAAGTTTAAGTTAAACTTCGACATTTTTAAAAAAGCTATAAAAGCTCGTGAATGTTATTTAGACTTACCCCGCCTTAGAGTTGGTCTTGCTCATAATTCATAGACCTCGAACTTGTGAAACGTCTTTACCTTGATCTTTTTCGCCCGATTTTAACAATATTGCAAGCGAAGGAGATCCAGCAAAGCCCAAATTGTGCCGCTTGCACCAACGTCACGCCATTTTATTAACAACTCGATTCAATTTGAACTTTTAACACCGCGCCACAAAAACCATTGTTTGAAAATCACTTCCATGTTACGTTCACCGGAAACACTACACGCAGTCGAGAACTACAGCCACCGTACAAGCAGCGTTTCAGCCTACAAGTTAGTTTCCACCGGTTGTTGGATGTCCAAACAAGTTATACAAGACTCCATATAACAGCCATTTTGATTTTCACGGCTCAAAATCTTGGTCTTTGATTGGCTGAAGCAATTTTCAGATAAGTATACGGTGTAACCGTCATAAAGCTTACCAACGGAGGCCCGGTTCCTGATTGACCTGAAAGGCCGATTAGCTTGCAAACCAGGATTAAAACTTTGTTGGACGTTTTTGTATTTTACATTCCTATGCATTATGCATCAGTCAATTCCACCTACCCCCAGCCCCCCCCCCTTCCCAGGCTGACCCCCGGGCATTAGCATTTTTTTAGCCTTGGAAGGCAAATTCCCGGGGGTGGGGACTCTTGAGCTGTCAAATCCCCGGGGTGGGGACGAAAAAAGAGGGCAAATGCCCCGTCCTCCGCCAACACTGCAATATTTTTCATTGATTGCACAGTCAAGTAGTGCCATTTAAGCATTTTAATGTGCGAATTTTTGTTTCAATTAACGTCTTCCTTTGAAATAGTGCTATTCTAATTAAGACTTCACGCCGTGACGACACAAGTTTATGGTTTTACTATTGCTATAAAATTATTGACATTAAAATTCATAGTGCGCTGTAAAGTTAACTGCTATGAATAGTTTTATAAATATGAAAGGATATTCTTCAAATAATATCAAGAGAAACTTGATTCAACGACCAGAAACACGTTGATTTACGTTGATAGCTCATAAAATCGAGAACATGCCTTTACCAGAACCTCTTCAATTTTTTCCCGTCCTTGACAAATGAGCCAATCTGCTAAGAGGCTCAGGATTTGGATTTGGGGATTTTGGGATGTTGTGCGTACCTCTGAAAAATCCTGGCTATGCCCCTGTAGGGGTGGGCCGACGGGGCCGCGGCCACTCCTTTTTCTTTGAAATTTTGTATTATTTTTATAGAAGTCTCAGCAAAATATAACTTATCTATATAGCTGGTAAATGAGCAAGTGTCCCGGCCATCCCTTTCTGAATTTTCTATATCCGCCCCTGACAATTGCCATCCCTGCAACTGAAGAAACTTCAGCCGCTTTCACAAGTTTTAGGAAGAGCAAGCAGGCGTACAGTTTAATTAAGGGAGTGAATGAGGTGGCAGCTTCTACAAAACACTGATGTGCTTCACCAAGGGGAGGACCGGGAGAATTTGAACGTACTTAATTTCCAACCCCCATGCATTACCCGTCGTTTCGATACAAGTAGGTGTAATTTGGCTTAAAGGAACGAAGAATATTCACCCAAAATGTTTTTCTTGTTCACGCGCAATGTACACTTGAAGTGAACGAAATGTGCAATTTCACTGCTTCAGTTCGTATTGAAATGACTTGTAGCGAAACAACTTTGTATCGAAAACGACCGGTTTCCTTTGCATAAGCCCTGGCCTCCTCTTAATAACGGTCCTTAAGCTTTAGATAGCCATGTGGGCCTCAAGTGCACAAAACACATGTACGGTGTATTAAAAAAGGCGAAAAGGATGTACTTTTGACCACTTTTGTTTCAAAAAATTAAAGACGATCAATCTGGTAAACTACACAGCTCTTTTGCTGAAAGCCGTCCCACCCGCAACATGTTCATCCATTATTAAACAAGTGATTTTTTTTCTCAAGGAAAGCTCTCGACTGGTTAATTTTATAATCCTTGGCAGAATGAGAAGATGGCAATCTTTCAAAACGGACCATTCACAAACCACAAACCATTACGCCACCCGCAAAACGACCAAACAGAGAAACGGGCTGGTTCTAACGTAAACAGGTCTTGGCTAAGCTTCTCCCTTGGAAAAAATGAGAAGAAAATTCTTTAGGCAAGTATTTGGTTCATAGTTGATTGAGCCAGGAGATTTTTAGCTCTACGATGCGACTAGCTGAGCCAGTCGAAATCACATTAAGGCTTTTTTCAATTGCACATTGTCGACCTAGCTTAAATGCATTCGTATCTTTCTAAGGAACAGCGAGAAAGTTATCTCAGAGAACTGTTCTACTCTTCGTTTAGCGACCGAAGAGCGAGCGTAGCTACAAGAAACGAAGAAGTAAAAAGTCTTGGGAAACATGTACGGAAATTGTACAGTTTAGTAGAGGTTGGAAAGGGTCTTTCCCCGGACGCCGAATCGTCTCTGAAGGAAATCATTAAGATCCGCAAGAAAAGAAGGCCTGGCTTCTACGAAACGAAAATGATGGCGGATTATAAAAAGCTTCTGTTTTTTCGAGGACAAAGGGAAGAAATGGAGACAAATATTGAAGAGCAGCAGTGCTTTCAATGCATTCGTAACGCAAGAAAGCCATTATCTGTGCTTCGCGGAGACGACTGGTATTGGGGAACAAAGCAACAACTAAGATGCGGAGAGATAATTGCAGACACACTTGGAGGACTTGATCCTGTATTTGGAATCTTATTGTATCCAGCAGGTAACTATACCACCCCACAAAATCTCGTCACTCCCCTTTCGAGTAATTGCGTTTTAAGTTGTCTTTTTTCGCCATAAAATAAGAGTTAGTTTTGTTGTCTTATGGTGCTTTATTCTTTCTTGTCTGTAAACTGAAAAGACTTCTTGATCCCAGGATCGAAGGGTAGATGTGAATGTTCTTTGCGTGCTTTGCGACACAGATAATTCTAGCTAATGCTAGAATTGGGCTTCTGGCCTGGCCTTAATCCATAAATCAGTAAGATGCTATTCAATTACTGTTACTAGTGCATTTCGTTTTGACACCTGCTTGCTTGTTTGTTTTTTTGGAGACCACTTCTCTCAGCTTGATAGCCTGTCATGTCAATATTTATTTTATCATTTTGTTGAATATTCAAAACGACCTACTTGTGTTTTAGAGCGCAGCTAAATTTATTAACACGTAGTATAACAACTGACTCAAGGAACAAGAGAAAATTGTCTATCACCCTTCGAATAGCACGGATCAGTATAAGCTATCTATCGATAGTTTTTTTTAGGGAACTCTGTCATGATTGGCTAAAGAAAGTTGAGATTTAATCGCCGAAGAGAAAGATGTAGAATAAATCGAGGAGGATCCGTCTATCTCGAGCTGCTTTGTGTCATATAAAACTCCCCGCAACACAATCACTCCCAACCACTGAGATGAAAACTTGCGGTACATATCAAGCGCGTATGATCCGTAGTTCTCAGCATTTTTAGAAGGATGTCGCCCGTGAACATATTGTCGTTCACGAATGAACAACAACCTTGTTAAATAGCAAAGCTTCAGAAAGGTGGTACATGTATGGATCGCAAGTGGGGAGAAAGGGGACAGTAGTTATAGACGCAGTAGCACCCGCTCGCCATTTCCGTGTCGAACCCTGCAGGATTCTGCACCATTTTGTATGATACCAGTAGCCCTCGCGAGCTCCAGGTATACATGAAAGTTTCGGTGATCTAGTTTTAATCCACAGCTATATTTGTTCAATTTGCAGGAGGACGAACAGAGCTTGCCAATCCAAACAACAAACACTTCCGAATCACGGGCAAAGAACAAGAAGAAATTGAAGCCATACTTTACCACACTGCTACCCATGATGCCTGCGGCTACCTGAACGAGTACCACCAAATTGGACCTGGATACAACTACCTTGGTACCAGATTAACTGTCGTTCCGACGTGCTTTCCGCAAAGCGGGCGATTAGCTGCTCTCATGTTCTGGAAGAAGTTGATCAATCAACCTGACACGCCATTTGAGTATTAATTGTCGAGTCGATACACAGATCAATGGCTGGTTTTCACATGACGTCATCAAAAGTTCAAACTAGAGACCTACCAATCCTCTTGAGTTTTTACTTTCATAAAGTATTAGTTAAGAGCAGCTAAGCGCTTATGGGCTTATTTTTAGACAAATTTTCACTTCGAAAGGTTTATTATTCATTTTGTAATACAGTTATTGTATTAGAGAAAGTATTACTTTACTGTTTATGAGTTCAGTCCTCAAGAGATGAATTCACGCTTTCGTGGCAAATCCAGTAACAGATGTTTCTGTTGGTCTCCAGCCCGCCATGTTGATGCCCATCCGGATGGGTACCAACGTGATGTCTTCATACAAAGCTCTATAAATTTGGGTAAATCATTTCTCTGATCATGAATATCTCACGTATGAAATACCCCGGCCGCTAAAACTGAATGGTACTAGTTCACCACGAAACTGAGCTCATCCGCACCTTGGTGCCTTAGCCCGCAAAAATTGCGCATAAAAAACGCGTACTATAGAGCACCTGGCTTGGCATTGTAGCTGTCTCTGTTTAATACTGTCTGTTAATTGGGAACTAGCCAGCATAAATTTTGTTTTATTTGACCAGCATTTACGAGTAATGGGATTTCAAAGGTCATTATAATTAGCTATCAAGAAAGAGTCACATAATATTCGTACCTTGGCCAGTTTCTTTTGAAAGTAAACCAGTTTGATCAAAATTGATCTGATAGTAATGCTTAGACTGCTTAATTAAAAGCGAATAAATGTATAGTACATGATCTTATCATATGTTTGGAATATAATTTCACAAGGAAATATTCTATCAGTTCAAACCCAGTATGACATTTTTTTCTTAATTCGAGAACGATCTGATTACAGATGAAGAAGATCAGAGGGCATTACGGAATTTTCAGTTAGAAATTCAAGATGGGAGCATTTTGTAACAAAATTAAAAGCGATAATGTAATGAGCAATCTCTTGCCAGCAAATGTTAGTAAAAAAAGAAAAACATAATAGTTCTTTCTGAGTTTTCCTTTTTGATGTTACTGAAGAGTGAGTCAAAAAAGTTTAAGGCCCTGTCAACATAAGGGAACGGTCATTATTTATCGCCTGGGGCGGGGGGGCTGGGTATTTTAGGGGTGATCACTTGATTTGAAGGGGAACAAAAGGGGGGATCAGCTGAGAACTGAGAACCAGTTTGATGGGCTCCTGCTGAGAACCAAAAAGGGGAGGTCGCTGAAAACTTTGGAAGGATTCAGGGGGGACCACTCAAATTTGCTTGGAAAATGAAGACATGGGGGGGGATCGCGAAAGACATCAAACGTTATTAGGGGGGGATCCCTTCACTGAAGTAAAATTCAAAGAGGGGATCGGCTAAATTTACCTTGTTTTAGCCCCAAATCCTCCTCCCCGTCCCCCCCCCCAGGCGATAAATAATGACCGGTCCCTAATGCGTTTTCGTTGTCATTGAACTCGCATCAATCGATTCGTGTCCACACTATCATTTTGATACGTTTTCGACTGTCCACACGTGACAGCCTCGTTCCTAGTCGTCCTCGGCAATTTCGGATGTGACGTCATCTGCTGGATAGCGCGAACTGGCCTGGGTACGAGGCTAAGAAGTGACAGAATCGTACGTTATGACGTAAGTTCAACCAGAAACCCCTTATGGGTTTCTGGTTCAACTCTATGCGCGTACTACAAACACACGCACCTGAGATATTTTACAACCCACGTGGTACATATGAGGGAGTCATCTTTTTCATTTCGATTCGTTTTCAACCATTTTTGACCGTCCACACTAATACGATGTGTATGCTTTTCCGTTTTGATCAATTTCCAAGAGCGTTTTGAAATCTATGCGTTGTCGATGAAAACGCTCAGAGTACTAGTGTGAACGGAAGGCCTACGCGCATCAAAATGTCATCGTTTTCAAAAGAAAACGCACGTATCCGTGGCTTTTCGTTTGAAATCAGCGAGTTTTTTCTCCCATGCAATGCCTCGTTCCGGAAATAAGGACACAAATGCAGAAACATACTAGGAGGAACATACGTGTGACACTTTAAATTTCCGGGCCTAAAAATAAAGTGGCGGTAGATTTCACCCTTATGCGAAGAAGAAATTTAGCCGAATCGTACTACCTGAAAACATAGAAACAACAGGTGAGCAAAAATACCACTGTTTGAAAAATACTGCTTGACCACTTTCTGATATCCAGGAGCTGTTAAGGAACAGATAGTTAGGTTATGAAGATCGAAATGGTTGCATATAGATCGAGGTAAGCAATTGAAGCTTTTAGCCGGAGGAAATATTTTGAATGAGTAAGCCGGAGGAAATATTTTGAATGAGTAAGAAACACCCTCCGAGATCTGTATTTTGATAATCCTTAACATTCAAAAAACCCATCCAATATAATCGTTACAAAATACTGAATAACCCAGTGAGAAGAAAATTACGATTAAGTCATCTAATTTTAAAGTTTAAGACGCCCCTGGATTTTACTGAGTTACGAAATTCTTTCTGTTATAAAACTGAAAAGAAACTGAACTAAAGTAAGAAAAAGACTACCACTTTTTAAAAGAGAAACCTGATTAATTACAAAACAGCGATAAATTACTGCAGACTAAAAAGTGAGTTTCGAGGACCGTCTCGAAAACTATAAAGTGATTCTAAAGACCTTTGAAGCAAGTGGAAGGGCCACATCTGACGAGTTAGATAGAACTTCAAAGCTTTCTCTTATAGACAACGAAAATTATGGTTAGCAAAACTCTAGGCAGCAGTAGACTACTCCTTACGACAAAAAGATGATATAAAGAAAAAAATGAATAAAAAACGTTTTTTAAATTTGGTTCTCTCTTATCCCCTAATCCCCTACCCTCCCGTCCCCTCCGCTACCCTACCCGCCTCTTTGAAAGGAGAACTGTAGCCCAGTTTCCCATACCTTCGCGGCCGCGTTGAGCTTTGAGTTGTTGTTTGTTGCCGTTGTTGCTCCTTGCTTTGACAATCTTCCTACTGTTGGTTAAAATTAGCAGTTATAAACCATGCCAGTTCAAAATGAGATGCAACCACCGACAGGTTACGGACTAGGCCACGCTATTTGTGCAGTTTGTCAAGAGAGCTTTGGTGTCGATGAGCGAATGGTGAATTCCAATGGTCAAATTCTTCACGAAAGGTGTTTTGTGTGAGTATAATAGCCGTTTTACTTTAGTATACCATTGATGATTGAGTGAAATTATGTATATTTTTTGTAAAGTGGCTTTTGTTGCTTAAAACGTGAACCAGTCATTTGGAACAGACACCATAATGTTGGTAAATTCGGATTCCATTCCATAGCTAGTATGAGCTGTGGTTTAAGCCGTGGTGTAATCATGAACTATTTGCGGATAAAGAAAAGAAACTTTCCAGTAATTCATGTCAGTTTTTAATGTTTTTTTTTTCATTCTTTCCAGCCAGTGTCCAATTCGCACACAAGTGTTCAAAATTCGCATACAGTGTACAACTTCAATCAAAAATGACAAAAATGTACTCCACCTTTTTCTTTTCATCCGTCATCCCACAGGACGCCCAGACGTAGTATATAGGGGCCCGTTACACATATATAGACAGTTTACATATAGGGGCGAGATATCAGTCACAAGTGCGTGAATGAACGGAGTTATGTCACACTAATTGCTGTCTTTTTAAAAAAAGGCTAAGACTTGTCTTTACATCAATTGAATTTCAAAAATAATTTTCCAGTTCTTTTATTTATGACTATTTTTAGGTGCATTGAAACTGATTTCTGTTGTTTTTTACTACGGGCGCCAAGGATGGACGGACTGAAACTTTTAAAAGGCTGGGCCCTTGATCTTTTGCAAGGTTTAGACATTCCTGGAAAAATCACCCAAATAAATGATTATGCTTAGTTCTTCCTGATTAAAATTGTTTGATATCTTCCTCATAACTCTACAGGAAAATGATGGGTAAAAGCACTAAGAGTAATGACTTCAGTACAGAATTGACCTTGAAAACATTTTAGCCTTTAAAACGAGTGTGGGCAGGGTCCGAAATTAACTTTTTAATACGGGCGCCAACTGGCGATCAAGTATAAATTTTTGGTCGCCAGAGGGTAAATTGTGGTCACCAAAAATTCCCCCTCCCTTTTTTTCCAATAATAGTTTAAACACGAATAAAAAATGCATGGTATGGACGTTTTTATGCTCGAAAATTGCACTACTTCCACTCCCGATATCAGAAAGCAACCGTACGTGTATGAAAGAAGTCTTTTTTTTCCCGCAAATTACTTTTTGGAGATATAAAGCTGTCTGACTTAGAACGTAGGAACAGAAAGCTGTCTACTCGTGACTGCACTGATCATATCAAAACTCTATTTTTTTCCGATAACTACCACGAAACAAGAAACATAAACACGAGTCAAGACACCATGTTGCTCGTACCAGGCCACAACTGCGCCACATCACTCGTACCAGTACACAAAGTACATAACGTACTTACCGAACAACATGGCGGCTTGGAAACGTTCAACTTGTATTGATTGTAGCTGTTGTGGAGGTATTATTACAGGAAGATTCGTTTCACTTTTAATTAAAAAATATCAGCAGGACAAAAAGTAAGACACCTGTTGGCAAATAGCTTCGAGGTTTCAATTCTTAATCAGTTTCTCCGAACGTTAAAGTCAACAATAACAACCAGCTTTACAAGTCGCTAGCTGGCGACCAGCTATGAAATTCTGGTCGCCAGGACTAAATTTCTAGTCGCATTGGCGACCAGGAAGGCGCAATTTCGGACCCTGGTGGGGCATTTCATTTCAGTTTTTCTTGTAGAATGAGCTCACGTCCACCAGTATCGCAATAATGTGAAATGTTTAAAATAGTAGCGAATAGTGAAAATGTGCCAAAAAGACGCATACATTTTTACATGTCATGAACATTTTTTTTTTAATCTGTTTACACTTGTTCTAATTGTATCTATCCATCTTTTTGATGGTCTAGAGTATGGTCAAAGGCAACATAATTTCCCAATTAGTTTATTTGTTATTTAAGTAAAGGTCAAGATATCATATATATTGTAGCACTATCCTTTTGCTTTGCGACTGTTTCAGTTTGGGCAGCAGTGTTGTAACCATCTTAGTTACAATGTTAACTTTAGGGACGGACCATTAAAAAAGTTATGGGGGGGGGGGAATTTTCGAGCAGCATGAATTTTTTTTCATTAATGTTTCCATTGAATGAAATTTTTTTTTTGTCAAGATGCTGTGCACGAATGTTTTTTTTTCCTTGAAGCAACACTAAACTAAAAAAAATATTAAATCATTCAGTTGTTCACTTAGCTGCATATGCGAAAGTAAAGTGATACATATTCTAAGGTACAGTTCACAATGGCCTTTGATACACAAGGTATCCTGTATTGTTGGTACATTGGTACTGCGCAAGTTCATATTGCATTGCTGAAATTTTACATGTAAACAGCATTACGAACAACAAGTCACGGCAAGAATGTTTCAGGCTCAAACATGCTATACAGTGCACGATTTGGGGACAACTGATTAAGGACACAAAGTTTGTGATCGCATCACATGCTCACACAATCACTATACCTTATTAACTTGAATTTTTAGTAACGTCACCCCAATAGCATGCCGGTCTGTTCTACCATTCATGTGAGGTGACACAAATTTGGTTCACGAATTCTAGTATATATCAGTACAAGGCTTTAAAACACGCAGGGTCACAAGGCATCACAAAGTATCACAAAGTATCACAGAGTATCAGAAAGTATCACAAGGTATCACAAAGTATCACAAAGTATCACAAGGTATCACAAAGTATCACAAAGTATCACAAGGTATCACAAAGTATCACAGAGTATCACAAAGTATCACAAGGTATCACAAAGTATCACAAAGTATCACAAGGTATCACAGAGTATCACAAAGTATCACAAGGTATCACGGAGTATCAAAAGGTATCACAAGGTATCACAGAGTATCACAAGGTATCACAGAGTATCACAAGGTATCACAAGGTATCACAGAGTATCAAAAGGTATCACAAGGCATCACAGAGTATCACAAGGTATCACAGAGTATCACAAGGTATCACAGAGTATCACAAGGTATCACAGAGTATCACAAGGTAGCACAAAGTATCACAAGGTATCACAAAGCATCACAAAGTATCACAAAGCATCACAAAGTATCACAAAGTATCACAAGGTATCACAAAGTAACACAAAGTATCACAAGGTATCACAAAGTATCACAAGGTATCACAAGGCATCACAAGGTATCACAAGGCATCACAAAGTATCACAAGGTAACACAAGGTATCACAAAGTATCACAAAGTATCACAAGGTATCACAAAGTATCACAAGGCATCACAAGGTATCACAAGGCATCACAAGGTATCACAAAGGGAACTCACCTGTACCGTAGCGCTTTTATCTCACGGGAAAAACATTACATTCACTAACATTGCACTCTTTTGAGTGCGCAATTCAACTGAACAGAAACTAAACAAAGCAGTTTCTTTTTTCAAAATATTTGCATAAGATGTTTAACATTTCCGAAATCTGTTATGTCAATACAGGATTAGTTATGTAGCAAAACGATTCCTTTATATACTGTGACAAGGGTTTCACTACGAGATTGTGCTCTGTGCAAAAATCAGGGAAAAGACATTTTCTTATTACGCGTGCAATTATGGTGCATAAGCGCACCGTTTTGTTTGTTTGTTTGTTTGTTTTTGTTCTTTCTTGTTTGCATTTGACGATTCTCATTAAGATGTAATATGGGGTTGACAGGGCTACACGACTCCCCAGCGCGTGTTTAAAATAGCCTTTTATAGTTTGGCTCTCACGAGTATGTCTTTGAGCGACCGCCCTCTTTTATAAGATACGAGGGCGGTTCTAGTTTGTAGATTTCACTCCGTAATGGTTGTTGTTCTATTAAATGCCAGTTTTTCATGAGAATTTGCTTTAGGTTAGGCACTGATGGTTGGTATTGTGTGACAAAAGGCAAGATTCGTTGGTTTGTCTTTGGTTTCTGTTGAAGGGCTAGTTTCCTGTCTTTGAAGTTAGGGTTGTGTTAATGAGATCCTCTGGGTAACCCCTCTGTAGCAGATGCGCTCTGAAATTTGTAATTTTCTCTTCGAATATTATTTTGGAAGAGTTTGTTCTGAGGAGCCGGAGGGCTTCCCCCTTTAATGAAGCCTTTTTTTAACTCCTTGCGGGTGACAGGAACCAAAATGGGTATACTGAAATGTCTCAGTTGGTTTGAAATGAGTACGCACATCAAGGGTTGCGTCTCTTTTGAATCTTTCCCCTTTGTAGATGTAGGTGTCCAGGAATGTTGTTCCCTTATCGGAAATTTCAGCCGTAAATTTGATCGTAGGGTGATGATTGTTTGCTTGTTCAATGAAATGTTCTATTCTGTCTCTGTTTGTAGTCCAGAGCGAGAAGATGTCGTCTATGTAACGTTTCCAAACGAGTGGTTTAAAAAGGCTTTGGCTAAGGATTTTCGTCTCTACCTTGTTCATGAATATATTAGAAAAAGGACTGCCATTTTCGTGCCCATGGCCGTACCATGTGTTTGAAGGCAGTTTTTTCCATTAAACTGGAAAGAATTTTCTTGGAGAATTAGCCTGAGCGCTTTCGTTTTAGTAGAAAATTTCGTATGCTCTGCATACCGTGTCTATTCCCTCCTCTTGCGGTATATTTGTATACAAGCTCGTAACGTCCATTGAAACAAGTATGACCTCCGCTGGGACTTTCGTATTTTCTATGAAATTAACAAAGTCGGTAGTATCTTTAAGATACGACTTTTGTTGTTGTGCTATCGGCTGAAGGAGTTTGTCGACAAATGATGATAATTTCTCCGTTGGGCCATCCCACCCTGATACTATCGGTCTGCCGACCGGGGACGGCTTTTGTATCTTAGTGAGGCTGTAAAATTCTGGAATTCGAGGCGGATTTGGTGTTTGACAAAGCCATTTTTTAGTCATGTCGTCTATGTGATCCCCGTTGTAGAGGTCGGTAACAAGTTGTTTAACTTTATGGTTTGTCTCAGTGTCCAAGGGTGATGCAAGAGGCCTGTAGTTGTCTTTGTTGTCTAGTAGAGTTTGGCCTTCTTTAATTTTGTCTTGTGTGTTCATGACTACGGTTGTTGTTCCTTTATCGGCCTTTTTAAGGTTTATTTCAGTGTCACGTTTTAGGGCTCTGAGAGCCTCACGTTCGGTCGGAGGCAGATTATTTTTTGGCTTTGTTATTTCTATTTCTGCAAGGTCACTCTTAACCTCTTCTAGGTAACTTTCAAGGGCTACTGATCGTTGTATTGGTGGTTCCCATGCAGATTTGACATGGTAAGGATGGGGTTCGTTGTTTTCCCCTCGAAATATGTACATTAGACGCATTCTTCTTGCAAACTGATCAAAGTCACGCAAGAGTTGTTGCCTGATTTGTGTTTGTTTTGTAACGGGTGTTGGAAAGAATTTAAGCCCTTTTGCCAGTAAATTAATCTGGTCATTTGTAAGTTCTTTGTTTGAGAGTTTTTTTATGTGTTTTTTTGTTCGCCTCTATTGTGATAGTTTTTCTGGCGTCTGACCTTTCTGCGCTCTTTGCACTTATTAGTTGCTAGCCGTTTGGCTTTTAAAATTTGTTTTTTGGCCCCATGTTTGTGGTGGGAGTCAGAGAATACACATGTGTACTTTTGAACTTCTTTATTTTCAATTGCTCAGTACTCGATGGAAAGAAAGTTGACTAAACGGGCGTTTAAACCAGCCGTGGGACACAGAGTGGCTATGAACGAAAAGGTAAGGGAGCTTTTGAATCAATATTTCGGCGTGATCATGATTTTTTTCCCCTTAGCGTTGTAGATTCGAATACATGTGATAAAATTCGATCAATAAGGGCCCGAATCACATGTAATAATGCAAGAAATATCGATTTTCGTTATCTTAAAGGCTACTAGTACCGATAGACAAACAAAAAGACTTCATATCTTTAAGACTTTTTGCATTTATTTGGCATCAGATAATACACTAATAATTCTAGTATATTCCCACCAAATGACCTCTGAAGTCCGAACCCACAAATAGTTCGCTTGGGCTGCCTGTGGTTCAATCGTACTACAGTTCTTAGTGTTCAGTGCTATAGCCGGTGCGGCTCGCTTTCCTTTCACGGTTTCGGCCTTAAAACGGCCGATTTCTCGTTGATGGAATCGTATAATCGCATTGAGTGTTTCTTGCTCTGCGTTCTTACGGATTTGTTTTATCTCTCTCTTGAAGTCCTCGTCCGCTGAGGGATATTTTGGCCCTCTCCCTTTATTGTAGGTTTTTTCTGGGCAAGTTCCCTGTCCGTGTGCCTTTTAAAAGCTTTCATCGCACCTTCGGCTTGGCTAATTTTGTCCTCCAGCGGATAGGCTATGGCTCCCTTTACGGTTCTCTGTGGATGGACTGTGGCGGCGACGTTTTCGGTACTGTTCTGTCCTTGGTTCGCTGGTACTCCTTTGAGGGCGCCTGTCGCGGCTTTGGCGTTGCTGTTTAGGCTGTTTAGGTTTTCTAGGCACTTGATATGGAGGATTTGTTCATCGTCATCGGACTGCGCCGAGTAGATCATCCTCGTTAGCGATGTCGTATGAGACTTCCATCTTATCCTCATTCTCAAAGGCATTGCTTGTGCCAGGGGCATTTAGTAGCCCGTCTGACGTTATAATGTTTTCCGACATTTTCTGTGAATGGTCAGGCAAGACCGCGGTTTCGATCCTAATCTTGTGGATCTCGTCAGTTGCCGATTGAATTAACAGACTGATAGAGATGTGTTCTCGGTATCAGTCACAAAAAGAGTGTTTCTTGACCATTTTATGCTCGTTCGAAGGATCGAAAATCCTGTGTTTCTCTCGTTGACCCTCTTGTCTGAGGTCATCGACTGAGAACGATTTCCGAACCCGCTTCTTGCTAGTCATTATCAAGAGGACGATTGTATCTGAAGCACCAAACAATAAAACAGCAAACTGTTTTCATTAACTCTTTTGTCTAAACAAACTATCACACTAAGCCACGCACAAATAATTCAGCCGAAGAAGCGACGACCGGAAATACGTCGGTGATACCCTGTGATGTATCATCAAATAAACAATGAAAAAAGACTCTTAAATAATTCTTTTGTTTTAACCTGATAACGTGAAATCTACTAACTATGATCAAAGCAAAATAACACGGCTTTCCAAATAAATCGCCCTCGCAAGACAACAACTTTAAGTTCCTTACCACTATTGAAATCAGTGAACAGCAAATAAATGAATCACTGATTACCAAAACTCCCCGGAGCCGAAGAGATTATTAACCATTATTTCATACTGAGCGATATCCTTTGAATGTTCCTATGTGGCATTGTGACATTGCCAACGTTAGGAAGATTGATTATGGTACACTCACACCTTCTCTCTTGTCTTTAAGTTTAGTACGCAAATTGTGATGTTGTGATGCTCACAAATTGCAAGGCCCAATCCCCCACTCCCCAAATCGGGCACCAAGTGAAACATGCAGGTTGCCAGTGTTAGTTCATCACTGGCCACAAATTAAATAAGGCGTTCTTATGATATTATACAAAAAGAGTGTATTCTCAATGGTAATTATAAAGTCTATTTTTATGTAAATTATGATATATTCTTACCATATTGATACATTAAAGTTTTTGTTTTTAAAATCAATTATGATGATGATATTGTTCTTATCAAGAAGCAGAACGGAAATTGTCTAAAAGTGTGTGGTAAAAAAACATAAATTTAAGCAATTGTTAAAAGTCTTTAGGCTGCTAGTCTGAAAAGAACATGTATCTTTTGAGTTAGTTCCATTTTTCTAAAAGGACCAACAACAACTGTAAAAACGAAGTCTCAGAAAATAGATTTTTTAATTATTTTTATTTTTATTTATCTGTTGCTTGTTAAAAGCATCAAGAAATAATATACATTCTGGATGTTTGTGGGTGTTTCCTTCGATTTGTGGGGAATACTCTGATTATTGTTATCTATGGTATTTAAAAGAAATGTTTTGTTCCAGATGTTAGATATGTAACAAAGTAAGGAAACGATAACCTTAATAAGATGTAATAATAAGTATGATAAATATTAATTTTAATTTAAGTTATTTAATAATAATTATATCTGAAATTGCCAGCTAGTAAAATTCATGATAAGCTTACAAGCCTCAGATATATTTTTACGTATCAGGTATGATTATTTACAAGACCAAACTTCAGCAGGAAATTTATTCAAAAAGCTGCTGTTTTGCACACAGTATGCTTTCCTGCCTGCCTTATTGAGATTTGTGCAAAATGTGTGGAAGGCCTATGCACGAATTTTTTTCCTGGTCTACTCTGCATGCATGAATTTTTTTTCACTTAATTTTCCCTTGCATGAATTTTTTTTTTGTACGTTGCCTGCCCCCCATAACTTTTCTAATGGTCCATCCCTTATTTCGGTGAGTTCTGTAATGTGATATTTTGGCATCACCGAATAATATAAAAGCGCAGCTAGCGTCCTTTTTTACTTAGTTGCTTGGATAAGTGCACTCTTGGGATGTAGTATTCTTACAGTTGTTGGATCAAGCCAAGAGAGAGTAACTCATACTGAAGCCGGACTGATAGGTAAGTAAGTTTTTGTTGTTGTTCTGTTTTGTAGTTTTGGTGACGTCAGTGGACTCAAGGACGTCGTAATTGGTAGGGATCGTGGTTTTTACCGCTCAGACCATGGACAGGGTTTCACCCAAATCATTAACATTGGGGATAATCATTGGCTGACACTGTCAAACATTTTTGGGAACCACCTGTTTTATGGGAACCACCTTACACTAGCGACAGTTTGCAATCATTAAGCATCAAAAGAATGGAAGGAGGGATGAGGTACCCTATCGTTCTCGATCAAGTAGCATGCCAAATTTTGAAGAATGAGAAGTCATTAACCATGTTGGTCGAGAATGTCCAGCAGGAGGATCGAAGCGAAGATTGTGGCCTAATTGCCATAGCTTTTGCGGCTATGCTTTCTTTTAATCAAGATCCAGGTCAGGCAGTGATCAACCAAAGTGTAATGCACCGTGAGCTGTTGGAGAGTTTCCAGGAAATGAACATGAAACGATTCGTGGCTAATGTGGTTATCGTAGACGAGAAGAAGAAAACGAAAGCTCTGTATCATTGGACCCACGAACTGCATTGCATATGCCGCATGCCTGATGATGGCAGCAACAAGGTAGCTTGTTCCAAATGCAAAAAGTGGTATCATGAAAAATGCTTGCGGGTGATTGCTGTAGACTATGCTAGAAGGCTATGACTATGCCAGAAGGCAAGATGCCGCTGAAAGAAGACGATTTGCAGCCGCAAGGCTAAAGGTAAATTTGGAAGGGTACCACGAAAAAACAAAAAAGTATGCAAGAGAGTCACAAAGGGTAAAAGAAGTCTATGCGGCAATTGCAGCAACATACACCCCGTTTAAATTTAAAGAGGCTGTTTCACATATTGGCGGCATGAATAAAGATGACTGGCTTGAGGTAGAGGAAATTGAAAGATGTAATGATTTTCTGGGTGTGGCTTTGTCCAGTGAGATAGGAGATGATTTCGATCACTTCATAGTAATATTGCCTGGTGCTTTTCACTCTGATCAATGACTTCTGTCTACTGTCGTTCATGAAATGGCACATGTTTTGGATTCAGCAAGTGCAACAACCTTCCATCCAGCACATTGGACCAACTTTAAAAAGCTGGCAGATTCCTTTTGCGACACTTGAAGATAATCCATCCACCCTCCCAAAACCTTACCGTGGGATAAAACCAGATGAGGTTTTAATCTTAACAAAATCTAAAGAAGCCTCTCCCTGGGTGCAAAAGCAGCAGGATGTCGAGGAAGAGAGCAATGAGCACAAAAAAGATAAAACGGAAACGGAAAATGACGAAGAGGATAAGTAGAAGAAGTAAGAGGAAAAAAAATACGATAAAGTTTTAAAAAGGCCGTTTCCCACATTGTCTGCATGAATAAAGATGATTGCCTTGAGGTAGAGGAAACTGAAAGATGCAATAATTTTCTGGGTGTGGCTTTGTCCAGTGGGATAGGAGATGATTTTTATTACTTCATAGTGATATTTCTTGGTGCTATCAAGTATCATGAATGACTTCTGTCTACTGTGATTCATGAAATGGCTCATGTTTTGGATTCAGCAACTGCAACAACCTTTCATACAGAACATTGAAAAGGTTGGCAGATCTGTCCCGTGACACTTGAACTAAGCACAAAGAGGGAAAGACGAAAAAGAACAAAGACATCAACGAAGTAAAAAAAAAATGAGAAAGCAAAGACAGAAAAAAAAAATGGCAAGAAGAAATGGAAGACGAAGAAGAGGAGAAGTAGGAGGAGGAAAAAGAGGAAGGAAGAGCAGGGGAGCGATTAAGCTGGTAGTGAGAATGTCATCAATTGTCTCCACGGTAAAGGGAAGGACCGCCAGCCTGTAGGTAGAACATGAATGGATGAAGCGCACTTTACTCCAATCAGCGGTTTTCACAATGTCTCTGACTTCTCTGTGGCTTCCAGACATCCATATCTAAAAACATTCAAATTCTACTATCCAGATTAAGTGAACATATTATGTAATTAAACAACAATGAGAAACCAATTAACTTTTTCCACGAACACATGATATCGTCCAGAGAGAAAACATCGCCATAGTTACATACTACAACAGCACTTGAAGTGACTGGGTATATCATTGGCTTTTTATATGCCATATTTATTCGATTAAATGCAGTTATTGAAGTTTTAGCGTTTCTAATGTGGCGCTTATTCAAGGGCGGCGTTTATTTGGAAATCACTTTTTTCGATTCGCATCTTCAAGCGGCCATATCATAACCCTTCTTAGCAAAATTACTTTTCATATTAAACAAACAGCCAAAGCTGTTCACATTGCTATATAGTGACAGTCTAAAAAGCATTGACTAGGCACAGATAATTGATTAAATATGTATTTGCAAGGTTTTCCTACTCTTTCTGTGTATTTCAGTGCATCCTTTTTCAAACAGGCAGGATCTTTTTTAGTCCTTCTGTAACCTTTTGTATCAACACAAGAAGGCCTTTAGATTACTGATAAAATATATATTTTCAATGGTTTTATACTCTTTGTGTGTATTTCAGTGCATCCACTTTCAAACAGGCGGGATATTTTCTTGTACATGTACTTCTATAAATTCGCCCCTATATGTAAGGCACCCCTATATGCAAGGATGTTTGGTAACCTTTTGTATCAACACAAGAAGGCCTTTAGATTACTGATAAAATATAATTTTCAATGGTTTTATACTCTTTGTGTGTATTTCGGTTCATCCACTTTCCAGCAGGTGGGATATTTCCTCGTACTTCTGTAAATTCGCCCCTACATGTAAGGCACCCGTATATGCAAGGATGTTTGGTAAATTTGCCCTGCTCGCGAATAAGAACTGCCGATGTAAGGAGTTGGGAAAATGAAGTTTCTAACCTGCCGTTTTCTATGTTCATAAAGTTAATGTATGGAACTTTCTATAAATGGTGAAGAGATTTTTTTAAAAAGTAATGATGGTGAGTCCCCCATGCTACAGACGCTCCATTTGCGTGAATATCAAAACATTGGTTTTAATATACTGTACTTGAGTGCGTGACTATAACTGTCAACTCACCAATATATGCAAGTCGCCCCTAAATGTAACGTGCCCCTATATGCAAGGTAACGTTACCAACCACGGGCAATTCCAGTAGTCAAATTCTTCATGAAAGATGTTTTGTGTGAGTATAATAGCCGTTTTACTTTAGTATACCATTGATGATTGATTGAAATTATGCATAGTTTTTGTAAAGTGGCTTTTATTGCTTAAAACGTGAATCAGTCATTTGGAACAGACACCACTGTGATGCTAAATTCGGACTCCAACAGCTAGTATGAGCTATGGTTAAAGCCTTGGTGTAATCATGAACTATTTGCAGATAAAGAAAAGAAACTTTCCAGTAATTCATGTCAGTTTTTAATGTTTTTTTTTATTCTTTCCAGCTAGTGTCCAATTCGCACTCAAGTGTACAAAATTCGCATACAGTGTACAACTTCAATCAAAAATGACAAAAATGTACTCCACCTTTTTCTTTTCATCCCTCATCCCGCAGGAAGCCCATACGTAGTGAGTGAGTGTATAGTCGATGATATTCGATTGAAGAGGAGTTACAGTCAAACCAGGTCAAGCGTTCCTGTCGCTAATGAATGAATGAATTCATTAACGGAATAATGATTTTGTTTGTTGATTCAATAATCCATTCATAAAATGAACAATCCAATATTCATATTTAGCCTTGATTCTATAATAATTATTGAATGTTGATTCAATTACCGTTTTTTGCAAAAATGTATGTGGGGTGATTGGTGGATTTCGATTCCCGGCCTTTGTCAGTTTCTTTACGTTTGTGGTCTTTCTATTCAAGCTGTTATTTTGACTAAAGCCAATGAAAAATGCAATCATAAACAGCAGGAAAAGGGAAGCAAATACAATTAAACACAACAGACAAAAATAAAGAACAGGTAGTTTTTGTTCATAAACCAAATCAACATTTAATTACAGCATTGAAACAAGGTCCAATTTGACTGTTGGATTATTCATTTTATGACTGGAAATATTGAATCAACAAAAGAAATCATTTTCCATTAATGAATTTATTAGTTTGTTAGCAACGGAAACACTTGACCTGGTTTAATTGACTGTATAAAAAAGAAATGCTAGGAAGAGTTGGAAGAATAAAGGTGCATTATGTCAATGACAGTGTACAGTGTTTTTGTACATGCAAAAATTTTATTCTCAAGTAAATGGATCTAATATTTAAATAAAATATATTTCTTTTACAGTTGTGTGCAATGCTTCCAACCATTTCCTGAAGGATTGTTTTATGAGGTTTGTTAAATCCATTACTAAATATGTTGAACACAAAATACCTTTAGTCATAACATGAAAATTATTTTGGCGACACTTTAATGTAGAAATTTTGAAAAATCCTTATTTAGCGGCACTTTAATGTAGAAATTTTTCATAAAAATTTAATTTTGAAGCATATGTCACTTTTTGATTCATCCATTCCAGTTGTCATGCTGAAATGTGCACGCGACATCTTACACACATCAAAATTGACCGTCAAATTGCATGCATGTATGTGTGAAACTGACCAGATGACGGAATTTCATATTGTACTCACTTTAATTTAGCGACGCTTTAAATTTAGGGACACCTAATCATGATGCATTTTAATTTAGCTATGTTTAGAAAAATTGCTAAATTTGATTAAATTAAGGGTTACCAAAAGTTTCATGTAATAAGGTAGTTCAACCATGGCATAAAAGACACTATAAAATGTTGATTACATTAATAATTAATAATAATAATAATATTATTAATTAAGTAAATTAATTATTAATTGACTTAACCATTATAGTCAGAGTGACTCTTAAAAGAGAAAACCCTTCTTATGGCCACCTTGACAAATCCCTGATGAGCTCTTTACTACAAACATCAATTTTTTCATGTCAATCTCCTTATTAATATCACCAAGAGAAAAGGTTATGAGAATAAATAAAATGATCACCAAAGGGGAAATGTTCTGATCTTTAAAAAAATTCTCTAAATTAGCAGGAAGTATATTGACATCTGTGTCAGTCTGTACTGTATGTGGATATTTGGGTTTAAAAGGTTAACAGTACAATAAAAATTCCTGAGTAACAACCTGGCCCCAGTTGTTTTAAAGGTGGACACTGCTATCCTCTGTACAAAACACTATCCAGTGGATAGTGCAGTTATTGGTTTCCCTTATTATCCACCGGATAGAGATTTATCTGATGGATAGCACTATCCAGCATTTGAACAATAAGCTACTTTCGATATATTAAAATTCAGCATGATAGAGAGTCTTAGAGGACACAAACAAAGAAAATGAATAAAAAAGAATAATCATGGTTTATTCATTTTCTTTGTTTGTGTCCTCAAAGACTTGCTATCATGCTGAATTTTAATATATCAAAAGTTGCCTATTGGCCCCTGGCTTTAAGAACCTGTTTAGCCTAAAATTTGAAACAGGTTTATATTTTCTAAAATCTATAGAAATTCTGTACGCTTGTATTGGTATGCAGATTTTTCATAAGGAGTATTGCTAAATACTGTAAATCCTCTATTAAGCTCTCCCTCTGTAATAAGCCCCCCACCCCCACCCCCTCCTCCTCTCCCTGCTTATCATTATTCACTAATAATTGTTGGATTGCATTAATCAACTTAGTGTGGACTGATCCAGGATGGTTTATTCACCAACTGGAAGTTCAAATTTGTTTTTGTTCCTTGGCTGCATTACCTCCCACTTCTTGTGCTTGAGCTTTTCTTCTTTGCATTCTAGTTCTTTGTGGAGAATATTAATACCATCGTCTTTGCTAAATTAAAGCCCCCCCTTCTCAAATAAGCCCCCTGTCTCTATTTAAGCACCCCCTCATTTAATGGGGGGCTTAATAGAGGATTTATGGTACCACTAAATGTATACAATGTATCTTTTTTTCTTAACCTGTTTAGGCTTTCATGGGAAAATGCAGGCTCTTACTCTTGTTTTCTTTTAATATAATTGCATAATCAATAATAAGTGTTTCATTGTTGGGATGTTTAATGCTAACAGAACTGTTTCATGTTTGTAGTATGATGAGAGGCGATACTGTGAACAAGACTTCCAGACTTTGTTTGCTCCATGCTGCAAACAGTGTGGTAGGTTAAACATGTGTTTGTTGATCCCCGTAGGTCATGTCATTAAATCCAAAAAAAACACTGCAGGTCTATACATTATCAAGACTGATTACCGGTAATTATTTTTGTGTGGCTCAAGTTAGCTGCTTACTGTAACAATAGTTTTATCCGGGTTTATGGATGTTACATTCAGACCTAATATTATTAATAGAAAATATTAACAGTTCATGAACTTCTTGCATGTAAGCAGCCAACTGACTTGCCAAGATTTAGTGGATGCTTATTAGAGGTAATTGCCTCTGAGAGTTGAACAGTCATGCAGGTTTCTTTTTTCATTTTTGCATTCTGGAGTCTGTCAAATTGTCCACTCTTATTGGCGTGTTAGTGGTTTGTTATTCTGATCTACCGCTTGTGGCTCTGCTCACAAAAACTCTTCTCTAAAACTTTTTGTAAACATTTTTGAAAAAATTCTCTTTGTGTGTCCATTAGCCCTAATTCTCAAATAATTAGGGCTAAGAGACAAAGGAAATGTGAGAATCAACCTAGGTGAAAAAATTTTAAACTGAATTTAATTCAGACCTTTAACATATGTATTATCAAAATTTGAAAACAGATAATGCTAATATTAATGTTGTTAAATTATGACTTTAGGTAAGTTTGTGATTGGCCGAGTGATCAAGGCAATGCAGGCAAACTGGCATCCAGATTGTTTCCGTTGTGAGATCTGCAATGAAGCTTTGGCTGATTCTGGGTTTGTCAAAAATGCTGGAAGGTATGTATTTCTTAATGTGCTTTCTCAGGGCTGTGTTCTAGCTGAATCTGGTAACCTATGGGCACTGACTTCCAGGAAATCTTGGTACATTGCACCTTGAATTCATAGCTTACTGTTAGCTTTTGTTGCGTGGTGGGGAGTGGGACAGTGGTACCTCAGATTTCAATTGATGGGTATGAGGCAGACGACGATCGAATAGTATCCCATGATGCACCTCGATTCATGTTATATTATCACTGCGTACGTGACACATCATGATCAGTAATCTTCAGCACGCGCGAAGTGAACATCGATCGCAGTGCTCGATGTGGATGGTTTCCAAACATGTTTCGGTAAGCAGCTTCTGCTTTTGAGATTATCGAGTTGGCTAATATTCACTGTGCTTTAAAGGAGAATTTCAGCGTTGCTTTGACTGAGAAGGGTTTTACATGTATTTCACTGATCTGTCGAGAACTACTTGTGCCGCGCTCGGTCACACTGTAAACACAAATTATAAGACTCGCAATTGATAAGCTTCACTAGGTTCACTAGGAGAACCCCAGGCCAGAGGAGAACCAAAACTATGACTGATCTATAAAGTGGTTCCAACAAAACATCCGCAATGCTGTGAAGCTAATTACCAAAGGATAATTTATTACAGCATCGCTCAAAAAGAGCTGAAGTTTACAATGGCAGTTACAAATAAAATTTAACCTATCGATGCGACAAACAATTCTCTGAAGCACAGTTTACCCAGTACTGACTCAAGCAATCTTCAAGGAAATTTCCTGGCCAGAATACTGATCTGTTCTTTTGAATAAATAAAGTTTCTGCATGATGTTTCTTTTTCAAATTCTGAGCAGGCTTCAGTTTACGTTGTGCCGGCTTGCATGCTGCGTGGTTCCTTTCTTTGGGTTCTTTTCACACTGAAACACACCGTTATACACCGCTCCTTCTTCGAATTAAAATAATTATAGTCAAATTCCTTTTAAAAATAACCTCTTTGAAAATACAAAGTGATTGCTTCGGCATAAAGCGCTCTCAAAAGCGCCCAACAGATTGTAGCCTTCATCAGGCTTTACACATATATTATGACACATGGCGTTGAAATGTGATAAAAGATTCGAAATTTCAGCCATCTTTGGTCGACAAAAAAGTCTTCAAAATGTGGGTACTTCTGGGTACTTCTTGGCCTGTACAACATTCAGGACTTCATTTTGCTGGCGTGAGGTCCACATTTGTAAGATTTCAACATATATTCCAAAAAACCTTGAATATTCATGACCTGGTTGTGGGTCACTGAACACTTTGTGATGGGAAGACTAATTGGAACCATGAAAGTAAATGTTTCTAAGTGGAAATTTCGCTCTTAAGCCATTGCAAATCGGAGAAATCATGTCAAATAATGAAATAATGTAATTTTTTTACTTTTACTGGAAATCGAGTGAGAAAAAAGCCGACGAGAAAACGACCTTATTTCACGATGGAATCTGCTATGACTGCGATATTGCGTGATGCTTCTGGAAAAATGCATCATGGGATACTATTCGATCCTCCTCTGGGTATGAGGGAAACTTTTTAGGATCCATTGGAAATTTTCCATTCTGGGGGTTTGGGGAGTATGTTAGTAATAAAGCAATTGTTTCATAATTAATTTTGTGTTTTTGTTTCTTCCTTTTCTCAGGGCACTTTGCAAGAAGTGCAATGCAGATGAAAAGACTAAAAGTAAGTAGTAGTGATTATAAATACACAGATGACTCATTTGTTGTTGTTGTTGTTGTTGTTGTTGTTGTTGTAGTTATTTCAATTTGTTATACTGTTACTTATTACCTTTTTGTTTTTTTTTTCTCACTAGAGACTGGTCGTTATGTTTGTCGTAAGTGTCAGTAAGTACCTAATTTTATTTTAATAGTGCTTCTAGAAATACTCCTTCAAAAAAATCAAGAAATGGCACAAAATATATGACACAGTAATCAACTGTTGTAATCAAACAAGATTTTGATTCTGTTTGTGTTCACAGTACTTACATCCCTGAAGGACAGCATATTATGTACATGGGTGAGCCAGTTCATCCCTGGCATTATAACTGCTTTTCATGCAAGTGAGTGTTCTTAACAAGTAGTCATTATACTGTATCATGAAAATAACATTAGTTTAGGGATCTTTTCGGTGGTACAAATACATCCATATTATTTTATTTCGCACTCTCTGTCCGGCCTATTAAAGAGAAACATTTAATTTTGTTTGCCAAGAATGGTTTTGTTTGCTTCTGGAAGCAGGAAGATTCTCATTTCTTCAGCCATAGAAAATAATTTATTTTCCTATATAGTCTTAGGACAATGCCAGGGGTAGAGTCGCGCATAGGTTTGGGAAGGGTATGTGCTGGGCACCCAGGTCTTCAAATTTGAACCCGATTTAAAAAATATGTATTTACATCCAACATGATGTACCCATACCCCATGCTTCCAATACCCTCTTCCAGGGCACTCTTGTTTTAAAGCTTTCTTACTTCAGTTCAAAATTAATATTATGCCCTCTCCTTGGAAACCTGTTGATTCAGATACTTTTTTCTATGCAAAGAGAATGGCTAATATCCAGCGATCTTCCCCCTTGCCCCTCCCCCCCACCCCCAAAAAATAAAATCACTGCAATACCCATCGGGCAAGTTAAGAAGAAAATTCAGTAGCCTCACTCCTTACCTTTCTGATAGATACAGTGGTGTGAATTAAAACAAGTACATTTGTGTTGTTTAATAGCAAGGAGCTGGACCATCTATGCCGTAAGAAAGAAAATGAGTTGTACTGTTTGAGGTGCCATGACAAAATGGGAATACCAATTTGTGGAGGTTGTAGGTGAGTTTTAGGTGTAAAATGCATAACGGCATAAGAATACAATAACATACCGTAAATCCTCTATTAAGCCCCCCAGGAGGCTTATTTATTTCAAGCCCATTTGAGGAGGGGGGGGGCTTAACAGAGACCGGGGGCTTATTTGAGAGGGGGGCTTATTTAATTTAGAAAGGACGATGGTATCAGTTGTCCATAAAGAACTAGAATACAAAGTGGAAAAGCTCAAGTACGAGAAGTTTTAGGTCATGCAGCCGAAGATCAGAATCAAATCCAAATTTCCAGTTCGTAAATAAACCATCCCGGATCAGTCCACATGAAGTTTTACGGTCGTGATTGATTAATACAGTCTATCATTTATTATTGTAGAATAGTTAGGGGTGGGGAGGGGGCTTATTAACTTTCTTCCCCTGAAAAGGGGGAGCTTATTAGAGGGAGGGGGCTTAATAGAGGATTTACGGTAATGTGATTATTACACACTTTAGCCATCTTAGGCCACTAAGGCAGTTGCCTGGGTGAGTATGGCATGGGTACGTTGTGTAGTTTCATGGTGATGCAGATAGGTTCAGTCACCATTGATGTAATATAAAAGACTGAAAACAAGATACTGAACCACGTGACAATACTTTAACTAACAATAGTTTCTGCAACACTAAGAAATACGTTAGCCTCCCATGTAGATGTTCTTAGGGGTTCATCACACATTCTTGGCCCCTGTCTGTGGGGCAGGAACGTGTGACGAGCCCCTAAGAATAAATTATCTGTGTAGGACTCTCGGCTACTTTTTTCGAGCTCCCGATAGGCTAGTAACACCCATGTCATCTGAGAAGCTCAGCCTCCAGAGGCTGATTAAAAGCAAGGGCAAGAGGCTGGTTAAAAGTGTGGCACAAAGTTGTAATTATTTTGACTTTGCTTGATTTTTCTGCTTTAAACATTTATGGCAGTTCAGATCAGTAGGTGGTATTTGAGTCTCGCATCTGACTAATACACATCTGTGATCCCCAATACAAATCAACTGTCAAGATAAATTATTAATCAAAATAATCAACAATTTGTCCAAATTCCTGCTTTGCTTATAGTATTCATTAACTTTTGATACACATGCGTGTACTGATTGTTTCATTTTACAAGTATGATAAAATATTTGCGGGAGATCTGTATGGACTTTACAGTGGCTTGCATTAAGCCCACCAGTGTAATCGCCCATACAGTTCTCATGCACAATTTTGAGACTGGAGTTGACCTAGCTTGTGCCAGGCTCTCACTTAGTTCAGACGACGAGTGAAAAATGCAGGCTATTAAGGAAAAAGTGAGCGAGCGAAAAACGGTGGGAAGAGAGTCTCACCTAGCCTCCCACGTAGACGTTCTTTGGGGTTTGTCACGCATTAGGAATGCGTGACGAACTCCTGAGAACGTCAGCGTGTCTCTCCTGCTCCCTTCAGATCAATTTAGGTTTCTGGGAAACTGCACACCTACCCCTCCCCTAAGCCATCATTTTGCCCTAAGTGAGAAGTAAGTGTAAATGTGAGCTTAGGCGAGGGGTAGGTGGGCAGTTTCCCAGAAACCTAAATTGGTCCCTCCCTTCTCTCCCCAGCCCACGCAGTACTCGCGCCAATTTTCTTGATCCGCTTTCCCCATAGTCTGCTACACAGCCGTTTCTATCGTTGCGTGACGTCACTAAAACAGCTGTGTAGCAGACTACTTTCCCCACCATCGTGGAGGCTGGAACAGGCTAGAGCTGACCTTGTTTTGATACAACCCTTTCCGCTTTATTATGCAAATCATGTGGTTAATTCTGTTTCTAACAAGTATTTTTAAGCACAATTTCCCTAAGAAATCAAGGGAGGTTTGTATCAAAACAAGCTCAACCTCAGCCTCATGTTGATTCAAATGCAAGGGCACTAAGCCCACAACTGTAAATGGTGTATTGACAGACTAATGAAGGTTAAGCGATTTAGGTGAAATGTTTGGGTTAAATTTATGACGTTCTAGTCAAACACTTTGTCTTTTTTGTAACAATACATTGCAGTAAAATGATTATATTCTTCTTAGGCGGCCAGTTGAAGAGCGGGTAGTACACGCCCTTGGAAAAGCATGGCATGTTGAGGTACATATAGTGCAAGTTTTGAAAATAAAATTGTGAGTTCATTAATAACAGTTAATAGACATGGTATTGACAATGATGAAAGGGAGTTCATGCATTCATGATGCAGTGGCAACAATAGTCTGCGTAGCTGGTGCTTTTGCGTGACGAGCGTGCAATGTGTTCGCCGCTTGCTTGCGCTGCCCTGCATTGCCCTCGTCAGCAAAACCGCCTGTTACGCAGGCTATTGGGACGAGATCGTCAAAACTGTCCGCTTTATGAGCAAAATAACAACCTTGCACGTGCATCACCCTTTTTGGAAAAAATAACTACCCTTCACGTGCATCACACACTTTTGGTTCATTTCTTTGCCGTCACTACTGCACAACTACGACGTGAAGTGTGCTAATACTTGCTTACGCGACATTTAAAAACAAAAACCTGAACACTTGTCGACAAGTGTTCCTTTTTTTCTTTAAGAACTAGAAATCGGTAAATTCCCCTACAATTGACAAGTTAAGCGAGTTGGAATATTAAAAAGATCGTGACGAAGTTTGAAAGAACATGAAAATGAATTTCATTTGAATAGTTATTAAAACTACCAAGATTGTTTAACAAAACGTATGTTTTTTCCACAGCATTTTGTATGCGCCAAGTGTGAAAAACCATTTTATGGTCATCGCTATTATGAAAGGAGAGGCCTGGCATACTGTGAAACCCATTATAACGAGGTACGATGATCTGCAATTCTAGGAAAGTCTTGAATAAAGTTGCTCGGTGGAACTTCACATTGTCGCTAGAAGGACACACACACGTGTCCATTTTCCATAGGTGTTCATTTTATAGAGCTACAACCACTTGAAAAAATGGTGAGACACTTCCACGAAAAAACGACCTTTCTTGCTTCAAATCGCTCCTGGTCACAGGTCTGTGAGATATAATAATGACCTCCCTCCTCCCTCCCATTCAAAGTTGTTCCTCCAAGTTTTGAGGATGGTCTTGTATTGCTAGCAACTTTGATAAGGGGTGGAGGGGGGATCACAAGCACAAGATCATGGACAGGCCATTTATGCCAAAATACGGTACAGTGTCTCAAGTACTTTTGCAACTGGTTGTAGCGATTGCCAAGTGTGCAGAGGAGTATAGTTGGTATTAGACCATAAACAATTTTATATCTATTTGATTGCCGTTAATCTGTTTCTTTTCCCATAAATTTTCACTCTACAATTTGAGTTAAGTCATTTGTTACGGTTCACCACTAAAAAATCCTTTGTTCAGTACCTTTTGCTCACCGTTTGAGTGCCAGTAGGGAGCTTAAGCAACGACGACGTTGACGGCAACGAGAACGGCAAAAAAGCGATAGGTTTGATCGGTTTAGCTGATTGAGCAAAACAACAATCTGCACGTGCATCACGCTTTTTTGTATATTTCGTTGCACGACCACGACGTGAAACTGCTTAATTCCTCTCTCTGTGGATGACGTGTCTACTCACCTCTCTGTAAGGGCCTGTTTACATGGAGGTGGGGAACCCCAGATAGGTGAGGTAACATGTGCCGAGTCACCCCACCTATGATGTAAACGTGACCCAATTAAAATGAGTGATTATATGGACAGGCGGGTTACCTCACCTACCTGGGGTCCCCCACCTCCATGTAAACAGGCCCTTAGACGGACACCTTCTTCAGGACCGGACTCGATGGTCCGCCTTGGAGATGTTCTGAGCAATATTTTCCCGACTTTTGTTTTAAGCATTCTTATCGGTGTGTGTTTATGAAGATTCTGACTTGTCTGATCTGTCCCTGCAGCTCTTTGGTGATGTTTGCTTTGAATGCAACAAAGCCATTGTAGGAGATGGTAAGCGACCGATTATAAAGATTTGGTTCGATATTTAACGCATTACGTTTTCTTTAGACTGTTTTCCTACACATAGGCCTTGTCAGTTTTGCTCTCATTGTGGTTGGCTCCTCCTAAAATGTTCTGCAATTGGTATGGGATTTAATGGAGCCGAAACCTATTGTGGAATTGCACATATTTTAGGCATCCTACTGATGATGAAAAGTTTATACGACCTATGCATATTTCGAGCAACGACAATTTGCTGTCTGTCCCCTTTGAATTGTTTGAGATATTTGGTTGCTTTACTTTTTATTTTAATGTTACATCTCACCAAAAGTAATTTTATTGTTGTTAGTCAAAGTAAAATGTAAATTTTGTTTATTTACTATCAAATTTTTCTGCAGTGGTAAATGCGCTTCACAAGTGTTGGTGTGTCCATCATTTCACCTGCATCGGATGCAATATTTCTTTAAATCTCAAGTAAGTACCACCGATGTCAAAATTTTGCAATAGTGAATACCGTTCAATTTATACCAAAACCGCACAATTTTTCCATATCTAACAAGTAGATCTGAGCATAGTTACGAAAACATGGGAATGGAATTTTATCACTCTGACAGTGGCACAGGCGAAGCAGAAAAAAAGAAATCTGAGTTCTCCCACCAGGAGTTTGTTGACTAGTCCAGATGCAATACCACTGAGCCACAAACAATTTCAACCAATCACAAACACTACCCCCATCTGGGTAGTGACGCGTCCTTAGTATGGAATTTCTGCGCTCGTTTCTCAGACGTCATTTGGCGGGAAAGCGAGTGGTGGCGTCGCAAGATGTCGGCTGTTTTCTCAGACCATGTAACAGGCTATGTTCCTTTTATCGCACTTAAACCTGAGAAACCATTTTTTTCTTGATTGTTGATTATTTTTTCTAGGAGCAAATTCCATGAGTTTGACATGCAGCCCCTGTGCAAGAAATGTTACGAGAAGATGCCCCTGGAGTTGAAAAAGAGGTTAAAGAAAGCAGAGCAGACAGCGGGCAGGAAGTAAAGCTAAACCTGCGCTTTGGTCATGTTGTTTTGCAAAGAAGAATATGTTTAACAAATAAAGAAGCCTGGACTGTGCTGTACAGTACCGCTAATGATCCCTAACCGCTCAGTGCTCCGTTCTGTTGTAAAGCACGCAGGAAGCGGCTTGAGCACGAAAGAGGTGTAGAGGGAAACACGAGATACGGTTGAATGTTTTCCCTTCTGCGTAAGAACTCTAGCCGCTTCCTAAGTGCTTTTTAATACAATAGAGCTCAGTCAAGGCTTTTTATTCGCTTTATGTCAAAGAATCCGTTAAATTTTCCCACGCATTAGTTTCTAATTTTCAAAACAAACTATTGACAGTTTGCGTGCCAACTTAAGCTCTCATAAAGCATGCTTTTTGAACCAATCAGAGCGTGCGTCATATTTGAACTTTATTAAAAATATCATTATGTTCAGTTTTCTAGAGTTATATTTTCCCGTTCCTTGAGTCACAAAGGAGCATTAAAGTGTCTTCACTAATGTAAGCGTTCCAGAAAATCTTTGGAAGACCGGAGCCTTACAAGAAGTGAGAGGGATGCCTTTCCCGGCTCTCGAGGGCCTTTCAAAGATATCCCTAGTTAGTTCAGTGCTGTCGTGCTCACCCGCGTAGTCTCTCACAAAGCGTCTTCGTTCTTCTTTACCAGCGGTCTGGAAACGGTAGCTTTCATTAAGCCAATAAGTGAACTTACGCAACAGGACGGGAGAAGAAAGTCGACGACAAACCCTGTGTGACAAGCGTGACGATATTTTTGTTAATGCTTTCCACCAAACTTCATCATCCTTCAAATGCATCTTTTTGTAAAAGACCAGAAACCATCGATGTTGAGTGAAGGTCACGACAAAACACCTGTCACACAGCAACTCTCTTTCCCAGAGTTCTCTCATGGGAACGAGGCTGCACAGGCTGGATCGCATCTTGCACCTGAAGTCACTACTCGCTTGGTGGGTTATCAATCGTTATGGTTGAAGGACAAGGTTACTTCGAAAAGAAAGCAATTTTCCTTATCACTAATAAAGTGATGACAGTATGGTTGGTTAGCAACCTTTTTTGGGGCATCTAGCCTAGCCTGGGACCAGGCTGCGCTTTGCTCACCGATTTTTGCTGTTTCATCTCTTTTTTTGCCTTTTTCTCCACTACGGCAGTGGAGCTTAATACCAGGTCATGTGGTATCGAAATCCATTTGACTCTAGCAAGGTTTTAAAACTACCAACTTGGACCCCAGAGCCGGGTTGTTCAAAGCTGGGTTAAGATACCGTAAAATTCCTGCCTCGTACCCAGACGTCTCTCTATTGATGAAATTGTGCGCGCAAAGGAAGACGGGAAGGAGACAACTTCAGTCAACTCCGGGAGAGGAAAGCAGACGGTAAATTATCGCTTCTTAGAATTTCTACCTAAAGAACTGATCATACAAGTACGTGATGACCTCTTTTCTTCGATCACCCCAAAGGCGGGAAAATTCACCAGCATTACGGAGGGTCGACGATGGCGACAGCGACGAGATCGTTGATATTAACCAGCTGACAAATTTTGTATCATGGAAGCTCGGACAAAAAGTCCTCCTTTTCGTCAATAGTGAACTTACGTAACAGGATGGATTAGGATAGAAGACGGCAAAACCTCTTGACAATTGTGGCAATAATTGGGTTGAAAAAAATTGCCACTAAACTTCACCTTTCTTTTCACAGGTCTGTTTGCAGAAGACAGCAATGTTAAGTGAGTATCGCGACAAAAGTAATTGCCCTGTCACGTTTGTCACACACAAACGTTTTGCCGTCGTTCTTTTCCACCCGCCGTCCTGGACTCGTGGGTCCAGTTGGTCGAAGGCCAATTATCGCCAACCCAAAGTTAAATTTTAACCCGGGTTTCTTTTTTCTTTTTTTCAAAAGCATTTTCCTGGATAATTAGTTTAAGAGCATCCAATCATCAAATTGTAGACAAACAGAATAAAACTGAATTTTCTTTTTAAGCTCTCACATCTGAATTCAAATGTCGCGGTAACCCTGGGTTATCTTTACTCTGCTTTGGACAACCTTGCCTGGCCCGGTCAGGGTGTGTGCTTATTATTCCCAGCATCCCCGCGACCCCAACTACGCTCTACAGGAGAATGTTGTTTTAAAAACAACGAATTAAAAAAAGTAGGGAGTGACAACGACTCAGATTCACATCTAAATGTTTAACTTTCATCAGTTCAAAAACACTACACCAAAATTCTAGATCGTAATCTCTATTCTTACCGGACAGTCAAGCGTCACACGAGGTAAGCACGTCAACCGGAAGTGGACCTTTTTGCATTCTAGGACAGTGGCTTTGTCTGAAACTTCTGGCAAACCGTGTTTTCAAGAGTAAAGACACTTGGCAATACAAATTTGGTACCGTCAAGGTGTATTAAGGGCAAAGGGCCTAACTTCCGGTTAACGTGCGTCGCTCAAATACTTCTTTACGCTGCACCAAGTAACACACTGCGAAACTCTAGGGAAACTACCCGCGATTACTATAATTTGTCAGTAAAAGAGCATTATCGTCATTATAAACATAGCACATCTTTATGCATTCATTGCAATAAGGAAAAAAGTATTTGTCAAATGTTGCCTGGCGGCCTATCTTTCTATCGAGTATTTCGGTCAACTCTCACTTCTAGCAGTTTCAGACTGTTCTTGCCGACTTAAACCTACTTCTTCTGCTTGTCGTCATCTACGTTAAGCTTCTCTGCCTCTTTTGTCAGCTGTTCAATGTCTCCTTTGGACAAACGGCCCTTGTCATCTGTGATGATAATCTTGTTCTCTTTCCCAGTGTTCCTATCCACGGCAGACACGGTCAAGATTCCATCGCGATCAGCATCAAATGTGACTTCAATCTGTGGTACACCACCTGGAGCAGGAGGGATGCCGGTCAGCTCAAACTTTCTAAGATTATTATTGTCCTTCGTCATTGCGCGTTCACCCTCAAACACCTGGATCAATATAGAGAGCTGGTTGTCAGAGTACGTGGTAAAGACCTGGGTCTCCTTTTTCGGAACTGTGCTATTCCGTTTGATAAGGGATGTCATGACACCACCAGCTGTCCCAATACCAAGCGACAAGGGAGCCACATCCAAAATTAGAATATCTGCCACAGATTCGCTCGTGTCCCCTTTCAGGATAGCTGCCTGTATTGCAGCACCATAAACTACAGCCTCATCAGGGTTGATGCTCTTGTTTAGTTCTTTTCCATTAAAGAAATCCTGCAACAACTTTTGGATTCTGGGAATGCGCGTAGAGCCGCCAACCAGAACTATTTCATGGATTTGAGATTTGCCGAACTTTGAATCCCTCAGGGCCTTCTCTACTGGTTCCAAGGTACCACGGAACAAATCACCGTTCAATTCTTCGACTCTAGCACGGGTAATCGATGTGTGAAAGTCGATTCCCTCGAACAGAGAGTCGATTTCAATGCTGGCCTGTGCAATTGAGGACAGAGTCCTCTTTACTCTTTCACACTCAACTAGCAAACGCCGCACAGCCTGCTGGTCGTCAGAGATGTCTTTCTTGAATTTCCTTTTAAATTCTTGAATCAAGAAGTTACCAAGGCGATGGTCGAAATCTTCACCTCCAAGATGGGTATCTCCACTGGTTGCTTTGACCTCAAAGATGCCATCCTCGATGGTGAGAACAGAAACATCAAAGGTACCACCACCTAGGTCAAAAATGAGCACATTCCTCTCACTACCAACTTTTTTTTCCAGTCCATAAGCAATGGCTGCAGCGGTGGGTTCGTTGATTATACGAAGAACATTGAGACCAGCAATACTTCCTGTTTAGAAATGCAAAGTAGGAGGTAAGTATCTGAAAAGCAAGATCATTGCTGACTGGAATATTTTCACTTAATCGAACCTCGACACCTCTCTTTTATAGACTGCTGCTCTTGGTTCCAATGAGGCAAAACTTCCAACATTTTAAGATTAACTATGCAAGACAGGACCTAGCATTCATATCGGAAGCTATGCGAGAGTATTATCTTAATAAATAATATATAAAGTAGGAACCTAGTTAAAAACAAGCTCGGAGATGAACCCTTAAGGAGATTTTACACTGAGGGATGCTGAAACATATATTTTGACGACCACATCCAAATCTTGCTGCTTTAAGAAATACAAATCAATCTCTGATAAAGAAAGCGTCGGCAGAAAAAGACTCAAGTATTAACTACAGAGAAGCCACTGAGCACAAGTTTTTAAAGAGAGTTACAACGTAATTCTACCCAGCGGGGACCGGGGAAGGGGAAGGGGCACTCAATTAAGTTATATACGGGGAGGCTCCGCACCGAGGTCCGATCCCTTACCCTTTCTATACCATTTTTCCACAGAAAAGGTGCCCCGTTTTTCATATATCTTCTATTTACAAATGTACCCTTTTTATATGCCTAGTAAGAGCATTGCATCCCGTTTAGCTACTACAAATGCACAGTCTGTTAAACATTAATAAGTCACAAAAGCAGGACGTTTTCTGTTCATTTTTAAAACCCAAGATGCTTCTGCTAGCCGGCTTAAAAGTCCCTTTACAGTCCGAAATGACGGATTTCCCTCCCCTTTCATATTCATGAAACAGTAAATTTCCTACTCTTCCATATGAGCCTAAAAAAGGAAACTCTTTTGGAGCGGGGCCTTCCCTTATTGGCCATTTTAGGGAGTACCTCCCGGGAATTCTACCTACCAGCATCTATGGTAGCTTGCCTCTGTGAATCATTAAAATAGGCCGGTACGGTGATTACAGCATCAACAACTTTTTCACCGAGATAAGCTTCTGCGGTTGCCTTCATTTTGGACAAAACCATTGCGGAAATCTGGAATAAGAAAACGAAGACCACATAACTTCGGATTGCTAACTGGGTAAGCAACACTTGTAAAAATTAGACTCTTCACTGTCCAGATAAAATTGTTACATGACTGAATCCCCGAGTGGGCAGAATAAAGCGAATCCTGCGCTATGATTGGCTAACCGAGCGGGCAAGGTGGGCCATCCTTGGCCACTCGGGATTTCCCGCGTTGGTCCCCCAAGAAAACTTGCAAGCTTGTTCGGTCAAGATGGCTTGATATTGACCTCGTTCTTTTTTGCCTTTTTATTTTTACCCTTTCAACTTGTTCAATATTTAGCGATCTTGCCCGGATAAGCTTGGTCAGTAACGCAAAAAATTTCATGTTTTCGTCAATTTATTTGAAGAAAATGCGAACTAAACCGGCGTGCACACCGATCTGCCGCGCGAGGACTTTGTGGGTTGGGAATCTTGGGGCTTTGTCACGCGTCCCCCTACCCCTCTTCCCCCTCTAGAAACTAGGAGATTTTGAACAGATTCACTACATTCTTGCCTCTTACCCCCTCGAGATTTAATTAGCCAGTGCTCGTTTCATTTGCGTTTTCTTTGCTTCTTTTTTTTTTTTTTAAATCCAGTTTGTGTTGGAAAAACAGAGTCTGTGAACAGTTTTGTAAAAACAAATCACTATTTCGTGCTGCAACGCTGTATAGTAATTCTCTGGTTATCTCCTTTTTCCGTCCCTTAGGGACCGTGGGTTCGAGGTTGAATTGGAACAACGAGAATGAGATGGAAGGGTCTTACCTCTTCGGGGAAAAACTTTTTAATTTCTCCTTTGTGCTCAACTTGGATCTTCGGTCTTCCGCCATCCTCTACAACCTGAAAGTGAATATTTAGTATTGAGCACATTAAATTTATTAAGCCGCGTCGTTGCTAACACTGAGGTTTTTTTTTCCTTTTGGCGAGAGTCAAATCTCCTGAAAGAGCATGCCCTTGGACTAGAAAAAATGTACTCTTGAGAAAGGTGTCCGCGAAAGGGATCGAGTTAGAGGCGTTTGTAATGCTTTGGACTGGGACCCCTACTACGTGCGTTTATGCATTTTGATCTCTTGTCTTCCAGCAAGAGAGATCTCTTGCTTCCAGTAAAATGATCAAAACCGAAGGTTTTTGATATTGTATCCAAAGTGGAGAGTATGGACCTTGGACTGGATCTGGGTTCCCAGAGCGTCCCCTCGCAATCTCGCAATAAGCCTGCTAACGCAGACGTCACTGCTTCTGATCGTGGCTTTCCGAGAGTAAGCGGTTGGAGAGACCGGGAATGCACATCTTCGTTCGCATCGCCGCATGTAAAGTAATTCGGATTCCGGTATACGGTAATACCGTAAACTGCCGCTTATAAGCCCCCCCGGTTGTAGGCCCACCTACATGCAAACAAAAAAATACATCCGATGATAAGCCCATCCGGATATAAGCCCCGGTTACAGTTTTGAGTTTGCTTTGAAATTTAAGTGAATTCGATTTATTGCTGCCTGTTTAAGGCTTCAATCGTACGAGTAATAAATTTAAATCATACGTCGATCAACAGTGGTTTTGCTCATTTCGAAACGTTTTTTGTCGTCCGCTTATAAGCCCATCCGGATATAAGCTCCCTCGTTTATAACCCCACCCAAAACCCCTTATAAACATGTATAAGCCCAGGGCTTATAAGCGGCAGTTTACGGTATTTGCTTGTGGAATCCGAAATCCTGGGCTTTGGAATCTGTAACTTCAATTTCAGTTCAATTCAATTCAATTTTTATTGGTCAGTTAATTACTAAGTATTACCAGAAACTCACAAGGGGTTCAAAACGCCTTATGAGTTTTTGGTATTACATCTATAACACAGGGGCAGATCCAGGATTTTTTTTAGGAGAGGGTGCACTCGTCTCTTGCTCTACTTCAACACCAATAAACCACATAGTGTTTTTTTTGCAGAATACCAGTTGTATTAGAAAACCGCAGGTCATCTCAGGGGGGGGGGGTGCGCACCCCCTGCACCCTCCCCCTAGATCCACCCCTGTAACATAATCTGTTAGCAGGAGATCTCTGCAAGCTCAGATGAGCTTCCCACGGAAGGTCCCCTTCAATTTATGCTTTACAAACATTCGCATTGAATATGGTGGCCTTACACATTGTTAAGCAGCAAGAGTATTACACTGCATATATGTTCCACTATGTAGAGTCAGTAAATTTCTGTTGAACAAAACATTTAATTTTTTTTTCCTTCGGGATTTCTTGAGTTGAGTTAAGTCATTACAGTTGTTTGAAACAACTACAATGACTTAACTCAACTCAAGAAATGCCGAATCCCGCTAACGATTGGGATCCGGAATCCAAGTTCCACTAACAAGGAAACTGGATGCGAGTTACTGGATTCCGGAGTCGTGGAATCCAGAATTGAAGACTGTCTAAAGCCTGAATTAAGCCCCATTTACACGACATTCATTTTGGGTCCGGCACTCCTAAAAGTGGTCACGCAGGCCGTTACTTTTGGCTCGACCCGCCTGATTTTTTGCCGTGTTAATGCAAAGTTTTTGGCACGCAGTCCGAAAGAATTAGGCGAGCCAGGACCACCTCGGGAATTGGTCCTTGCCAGCCTAAACAGTGGCCCGCGCGCCAAAAAGAGATTTTGCGTGGCATTCGGTCACTGATAGGAAATCGCTGACGCCATCCTTCTCCTTATAGCTTCACAAACGTCCTTGATACAAGTACACACAATCGCAGTAGACACCCCAAATAAGTTTGCAATAGTTCTATATTCGGATGTGGAAGCGACATAATACAATGTTATCGCTAGTCGACGATTCGGAGTAACTTCCGTTGGCATAGGTGTATCCTGACAAGCAAAATGTTCGGAAATCTCCTGCAGAATATATTCAAAAGTTCCATGGGTTTCTCTGAAGTTTTATTACCATAAGTAAGTCTTGTTTCAGCCATGTCAAACCATACAAAAGAGTGCGGATGAGCCCAAACCTGTCTCAGTCGCGGAGGATTTAAGCAGCCCAAAATAGCCTGCAAAAGGCCCTATCAGGACCTATTGTCGGGGTTTAAAAACCTTAAAAAATTGTTTTGATGATGACCTTGTTTCTTTTCCTTTTCCGTGAGCTTAAAACCCATAAAATTGCTTTTTGTACTCGCGTATCCGCCATTTTTTTTTACTTCCGCGACTTCAATGTTTTATACAACCCGCGAAAAATTATGCTGATCGTTAAGTGCGGGTGACTTTTGGCGGGAATTTTATGTCAAGGCCTCAGGAAGCGCTGTAAAAAGGAGTGTCGGCCCCAAAATGAATGTCGTGTAAATGGGGCTTAAGCTACCTTACATGGAGTGAGTTCTCAGGCTACCTTAGTACGGAGTTGATTCAACTTTATTGTACCGTGGATAACGCAGCCTGTTATTACCACGTATTTGCGCCCCCCAAAAAACAGTAGCTAGCGCTGTTATACTGAAAGAGAATGGTCGTTTGTCATCATAAATTTCGTTTAACATAAAAAAGGTTAAGGATCGGACTTAATGTTAATAATCTCTAAGGCATTTGGAAATCGCCGATAAAAAAAATTAAGTGCAAAGCCCAGCATCTGTGTCGGTTCTCGTTTGAGATCTACTTTTAGGAGTTTTCTGGCAGTCACGACCATAGTTAGTAGAGGGGACTAACTATGTCACGACAGAGAGAAAACCGTTGACAAAAAAAACCATAAAACAGCCATAAATCGGCCCGTGGACCACACAGGAGAGACGTACCACACATTTTAAGTAAGGCAAACTGTATTTTATTGAAGTACTTTCATTTTCGTAGGTTACAGAAACGATAGGTTTTTTTTCCATACAAATCCTTATCTTTTGAATGTTACGCAACAATGCCGATGCTCGCCGATGCTCATATTTCGAGCTTGGGCTACCTGTGCTCACACGTTAGTTTATCGATGACGTAATTTTCGGTAATTTCCCTCTATTATTTCATCGATGTCTTTTTGTCTATATAATAAAAAGAACATTACACGGCGGCTTGAACATATGAATTTTATTTTCTAGTGGCAAAAACAATATTTTACTCACTCGCTACGCTCGTTCGTAAAATATTGTTTTGCCACTCGAAAACAAAATTCATATCTTCGCGCCCCCGTGTAATATCCTCTCTATATATTTTACACTTAGTTTTTTAAACAGCTGTAAATAATTAATGTTTCAATTTATTTTATTATCAGGAGATAAACTAGAAAGGGATAACCTCTTTTATCTCCTTTTCACTTTTCTATGGATTTGTGAATAAACAGTTATTATTATTAACTTCAGATAGATCAGGATTTATTTTATTTACTGGTATATGGCTGGCTTAATAGGTGTGCGCTATCCTCAATATTAACCCCATTGATAGGTCTTGATAGTCATAAGTGAACAAATTACACACCGCATGGACGGTCCAAGAGCTTTTTGGTTTTGTATACAGAAAATTAATCAAGTTATGTAAACAGTTAACTCAGTACCTTAAAAGGCCAGTGTTTTACGTCTGCTTGGACGCTCGGTTCTTCATATTTTCGCCCAATGAGACGCTTCGAGTCTATAAGAAAACAAAGTAACGTTCGCCGTCAGCACTTAGAAGACTCCCAAAACGGTTTCCCTGTCTTTATCTGCAAGTCAAAATTAAAACTGAGGTTGGCTAGATGGCCTCTTTTATGAACACAACTCACCGAAAACGGTATTTGAAGGATTGAGAGCGACTTGCTCCTTTGCAGCATCACCAAGGAGTCTTCCCGTTTCATTGAAGGCAACATAACTTGGAGTTGTTCGATTTCCTTGATCATTAGCGATGACTTCCACTTTACCGTGTCGATAAACAGCGACACGAGAATAAGAGGTACCAAGATCGATTCCTATGGCGAGGCCAGCCATTTTTAGTTAAAAAAAGGTCTAAAATCCTATAAGCGACAGACCTTGAAGCGCTATTGTGCTGTGAAACCTTGCACAAAATGCACGCGGAGCGTCGTTTTGCATTTTTGGGACGGGGCGTTTGACAAGAACATTAATCTTGCCGCTTTTTTGTTTATACAGTCTCTTTATTTCGGGTACCTTTGGGACTCGAATTGTTGTCCGCAATGGCCTATAATTTTATCAGGATAGATATCATATTATCAGCTTAATTGTTTAGCTTCATTACTAAGTCAAGACAATAAAAAAAAAAAACGATTGGCTGGATTGGTGGGAGAAAGGTTCAATCATTTGGTGCCGGTGGGATAATGACTTCAGAACTGAAGAATAGGAGTGAATTGAGGCACTTATTAGGCTAAGAACTTTTTCGACGAACCACTTCAGTACTAGTCCCTCTCAAGTCCAAATTTAGCATAAATCCCTTTTAGTTTTTCGTTCCCCCAACTGAAGAGGAACTCTCGCCCTTTTTCGAACACTTGATTTGAATTAGAAGTCTACAGGGATTAGCCGACTCTCAGACGAGTCTGGAGAGTCCGTAATAACGTTTTTTTCAGTATAGCATCTGCACAGTATTTTTGCCAGGGATTCAACGTTTTTCCATATGTTATTGGGGTTCCTGTAATATCGACTGCCCCGAAAGATCCGTCCGAGACTGTGCGGGAGTTCACTGAACTTGACTCTCAATCGATCTCTTTCCCTTCCGTTCTGCTGGACAAACGTAACGAGGACTCTGGGAACGAGATAGCCTGCGCGCAGACGAAATTAAACTCTGGTTAACTCCGTCTGCGAAACGGCGCCGAAATCCTTGTTCTGGACTTCCAGCTGTGTACCCAGATTTGAGTACGCGCCACGATTAGCCAGTTAAAAGAGGCCTTTGTTTTGTTTGTCGTGATCGCCAATCAGGTTGAAGCACATGGTCCAGAGGAGATGTGTTTGTCGTTAGAACATCAAAACCCGTCGAAAACCTCTGAAAAAATGGGTTATTTTGATCGCGTTACGGTTTCGTTACACATTCTATAGACCGCAAACCAAGAGACTGAGGGCTCGCAAGTTCGGCTTACAGTATAAAATACGGAAAGGGAGGAAACAAATTTGGGGCCGATTTTCGAATCCCTGAAACTCAAATGGAATTGAATGAAATCGCCTGATTTTACTAACCTGATCTAGAATTCTTATGTATTTGCCAAATACTGTAGGAAAACGGCATAAGAAAGCGTTCAAATTCATTTTCGGCGACCGAAATTTACGGCTTCTAGAGAGCGCTTTCGTTCGGTGTGCACCGCAACACATGGTGACGGAAATGACGTAGTAAAGTAAATGTGTTCAAGATCGGAGCAATAAAAGGGAAGCCTACACGACGTTTGTCTCATGCCAAAATGCTGCTCTTTCCAATAAAGTTTTTTTCCTCTGCTGGGTAGATTATGCTCTGGAAGGTTCTACAGCAAATGTGATTTTAGCGGGGATTTTAGCCGCATGTTTCACACTGAGAGGTCATGACACCTATCGATTTACTGTGGTTATTGTTTCTGGTCGGCAGGATTTGCCCTCTGATGCAAGCGCAATTTCTCTGACCTCTTTTGAAGCGTAAAGCTTTTTATTACAGCTGAACAAGGGTTCCAGTTTTCTCCAAAGTGCCTTCTGGATCTGAATAACTAAGCGATTTTCTCTAGTCCGTGAATGTAATGTTTTTCTTCAATGCTGTATCACGCTGGGCCCAGCTTGTTAGTTTTGTTTGGAGAATGTTAAATTATTACGGATAGTGATTTACGGGTCGTGTGTACTCTTGCAATAAAAAGTAACACTGAGTAGAGCGGGCGTACAAGGCAACTGTAATATCATCACGACTGTGCCATTCTTCGGTGGTCCAACTATATTACCTCTTGCGTCTTTGGCTGTGCGTTTTGCGACTACTGGGAAGCCTTCGCACAAGCAAAACCTGCTTAAGACATCGAAGACTGTTGAAACGTACAACAAATGTCCAGTCTTGAAAGATCTTCACTTCAATTAAAACTCTGTTGTTTTCGCATAGATCTCTGAGATCTTTAAAACTCTCTCCGCAGCTGATGTTTTGATTCTCGAATTAGCAGCGGTCTGTTGCTTTTGCGTTTCCGGTCTCATTCCGACTTCCGTCACCGAGTGCTGCGGTTCACATAGAACGAAGTCACGTGGTACAAGTTTCCTCCCTTGTCCTTTCTTTTACTCGGCACTTCGTGCCTCGGTCGCCCTCCGGGCGACGGCCTTCGGTCACCCTTCGGGCGACGTGTCGTGCGCCAGCAAGGATATGGCTTGCAGTTATTGATTTTCAAAAGTCGATCTGGGTCAGATGAGAAGCGAAGAAATCGTTTACAGTAGATTTATAAAGATCCCATTGGGCTAATTAATCGTGCTAAGCGACAGGTATAGACATTTTTCAAGGTAAGTAATTCATTTATTCACACGAAACTCCTCTGGACCCTGTGGTTGAAGGGGAATTCGAAACGCACTTCCGGTAATTCGATGAGTCCGTTGGGGGTCCAAAACAAGGATCTCTGCGCTGCTTCGCAGACGGTACTAATCAGAGTTTAGTTATCGTCTGCACGCGGGCTAGGAACGAGAGGGAACGAGATTGTTCACTGTAGCGAGCCTGCGCATAACATAACTTCTGAAATCTACGCTATACGCGTTGATTTGACAGTGCAAAATAAAGTCCGGTGGTATTCGTGGACTGCTTATTCTGCTTATTTGCTGTAACTCGAGGTGTAACCTGAAAAGACCGTGACAAATGGTCGCTCACAGGTTGATTTGTTTCTGTGTAAACTAAATCCCCACGAGAAAGTTGCCTCCTTCCGTTGAAAAAAAGGGGACCTTCAATTACTGATCAGTAACCGCCACATAACAAAGGGACTGGAAAAATCGGGGTCCTTTCCCCTTTATTTTGCAATAATCATTCTCTTTACCGGAGTGATACAACAAACTCAGTCAGGGGACTAGAAACTTGAATCGTTTGCCAAAACGGAAGGCGTAATCAAGATAATATGTCGGGTTTTTTCCCATACAGTTTACTATAACTGGGGCAAAGAATTAATTTTACTCATTATTACAGATTGTTCACCCAGAGGCTGCAGTGAGAGGGAACGAAGCAAATGGAAGAGAAACACCATCACACGAGTTTGTTGAAGGGAAAAATCTCCTGTCGCTTGAAAATTGGTCACGCTGTACTTTGGCATGCAGGTTTGTTAATATAGAAATAAATGTTATCCCTGACGCTTACCCTGTACTTCACTGTTAGGGTGCTAAAACCGTGAACGCCTCAAATCTTTCGCTAATGTCAATACTTTGATAACCAATCACAATGACAAACAACACCCAAACTATTTTTTTTTATTCTCGATATTTTTGACCAACTAGTTGGATTTTACTAAAACAATTATTCCTCTCGCCCTCATGGCCTCTGAGTCAATAGCCCGTTCGGCCTTGGGCCTCATGGGCTATTGAACTCGGAGCCCATTCGGGCTCGAGGAATAATTGTTAAATATTTTCTTTATAACGAACCTCTATTCAGCGGACACCTCTATTAAGCGGACGCGGACACTAAGATAAATCGTATTTGGCTAATTTCTCAGTATTGTTAAAAACCTCTATTAAGCGAACACCGGACTGAATTGACAATAGTAGTATTGGATTACTTCCTTGAAATACGTACTGTAGTCGTTTAATAAAGATAAATCAATACATTTAGCTGCAAAAAAACTGTAGATTAGACCGATATCCCGCAAGATAATTGTCATCCGCGATCAAAGTTCACCTAAAAGTCTTGCGCAAAGTACAGCCCAGCTTCCTTAATTTCCTCAACAACATGGAACGTAATCAAAGTACAGAGTATCCGTTGAATGTAAATCGTTAACAAATATTGCGCAATTTTTATAAACCTCCATTAAGCGGACACCCTCTATTAAGAGGACACTTGGGAAGGTCCCGAAGGTGTCCGCTTAGTAGAGGTTTCACTGTAATATTTCAGGAGTTCAAAGTTTTGAAAGTCCGACTCACTGTCACCTGAGTATTAGGGAACAAAACAGGAAAAAATTAGAATGAGAGAAAGAGCTAGGGGAGAGGGTAAACAGGAAAAGGGTTACGACCGGGTATGCATGGCGCAGACCGTTTCCAAGGCTGCGATAACTCACCTTCGATGTCTTATCATGCAGCATAATAAGGAGTAAAAGCAACGACGTTTTTAAGCGAGAACGTTGAGCGAAAATCGACTTTTTGCACTCCTCGGCTGTGATTTGAACAAATTCTTGGGCAAAGCCTCTATAGGGTAAAGACACTTAAGCACTTTGGCCGTGACTTTGAGCAAGTTTTTGGGCAAATCTTCTTTTTAAGAGTAATGACACTTTAGCAATACACATTTGGTAGCGTCAAGGTATATTAAAAGAGAAAAAGGCTCACTTGCGGTTGACGTGCGTCCCTCAAAAACATCGCTGCTTAAATTCCTCATTAGCGCGTCTTGGAGGACACAAAAACGGAGAAGCGCTTTACATTTTACATCAGGTTCTCTTTTCCTTATGTTCTTCCTGGCCTTTTGCTCTTTTCTCCTTTTCCCCCTGGGAAGGCCTAATTTTTCTGGGTCAAGAGAACCATAGCCTCCCCCCGGAGACATTCTTAGGCGTGCGTCACGCGTTCCTTCCCCAAACGCGTGACGCACGCGTAAGAATGTCTGCGGGGGAGGCTAAGAGAACCAAAGCTGCCCAAGTCTTAGCCTACGTAGCTGGCGGTATTGTGTATTAGTCGAGTGAGATTTGGCGGCGGAGCCGTTGTAATATAGTCGAGTGAGATTTGATGGCGGAGCCGTCATGAGCGGCGAAGCCTCGAGAATTTCAACCGCCTCGTCCCTACTCCCTTTTTTTGGAACACGGCTCCGCCGCCAAAACTTTAATCTCGCACCCACACAATACCGCCAGCTACGCAGGCAACCCAAGTCTCAGCGACTGGTAATTAAAACATTTTCGGCCGCCTTACCAAACACTCGGATATCCAACGCCATGAGATTCTACACCAAACTTTCTTTATTCACATAAAGTATCTAAGTGTGTATACTGTCATGAACCGGTAATGATACTGTCAACACATTCCTTTGTTCGGTTACAGAGCAAAAACCCATGCCTAAACAAACGGTGAGGCATTAACATGTTTCAGACAGGGACTTATTTACTGGCTTGTATAAGAAACCAAATGAAGAAACTTTGCATCAAAACATTACAGAGATTTAGAATCGCGTTTTCGACAAACGGTAAGCGCGAAAGATTCGTGTTGTCAGTTTCTCAAATTAGGAGATGAAATATCTCAACCAGTTTTATAAATGAACCTGAGCTATTTTTGGAGATAATAAACAGTGTATAAAGAAGTACAGAGGAAGACTTACCGGATCACTTACTTGGTTCAATTTGACGTTTGCCGGTTACCGAAAATGTGATTCTAAAATCTCTCCAACTGGTTCACATCATCCGAAAAAAAATAGTCATTGAAATGTTAAATGAACGACTTCAGGAAAACACTAAAACTCGGGTTACAAAGTTTTTTTAGCAAGTAATTTAATCAACTTCTTCAATGGTGGGACCAGAAGATTCTTGGCCTGCGCTATCAGGCTGAGCTCCACCTGGAAACCCTCCAGGAGGCATACTACCAGGCGCTCCACCTGGCATTCCACCAGCACCGCCAGCACCCTGGTAAAGCTTGGTGATAATAGGGTTGCAAACCTTCTCTAGCTCCTTCTGTTTAGCTTCATAATCTTCTTTTTCACCAGATGGATTTTGGTCCAGCCATTCAATCACTTCTTTGCATTTATCTGCAATGGCTGTCTTGTCTTCTTCACTGATCTTGTCTTTCACTTTGTCATCCTCAATTGTGCTCTTCATACTGTAGGCATAGCTCTCCAGACTGTTCTTGGCTTGAACCTTGTCTTTTTGCTTGTCATCATCCGCCTTAAACTGCTCCGCTTCTTTGACCATGCGTTCAATGTCTTCTTTGGACAGACGACCTTTGTCATTTGTGATGACAATATTGTTTTCTTTGCCAGTGCTCTTATCTTTGGCAGAAACATTCATGATTCCATTGGCATCAACATCAAATGTGACTTCAATCTGTGGTACACCACGTGGAGCAGGAGGGATGCCGGTCAGCTCAAACTTTCCAAGAAGATGATTGTCCTTTGTCATTGCGCGTTCGCCTTCAAACACCTGGATCAACACAGCAGGCTGGTTGTCAGAGTATGTGGTGAAGGTCTGACTCTTCTTCGTAGGAATAGTGGTGTTGCGTTTGATGAGAGGTGTCATTACACCACCAGCTGTCTCGATTCCAAGGGACAAGGGAGCCACATCCAGAAGCAGGAGGTCGGACACCGCTTCACTTTTGTCTCCTTTCAGGATAGCTGCCTGTACGGCTGCACCATAAGCTACAGCCTCATCAGGATTGATGCTCTTGTTTAGCTCCTTCCTCCTATCAAAGCATTCGTACAGCAACGTTTGAATTTTGGGAATGCGAGTAGAGCCACCAACCAGAACTATCTCATTGATTTTAGATTTCTCCAACTTTGCATCCCTCAGCGCCTTCTCCACTGGTTCCAAAGTACTACGGAACAAATCACCATTGAGTTCCTCGAACTTGGCACGGCTTACGGAGATATAAAAGTCGATGCCGTCATAAAGTGAGTCAATCTCAATACTTGCTTGATGACTTGAAGACAGAGTCCTCTTGGCCCTTTCGCAGGCTGTTCGCAGACGGCGCATCGCCCGCTTGTTGCCAGAGATATCTTGCTTGTATTTCCTCTTAAATTCTCCCTTCAAAAAGTCAACCAGGCGATTGTCGAAATCTTCACCTCCAAGATGGGTATCTCCACTTGTTGATTTGACCTCAAAGATGCCATCCTCGATGGTGAGAACGGAAACATCAAAGGTACCACCACCCAGGTCAAAAATGAGCACATTCCTCTCACCACCAACTTTTTTGTCGAGCCCATAAGCAATGGCTGCAGCGGTGGGTTCGTTGATTATGCGAAGAACATTGAGACCAGCAATTACTCCTAAGTAAAGAATAGATAGTGGTACGTTATTTAAATGTTTCGTGCAAGTCATAGATAATTGATTTTCTTGAAGAATAATCAGCCTAAATAAAGAAGTCATAGAGACTTGCAGCAAGTTCAGCTTTATATGGTAGACCAGAAGAGTACATTCAAAAGGAGAAAGGGGTTATGGGCGAAGGAGGAGTAAGAGAGAGAAGAGGGGTGGTATGACTTTTGTACCAAAGCATTCTTTAAAGAGAGGAAGAAAAACATAAAATTGCTTCAATGTGGCAAATATAAAAAAACATTAATGCTGTTGAGATTTATTTGTCTGCTAGACTGGAAAGGTGACCAAATTCAGGTAAAAAATGGATCCCCTATCAAACACTGGTCATGCTCAATTAGGCGAATGACTCAACTCTCTATGGGCGAGAGGGTGATTTGTACACCTTTGCTTATTATAATGAAGTAGACCAGCTAAAAGTCAGTACAAATCAGGAATAAAAATTAATAATGATAGTGACTTCAGTAATGCACAGTTGCAAAAAAAAATTAACCAAATGTTTCTAAACTTAAAAAAAGTATCAAAACAATGAAAATAGTGTATATAGAAACAAAAATTACAATGATAACATGAGTGAACTTGCAGATTAAAGAAAATATTATTGTTATAGCCATGAAAAAGTAATTTGCAAAGCTGTCCAGTAATGCTAATCTGTCCAGTAAAAGCAATACTCCAGAACAATCATAATTCCTATAACAGTAACTGTTTAAGCAATCTTGTCATGTGCCTCTTTTCAACATGGAATGGAAATATGGATAATTTCCATGCAAAATGCACAATGGGCTATCTGAGTTGCTAGTTTCGCAACTCTTGCTAATCCTTTGGAAGTTAAAAATTGTAACTGAAATTATATGTCACTTGATAATAATGCACTGCATGGAAACAAAATCACAAGTCCCATTGTTGAGGGAGATAATTGGGGTTTACGAAGAATATGGTGTTACTCACTTTTCTTGCAGTTTTATAAATAAAACCCGCCCTTGTAGTACCACAGTGACCTCAAACAGTATGATGTGTGTTGTTTGTGCCTTTAAGCCCACTGTGTTTTTGAAGTGAAATTTTTTGTGGTGTTGCAGTTTCTTGCATGATCCTTGTCAGAATTAAATTTAGGTTTAATATTTTTATATGCTTTTAAAAATAGCTCGTACCATTGTGACCTTTTTTAGGGGTATAAAATGGTAAGTACAAATAAATTAAAACTAAATAAAAAGACCAACAACACCAATGAAAGCTGATCCAAGCCCACCAATACACTGCTTTCTCTTGTTTGACTGTCTTAATCCACTACAGCTCAGTTCAATAAGATGTACCCATGTACTCTAAAAAATTTAACTCCTGAAGACCAAATAGAAATTAAAAAAACCCCCAAAATTCGAGACTTTGAGACCTATCAGCAAAAAAAAACAAAACAAAATTTGAGGCTCAGAGGTGCAAAAATCACCCCAAAACGAGACTTCAAGACCCATTGGAAACGCTTCCAAGATTTCTAGATTGAGGTAACATTTCCCCTTTATTTGAAAAGCATTTAATTTGATTAAGGACCCTGTAGCCATCCAAGCAGACGTTCTTTTGGCTCCATAGAAGTCGTCCCTAATGAATGATGATTGAGGGGTAGGAATGTGTGACAAACCCCAAAGAATTAAGATGGAATCCACCAGGAAGTAATTTTAATTTTCAGTGGACAAAAACCTTGTACCAGAATAATAATGAAAGCATAACCCATTCTTTTTAACATTTTTCAAGGGCTAAAGATGTAATATTAGTCATCTGTAATAACACCAAAGAAAATTTCATATGGGAGCCCGAGAAAATAAATAAATAAATTACATCTTAAAATAAATTAATTACATCTTACACATGAAATTTTTAGAATTTTACCTGCGTTTCCAAAAATTCTCGTGAAATTTGACGTTCATTTCTTGGACTCCCATGAGAAATTTTCTTTGGTGTTATTACAGATGACTATATTACAATATAAAAAAGAATGCAATATTCTTTAAATTATTCTGGTACAAGGTTTTTGTCTACTGAAAGTTAAAATTACTAAATTTCCCCATGGATTCCGTCTTAAGGTGATTCCCTAGTAAAAGAACCTAACATAGATTGTATATGAAACTTGGTACACTGATGTAACAAGTCAAGAAGATGATAAAAAAGTAATAAAAAGTGGGGGTCACCGTGCTCATTTTGACGTCACAATGCTGGCAAATACAGCTATTTTGGACCTTTTGACAAAATCCGTGCGCAGCCCAAAACTAGACAAAAAGGAAAGATTTTTTTTTTTGGGTTTAAAAGTGACACAGCAGTCTTGACTTTCACTTTTCGCTTTCTGTCCTCCCTTCTTTTTTCGCTTTTCTTGCCTCATTTTTTTTTCTCTTGCTGGGCATTTAGTAGGCTTCATTTTGGTGGGAAGAGTTTTTAGCAAAGCTTTTAGGATCTTAGGATTAGGTGAAAGGAAAGGTAGGTGGGTAATGGAACAAGATTTTCATGGAGATTTTCAGGTCCTTGTCACGTGGTTTTTTGCTTCTTTCTCCGGTGTCCTTGACTGAATTGTGCTCATTCTGGTATGGTTTGAAAGATCTCTTCACTCTGCACACGCCTCATTTTTTTTTTCTTGTGGGCATTTAGTAATTTTGAAAAGAGTTGTCCTTTTAGACCGGATTAAAACTGATGACGCGTGTCACAAAGGGTAGAAAGGACCTGGATCCGCCGTTAAAACTGATGACGGGGTAGAAAGGACCTGGTTCAGGGGTTCGGGGTTCAGGGGCGAATGGGTTAATGTGTGTGTAGGAGGCTAGGACCCTCAGGGCACTCATTTAATTTCTGGACCTTGAGAGTGGGCATTTATTCAAGGTGGGCTCTTATTTGAGGCTGGGCACCTATTTAATTTTCACCATGTTCATCAAGTTGTAAGTTTATTTCGAAACAAATCAATAAAAAATAATAAAAGGGAAAGATGCACCCACGATGTACACATGCAGGAGTTTTTTCATTGAAACTTCCTTCAAAATAATAAGAAAACTCAGTCTTTTGGGGGAGACTCTGTGTAGTGCTAAGTCATTTCAATTTCATTGTCATTAAGGTCAATTTTTTCTTTGTTTTGTTTTTTTTTGGGGGGGAGGGGATGAGTGCTTATTAAGGACTATGCTCACCCAAACCTACTTATAAATTACTCCTGGGTTTAAACCTTGCACAGCATTATTTAATAATCCACTGTCTAATGGTGAGACCAATTCCTTGCACCTGAGTAGACTTTCAAAAACTCCTTCCATTTAATATAATGCAGGATAAAGACTGTCGCTCACTTGGCCACCTTGTGGCCTCCTTTCTACCATGTATTGTGCAATTTGATTTGATGATTTCTTACCAATTACGATACTCGTTAAATATATATCAATTTGATTGCTCTGTTTTATGTTTTTTGATCGAGAACAGCTCAAACAAGAGAATCAAATCCACTTCTTGTTTTATTTTCCTTTTTGAAATCTCAAAAAAAAAAAAATTTTGAAAAAGGCTATGGTAGAAAAATAGGTTTTTTGGGATCCGAGATTTTCCTAGTCTGAAGCTCAGTATTCAGGATTGAAAGTATGCGCAGGAGGTGGGATACCCTTGGGATTACATGGAATTTCAGGTCAGGATTACTGGACTGAAGAATCCTATTGGAGACCGACACTCCAGGGAAAACCGGGAGAGTTGGCAGGTATATAGAAAGTACAACCCCTTCCAGGTGGGGTTTAAGAGAGACAAAACATATATTTCATAGCACGTTCTTCCTACAGAGGAGCTATCTGTTGCTGTAATACATGTGTAGCAAGTAGGAAATAAAAAAAATAATAAAACCCCACAGATACTTTTAACAAATTATTTTCAGTACACTTGACTGAAAGTCAAGTCTAGTCCAGTTTTAGTTCTTAGACTTCTTACCGGCATCTTTGGTTGCCTGTCTCTGTGAATCATTGAAATAAGCCGGCACAGTGACAACAGCGTCAGTGACCTTATCACCGAGATACGCCTCTGCTGTTTCCTTCATTTTGGTCAAAACCATGGAAGAAATCTGTCATATAAAACAACGAACATGTACGATAAGCGAGGTATGTGGCAGATAAGTTACTAAAGCTTACCTTTCATCTTGAGAAATACTCAAGCAAAAAGGAAGGGTCAAATACCTCTTCGGCAAAGAACGTTTTAGTTTCGCCTTTGTGTTCAACTTGAATTTTTGGTCTTCCGCCATCGTCTACAACCTGAAAGTGAAAGTGAATTTTTGCATGCATTGAGCAGATTGAAATCATTCTTATTTAATACTTGAGGTTTATTTAACCTTGAGTATTACTGATTTACCTTAAAAGACCAGTGTTTCATGTCGCCTTGAACAGTTGCTTCGTTAAATTTTCGTCCGATGAGCCGCTTTGCATCTAACCAACAAAAAAGAGTATGGCGATCGATCACAGGCGCCGAAAAAAAATGACCTTCTTTTGTATCGAGGTTACATCTATGTAACGTCGAAAATCACTATATTTCGTTTGAGATTAAGCAGAAGTCTCCTGAAAAAACAACTCACCGAAAACTGTATTTGAGGGATTGAGAGCGACTTGGTTCTTCGCCGGGTCGCCAATGAGTCTTTCCGTTTCAGTGAAGGCGACATAACTCGGAGTTGTTCGATTTCCTTGATCATTAGCGATTATTTCAACCTTCCCGTGTTGGAAAACACCAACACAAGAATAGGTAGTTCCAAGATCGATTCCTACGGCTGGAGCAGGCATTTTAGTGCGGAGAAAATCAAAATTCTCTGGCGACACAACAGTTACAGAAAAATGAAAATTGCGTCATTAAACCATGCTCGCTAGTTACAGCGGCCTTGCCTCGTTCTGGTGCTATCGTGCGGCTACGCTGACACGCAAACCACCATTTCCGTATCCGGTACGTGCGGCGTGAAAATACCGGAAGACTGATTCCTGCTGCCGAAAAGACGATGTCACATCCCATTTATCCCAATAAAATGCTCCATCTCTCCCCCTCAAGAAATACGTTTACTTCAAAAACCAAATTTCATATTTAAAACAGTAAACTGATCGTTACGGCAGGAAGAGTGATAGAAAAAAAAAAAGAAAGAAAGAAAACAAAAATAAACATGATAAAGTAGTGAATTATATTTGCCCGATATTTCGGTTTGCAATACAAACCTTCAACGGGGCTATAAAAGAAAAATGAATACAGATAAAAGATGAACGTTACATATGCGAGACTTGAATACGTGGCAAACACAAAATGATAGGCTACTAAAAAGATAAATGTCAAATTAAGTTCATCACGTCTACTTATACGATGAGGTTTTAAAATCATAGCTTTGTCAATTAGGTGAGCCTCGCGTGCCTTTCTGACAGAGTTTCGGTTGCTACTGATTAGTTCTAGGGGAATAAGAAGGACGTCGTCGACAGGGTGATCGGCTTGGTTAAAAAATGTTTGGAGACAGGAGTAGGATTAGGAAAGTGGCCATAATTGAGAATGGAGCGGCGATGCTCCCCAGAGCGTTGGTGGAGATGGCGCTTGGTCCCCTCAGTGTACTGCTTGCCGCACTTTTTGCCTTCAATGAGATATATAGATAAAGTTCTTGGATTTACAGTTTAAGGGGTCACGTCGTTTCCCTTTGGTGGAGGTGAAGGTGTAGTTGGCTTAGCCTTGTTTTAAAAATGGACAGGTAAGGCAGCCGGGAGATGGTTTTTCTTGTTGTATGCTACAATCACGTAAAGTCCTTCTAACAAGCAGGTGACGTAGAGGGTGGGACTCCTTTTTTATAAGTAACGATTGGTGGAGACGGAAATATTTGTTTGCAGCGATTGGATGATAGGAGAACGGTGGAAACGTTAGGAAGAGCTGGATTGTATGAGATGACAAAGGAAGTTCCGTTTGAGTTGTTGTTCTTTAGTTGTCGTTTCAAAGTTTCTTGACGTGGTATGATACGTTCCCGGCTTATTTCTTTTTTAAGAAAGTGGCTCCTGTAACCTCGTTGTTCCAGAAAGTTTATAAGTTTATGGCAGCGTTTACTTCGAAAAGTATGTGGTCTGGCTTTCGTTACTTTTAGGGGACGGTAGGATAAAAGTTGCCGAATGCACGAACAAGAAGAAGAAGAAGAGAAAAGGTGAGAAAAGGTGGGGGTGTGTGATGCCCAGCTCCAAATCCTGACCCAATTTCAGGCCAAAAAATGTCATGATCAGACACCCGTTTTCAGACTAGACCTCTAAAATCCATACCTGCCACCAAAACTTACTCAAGAGAGGCCGGGGGCTGTGTCTCCCAAGCATTAAGCTACTACACTGGCCAACGTTCTGAACGTTACAGCTGCAGGAGGCGAATTGCAAGGCTATGCATGCTGTACAAAACACTTAACAACGGCCGCAACTCCAACGGACCCGCCACACCCATCCACTCCACTCATGATCCAAGCAACATGTGATGCGTACAAGTTCAGCTTTTGGTGCTTTGAGCTCCCCCCTAATGAATTGAGTAAAGTGACTTTCATTATTTATATACTGCTATTTTTCATCATGTTTATTTATCTATTTTTTTAAGCCTTTTGCAAAAAGTCTTTATTCAGGATCTTGCAAATGTTATGAATGTAGATGTAACCAGGAGCTTATATCACTAGTGATAGGCTCCTGATGTAGAACACGCATTGGCCAGGAAAACCATCTGCGTTCACGCTGAAGATTCACCATGTTCACATACTAGACGATAATGCACCTTGTTTACCCCCCAAAATTTTGCGTAAACATTGTCTTCAATATCTCTTGGGATGACTGTAATACCTAGGAAAAATTGGAAACAATGGTTACCGTATGTTAAATTTTGGTGGGTAAACAAGGTGCATTATGGTCTATGTTACGCGGGTAATCTTTTAGAGGACAGGTAGCTTGCAAAACCAAACTGAACGCAAGGTTGTCGGAACAGCAACAAGAAGATTTATTCCAAAAAATGAACGTAGTTTCCATGAAGTAAAACTTTACAACAGCTCGTAACTCGTTAAACTTACACGGCCTCCGCCAAATGCACTTAACTTGATAAACTTACACGGCCTCCGCCAACTTGAATAAACACTGCCCTCGTCACACTCAGACTAAACACGACTAACGTCAAACTCTCTTCGCTTGTGAAAACTAGTTAAAACTTCGTTCGGACTTGCCTACTTATATACTTTCACAATAACATTCTAGAACTTTCTAGATAGTCTAATTATAGAAAGATTACAAAATATACCGCTTTAGAAAAACGCTTACACAAGATCCTAAACAAACTATGAACTAGCCTGCGTAGCAAGCGTTTCTGTGCGGTTTAGGAGCAAAGAACAAGGAACGAGAGTCAAAGATCGCGCGAAAAATGGTGCAAGTAAAAGAGCGGGAAGGGGGTGAGGTGTGTATTTTCTCTTCTCTTTTCGCAAAAAATCTCAACAAAGCACGATACTTGAACATCTCCGGAAATCTCCTACCACTTTTTAGCACTAAAGGTTCCCTTCTTGAGGAGAAATAAAGCCACCAACTCCAGTACTTCAACCGATCAATTTTCAGCTGCAACGAAAACCCTTGTATTAGGTAATTTATTCAAGTTTGAAAGATTTGCCATCACATTCGCATGAAGATTTTGCAATTGGGGATAATGAAAAGAATAAGACGATTGTCATATTTTCTTCATCTTTATCCCCACTGTCGTAAACTCCCGTGCGAATGCGATGGTCTAGTCTAAAAACCTGAATAAATTACCAAGACGTACCGAGAGGGCTTATAGTGCAGCTGAAAAATAGACGTTTAGAAGTACTGGAGTAGGTGGCTTTATTTCTCCTCGATACGGAAACTTGCGACGCTAAAACCTCTTGAGAGTTTTTCGTAGATAACATAATTTACCTTGTTAAGATAGGTTTCGCAAAGAGAGGGACAAATACAAAGTAAGTTTGGTAAATAGAAATTCTCTTATCTTGCTCTGCATTCAGCATAAAGTTGTCCTTCTTTATTGTGAACTGTATTCGCAGTATGTTTCTGATTACTCAGTTTCTTGCAACTGAAGCTTTGGGCAAGAGTACCCTTGCAGAGCAGCTGACAAATAATAATTAACTAAAAGACAAAAACTAGAGAGTTCTGAGGCTTATTTGCCGAAGTCAGAGAAAAATCTGTCAAGGTTTCGAAATTATTGACATTTTTTGCAAAAATGCGGTTTAAAACATATGCCGATATCTCAGACGTTTTTAGACCTGCAAGAAATTAAATAACATTTTCTTTAAAATTCGACCACTCTTTGTTAAGGCTGCCAAAAATCATGGAAATCGGTTAAACCATTCCTGCCGAAAAACGCGATTCAACAGCATGTAACCAACGCGCATGTAAATAGGTTCCAGTCAGTGCGCACGAGCGTCACCTATCTGGTCACGTGCAGAACCAGGCGTGATTGTACGGAATGTACCATAAAAAAAACTACTCAGTGGGCGCGATCCATTCAACCAAAATTCAGACCGGTCCGACCGGGAAAAGAGGACCACCTCAAAAGGTGGACCTGTTTTTTCGAAACTTTTCCGGTTGGACCGAACCGATCCATTGAGTTTTGGACCGAAATTTCCGGAAATTTTGGTTGAATGGATCGCGCCCAGTCAGTCTCGGGATAGCCTACGCATTTCCGGTCGTCGGAAATGCGTCTGCGCTTCGCAGGCTAGTCTCGGGACAAATATACCAAAGCCGAAACACGAATTCAAAGAGAACTGAAAACAGCTACTCTAGCTTGGTTAATTTATAAAGGTTTCTCTCTAGCTCCGAGATTACTCTGGCAAAATGATAAAAAATGCAGTTTCATCGTGATGTGGTTGCATAACTTTCTTGCAAAGAATAGCTATGACGCAATTTTCCAGAAAGTTCCAGAAAGTTCCAGAACGAGGCAAAACCGCATAAATTCAGAGCACGTGTACAATAACGTCATTTAACTCAGCGAGCCGGCTTCGTCGATAGAGAAGAGGTTGTGTAAGATTTTTTCATTCGTTTTCTCAGATCCAAAATGCCTGCCCCTGCCGTAGGAATCGACCTCGGAACCACCTACTCTTGTGTTGGGGTTTTCCAACATGGAAAGGTTGAAATTATCGCTAATGATCAAGGAAATCGAACTACCCCAAGTTATGTCGCTTTCACCGACTCTGAAAGACTCATTGGCGATCCAGCGAAGAATCAGGTCGCTCTCAATCCGTCAAATACGGTTTTTGGTGAGTTGCTTTGTAAATTAATTTTGAGAGAACTTAAACAAAATTTCTTTCTTTTACCCTTTTGCTGTGAAACAGAATTAAAACACGTTCAAAGAGATGTTTTGTGCTCTCGAGCCCAAGCGCTTCGATTTGCTGACGAAACTAACTTATTTATTTCAGATGCAAAGCGTTTAATCGGAAGAAAATTTGAGGAGACCTCTGTCCAAAGCGATATGAAACACTGGCCGTTTAAGGTGAGTTAAATCTTGCAAAAGGTTGTACGACGAGGTGAAAGCAAAGAGCGCTCGCATGCAGGCTGGTGGCGAAAGGGTGCAGTTGGAGAATTCGGTGCGGTTTTGTCCCGAGCTTCGCCACGATTTTTTGGTGTTTCTTTTTAACGCTTGATACTCTTTGTAATCAAAGAAAACCGTTTAAAAGTGGTTTAGTTTTATTGAAAATTTATGTACTGCGACTGGTAAACTATAAATTTACGTGTTTGGATGTCGATGGCGAGGATGGAAACGGATTGCAACTTCGAAAAAAAAATTGGGCCAACTTTTAAACTTCTGTGTCATTGAAAACGTGACCTAAAGCCGATCATACTTTGTGTTCCCCGGACAAAATCATCTGACATCTTTCTTTTTAGAGTTGCATAACAAGTATGAAAAAAGATGACAGAGAATACTTAGTTCTAGAAAATTGTTCTAGAAAATACAGTGCAGTTTTGATTCCTGCCCCGGGGGCCCCACTCACATATTTTAATGACGGGGGGGTCCGAAGGATTTTTTTGGGTCTGACATTTCGGCCAAAAGGGATTTTTTTGGGTCTATAAGGGACGCCGGGATTTTTTTGGGTCGCGAAAACAACAGAGGGATTTTTTGGGGTATTGTATTTTTCATCAGCTCAAATCAAAAATAACATAAGCACAATTTATAGTTTTGTTTTTGACCAAAGCCAAAGATGAAGTTGGCATGTTTTAGCTTTCCGGAAGTTAAATAATAAAATTTGCTGGTGCAAAAACACTGAGGGATTTTTTGGGCAATGCTAAAAAAAGTAGGGATTTTTTTGGGTAGACAAATTTTGAAGTTGGGATTTTTTTTGGGTATAAAATATGAACCTCTGTCGGACCCCCCCATCATTGAAATATGTGAGTGGGGCCCCTGGGATTCCTGCTCTATGGCTTATTTGTTTGGATGAGAGATCTTCATTTTTTTAGCTTTCTGTTTAGTCTTGCAGTCGACTCTCTCTTAACGGACACCTCTATAAGATGGACACCTCCCTAAGACGGACACCTAGAGTACTGTTGGTTCCTGCCTTTCTCTACTCCCTTTATTTGACTCTCTACAAGATGGACATCTCTCTAAGACAGACACTTATTGCCGGTCCCAAAGGTGTCCGTCTTAGATTGAGTTGACTGTATACATGTATTTATATAAAAATATCTCGTGCTTCAAATCCCCATAAATATGGTTGGTCATTTTGTTTTCTATTTCAGGTGATTAGTGAGGGGGGAAGACCCAAAATTCAAGTTGAACACAAAGGAGAAACTAAAACATTCTATGCTGAAGAAGTAAGTTGAAGCATTTATCTTGGTGACCATGTTTTTTTAACTCCATTTTCACCACAAGATACTGAATTGTTGAAATACTTGATCCTTTCTTTAGCGCAAGTTTTAAAGAGAAGAATGCTCTGCATTATTTCTAATAGTTAACATCCTTTTTTTCTGTGGTACAGATTTCCTCTATGGTTTTGACCAAAATGAAGGAAACAGCAGAAGCTTATCTTGGGGATAAAGTTACCGATGCTGTTATCACCGTACCGGCCTATTTCAATGATTCACAGAGACAAGCTACCAAAGATGCTGGTATGTAAGCTTATTTTTGAATCAAAACAGTGCAATACTGGTCTTGAAAGGGTTAACCATTAGTTATCTGGCTATGGTTGTTCAAATGCTGGAAAGTGCCATTCACCGTATAAATTACTGTGCAATGGATAAATACTAAGAAAAACCAATTGCCCTATCCAGTGGATAGTGTTATTATTCACCTTTCAAACAATAATTTGGGTCCTGTATTATAAACCTCGATATAACAAATAAATGTCAATATGTGACTGAAAGATAGCTATAGGTGAATGAGAAACAGGCCAACAAAGATAATATTTTTGTACAGTAGTTTCAAGCAGTCTTGTTTGCCTGTTCTTGTGTTTCTAGGGTCATAGCCATGTAAAGCTCAGAACTGAGACAATAGCTTTGTATACAAAATGTTTATTACAGAACCTGTTCATATCTGGAAATGCTGGGCTTTGGAATAGTACGAAATATTCCAATTTCCTTAAAAGGACCCTATTATTAAAAGAAAATCGCGTCTAGTAGAAAATTTTGGTGATATTTTTTACTGAAATTTCTGGTATCGATTTTATTGATATAATAAATATGCGGGAGAAATTTAAGAAAAATCATTAGAGCAGAAGTCCCTAACTAAAAGTCACTCAAAAATCAGCTGTGAAATTGTTTTGGAATTTCAAAAATAAATTACTAGTAGCTAGAAGAAGCCACCAGTTCGAAATTTTCAGACAAGTAAATTCAACGTTTGCTAATTCTTAAAACAAAAGCCAATTGCCTATCATGCTATTCTTTAAAAGGTACTTTTTAGTTTTAGAAGCACTATAAATGGCTCCAAACCTTGTTCTAATGTCGAATGACTTAATCCTCGACATTTTTAAAATATCCCTAGGCATCTCCTGCCACATACATTTTGACCTATTGCAATGCATCCTCAACGGCTTTTCAAAAGAACTCTAAAAGCGCTGGCTGCAGAAGTCTCAAATTTTGGTTGCAGTGGAAAGCCCTTTGACAGCGATAAACAGCACTTTTGCAGTGGTGCAGAAAATTCACGAATCACGATCTGCGCTGCAAAGAGACTGCAAAGTGGCTTCGAAAAGACAAAGAATGTTGTTACCGGTAATGGCCTACCACTCATTAGTGCAAAAAAAAAGAAATGCAGGTTCCAATAATACAATAATCATGATACATGGTAGTGGAGTTTACAAGTCCTTAGTAGTAGAGTAAAAACCACTAGAAAGTCAAAATGCAACTGATACTTTATCAGTATACATGTGCACACAAAAGCATGTGGCATCCTGTACGAAACTTGCAGCGCTGTACAGCGCCACAAAATCGCTTCAAAATAGCTGTACAGCTAAATTACAGCTGTTCAGCAGCCTTTTAGAAGCCAAACAGCAGCTTCATTTAAGTTGTAGCGGGATGCAAAAGCGCTGTGCAGCTGTTGACGGCTCTTTGAAGCTCTCGGCAGCGGTTTTGCAGCGCAGTTGCCGACTTTCAAATGCTGCGAAGTAGCTGCAGTAACGCTACAATTCAGCTGCGGTCGATGTGACTTTCTTGAGCGCCAATAACATGAATCGCCAGATAAAGCCTTGGCACAGATTGCAGCTTTTATAACGTGAAAACTTAAGAAGTGTGAGTAAGCTTGTGCGCAAGGAAGATCACTTATTGAATAAACCTCCAAATTCTATGCTTTCGGAATAAAGATATCAATAAATTTCATTCCGTGACCGGCGAGTGTGGGAATGTTATTGCTAATTCCCTGGAGACATTCTAGGCCGTAATCTAATTGGTCGGTCCTTTTGCATGAGATCCCATTACATCTCTAGACAAACACATGATCGCCCAAACATTTGCGACCGTTGAATGAAATGCGCAAACATTCTAAGTTTTTTTGCATCTAGTTCTGTTTCGAGATGGAAGTTCTGTTAAAGGTTTTGGATGGAACAGCTCAAACGTATTTGCAAACAATGCACTGAACAGTGACTTCTACGCTAAATATCGACGAATCAAACCAGAGCAAGCAACACAGATACGAGAATCTCAGATGGGGTTCGCACTTACAAGATTCTTATACGCTCGTGGTAATGTTCGTTCCTTAGTCCATTGTAAAATTTAACGACAACCAAAGTAAAATTGGGTTAATTTTTTTCAAAAAAAGTGTAGAAGCTCATGGATCATGGACAAAACGTCAAGGTGAGCAATGTCCAGCTTAGCCCGTTGTAACGAATCAAAATATCATTTGGCTGCTGTCCATGTAAACTTTATGTAGAACAATCGCTGTTATTCTCTTTATTTTTAAAAAAGATAATTTTCAATGTCTGCATGTTAATGCATATTCTTACATTCAGATGAGTGACCGTGATTGCTAAATATTTACAAAGCGAGATTGCTGCAGGTTTGTTCTATGTCAGGTGCTTTTGTAACGTGTACGCATGGATACTAATAAAGTATAAGTTGCATTTTGACTTTCTAGTGGTTTTTACTCTGTTACTAAGGCCTTGTCAACTCCTCTACCATGTAGCATGATTATTGTATTATTGGAGCCTGCATTTCTTTTTTTTGTACTAGCGAGTGGTAGGCCATTACCAGTAACAACATTCTTTGTCTTTTCGAAGACACTTTGCAGCCACTTTGCAGCGCAGATTGTGACTCGGGAGTTTTCTGCACCGCTGCAAAAGCGCTGTTTATCGCTGTCGAAGGGCTTTCCACTGCAGCCAAAATTTGCAGCTGCTGCAGCCCAGCGCTTTTACAGCTCTTTTGTAGCGCTTCTTGAAGCCATTCTGCAGCGCTGCAGCAACGCTAGCCCTGCTCGTTTCGTACGGGATATCACAAATCTGCAACAGTCTCGCTTTGTAAATATTTAGCACAGTCACTAATGTAAATGTAAGAACAGCCATTAACATGCAGACAGTGAAAATTATCTTTTTAAAAAATAAAGATTAACAGCGATTGTTCTACATAAAGTTTACACGAACAGCAGCCAAATGATATTTTGATTCATTGCAACGGGCTAAGCTGGACATCTCTCACCTTGATGTTTTGTCCATGATCGTCTTTGACACTTTTTTTCATGAGAGAAATCAACCCACTTTTACTTTGGTCATCGTTAAATTTTACAATGGACTAAGAAACGTACATTACCATGAACGTATAAAAATCTTAAACGTTAAGTGCAAACCCCAGCTGAGATTCTTGTATCTGTGTTGCTTGCTCTGGTTGGATTCGTCGATACTTAGTGTAGCTATGATGCCCATGTCTGGGAACTGGTCTGTACATGCATGTACTGTAGATCAAAACAAAATAATCAAGAAAAAACTACCTATTCATTGAAGGAAGGAGTGACAAAAATTTCAGAGTTGTAAATTTATTCACGGGCAGTATTTTTGGGGTAATTTTATTTTGCACCGTAATGTAATTCAGTTCACAGGCATGGGCATCATTGTAGTTCATCCCCCCTGGGTTAGGTGTGAATTCTTCGCAGAACTGCTACTTGTGCTCATTTTGTAGTCAAAAACAAAGGTGCTGGACAATTCTATCTGAGCTCTGATATAAGGTAGCATCCAATCGCAATACCTTTTTCCTGAGTTGGAAGCAACGAACAGCAGTAAAAGTCATTGAAAATGCATTGCAATACATCAATGTATGCAGCAGGAGTTTGAGCCAAAACTGCTAAGGGATATTTCAAAAATGTCAAGGAACAAGTCGTTCTACTGTATGGCAAGGTTTGGAGCCATTTATAGTGGTTCTAAAACTAAAAAGTACCTTGTAAAGAATTGCATGATAGGCAATCAGCTTTTGTTTTAAGAACTAACAAACATTGAATTTACTTGTGCCGAAACTTCAAACTGGTATCTCCTTCTACCTGATAGTAATTTATTTTTGAAATTCCAAAACAATTTCACAGCTGATTTTTGAGCGACTTTTAGTTATGGACTTCTGCTCCAACGATTTTTCTGAAATTGCTCTGGCATATTTATTATACCAATTGACCACTCTAGTATATACCACAACATACCATAATGCTCTTTGTTTGTGGCCCCAAAATTTTGCATAAGCATTGTCTTCAGTTTCTCTTGGGAAACAATGCTTAAATGCAAAATTTTGGGGTGACAAACAAAGAGCATTATGGTATTTCTGGACTGGTAAATTAAAGCCGATACAAGAAATTTCAGTAAAAAATATCAGTAGTATTTTTTACTAGACGTGATTTTCTTTGAACAGTAGGGTCCTTTTAAGCGCCAATTTAGTAACATGTATTTACCATCGATGAAATTGAAATATTTCATATGATTGCCGAACGGTGTCTGTTGTTATTTTCAAAGTTTCTCAGCCATTGCGTTAAAAACGGAAAAGTTATGACAAAAACTTGGTCACAGCTAAGTGCGCTTGTATTAATGACGGAGCAAGCTTAAGATACAGTATAATATCTGGGCTGCCTCTACTGCTGTCAAGTGTCTTGACCTGATAGAAAATGCCGGTGTTCTGATAACAAGCAGTTCTCCTGCCAAACAGTATTTTGTTACTAAATGAACATAGAATCAAAAGAACCACCTTGTTGTTGTTTACTTCCCTGCCTGCAAATTGTTTATACTGTCGTCAGCAACTTGAAATGTTTGTGACTTCCCTGCATTCTATCAAAAGTGTTGTATTTTTCTTGTAGCATGATAGGATTCTGTGACTGACATAGTGGTGTCTTTTTTTTTTCAGGAATAATTGCTGGTCTCAATGTTCTTCGTATAATTAATGAACCCACAGCTGCAGCCATTGCTTATGGACTGGACAAGAAAAGTGGTGGTGAGAAGAATGTGCTCATTTTTGACCTGGGTGGTGGTACCTTTGATGTTTCTGTTCTCACCATCGAGGATGGCATCTTTGAGGTCAAGGCAACTCAAGGAGATACGCATCTTGGAGGTGAAGATTTCGACAATCGCATGGTTGACCACTTGATGAAGGAATTTAAGAAGAAAAACAAGAAAGATATCTCTGGCAACAAGCGGGCAATGCGTCGTCTGCGAACAGCCTGTGAAAGGGCCAAGAGGACCCTGTCTTCAAGTCATCAAGCAAGTATTGAGATCGACTCACTCTTTGAGGGCATTGACTTTTATGTCTCAATAAGCCGTCCGAAATTTGAGGAACTAAATGCTGACTTGTTCCGTGGTACTTTGACACCAGTAGAGAAGGCGCTGAAGGATGGAAAGTTCCAAAAGAGCGAAATCCATGAAGTTGTCCTTGTTGGAGGGTCGACTCGCATTCCAAAAATCCAAGAGCAATTGAGTGATTTCTTTGATAAGAGGGACTTGAACAAGAGCATCAATCCTGATGAGGCTGTAGCTTATGGTGCGGCCGTACAGGCAGCTATCCTGAAAGGAGACAAACATGAAGCTGTGTCAGACCTCCTTCTCTTGGATGTGGCTCCCTTGTCCCTTGGAATCGAGACAGCTGGTGGTGTTATGACACCACTTATCAAACGCAACACTACGATTCCAACAAAGAAGAGTGAAACTTTCACCACATACTCTGACAACCAACCCGCTGTGTTGATCCAGGTTTATGAAGGTGAGCGAGGCATGACAAGGGACAATCATCATCTTGGAAAGTTTGAGCTGACCGGCATCCCTCCGGCTCCACGTGGTGTACCACAGATTGAAGTCACATTTGATGTTGATGCCAATGGAATCATGAATGTTTCTGCCAAAGATAAAAGCACTGGAAAAGAGAACAAGATTGTCATCACAAATGACAAAGGTCGTCTGTCCAAAGAAGAAATTGACCGCATGGTCAGCGATGCAGAGAAGTTTAAGGCAGATGATGACAAGGTGAGGGAAAAGGTTCAAGCCAAGAACAGTCTGGAGAGCTATGCCTACAGTATGAAGAGCACAATTGAGGATGACAAAGTGAAAGACAAGATCAGTGAAGAAGACAAGACAGCCATTGCAGATAAATGCAAAGAAGTGATTGAATGGCTGGACCAAAATCCATCTGGTGAAAAAGAAGATTATGAAGCTAAACAGAAGGAGCTAGAGAAGGTTTGCAACCCTATTATCACCAAGCTTTACCAGGGTGCTGGCGGTGCTGGTGGAATGCCAGGTGGAGCACCTGGTGGTATGCCTACTGGAGGGTTTCCAGGTGCAGCTCAGCCTGGTAGCGCAGGCCAAGAATCTTCTGGTCCCACCATCGAAGAAGTTGATTAAATTGTGACATTTGCCAACTTTATTGTATTGACTTCATGGACTTAAGCTGTTGACCAGTTATTGAGTTGTAATGTACATACAGTACACACACAAGTTACTGTTGAAAGCTTACATTATGACAAGACTAAATACCTTGCCTTTATATTGCATGAAAAATTTCGTTTTGTATTTTACAACTTCTGATAGCTTGCCCTTTACGTTACTATGACGGTTTTGAGTGAAATATATGCAGTTACTCTTACAAAGTTTGTTGACTGGTTGGCTTCCTGATGGCAGTTTTACAGTTAACACCCACTTCAAAAACTTGCCAAAAAGAAAAGAAATCAGCGTTTAATGAGTGTCTTTGTATGTGATAAAGTCATGGCTAAACTTTACGCCCATTTTTTTTAGACCAAAGTAACCCCAAATCTAAAGAAATTATTACTGCAAGAATGAGTTGATCTACTGTATATCAAAGGTTTTCACGCCGTTCCAAAAACTCGCAGTCGTGTGTTATCAGGTTTTAGGACTCGGCTTTTCCTCAGGTTTTTAAACCTGATAATACACTCCTGCATAAAGGGGAGACCTGGCTTCGGTTGTTGAAAGGTGAACAGAGCTCTCCACTAAGTTTTTTCAATGTCTAACCAAATTATAGGTTACTTCGGGCTGAACGCTAGAAAGTTGACCTCAATTTATTATGCATCAAAGGACCCATTTTCCTTGAAATTTCAAGGAGGTTGCTGGCTCTTACTTTATCAACCCAATCATTCATATAACTGGCTGATATGTACCCACCGTCTTTATCCCCTAGACTTTCAAATGGCATGTAGTTCCAGTATGAATACCCCCCCCCACCCGCCTCCCCCAAAAAGCAGAACAAATAAGAGGACCCATGCAGCCTGATATCCCACCTAAATCCTATGTATGATAACCTATCAACCTGGGGCCAGTCGCATATAGTCTATCTTTACGTGCTACATAAGAGTTAACGGCAACCCTCCCGACATTAACAGTTCGGTGTTTTTTACGACATGACCCTGAGATGCTGAAATATGAAGTTGTTTCTTGTATGCACGGGGGTGAGGTTGAACAGAGGGTGAGGGCGTAATATGTTTATGCCTCTGTTATTGAATAGTGCTGATTTCTAATGCCTTCTCGCGGTACGGGCGAGCGAGGGTCAGAAAAACTCCTTTAAAAACAGCATTCCTTTTAAGTATTGATATCTGAGGGCACGTAAGGGAGGCTTGCTAGAGGGGTGCCCCTGAGGTCTTTTAACCCTGATCCTTCAAAGATAAGAGACCTTTTTTTCATGTCCCTGGTTCGTTTCGATTTCCCATTATCACGGTACAGGAACTGGATCGTGGAATTAAATTCTTTTGAAACATTATTCTTGGAACCTCAAATGTAGACTGCTCACCGCCAGCCATCGCACTCTTAAAAGGCTTCTGGTTGAAAAAGACGCACAAAAATTCTTAAAATGTTGCATAACGATGCTTATGCAAAATTTTGTTGGGATAACTAAGAGTATTATGGTTTTTTTGAAAAAGGCCTATAGTGAAATTTAATTCAACCATACCCTTGCAGCAGTGGCATCTACCCGCTTGGACCAAACAAGGGAGTGTTAACACACACCATCGTCTAGTGATAGTACACCTAAGAGACATGACAATAATTTAGTGTTGTTAACAGTACTTGCAGCTCAAAGAATAAGAAGTTACTTTCCGCTCCTCTTAGTTTTCTACAAAGTGGAGTCCACTAGACCCACGCGGGTATTCCCTTATATGGCCTACACGGGGATGTGCCGCGGTACAGGCTATGGTTTTTGACCTCTCCAGTAGCTGTCCTAAACAGGGTATAATTATATAATTACACGACAGGGTACCGTATTTCCTCGAATAATAGCCGGGGTGATTATTTCTTTTTTATCACAAAAAAGGGGCGATTATTCGAGGGAAGGCGATTACTTCAAATATTGCTCCCTGGAAGTTAAATAAACTGGACCTGATTTTCAAGTTTTTTAGTCTTTCCGGCACTGATCAGTTTTGCTGGATCTCATTGCACCTCAATTTGGGGGCGATTATTCGAGAGGGCGGGGAGGGGCAATTAATCGAGGGACGGCTATTATTCGAGGAAATATGGTATATAATTTTGTACGAGTACGAATTATAACGAGGGTGTTGCCTACAGAAACAGGTTAATCCTAATCCAGGATAGCTTGTGTACAGACGCCCCCTTGAGTGGATGGGGCCGGGTGTCTGTACATAAGCTAACATACAGGGTATGTATTTTAGGTTTGTTTGTCCTAACAGGGAACCCTCAGCGGCTCACCTACACCCTGTATACCCAAACGTTGCTCGAGTATCCCCTCCCACCCCAAAACTAGACCTTTCTCGGGACATAACCAAGACTGGTGTTCCCTAACCTTCTTCCCCTTATGTAAACCTGTGAAGCAGGGTTTATGTATAGCTGGTAGTCAAGCTGGTATCCTCTTTTTTCTACAGCCTCGTTCCCAGGGTTCTCTCCTACCCGCTGTCACAGCGTTTTGGGCATCCCTGCGTTTTGGGCATCCCCATTCCCAAATCCCTAGCGTTTTGGACATCCCCTTCTCATATTACTGCAGCGTTTTGGGCATCCCCCGGTACCCTCCCGGGATGCCCAAATCCCTAGCGTTTTGGTCATCCCCTCCAAAAAATGCTGGATTTCGCGGGAAAATCGAAAACGTTTTAGATATGGCTTCCGCTAAATATAGAGATCTTTTCCAGTATCTTGAAAAGAAGGCTTATCGGGAAGTTCTTTACAAAGCAAAAAAAAAATTTGCCAAAAAGTTCGAGTATGACTCAAAATTAGAGTCCTTGTTCTACGTGGCCAAGGAGAAGGATGGCACAGCGCTTCGACGACTTGTTATCACCGAGGAAGAAAAAGCGAGGGTCTTCGAAGCCGGTGCCACTCTGCTCCTTTCTCTGGACACGCCGGCCGCGATAATACTTTTTGCACCCTGTGAAGGTTGTTCCCAAGGTGTGGTACTTGGTGGGAATTGATTTAATAGAAGCCCCTACTACATCTCAAAACGGCAACAGATTTCTTCTGTCCCGTAGGTGCAAGAGGCCTCTGTATAAATTGTGTGACAGTCTTTCCTGTGTCAAGTAGCGCTGCGGGGTTAAGTTGTACAGGCCTCAAATGTCACGCATACTATGAATTCAACACCTCAAAACGCAGTTTTATTCATGTTTGTCTTTTGATTGCTTTGTTTAGTATTCTTGTTTTTGGCTGTTTGGAATCAGACGATCGCATCTTCCGGCGATTGCCGCATTTCTCGCTGGTAAACAGTTCTATTAAATAAAATTGAAGCTTTGCAAACAATGAAGCGTTGTACAGCGAAGGGATGTTATGCGGTTGTAAATTTCAGTTTCGTCATGTTTTGAGCCAACGTTTACTGCCAATGGGTTTTTTTTCTGCGCAATAAACCCGACAAACGGTGTCAGACGATATAATTCTAACATGCATCTACACTATTCAGCCGTAAATTCGTGATTGACAATCCCGACTTTTCCCCAGTCTGAAATAATTTAGGCAAAGTCGAAGCGATCAGCGTTTTGAGCATCCCCCACCGGGGATGCCCAAAGCGCAAGGGATATGGGAATGGGGATGCCCAAAACGCGGGGATGCCCATATCACTGTGACACCGCCCTACGGAGCGAGAGATAGGAGAGAACCCTGGGAATGAGGTTGTTTTTTCTAAAGATTTTGTTTTGAAAATTTAATTCAGGTGCCCACAAATTTTGATGCCAGGACTTGAGTGAAACGGGCACCCGGCCGAGACGTGGGGTCTTCTCATATTCACGGGGTGGGGCTCGGGGCTCTGGGAAAGGAAGGGCATGGATAATAGAAAGACTCCATGGGAAAGGTAAATCGGAGTACTTACTTGTTCCCAGTTTCTCCGGGCTATCACTCAAAATGGCGACGCTCGCGTGATGGCGGTGTGCGTTCTCAGACCTTTTGCTCGTTGTTTTCGGAATTTTCAAACTGGTTTACGTGTTGTGCAAGACAGAAACGTTCACAGAAAGGTTGCTGCAACTGTTGAAGCATTAGAAAAATTGTATGCTGAGCGAAAATGTGTTATAAATGGTAGGAGATCTTACATAAGCTCAATAGTGAGTAATTATGTCTGCCTCTAAAGTTAGCTTATCATATGAAATAATGATACGAAAATGAAAATTTTGACTGCTCACGTAGATCTTTATATTTGAATACGACTTTTTTTTTAAAATTCAACCATTATAAACGTCAGAGAAATTTTTTTTGCGATTACTTCTTTCACATTAATTCATTGAGATGATTTTACAAGTTTTTTGCATTCATTTTGCAAGACTTTTTTGATGGCAATCATAAGTTAACGTGGCAGGAAATTAATTAATTTTTAGTTTTAGACAATAGTGTGAAACAATTGCTGGAAGTTACTGACATGTACAGATCGAGACTTCCTGCAGTTTTTTTGGATGTGCGAAACCTAATGCTTGGTATTCTTTGTTGGGGGGGGGGGGGTACTCCTGGGAATTCTTGCTAGGGGTGGGCCATGCAGTTTCCCAAATCCTGACCCTATTTCCACACCTGTTTTCAGACCAGATCTCTAAAATCCATCCCTGTTTTCATACCTGGCCTTTAGGTAGAAATTATGTCATCATTACTTACGGTAGAGCTCAAACAAAAAAAATTCTTCAAATCCATTTTGAATTTACCTATTTCCCTTTCCTTCTTTGAAACAATAAATTAATACATTCATACACTCCCATAGTTCCCTCGAAAACCATACCTGATTCCAGACCAAAATGGGCAAAATTTATCTATACCCATTCTCAGACCAAAAAGGCCCAAAAACCCTATCCTTTGGGGTGGCACATACCTATATGGTGAATGTGAGGGAGTAACCCCGCCCCTCTCACGCCTTATTCATGATACCCATCTTTGCACACGCTTAAGGACTGAACGCAATGGTCTAAAAATGATGCGATATGGTTTCACAGGGAGCAAACAAGTCATAAACTTTGCCAATTCACAGTCAAGTTTGTCTCTCCTGGACAACAAAAAAGGAAGAACTTTCCATCTTAGAGACATTTGCAAATTATGGGTGGAGGTAATCATTGTTACCTTTGTGGATGCAGTAGTGACCATAGATGTCCTCACAGCAAGCAATAATGATGTAAAGTTAACTTGTCGAAACGCGAACTGTACATTTTCCCAGGGGGTACTACAAGTGACGGAGATGATCTAAGATTTTTTTGAGTTTAAAAGTTTTGATTCTGGGATTTTTTTGGGCAGGAAAATTTGGCAAGTATTTTTTTGGGTGGCTTGATTTTAGTAGGGATTTTTTCAGGTATTCAAAACAATCTGAAGATTCATGGTAGTGCCCATGTATCCTAGCCGTGTATTTCTGCAAATAAAGTACAACGAAACTTGTTTTGCTTTCTGGAAATGTTTAAGGCTTGGAAATTTGGCATGGAATTTTTTTGAGGCTAATTTTTGGTCCAGTTATTGGGTACATTAACAAAACTAAATTAATGTCTTCTTGTTTTGAGAGGATAAACAAACTTGATGACAATTGCTAGTATTAGCAATTTTTATTATTTGTTTCTGTAAAGATGGGGGGTACTGTAAATAAGGTCTATTGTGTACACATTAAGGAGTATGGTTTTTAATAAAGAGCTACTTCAATTTTAGATCTCTAGCATGTCTTTGATTTAGATTCTTAACTGCTCAACCTAATGCATAAATTATCATACCATATTAATTTTCTTTTTAACATTCTTATGCCTCAAACTATAATTTATTAATTTGAAGTCATAAACAGGCATATGTTTGGAGAGAACAAAATTATATAATATAATATAAAATAATTATAAGATATATAATATTCGGTACCTGGAAGAAGTTCCAATTTATGGACCTTTGATACACTATTTAATTCTCCTTTCAAAGCCGAGCATTTTATTTTTAAATTAAAGGGAGAATTAGCAGCTCATTAGTGGTCATTTAGGACTATATTCCTTACACCCGGCCCTCTTCATTAATGGGATCAAATTTATAACTTAGGGCCTGTTTACATGGAGTGGGGGACCCCGGTCTAGTGGGGTTGGTTTCTTTTGTTTTCATGCTCTGGGGGACACAAAACAAAAGAAACCTACCCCACTAGACTGGGATCCCCCACTCCATGTAAACAGGCCCTTATTGGTTATTTCAAGTGACATGTTCAAATTTCATAGGCCTGGGACAGTTTAAGATGCAGAGCAATCTATTATTGTTCTGCATATTTTATCAGTCCATGAAATTTCAGTAAAAATTTGCCCTTGGAAATCAAACCAGGTTTCATGTTATAATAGAGATGTAAAATGACAGGTGACATTTTCGCTGAGAAGATTTGGTTCTTTTTGGCCAGATATATCGTGGTCAGAAAATGGCTTGATTTGCTTCAAATGGCGTTTTGACAAAACTTACCGGGGAGTGAATATGTTTTAGTTCACTATATATCTTATGGTACAGGCCTCAGTTCTGCAGAAAGGTGGATACTGAGTGCTATTTACCGGACAAATTTGATCCAGTGGATAGGGAACTTGGTTTCCAAAATGCGCTTATTGTATAGCCATTTGTCTGGTGGATAAATCCAGGTTTTGAACAACTGAAGCTTTTTTATAGTATCTGACATCCTCATGTTCTTTCACAGATTGGAAGGTAATTTCCTTTGTTTTTACTTCATGAATTATTAATAAGCTTCTCTTTTCTTTTTCAGAGTCAACAAATCCTACTGTTGTAGATGAGCAAGCAATCTTTGCCAACAATGAACTTGGCATGCGACACATTGATGTTTATGGATTTGACTATGATTATACGCTGGCCTCTTATTCCACTGCACTACATTTTCTAATTTATGACTTAGCTGTAAAGGAACTGATTTCTACTTATGGGGTAAGAATTTAGTTGAATTTATATGATTGTTTTATTTAAGAAAGGAGAAGCTCCCATCCAGAACATTCAGGAAAAGCAGCTGTAACACCAACTCCCCCTTAAAAAAGTTGTTTCACGAAGATACTTAATTATTCTAGATATCCTAAAACAGGTTTTTGAATCATTTGGGAAGATCCTTGTTTGGTAACCCTAAAGACAGGGCAGCTGCAAAAGAGTTACTCGTAGATGCTTCCTTTTGATTAAGTCCAAACCTTAATCTTCAGAGATTCCAGGGACTATTTATGTTCCAGAGCACTGTTTGACCACTTCACCATCCCTACATAGCATATACAGTTTAACCTCCTTCATCGGGGATGGGTGGGGGGGAGGTTTAGGGAAGTTTGCATAGATGAAGAGCTTCTTATACAAGAAAAAACGTTTTTGAGGCTATGCTGTGAGGAAAATTGCAGGGAGCACACCCTTCTAAGCATGAACCTGTGAAATCAATGGTTGGCCCAGCATTGGATTTGTATGAAAAAGCTAAAATTTCCTAGTCGCTCAAATTAAGCAAAAGTAAGGGGCCTTAATGTGCAAACCAGCTACTGCTAGAGCACAGCCCTGGATTTGTTTAAACTGCCCCTGTTGGTTGTCTGTCCCAGGTTTAAACCCGAAGCCCATCATCTCAACAGTGTCAACTGTGCTGTGCTATGTTTTACTGAAACAAAAGCAAAGTACAAATATATAATTAAAAAAAAAAAAACAGTTGGTAATGCCTGATTTCAATACCTTTAGTATCCTAGAGGAATCGAGGAAATGAAATATGACCCTGACTTTGCCATAAGAGGACTTCATTTTGATACAAGTAGTGTAAGTATTGACCAATAATAATTAACATTAACAACTTAGTATTGATTATTAACCCTTTAAGTCCCGTGATTGACTAACTACAGTTTTCTCCAAACAATATCAATACATAATCAAGAGAAAAGGGTATAAAAACAAAATTAATAAACCAATCATTTACAGGAAAATTGATTGATCTGTTATCAATTTCTACCAGTCACTTTTAAGAATTTGTAACTGGATTTTGGGGCTTATGGAGGGTTAACAGACCTCTATGAGGAATTGAGCAAAGAAAGATCCATCAAGGGAACTTTGCAACCTAAATCACAGGTTTGGTTCTAGAAAAGGGGGAGGTGAGGTTTGAATCCTCCATGGAGGATTGGGGATATTTTCTGGAGCAACACGTAACTCCAGCTAAAACCTAGAGTTTTTTAATATACTGAAGAAGAAAATGAATAAATAAGCTATTTAGCCCCTATAGAGGCATGATGAGGTTTCCAAGTCAAATTATTGTAGTTATATTTTGTGCAGACAATGATATTTGGTTATGATCCTTTAATGTTGCCAGTGTTGTTATAATTAGACATTTATTTTAGTTGTCATACATCCTCTGTAAAGGCTGGTTTTCACCAGTGATGAAGTTGGAATGTGACTTGTAAGCAGAGTCATAAGAGCACTTATGGTCTAGTGAAAATCAAAAATCGGAGTGGTAAGTGGCGTCAAAAGTGTGACAGAATCGGAGTCAGAAGAATCAGAATGTTTCCATTTTCCCCTGACTCCGCTTACAACCCCCATCGCTTACTTTAATATGTGAAAACTAGATTGTTGGAGTCTGAAGCAGAAGCAGAAGGATAAACCAATCACAATGCACATTCCTACGCTTTGTGATTGGTTGTCAGTTCTTTCCCTTCTGCTTGCGACTCCGATGACCCAGTTTTCACTTGATCGTAAACGACGGAGTCATAAGCAGAATCAGAATGTTGTTTTCAAGTTGTACACTTCTGATTACGCCACTGACTCAGACTCTGTCCTTAGTGAAAACCAGCCATAAGCGCCCCGGAGGCTTATCTATTTGACGTGAGGGGAGATAATTTAATTTAGCGACAATAATGTGACAGTTCTCCATGAAAAAGTGAATGCAAAGTGGCAATCCCCAGGTACATGAAGTTGGGGGGGCGGGGCTTAATAGAGAATTTATGGTAATATTTTTTGACTGAGCAGCTCTCATTTTTTTTCACATTAATTGTAAGATTGTGGTAAACATGAGCTTCTTGTTGGTAACTGTCAGCTCAGTCACTTGCTGGTTTACTTGTAGGGTTTCCTTCTTAAAGTTGATGCCTTTCACAACATAATGTTAGGTTCTGTTTACAGGTATGTTTATTGAACACTGTAGCTACTTTATTATTGCATTAAATTATTTCATGTGGTTGCATACTAGAAATACTCATGTCTGCAACCCACAGAGGGACAAGGGGCCATTTGAAATGTAGAAGAAAGATTAGCTAGAGGGTGCCAATTTTTCTTAAGTGAAGTTTGAAGCTCAACTAAAGGAAGATGTTTTAAGAGTGGTAGGATGAAGACGTCAGATGATTCAAACCAAAGTCTTCATATATTCTTGAGCAGCACCTTTTAACAGTGAAATGTTTCACTTTTTCAGGGGATTACAGCCAGTGCCCAATGAAGAAGTATTTAAAATTTATGAAGGAACACATCTTGCTATAACAAAAATAAACCCCTCAAATTTCCTCAACGTAAGTTCAAATGAGAAATTGAATTTTTCACTCTTTTTGGGAACAGTTAGAAAACAATGATGATAAGTAATATTTAAGACAGAAGACATATACATGTATTTATTAAAATAATGAGATAACATTAAATTATTTTTTCGATATACAGGTTTAAAATATTTGTCATTGTAAATGTCATTTCATAGAAAAAATGTCAGAATGCTTAGAACTCAGATTTTTCAGCTATTTAAATGTTATATTCTTAGGCTTATTTCAGACTAAGGGCCGGGTAAAACTCACAAAAAAAAAATGAAAAAAATGCAATAATTATTGTATTGCAGACACTTGACATATTATTTACGATTGCATTTTTTCCATGGATATCATTTTCTGTATAATTATGAAATTATTAGAAAATTAATTTTAAACTTTTTTAGGCTTTAGTGTAATTTCTACTTGGGACTGTGTTGCTCAGGTATTAGGGACCTTAAGATCCAATGATAGCAATGGCAATGAGAATGGTAAAAAAGCAATTAATATAGGTTTAACATTTTTGCACCTGCACTATGTGTCATTTTAGGGTCCAAGAAGAACTATGCACCATATGATTGATCTGTTCTCTTATCCTGAAATGGTCCTCTTATCTAATGTTATCGAGGTAAAGCTAAAAAGTTGAGAACTTTTCATCTGTTACTCAACTAAGTTTTGAGAGTTAAATCACATTATTTGTAAATATTTATATTTTTCTTGTAAAACTGAAGTTAACACAGTTTGCAGGGGAAAGTAATTAATGACAAGCAAATATTTACTATGAAATGGCCAAGCTAAAGCAGTGGGTGCCTTCTTACACCCTCCTATCATTTTCTTATACCTTTCATTCAGCTTTTGCACATCCAAATCAACTTTTAGAAATAATAGTCTTTGTGTAGCCAAAAAACGAAAAAACAAACCAAAGTGCCTGCTGCGTAAGCTAGCTGAAGACTGGCACCATTCCTCAAGGCTTTATCAGCATATGCCAGTCTTCTGGCTCTTCCCTCACCCACCCTAATACCTATCTCTCCCTTGTACACCCACCTTCTTTGGTATGACCAGGGTACAGTGGAACCTGGATATAATGAAGGGCCAAGGGACTGGCAAAATTTGTTTGCTACAACGAGGTTTCAGCATATCAAGCTTTTTTTTCATATATTTTACTATTACTGGGGTAAAGAGAATCGTTCGTCATTTGGAGGACTTCATTATGTAAAGCTTCACTATATCGAAGTTCCACTGTATTAATTTCCCAAGTGAGTAAGCATTTTGTTTATGGAGATGTCAAGCAGACTTTCCTGATTTCTATTGGTTGCCCAACTTCTAGAAATTTTAGTTTTTAAGTGAAAAATATCATACTGGAATTTTCTATTCATTAATAAAATAATAAATATAACAAATAAATAATTATTAAATAATAAATAGTGCATACTGCTACTCCTCTTTATATATATTTTTTGTTATGTAGTTTTTTCAGCAGAAAGGTATTCCTTATGATCCTGAGTATCTGTTCAGAGACTGTCAGGTTAGTTTATAATTTTTCACTTCTAATTTTTGCAGGTGTAGCAGTGGGTTTAAGACAACAACTGCAAATCTTGCTTTGAAATCCAGCCTGTAAAGGACTTTACAGCAAGACTCTTGTCATGCTTTAACTTGTTACCCCCCTAAGACCTGAACAATTCACTCCTATATCTAAACCTAGACACTAGACTATTATTTGCGTTATTAGTATCAATGACAAATTCAGTTCATGTGACCCAATGGAGTCACGCAAGTCTTCTAATATCTTGGTTACATGATTAAGCTCCTTCTCCTCCTTCTGTTACAAAAGTTTGCATTTCCAGTGTGTCAATTAATTTAATATTGTTAATGGTGATGGCAATGATGAAGACTATGAGCAGTCTCTTTTTTTTCAGTTGTAGTGAGGGGACTTCATGCACACACTAGACATGAGAAACAAGGGTGGCCTCTCACGCCTCTAATCATGCTATTGGTCTTTTTTATGTTTCGCTCAATGGACTAAAGAAAAAAGAGACTGCTCATAGTCTAGTGATGATGATGATGATGATAATGTAATGTTCAATGTACGGTGTTATGGCTGCAGTTATGTTTTGAGTGTCTTATCTAGCTTTTTTTCTTTAGCAAGCTGTGGAAGCTGTTCATAAATCTGGAAAGATGTATCATGCAGTCATAAGTGACATAGGTAAACCTCTTTTCAATGACTTGTTTAACTTAAATTTCTGGAAATTTTTATGGTGAATAACGAGTGAAAAGGACAGAGATGGAACTTTGATAACCTTCCTGCAAGCGTAAAAGTCTGATAATAGTGCTGGCAGAGTAAAGTTAGGTTATAGCTCATTTCTGATGCAGGCATTTTACAGGGAATTGTATGCCTTCAATACATAACTCCGGAATTTTGGGGGAATTTTAGACATCAAAAAGAATTTTAGAAAATCATGGGAATTTTCGGGAAAAAAAATTAACCAATTCGAGAATTTTAGAGCAATTTGAACTTTCACTTGACATCTTGGCAACATTTCACAGGCAAACACGTTGACAAAACGTTTTTGTTTGTATTCCAACCTACCAAGAGAGGTGTCAGACTGTTCATATCCTACATATACCGTCACATATACCAGTGTCTAGAGCAATGAGCACAGCGGTTTTTCATCAGAGTCATCTACACTACAACTTATCAGCGGTTATTCATCAAAAGGGGACGTACAACTCATTGTTTCTTGTTGCTATAAAAAAACCCCGAAATTTTTAAGAATTTTCGGTAATTTTAGAGAGTTTTTGGAGAATTTTAGACATTTCTAAAAGAATTTTAGAGGTTTTTGCGGGAAATTCCGGAAAGAATTTTAGACAATTTTTCGGGAATTATGTAGCTAAGCCTAACATTTGTTCATTGAGCGTAGAAGACTACATGCAGTTGTGGGAATTCTAAGAACTTTTCGTCCGCCATGTTTTTACAGAAGAAGCAGCATACGTACTAGGCAAGAATCGAGTACGCCGGCCGAGATGTTTAGCCTTTTACCCGTACCAAATCATAATTTCACATCGTTTAGCACGGTACAAAAACGGACGTGTAATTGAGTAATGAATACTGTTTTTTTGGTACGCGTACTACTTCTATCCGAACCGTGTCAGAACTTTTCTGCCGTGTAAAAGGTGCTTTTAAATCAAATTCATGACTCGGCCCGGGTAAGTCATGGAGGACACGCTGGAATTCAAGGTTTTTTTTCAAGCCCCATTCTGTTGTGACAGTTAAACTGGGGACAAGAGCCAATATCTTTGGCATTTATTTCATGTTTTTTGGGGACTTTTGTTCCGTTGACAAAATACAGTGCGGTATATTAGTGGTGTGTTTAACAGCTTTTAACTATCATTTTTATTTTCTTTTTTCATCAGGTTCATACTTAGAGAAAAGTTCCCGTCTTGGAGAACTGCTTAACAGACTTGTCTCGTCTGGGAAAATGCTGTTCTTGATTACCAACAGTGGCTATGAGTTTGTGTAAGACTAACGAATTAATCTTTATACTCTGAGTAAGCACAGCAAGCCGGAAGATATACGTTACCGGCTCCATCCGCTCATCGCAGCGCGATGGGTGGTTACTTAGTCCTGTTTATTTCATGTTCTAATGACAAAGGGAGGTAACTAGTTTACGACTCGCCTGACAGCCTACAAGACCAGACTGACTACCTAAACAACGTTTTTAGTAAAAACATCTACAACGCTCATAGTAACACTGATTCCAGCACTCAGACCAACGTCAACTTTGGACCTGTTACGACGGCGACTATACCGTATATCAGAGGCACCTCTGAAACTATCGCACGTATTCCACAACCTAAAGAAAAAAAAAATACGCGTTGCTCACAAACCGATAACCATTTCACGACGGCTACTTACTAATGTTAAGGACAAAGACAAACCGGAGGAAAGACAGGGAGCAGTATACAAGATCAACTTCCGCGACTGACGGGCCACTTACATTGGTGAAACCGGCAGAAACCTTAGCTCGCGACTGACTGAACACAAACGAGCGACAAGAAATATTGACGTCAACAATCACATTGCTGAGCACCGTTAAGTGGCAGATGACCAATAACATCGCGATTTAATTGACCAATCACGTCAATAACCACGGTATAATACCATCATTTGACGTGATACAACTCACTCTGACGCTGAAGCTGACTACCGCGTAGGTTGTCGAAACGTCAGTCACTGTCAACAACAACAGTCCTATTTAGGACTACGTTCACCCGGACGATCATACTCAACTTACTTATGAATTAAAGGGAGGCATTCTTTTACATTTTACAACGACCACAGACAGAATACTAAAATAAATGCTTCAAACTTTCGAACAAAAGAGAAATACTGAAAAGTAAAAGAAAGCCCAGATAGAGAAAACTGAAGAAGACTTAAACGGATTGTACTTTGCTTGTTTACAAGTTCGTTACTGTTTGTATCAAGGTGTCACTTATAGTGCTCGGAAATCGAGTCCATTTGATATGTTGGAATGATTTTGTCAATTTAAGGCGTTTCTTTTAAAAGCTCGTAGGTCATAAGGGACTTGTTAAAAAGTATAGAGGGGAGGGGGAGGGGGGTGGTCCGGAGCATTTGGAAATGTAGTTGGTAAAAGATACATGGCCCATCCCACCCATGACACGAAAATGACTGTATTAAAACATGGTTTTTTGGTTTTCTCTTAAAATTCCAATAAAACCTTGTTCTGTGTATTACAAAATCATAAATCTCTAGCCTATTGCGTCGACTCGTAAGTTCGTGATAATGTGAAACGTGACCTAAGAGTTTTCCACTTTCTTTCGCTTTTTTTGGAAGGCACTATGGAACACTTTATTAATGTCTGAAGCTTGCTCTTCTCCGTTGTGACCTGTTTTTGAAATGGGCTGGCCCACTTGATACCCTTTCTTGCCTGCGTGTGCGCCGGTTTTCCATAACAAAATACGGGTTCGTTCCTTAGAAGGGCTGACCGTTATTATTTGATTTTACCCCGTAATGCCGATAGCTGTAGCTAGCAGTGGAGACGAGAGCTTCTGGCGGGGGTGGGGGAGTTTCAGCTGCGAAAATACTGATCCACATCAAAATAGCGGACTGACAGGGCAAACAACTGAACTATTCACCCTGTTTAGGCGTCAAGCGAAATCCCTGCAGCTTGCTTTTGCTTATTTAGTCATAGAAAACTCAAAGTACTTGTCTGAATCATAGCTATAACTATAGTAATGTGATATTGCGTATTTGTTTGACTTGACAGGAAAAAGGGTATGGACCACATTGTTGGCAAAGGATGGCGCGATCTGTTTGATGTTGTTATAACAAAGGCTCGTAAACCTTCTTTTTATCATCATCAGGCATCAAGGTTTGTTCCTTTAAGTATGTAGCAGACATATAGCTAACATAGCTGATCTAGGTTGTTTCATGGTTCATATTTGTATTATTTCTGGCTTATTACTAGGATGAGGTACATCGTAGGCATCTTGTTAACCGCCTCTTTTTAGCCTAATTGACTGGTGCCTGGCTGTGGAACGGTGGTCCGTGGGTTTTTTCGGCGGGAATGAAACTCAGGATCTTTAATAACTGACGGAAACACATTGGTACCTTTGGCCACCTTTACTCTGACATCTGCTGATGTTTAGACATTTATAGTCCTCTCGGATAAGGAGAAACAAAGTAACGCCTTTTCTGACATAAGTGCACCCCGTGGGTCAGGGACGTTGACAAAACACAAGAGATTGTATTGTATTGAGTATCTCTTACCGCAGCAGGATTAGCTCAGTCAGTAGAGCTCTTGACTGCAGAGCGGGAGGTCTTTGGTTCGATTCCCGGGGCCGGACCAATACTCAGAGTCTCATACGGCTAGACCTTCGCGTGGCTCGGATGACCACGTAAAATTGCGGTCCCGTCTCCAGTAGGAGGCGTAAAAGTACTTTCGTGTTAAATACAGTGCATTTTTTCAGTTGATATACAAAGCATTCGTAATTCATGACTCCGTTAATGGTAAACTGCACTAAAAACAGTCTGGTAATTACCCCCTCCCCCCACCCCTCACACCGAAATACAGGTTATCTCTGTAAAGCTCCACGGGGAGCGAATAATGCGATATCTGTATTTTTGTTATGATCTTACATGGATTCTCCTCATAATTTGGTTGTGTCGTCTAACTAGTTGTTTTGGTAGTTCTTATTCTATCTGGGTCGTGAAGTTTTTCTTTGCTTCATGTTTGCGAGATTGTTTGATTTCTTTTAAGGGTGCGAGTTCCACCTTTAGTCGGCTTACCTAAGTGTATCACTACATACTGAGTAGTATAAAAGTAAGAACAATCTGTAACATGACAATGAAATTGACTGCCGTTGATATTATGAGACAACAAGAGACTTGTAAAAAATAAGAGAAATAAGTTTTTAAATTTTGCAGGCCTTTTAGATGTGTGGACACCAGATTATATCATCCAACATGGCAGAAGGTTTCAGCTTTGTGTAAAGGACAAGTGTATATGGAGGTAATAAGACACTTCGCCCTGCGCTGTTAACTGTTAACTTGGTTGCTAAGCAACTAGGAAGCAGTTGTTTAGCAACCGAGTAACGCAGTTCATGTAGCCTTACTTGAGCAAAAGCTTATATAGCATACTGCAAAAGGAACAGTTGTGAGACTTCATTACTTTGATCAAACTTGTAGAGAAACGGAAATGAACAATGGCCAGATAACAATAGGGACCTTTAGATGTTATGCACCTATCAATGTAAACCCCGTGGGGGGGGGGGTGCGGGCAAGGGGTGGGGATTTGACAAATTTTAAAATTTTTTGATCAAATTCCCCAGGGTGGGAAACGAAAGGTCAATCAAAAGTGTCAAAAAAGCCCCCACCCCAGGGAAAAAATCTAAACAAACAATACTATAATACTATATAAAACGAATAAAAGAACATTTCAAAGGTACGTTCTTACTGCTTTTATTAAAGGTTAACGTAAGTTCCGTTAAATTACTCGCTGTAATTAAGTATTTTCTCTCTCCACTAGCATCTCTTATTTTGAACAACATAATCACTCCAGGAAGATGGACCATGCCATTACATTAATGAAACGTAAAATGCTCATCATGTCGGAACAGGTCGGATCAGTGACCCGTAAAAAATACTCTGACTTTCATGGTAAAATTCGATTTCAATCGAGGTTTACAATCAGATGGGAACTTGAAGATAAAAACTTTCTCAAAATAAACATTAGGGCCATTTATACGAGGAAAAATAAGACGCGAAGACGCGAACTTTCCGTATAAACGGCACATTTCGTCTAAAATAAGACGCGGCTTAGCTAAGACGCGTCTTAAAAGATAAGACATGCTCTTATAAATGGTACAGTTCGCGTCTTATTTAAGACGCGTCTTATGTAAGACGCATCTTATTTTTCCTCGTATAAATGGCCCTATTATCTGTTTAGATAACAGTGTAAAGTATCGGATTACCGCGATTAAAACAAATGAAAACTTCATACCTTTCTCCAACAGTGTGACTTTCAGAAAGCCTCGAGGGACGGACCTGGTAACCGCTTCTGAATTGATACCAGGCTTCTATCGGTCAAAGTCAAATGTCCCGGCCCCGGGGTCGCTTCGCACGATCAAAAGCCCGACAAGGGGATAGTCTCAGGCATCAAATCCCCTCCCCTTGCCCGCACTCCCCCCTCACGGGATTTACATTGATAGGTGCATTACTTATTTTTTCTCGCGTATTGTCAAAAAATAGACACCCGAGAAAGCTTCACTGTACTTTTTTCACATTTTTTTTCTCAGGGTTCGTTTTATTGAAGTGGGTTAAACCCTCTCCCTGATCGCAAAATGATCAAACACTTACATTTGATAACTTATTCCCGCCACTACGACTTTCTCGCCGAAACTCCTAGTTGAACGACGACGGCCATTACGTTTTCCCGACGCAACAAGACGGCAGAAAGAAGAGGACGGTAGAACGCTTGTGTGTGACAAACGTGACAGGGCTATTACTCGTAATCTTCACTAAATATCATTGTTTTTTAGTCTTTTGCAAAAAGATCTGTTTAAAGGAAGATGAAGTTTGAGGCAATTTTTTTTCAAACAAAATTATTGTCACGCTTGTCACACAAGGTTTGCCGTCCCCTCAGTGCTCTCCTGTCCTGTTGCGTAAGTTCACTTATGACGCTGGTTCACGCGTAAGTACTACCTAGTATTGAGAAAATCTCGTCCATTTTGTCGTTCTCTTATTAGAGTCTAAAGGTCTTTAATGCCGTTGGGGGTCCTACAATTTTAAATATTGCAAATCGTCCACAATTTTCCTTGGTCTATGCTTGTAACAACCATAGAATTGACATCAAAATGTCAGTTCAAAACTCGAGTGGAACTACATATATGATCACCACCATCACGTCATTCCCATGGTCTGTACTCTCATCGTCCATCGCATTCGACCAATTAGCTCGCGAGAAATCAAAGGCCTTTGACCTACTATATCGACGTTTATTAATGGCGAAGCCTTCTCCTCAGAAAGAAACATTTTAAAAATCTATTTCCACGGTCCGCAGTATGGTGGACGAAGAGCCGCATTGTTAATGTGGTACCACTAAAACCATAATCATAACTGTTTGTTTATATTTATATTTGTATTTATATTTATATTTATATTTAGTATATACTAAAACAGTGGATAGTGTTTTTCGCGCGCTCTGATTGGCTACTCAAAATCCGGATATCAAGTGCTATTCACTGATTTACCTCCAGTTCCTCCGAGCAAACGACGCCAAACTCGCGGCTCGGTAATACACCACTAGTCAGCTTCACTTCGGTGAATAATTGTTATATATTTCAGTTTGCCTAATCTAGGATCATAATACAATTTAGGATACGATCACCTCTACAATACAGGCAATGACTCGTAGTTCTTAATTTTTTGTCTTAAATCGGATGTCTAATTGTATTTATCACTTGTGTCTGCTTTTTTAGGGGAATATTGAACAGTTTGTAAAGTTCACAGGCTGGTATGGTCCAAATGTGCTTTATTTTGGAGATCATGTTTATAGTGACTTACGGGTAAGATGAAGATGAAAGGAGTGTCATCTCGTGTCTGCAACCAAAGTTTACCGTTATTCTTTTGTCTTTACCGCTTACGTTTACTTTTAGTCATCAGTGCAATCAGTGAACGTACCGGTACTTATCGTTTCTTCCGCAACAACTTCATCTCCCCACCATCCATTTCACTATACGTAACGGAAGCCTTTAGTTTAAACGGAACTTCCGTCGACCATCAATTTAGCGGGACTGTGAAATTCAACCATTTTCTGTGGTGTATGGGAGCGCCTTATTATCCTTTGTACTCTACCCTATCTTGTTAACTTTTCAAAATCGAGTTGGCAACTACAAAGGGAAAATACTTAGCGCTGGTTGGTCTGAAAAGAGAGCAAAAGAAACTTGTTTCAATCTGTTCTTTGAAACACAAACCTACCACCAAGCCTAAAACACATTTGAGTCTCTTCAAACCACGCAGAACGATAACTCATTATTTCAACGGAGTTCTTATTAATTTGTGGATAAATGAAAAACGTATACGACAAGGTCTGGGTTTCTGAGTAAATCGATTTGTATATTTATTTATTTGTTTATTTATTTACAAACTTCGCCAAGTGGCCTAGAACACTCACAGACCAGGCCCCACTGCGAGACTGCGAGGTCCAGAGAAAAATATAGTTTTTAAAATAATGACAACGCGCAGGTAGAAACAATAGAATAAAAAGCAACAACAAACAGGATAGGAGCAAACATCGATAAATCATTATTTGTTGTAAAGGAATTTATTCAGGTACAGAATGGAATTTCTTGATGAGAATCAATAGTTGATTATCACGTGGCTTTCACCTTCACGTGCGTGCGAGCAGCGCTCATTTTTTAAGTTACAGTGACTTGATATACTGCATTTTATTTTTAACTTATTGCAACATTTTATTCGTAGGATCCTGTTCTTCACCATGGCTGGAGAACTGGAGCCATAATTCCAGAATTAGAGGTATGTAACCCTTCTTTTTTGTAAGTTGAAAAGAAGAATTAAAATTAAGGTGGCGTGACCCGTGTTACGTCAGGATTCATCAGGAGGTGCCTACCGAATCTTGCTGCGGCAGTACAAAATCAGATTACATGTCACAAGTGCAGGTTAGACTTTACAGGTCACTGTGCTCATGGAATAAACAACACTAAAAGTGACTGTTTTGTAGTCCTAATCCGACCCAATAGAGTCTTAGCTTAAGGGGAAACTGCTTATCTCTTTTATTTATCAGTAGAGCAGTGACCTGCATTTGTGACCTGTGACCTGTGACCTGTGACGTGTCAATGTTGCTGTGTGTGATTGCATACTCAAGCGAACAAGTCATACAGCAGTATTGTTCGCGATGTATTTCCCACCTGTTTTTCCGCATAAGCAAAGTTTCTTTGAAGTTCGTACACCGCAACACATAAAAGGCATACGGCAGTCTATCGTAAGTCACATAAAGCTGTGTTACTCCCGAAATATCTCACTAGATTCTCTCATGTCCAGGTTTGCACACAGTTGCAGGGTTGACGTAGACTTCGAGCAGTCTCTCTTTTTTCTTGGTCCGTCGAGCAAAACGTCCGAGACACGCAAATGACCAAGCGCGTGACTGAAGGCGCGAGAAGGGATAGGCACAACGCGTATTTCATTGGGTCTGGCTATGTGGGCAGTCTCTCTTTTTTCTTCTCGGGCTGCCGCTATCGTTCCTCGCGTCTCGCGGCTTCGCCGCTCAACGCTCTCGCGCGCATGCACTCCCCTTACTAAACCTGAAGCAAAAGAGAGACTGCTCGAAGTCTAGGATTGACGATTTTTCTCCCGCTTGCAAAAACCGTGAAAGTTGTAAGGTTGACTGATACTGACTTGACTAATTTTCCTTTTTTGGCAAATTTCTTATTTTTTCGGCTGCGTGCAAACGTGGATATATGTCACCAGATTTTGCCCTTATTAGCACTTTAGTAGCGCGGAGGCAGCGTGGCGGAGCGGTTAGAGCCCTGGACTATAGCTTGCTGGATTTGTTCTCGGTAGTCCCGCGTTCAAATCCTCAGCCACGCTTGTACAATAGCCAACTGGTTCGCCTCCAAGCTACCTGCTGGGATTTTTAACCGTGCTATGTTATGTCTCATTTAATTAATTGTTTCATTATCTCTAAAAAGCCCCATAAGGGGAGAGGATAATTAAGCATTTTTTACTTTATTTAATATTATCACTTTTGCAGAGACGATTTCGTTTTCAGTATTTTATCTTTATTCCGGTCACACTCAAGAAAAAAGCAATCGAACAATTCGTTACTCCGTGATTATTCCCTTTCTCCCTCCCACTTTTCGTCCTTGGGAGAAAGAATTGTACATCTGTGTCCGTCACAGAACATGCAGCATTTGTATTATGAAATTACTCTTCGATTCATTTATGTTTTGTTAGAGGGAAATCAGGATGGGCAACTCCCCAGAATTTCAGCGATCTGTTATCTGGTTAAGTTCACTTCAAGATTTTATCAACCAGCTGAAGGTCAGTGAATTATTTCTAATTAAGTTTAAGATAAACTTCCTCTAACAGCCGCCTCTTCATGACTGCCCTTTATGCCCTTTTTTTTTCAGCATCTCAATTGGTCATTGCGAGGTTTAAATAAGCTTTGAGTCACAGTGTTGAATTGCGTTATGGAACGTTTTGGAGGACGAGTTTTGACCCATTTTACCACGCAAAGTCGTAAAACCAATCAAGGAAGTGATAGTCCCCGGAACAGTCCCATAAAGTACAACTGGACAAAACTCTAACCTATTGGCGATCCCAAACTCAAAATGGCCAATTTCGGCCTCACTCCTCTCTACAGCCGTAAATGGCTACTAAATTGCGTCCTAACTGCCAAAGGGTACGGAGTTTTACCAACCACGACGAAAATGGGAACGTCAAAGACAAAAAGAAATAGGCTTAATGCACAGTTTGGTTCATTTCTTTGCCGTCACTGCACGACTAAGCCATAAATTTCCGAATGCGGTGTTTTGCCGAGTACGTGAGCACACGAGGAAACTTTTTTCTTTACGTTTCTGAACTTTAATGCTCTCCCTAAGCAACCGTCTCAAGGAAAATTGGCCTGAGTGCGTGATTTAAGAAGTTTAGTGGGTTGGAATAATCTGTATTGTAAACTCGGTGAAAGTTAGTGTTGTTTTGCTTTTTATGGTTTCATGAAATTGGATTCATATTCTTGTTTTACTTTTTGCAGGCTCTCCCTCAAGGCCCAAGAAAAAGTGAACTGACCGAGGAGTGGAAGCGAGAAAGAAGAGAGCTAAGGTGAGAATCATCAGAACGTTTTCAGGCTGGTGTGCGATTGAGCTGGTCCCCATTAAGTTTACGTACTTAATTTCTTTTAGTTTATAAAATTTCACCTTAAATACCATAATAATTGTAAAAACCGGCAGTTGAAACCGTACTCGTACGGGTAGCCGGTATTTCGAGTGAAGAAACTTCGCAGTGGTGAGGTGGTAGTCCGTTTGTTTGATCATAAGTACACACACACTCTCTATCGACCATATTACAACATGTCATTACGTTTTACAATTTTTATAAATTGAGCATGTGGCCGTGGGTTTCTCAATTCATCATTTTCACATAGACCATAATGCACCCTGTCTACCCCCGAAATTTTACAGAACCATTGTCTTAGATTTCTATTGGAACGACCGTAATACCCAGGAGAAATTGGAAACAATGGTTATGCAAAATTTTGGGGGGTAAACAAGGTGCATTATGGTCTATGTGAAAATTTGGAGGATAAGGCGACGTTCACGCGGCACAAGACGAATTTCGACCTGCTAAAAAATTGGACAGGACACTTTCAATATTTTCGCCCTGTTCACACGGAACTAAGCAACCGAGTTGAATATTAACCTTTCTTATCGTGGTTTTCATTGCTGGCGAGCCTTATGCGAGCCAGCACACTATTCTCTTTAATAATTCCCTTCAATAGCGGGAAAAAAGCCAAAATTTTGTCACATGTAAGATCAGGAGCATGCGCTGTTCATACTTATGTGCGATGACATCACATAAAACGCACGTGGACGAGATCGACAGATTTCGGGTGCATTTCCAGAGTGCAAGCAGATTATAAACAAGGTGAGCGGTTCCTCGTGATTCATCTCACGACGGAAGTATTTCCAAATGCAAGTAAGGGAATGTAAATATATACTGTATACATGTATATAAACAAGCAGTTACTAAAAGGCCTCGTTTATCATCTGCTTGCACTCTGGAAATTTACTTGAAGGGCTTTCCCCTTTAACACATCACAAATTATACATGGAAATAACTTATTGTTCTTTTACCCACTTTATTTTTTTCGGGGTTATTTTCATTTTATTTTTAAACTGTTTCTCCGAATTGTCTTCCAGCTTTGTCGCCAGCATTTGCCTTCAACTTGAAACTCCTAGTTATATGCCTATGCGCAGATCGCTTCTTTACTCAGCAAGTCCAAAATGGCGTCTCCCAGCTGAGTTACCACGCATCCATGCCTTTGCTTCAAAACATTCAAAGGGTCATGGTGTTCACACCGCGCTGCTCCAATTTGCGACCGTAATGGCTAAAAAGTTGACCTATATTTTGGCTAGACGGCTAGACGTCTAAATTTTCGTACGGTCAGAGCGGAACACCTAAACGCAAGAATTTTCCAATGGTCGAAAATTCGTCCGGTGCCGTGTTAGCCTCCCACGCAGACGTTCTTCGCAGACGTTCAGACGTTCTTCTTCGTCACGTGCAGAAAAGGAACCCCTAAGAACGTCTTCGTGGGAGGCTAGTGCCGTGTGAAATGACGCAGCCTAAAAGTCGTAAGTAGCGAAAGTAGACAGAACTAGCCTGTTCGAGGTTTTTAGATAGCGGAGAGTAGCGCAAAATGGAGCCGGAAAGGGAAAAAAAGCGGTTTAGGGGCCGACCATTTGACTTTTGAGAGGGGGTATGGGTGATTTCAGAAAAAATATCCTGCAGACTGACTTCGAGCGAAAAAAAATCGTGCAAGTAAATACCTGTGGCTTTGTATGTCAGGGAAAAAAATTCTATCAACAGAGGTTTGCGAAAAAAATTCTTACGCAAAGCAAATCACCCATATCCCCCTCAAAAGTCAAATGGTCGGCCCCTTACCCATTTCGCTGCTCACTTCTTTTGGTGCTGTCTCCACTACCTGAACGACCAACCAATTCACTATGTTTTGCCTTTTTTTAGAAACAATTGGCCCGTAGTCGGTCGAAGTTAGTAACGAAAATAATAATATGGTTGTTGTTTATCCTTCAGAGAGAAGTTGAAAGCGATATTCAACCCGAGATTTGGCAGTGTCTTCAGGACCTACAACAACTCTACATATTTCACGAGGCGAATGGTTCGGTTTGCCGACCTCTATATGTCGTCTGTTGAAAATTTGCTCAAATACCCGAGCAACTACACCTTCTACCCGCGAAGAACTGCGCTCCCACACGAGGCAGTGCTAGACTTCCGAACAAGTGGACCACTTCCGGATCAGATGTTTCCTAATTCGTCAAAATAAAACAGTTCCTGAACTTGAGATTAGCACCCTTCCAAGTATCTTCTATTAAAGTAGGCATTTTGGGGTATGGGGAAAGGATAATTTCCTTTTTCATTCTTTCCCAGTCTCCACTGGCGCCCGGCAGTGATAGGTGATTAACGCTATTAAGTGTTTCGACGCCTTTTTACATTTTGTAATGTAATTCCAGAGTTTTGATTAGGCATAGTATATCTGATATATATCCTATGGAAAATCCAGGATATTAATTTATATTTTGATTGACATTTTATCGCTTTTTGGTGGCAAATATTATCACCCTTTTATATTGGTCTTAAGGTATTTATTACAAAATATTGACATATTATGTATTAAAAAGAAAGAGTAGAAAGAGTTTGAATAAGTTTTAAAACATAGTCGAACTTTTGTTAGAATTTCCACTTATCTATTTATTTATCATCGTGTGTAGCTGTCCTGAACAGCGTAGGTTATTTCTTGAGTATAATATATTGATGGGGGAAATTTATCATCGCAAAACTTGGGCGTTGAAAAATATTTCTTTTTAAAACAACTGAGCAACTGGGGTAAAAATGTTTTTATAACTGTTATGTACAACGAGCAGGGTCTAACAAAATAAAAAAGGTTGAGTATTTGAAGTGTTTGAGTATTTGAACTTAATCACGATGGTCAATTTGAGGTTGTGCGTCATCTACGAGCGTGGCGAATTTGAACAGCATCCTCAGACTTCGAAAGAGGGCAGCAAGATTGATCCTTGATGCACCATCAACTAGGATTCGTGGACCTTTTTAATACACTAAATTGAATTCCATTTCATAGGGATCCAGAGGAGGATGTTCGGTGGAGGCGGATAACACCCTGCGAGGACTACACAAGTCTTTTATTTATTGTTTTAATAGTTGTTTTATTATTCATTCAAAATAATTCCTAGGTCCCCGTCTTCACTTGTCTGTTCCTCCTCATATTCCGGATATAAAGGGTGGTTACTCAGTCTCGCAGCTATTCATCAAATAGCAGTTGTAATCTGTTGAGTTGTATTTTCCTGTTCTTGATATTCCCTAAAGCAGAAGTTCGGTTATTTCAACTTCCCGCCAGGAGCCCATAACCCGGAGCGAGAAACTCCCATAGTACGCCTATGTCACGGCGTTTTTACAGACCGGTTTATTTTTAGACACATTTTAGGGCAATTTTTCCTGCGAAAATGGAATCTCCGCCACGTCTATAAACGCATCTCAAGGATAAGATATCAAAAATGGAAACCTAACGTCATTAAAAGGCAAAAATTATCATTTTTAGGTCGGTAGGTTTTGCTGACTGGTTTGTGGGACTTAAAAGATATTCAAGATTCGCGGAAAAACCGTTCTAAAAATACACGAGTGCAAGGAGGTTGCTCTCTCCAGGTTATGGGCTCCTGTTCCCGCCCCGTGTAATGGAATCCGGATTCCGGAATTCGTGAAATTTTTGCTTGTGGAATCCGGAATCCTACTTAGGATTGGAATCCAGAATCCAAGTTCCACCGACAAAGACTGGAATCCAGTACCTGAAATCCGGAATCCAAGAATGTCTTGGTTTTCCTTACATGGGACTAAACTTCGCAACACGTGTGAAATTTTCCTCCTTTTTCTCCATTCCTATAAATACCTGTTCGAGGGTTTCTTCGTTGCTGTCTTGTTTCCTACCGATGGCCTGTACTGTTGACGTCACTTTACTATCGCAAACTTCTTCATAATTTGGAAGATTTCAGACAAAATTTCACAGCAAAGGTGATGGGTGCGGTCCTGTTAATCCACCCATCGAATGAAAGACCCATGATCCGTGCATTTCTGTCGGCTTGGACCTGGTAACGGGCAGTTGGCAAATGTGTTTTTTCCCCTTTTTTTCTGTGCAAAATAAAATGCCCACCATGTTCTCACCTGTTCGCGCCAACGTTTCAAACATTGCTGTCATACACTGTGTGTCTTTGGAACCGGGTGTGTCGAATTACACTGTGGGACTAGATTGGGTTTTACGTTGCGCAGGAAACTTATCCCCACAACTGTCCCATAGTCCAATTCGACACACCACCGACCCAATGTAGTGCGCAAGTTAAAAAAGAATTCTGAATTTTTGTTTTCGTTTCGTTTTAATTTTTCGCACTCGATTTGGTTTTCTCCTTTTGACTCTTTAGCTTGGGAGAGATAAAAGTTTACCGGATAGAGATGGGTTACCAACCTTTCTTTAGTGGCCTCCCATGAACGAGAAATCTGGAGCTTTGAGGGAGAAGGAGTTGGCTTTGCGCGTGTACCTTTTTTTCCTTAGGGTGCGCTGCTCTGGAAGCCAATATTAAATTTATGATCTCAGATTCCTTGAAATCGTTAGGGTGAAAAGAAACGAAAATCTGAAAATGGATTATTTAGGGTACCAGCAAGATGGGTATGAACCTGCGATAACGTAGCGGACCTAACTGCTTGCCTGGTGTATTTTCAGTTCGGAATACCACAAAAAACATGAATCCTAAAACTGGGGTTAAAATATGACCAGAAACTAATAAGGGGTTGAATCAACCCCTTATGGGTTTCCGATATGACTTAATAAATCTATTCGACCTATGAGTTCTTGAGATTGAAAATCCACTTATAAAAAATCTAAGAAGCGTACCCTTAGACTTGCCTTAAATGCTTTCCTCAGGAAGATAGCCTGCATAGGGTGGGTTTGCATAGCTTGAGGTTTTTGATGCTTAGAGAGGGACTCCCAGCGGGAAAAAGGGTATGACGAGGGCATTGTCACGTGCAACGGGTAGAGTTCGCGCGCGAAGTCCAACATTTAAGCTCGGTTACTAAGCACGCGGGATTATAAGATGCAAATTGGAAGACGCCAGATGCGTCTAGGATTTTTGTCTAATCCTCTATTTTTTAGAATGTGGTGTGGTTTCTTTGAATATCAAGCAAGATGAGAGTGGTTTTTCTCTGCAAAGGATCGAGAGGCGATGTGGCTCCGATATTATCACTCGCAGTGGGCTTCAAGTAAGTTCTTGTGCAATGTTTATAAATCTGCCACACTGCAGCGAATTTTTTTTACGGTGTGTGAATATTTACATTTTAGTAAATCTCTTTGCATGCGATATTAAATCTCTGGTTTTTCAGAATTATCTTGGAAAAATTTAGTTCATGAGCATTGATGTATTTTATGTGGAAGAAAAACAACTCCTGCGCGGTTTCGATCCTATAATTTTTAAGATTTAATTTGTGTTACTCGCAATTCACGCTAAGCTAACATAAAATCTTTCAACTGAATAATTTTACTTTAATTTGTGTACATCAGTTGTAGATTCTGATCAAGTTTTGGACATTTGATGGCTTCGTTAGTAACAAGCCTCATATTAAGTTTAAAAATTCACAATTGAACATCATTATTTTAGTTCAATACACCCGCTTCCTTTTATACTGACCAACCGGTCCAGTTCATTGTATGTAAACAAACACAGCAAGAAGCCATGATATTGAACGTCGCCACTTTATCGATTTGAATTGAAAGCTAATTCTACTCTGCGGGTTTGTCTCAGTGAATTTTGAAAAATATAGATTACAGTATCGGTTTAGATGTTCGGGTTCCTTCTGTGAGTACCGGAGCACAGATTACGTAATACAAAAGTAATAAAAGACAGGAAACAAAACAACTCCAAATAAAGACTAATCCCAAGTGACCAAAAATACAAAGCTTTCCGGTACCTGCAGAAAGACCCGATGTTCGTCTAAGTGCATTTATTATGCATACATGCTTCTTTTCTATTCATATCAACTATTTATGTGTGAAATAGTATGAAATTGCTGCATGCATAATAAATGTATGGGGTTATACAGGAATCTGATTACCAGATTACAGTCAAATCCCAATAATTCGAACCTTCAAAGGAAAGAGAAAAAAGTTCGAGTTATCAGGAGTTCAAGTTATGAAGGGTATTTAAAATTATATAGAAAATGATCTGAAGGGAAATGAAAATTGCTTCTAGTTAGCAGGAGGTATGAGTTATAGAGGGTTCAAGTTCCCGGGAGTCAACTGTATCTTCGTGGGAAAATGACTTCGTAACAAACGGGCACCCAGATAAGTTAACTGAAAGCTGTACAACATTCCATACAAGGGAATTAATCGTATCCCAACCAATTTTTCAAGCTGCTGTTGTTTTTCCCAAAACTCAAAGTTGTCAAGCCCGCTTTTTTGTTTCATCCTCCAACTTGGTTTTTGTTTTGGTGAGTTTCTGTTGTTGTTGACAGGGTGGAAGGGGGTGGGAGATCAACATGCAAGGGGTACAGTTACCTGAATGGGAAGCCAAAAGAGGTGAAAGCTTCAATCCCCAAAATATCCCTGCCTCCTAAACTATGCATCATTAAATACAAAAAAAGAAGTGAACAAACAAACATATTTAGCTGGAATAACATTTTACTGGGCAACCACCTCAATTGGGAGTATTTTAATAGTCCCAATTTAAGATGGGCCCATCTTAAATTGCTTTCAAAATTAATGAAGAAGCTCGATTTTGCTTGTTTTTTAGTAATTTTTAAAAAAATTTCTCTAACTTAAAAATGTCAGTGACTCTGGTTGAGTTCATTGCCATTAAAAGACAACAACAACAACAAAATAATATTGAAGCAATTTTTTCCATCTTTTTCAGTTCCTTCCCTGCTGCCAGGGACATTTTGTTTCTCTTGTGAAACATCCCTAGCAACAGAGTGCTAAGCTAAGACTAAAGAGACAGCACTGTTTATAGTAGTTTGAATATACATCTACAAGTGGATTTCTGCATTAATTTATAATTTTATTGTTTGATCATAACATAGCCTGGCTCCAGAGGTCCAATCACAAAATTATGGTGGTCCAGAATGGTCACACATGCAAATTAAAAATGTTGCTGCAAATTAAAAATATTACATGCAAATTAAAAATTGCACATGCAAACTAAAAATATTACCTGCAAATTAAATATATCACATGCAAACTAAAAATTGTGCTGCAAATTGAAAATAGAAAACATATCGATGCAAATTAAAAATGAAAAGTCCTGCGCGCGCAGTATGAGTGATGAGGACCTGGTCTGAGCCATGCGACCTGGCCTTACAGCCGTCGGCCCATTCATGTTTCATGTTTGATGTTTGTAATATTTTTAGTTTGCATGTACAATTTTTAATTTGCATGTTCTATTTTTAATTTGCAGCAACATTTATAATTTGCAGGTAAAATTTTTAGTATTTGCATGTGTGACCCTTCTGGGCCACCGTACAAAATACCTAGGATGAAGCTCCTGAGCATCACACCTCACTGTTGCATGGAACTATCAGGAATTGAATAAGGCCATCCTCTTTTATTTTCTCCATTTAACATCGTCTGACCGACCCAAATTTTTGGCAGTTTCAAAAAAAAAAAGTAACGATCTAGTTAAACCATTTTTCACTTGAAATAATTCTTTTAATCTGAAAAATGAGCATAGTAACAGCATAGAGAAAAACAGGAACAAAAACAGGAACATTTTTTACCAGTATGTAATTGTGCATTTTGTTAATCCAGATACGTAAATGTTAACTTTTAACGTCATCCTGGAGTACCAGGGCCTCCTGTTCCAAGCTTGTGATTTTTTTTTTTAGTTTTTTTTTTCAATCCATTTGACCGACCCAATATCATTAAATGCATTCGATGCTAAATGAAAAAAACAGGGGATGGCCTAAGAAAGAACAAAACCTTATTGGCACTCGGGGTAATCATCAATCTTGCAGAGAAACCTATTTGGGAACAACTTCATAAAGCAGCATATTAGCTTGACCCTTAATGAGCTTTAAACATGGTTCTCTGAGGGCAAATGATATCACGAAAAGTTGATTTGATTTGGCCATTCGACTTGTCTGAATTAACCTTAATTTCAGATTACCCCAAATCATTTTTGTCCCCTATCCAGAGGGTAATATTGATCCCGTACTCTTGGGGGAGAGATTTGCGAAGTAAAATGTATTCACATCCTGCATTCAATTTATTTTGAATCATGAGCTGTGTTTCAAAAAATCATGTCACTAGGAAATCAGAATGTTTCTGTGGTCTGCCTTTAAGAGTTGCTACCCACTAAGGCAGTTTTCTGCAGGTCTATAAATTATTACACAATAGGTGATGTGACAGTTTTTTTCTTGATGTTTTTTTTGGTAGAAAGAGCAGCACTGCAGATTCTTGTACCTTAGCCACTCATGCTTGCCATAGACTCAAATTTGACAGCATTCTGCAGAAGAATGGCATTGATTTTGTGGCTGTGGATGAACTTGGAAGTGATAGTGGACCACGGAATAGTGAAAAAATGGAGGTAATGTTTTTGGCCACAAGCAACCAGTGGGTTATTTGAATTCCTGAGATGGGTAAAGGAGAGGGCACTGTGAAAAGTAAGTGCTATCCTCTGCAACATTGAAGGCCTTCAGTGACAAGTGCAACTTAAGCCTTTTTAGCCAAAAAATTAAAAAAACAATCATTATGTCTTGGCTTGCTCTACATATACAGTGTAGGTACTGTCACTAGCATGTTTAAATTAATAATTACCGGTATATTAAAATAATTATTATTGGTTCACCTTTCAGCTACAAGTGTGTAGTGGAAGAGGTTTCTCCAAAAGTCAGCAACAGGATAGAATAATAGAGATGCACGGGAGTTTGAAAGCTTGCAGAGGTGCAGATGCTATTGTGTTTAATCTCTTTGCATGTGAGGGATGGTTTATTGCTAAATACTTTGATGTACCATGCGTTGCTGCATCTCCATTTGCCGTTACCAGGTAAAGTCATGTGATATACTTAGGACCTGAAAGGCATTCTCCTTAAAACTCCTCTGACTATTTCTATTTTTTCTGTGAGTCTCCCATTTCAGTGAAAATCTTGTAATGGGAGCAATAATATTGTTTTGTGGGAAATATTCCTTTAACATGTACATGTATTTGTCATGTGTGTGTCTCCCCATTTATTTAGCAGTTTATAATATGTACATAATTTTACAGTATAAATAAATACCTTTATATCTCCATCTTTATTATATTTTATTTGTGGTTCTTATTGAGTCTTTTTTTTCAAAATTTTGCTCAGCGAAGTATTTAGAACTGTTTAAACTCATCGCAAATTGATGAGCTTGGGAACTGGTACCTTAAAAGTTAGCGGGGAAGGGCCCGAGGTAATTCAGGCACTGCAGGGAGGTTTCCATGGCAACCCGGCAAGCGGGAACCACCCCAGTAGCAGCCGCTAACAGGCACCGTCACACTGAAACTAGTCCAGTGGAAATACTTACCTAACCCGATACTTACCTCTGCAATCCAGAAGCCCTCTGGGACGGGAGGGTGGGGCTAATGAATCCGCAAAGATTCGCTCACAGAAGCAGTGATCGCAACGATCGCTAGCAAGCAAGGCTGTATGTAGTTTGCCCCTGCGAACTCCAAAGGGGCGCCCCCACGGATCCTGTGCAAACTGGGCGAGACCGCTGGTAGCATTAGCTCGAGATTAACCTTGACTAAATTACATTTAGCCACATTAATTTATCATTAATAAAATTTTTAAAAGTGTGTCTCAGCAAGTCTTGGGATTTACCACTGACCATCCTTTTTGTTGGGTATATTTGAGGAGAGAATGTGTACATGTAACTACTTTTGTTTTTTTTTTTAGATAAAGAATGATGACAGTATAGTTTTGTGACTTATTTAATATGTTTACAATAATTAATTTTTAACCTTATTTGCCACAGAACACCACCTGTAACCTTTGAAAGTAAATTTATTGATGCTTATCCAGATTTGTATGAGAGATTGCAGGAGTCACCACGAGGTAAACTATCATCTAATCATGATTATTATAAAATTCTGTAATCTGATTGCCTTTCAACATTAATAGGACAGTCAGTAATAGGACTATTATTAGTGTAACGATTAATAGAATTCTTTATTAATCGTGATTATGACCGTTTGGTTTGATTCACAATTCTTTGCTTCCACGTTTCGATTTTGGTTCGATTTTTGCGCACCTATTCCAGGGTGCCCTCAATGAGTTATTATAATATTGTAAAATTAGAATCCAGAACTCTTTAAAATGTGCATTTTTGATTGACAAGCAAAGACGATAGCAGTTTGTGTACCATTTTGTGTTGCCTGGTAAAAATGTTGTCCTTCAACCACCCCTTGAGAATATCCAAACAAGGCAAAACCATGTGCAAAACGCTCTTTGTCAGGTTCTCAAACATGGTGACGAACCAAGCAACTGTGAATCCTTACATCCCTGTTACTATTCTCTAATTATTGAGGGTTTAGGGTTGCATGTTGTTAACATTAAGCATTATATTATAAGAATTAAGAAACATATTTACATAATCAAATCAAAATCAAATCGAATCGCAAGGAATATGAATCGTTACACCCCTAAGGACTACCGTAAACTTCCAATTATATACAGTAAGCCCTACCTCTTAATAAGCCCCACCCCCTATTTATAGACCCATCTATCTGTAAACAAAACAAAATACGTCCGGGTATAAGCCCGCCGCAATATAAGCACCCCTCTAGCTTGTATTAAAATGAATTTGACTTTTTACGACGTTTTGAAGCTTAAAAGGCGATCAAATTCGAAAAGTATTTTGATCAGCACTGCTACTGTACATATCTTGTTTTGAAACACTTTCTTAAATTGTATGGAAATATCAATTCTTGAAGTTTTTAAATTATCTTTTTGAAAGAACAATGTACAGAATTGTCAGGCATTACAACAGCAATAATAATAATTTAATAATTTTATATTAATGTTTTTGAGTCTTATACCTAACAGTCAGTCTAGACTGGCGGACTTTTAATTAAGATAAAGGTCATGTTTTATATTTGTAGGTCGAGTGAGCTATGGTGATATTGATCACTGGATGTGGCGACTGTACTTGGATGATTTTGGTGAATTTTGTGACAGCATTGGCCTTCCGGTGTGTCCTTATGCTGAGCTGCGACCTGAGGATCCTCTCCCTCCATCCACCACCTTATTGTATGGTATCAGTCCCAGAGTGATTGAAAAGCCTCAGTATTGGCCTGACAGGTGAGCCTAATGCCATTGTTTAGCTCTTCTGTACAGTGGGTCATACATGACCAGGGGCCCGTTTCTTGATAGAAGTCCCGATAACTTTTCGAGCATGAAAAGCTGTTTTGTGTTTGTTGGGTTTGCATTCAAGATCAAAGTTTCAATTATTTTGAAAATGAGAAATGAAAGTACAAATTGACCGGTTTGTGAGCTAGGAAATGTGCTACCTTTGAACAGGTTTTGATTTCAAAATTTGCCTTCGGACCCAAAAAGCTACCGGGCCTTTTGTAAAACAGGCCCCAGAGCTGCCTGTTACCCCGCCCCCCATACAGATCCATGTCTCTTCTACAGCTTATGATGTCATCATGCAGTAAGAAAGTTTTGCTTTCTGTGCATGCCCGAACTTCTGAAGCTAATATTTTACATCTTGATCAGATGGTCATGAAGTCTATGACTTGTAAATGACTTTTTGGTATGCTTTAGCTCTTCATAGCCAGACAGTGACCAGAAAACTTCAAAATGCCTTTTTCACTTAAATTCCCAGGAACGAATGGGTTAAAAGATGTTTTTTCTTTTTTTTCAAGTGGCAAACCAAGAAATAGCGTTTGGAAATGTCTGCATGATACAGAATAGCTTTACTTTTTTTGATCGTAATTCATGTTAAACATTCAAACTATCAACTGCATGCAGTACTCTGAACCGGTTGTTAAATTCCATAATCAAACTCGGTCACAATCACGCAATGAAATAAATACACACACGGAACACTTATTCAAAAACACAACTATTTGCTTTAATTAAAAAGAAGCTATTTGGTCCTTAGCATGGAAAAAAGAAAACAAGGAAACGAGAAAAAAAAGCTAACAGAATCATTACACTTGAAGGTGAAAATAGCTAGAAGGTCAAATTACAACATTGGTCTCAGAAACTTCGCATAAAGAAAATCACTGCCGAAACCACAAAGCGGCTCTACATGAAAAACCTACCTACTCTCCACAATAATTCTTCATTCACAGTTCAATTTAGCATTTCAGTTTCGAAGACGAGGGCAATTTTGCCGTTTACGATTAAAGATTATCGAAATGTTTGAAGTCCACGCAAGCATACCAGGGATGTGATCTGCTGAATATCAAGCAACAATCGTGCTAAAATTCCTAGAGCATAATAATGCACAATTATGTGAATGTTTAGACTATCAACCGATCAAAATCACTACCCGGTTATCAGGTATTGATCACGTCACTGGATGGCATTAACAGCCAGTCGATTCAAACGTTGCTGAGAGGAGAAAACGACTCGAAGCAATTGGATGAAATTAAGGCTGGGGGGAGGGATGTGTTGGAGTGGTGAATCAGTATCTAGATAGGGCTGCCTGATGTTCCATCGCGGATCTTATATCATCACTGGATATAAAAGGCAACAAAAAATCTCACTGATAAAGACTTGATTTCCACAGTGTTGTTCTTTGTGGTTATTGGTTCTTGGACATGCCAGCTGAGCCTATTGATGACATCAAAGTGTATCATCCAGCATCAGGTTTTAGCACACTCCCAGACTTCTTGTCAAGGCTTAAGCAAAGTGGTGACAAACCAGTTTACATTGGATTTGGTTCCATGGAGGAGTTGGGATTCTTTTCAAGTGTTGATTGTGTTGAACTTTTGTGCATATTGAATGAAGGTACACAAATAAATCTTTTTTAATTACAGTTCAACCTCCCGCAAGGGACCACCCAAAATGTGATGATTTAGTTGTTGCTTTCAAGAATCACACCACACGGACACTTCCTAGAAGAGGTCCTGACACATCTACTTTTGCATGCAATTTCTAAGTCATGTATAATAAGTACTTCCATGTTGTCACTGAAAGATCTTTCTATACAATCATGTACTCTGAGTTTCATAGCACACACAGAGAAAAAAGAGACCACACTTATGTAAGTTTTGCATCAAGTGGCCACTTGCAAAATATCCAGAACAATGGAAACCAAAAAACTGTCAGGCCAATAAGTGATCACTGTCGCTTATGAGAGGTGGTCATTTGCAAGAGGGTCTAAATTGTAGGACTTTGACTGGGAAAGTAATGGTGTTTTGGATGGGTGGTCGTTTATGGGAGGTGGTCGCACATGGAGGTTTGAGTGTAGTTGATAACTGACTGTTAAGAATTTCTTTTCCTAAGTTGCCAAATTAGTCAGTATAACTTCATACCAAGTTTTTGAAAAGGCAGTTTGTGTTGTGCACATAAGGCTAGGTTTGTAAATATTAGTCAAGGGATTATATTACATTACAGTTGAACCCCTCTACAACGGCCACCTTGGGACAGAAGAAAGTGGCCGTTGTAAACAGGTAGCCTTTGTAGAGAGGTTTTAAACAAGAGTCAATTTATGGATTTTTTGTCCGCGGGAATGAAAAAAAAGTGGCCGTTGTAGAGAGGTGACCGTTAGTGGAGGTTTGACTGTGTTACTTTTCTTTTTTTAAAGTATGGTCAGTAGTCTTTGTCTCTCACATGATTGCAATTTTCCACGAATCTGACATGTGCTGGAAACGAGCAATTCTATATTTACAACTTTTAATTCCATTGTAGAAGAAAACAAATAACTTAAAGACGTCAATTTTTCTTTGTTGTTACTGACTTATAGACCGCAGAAATGATTTTGTTATGTTCAACACTTTCAGTGAAACCATCTGCTTGTGGATCACATGCAAACAATCATGGAAAGCTATCAATGTTTAAGACCGGTTTGCTTTACTTCGGCTTTATCGAATGTGGCAAGGACCAACCACCAGCTACTTGATGTGTTTGCTAAAGAGGATTTTTTTAAAGAGACCTTCAGTGCTGTTGTTTTTATTTTTTTTAGGTCTTGTTCAATGTGGCAGAAAAGCACTTCTTCAGCTGTCGCCCACCTCGAACCTCCTCAAGTCATGGGAAATGTTATGCAAGAACTTTCAAAACTGCAACATCCACTGCATTATGGAGTATGTTTCTCATTCCAAACTCTTTCCCTTCTGTCAAGCTGTGGTGCATCATGGAGGCAGTGGTACAGTCGGCATGGCATTAAAATGTGGCATTCCACAGATTGTGTGTCCATTCATGTTTGACCAGTCATACTGGGGCGATAAGGTTGCTTGGATGGGCGTAGGAGAAACTGTTGGCCATCCTAGGTCACTCAAAGCCGAGGCATTTGCTACTGCTCTCGTCAGTGTAGCAAGTGACGATATACAGAAGATGGCTGTTTCTTACAGCAAAATGTTAGCTGCAGAGGAAGGGATGGAGTTTGCAGTTCAGCAACTAAGAACAGAGTTTAGCACATTATGATGAAAATTAGAACTTCTTAACACTTCTAGTCTTCTACGCAGCCGTTTCTTTTAATTAGCCCGTAAAAACAGATGTTCCTCTAGCGGCGAGGGATGATGAGGAACGTCTGTTTTCGCTGGCTACCGTGTCTTCAGTCGTCACGCAATGAGAAGCGTCACGGTTTTTTTTTTTTTCAAAATTTGTCAGTGAGTAGGTTTTCTCCCAGATGCAATTTGTGGAGGGTAGGAGATGGGGTCCTTTTATGTAGTCTCTTGTGGACGCTCACACATAATGGGGGGCTTAAGCAAAGCCTACGGTCTATAAGGTAAACCAGAAAGAGAGCTACTTCAGAATACGCGGTCACTTAAAGGAATGCTTCAACGAACGAGGCAAAAACACAAAAGTTTCTTTTGATATTCAACAAGATGCAAATAAGGGGCCGTATAAGTTAAGCCTAGAGAGTGATTCGGGTCGTGAATTTAACAGGAATCAGGGCCAAACACAACTCCTCTCCTCCGCCCTGCGCAAGCTCTGGAAAACAAAATGCCTGCTTCTCCTGTAGCTGGCGAGAGATGACACGGGGGAGGGGTAGGAGGAAAGATATCCTTGGTAGACTAGGGACGATTTTTATTGACAGCTTGACCGAGGGCATGATACGGCCATTTGTTTTGTACCAAGATATAATGAATGGGAGTCTATTCTTAGTTACATATCGTTTTCGGGTTGTTGTTTCTGCTTTGTATCTCTGATTTTGTTTTCTATGTTGTGTTTCCATTGTAGATTTCTTTTTGTGTGTTTCTTTTTTAGGAAATGTTGTGGCGTATCGGGATTTATGCTCCTTTTTTCTGGTCGTGTGTTTCCGTTTTGGCTTGTGTGTTTCTGTTTCTTGTTTTGCATTTTTTTTTTTGTAATTTTTTGTTTTTGCTCTGGAGAAAAACTATTATTGCATCGTGGTTTTGGCAAATTTGGAAAATCTTTAAACACCTACGGCTTTCATTTTTTTAAATTTGTCAGTGAGTGGACTGACCTTCAGATGCAATTTGTGGAGGGTGGGAGAGTGGGTCCTTTTGTATAGTAGGAACTTTAACATCCAACGACGCGACGGCAACGAGAACGTCCAAAAAAACCAATAGGTTTAGTAGACAAAAGGTGCTTGACACTTTTTTTGTAATTTTTTTGGCTGTTTTGCACAACGAGGACGTGAAAATGCCCAATTTTACGTTTTAAGGAGAACATAATTATGCAAAATACCCACAATTTCCGGTTGACGTTTGTTGCTCAAACACGTCTTTGCTGAGGTGCCCTAATATTCTTGCCTAGCATCCTGCGTCTTGATAATACCTCTAATGTGTAAGTATAAAACGAACAAGTTGAGTTTGTGTCAAACTTTTAATGCCAATCATTGGCGACAAGACCGTCCTTGTTTGTTTTTTTTTTTAAAAAAGTAACGTTCAATTTATCGTACAGATGTAATATATCGCCTCAACAGTTACACCCCATTAAATGGGGAAATGAGTTAATTTATTCTTGGAATGTGATTGAGGGGTTATTGTAACATAAGTAGTCAAATATTGTAAATTATGTGGGTAGAAAAATGCCATCATTTGTGTTATTTATTTTAAGTATCCATTGTGCAGTTGTATAGTTCTTGTAGTAAAATACATTTAATGTGGGTCATAGAGGTTGTGCGTCTTTGTTCAGCAAAATAATAACTGAAACTGCCAGTGAGAACTTTGTGAAACATCTGGTTTATTTTAAAGTTGAGTCGTCGTGAAATCAGTAAAGATTTCTGGTGTTTTCACTGTTTAGTTTATACTCAAAAAATTGAGACTCCCATTCAGCCAAATGTTCTTTTAGAAGACGGTTTTGGCTGCCACAGCATGTATCACATTACGTCTTACGTTACTCCAGCTATAGCTATGGCACTGTAACTCTAACGTTAACCTTTTAGGTATAATAATAATAATAATAATAATATACATTTACGTAGCGCAAACTTTTGTGTAGGTCAAAATCATGGTGAACCCTGAACTCTTTATAAATTGTCTTTTCGGCTATTTTAGCAGTCTTAAACATCGTCAATCTTTTTTTCTTAATCTATTTATAAGACAACAAATCAATACGAAACTTTTTTGACTCAAATTCATGGGCTAACCCCCTTAGAAAAATCCAATATGTCCACCGTCCCCCCCCCCCCCTCCCCAAAAATCGAGCTCTTTAGAAAGGGTATTTTCAGTCCTTTCAGCAGTTTCCAACTCTTTCGACAAAGAACAATAAACAAAAACTTCCAAATTTTGACTCTAAAACTCATTAGTTAACCCCTTTAATTTGGGAAAACTGCAAAATGGTCATCCCCACGTCGAACGCTCTATAAAAAGGTCTTTTCAGTCGTTATAGACATCATCAAACATTTTTTCTAACCCTTAGTAGAAGATCTAGACAAAAAATCCCAAAAAAACTTTCAAAAAGAATGAAAAAAAAATTGTGACTCAATCTTATGAGTTAATATCTGAAAAACGTTCTTATAAATTCGACTTGTTTGTGCGTTTACGTTACATAGGAATCGGTAAATAAAGAGAAAAGGGTCACGTGACTTATTCCATTCGGCCTTCTGCTTCATGGGCTATTGACTGGGAGCCCATTCGGGCTCGAGGAATAACTGTTAGGTACTTTCAGTCTCACTGATAACCCTAGCAGTCAACAACACTACACCAAAGCAGAATGTCAAGTTCATTTATTTACAATATTTCAAATCCTATTTTTTTTATCTTTCAGTCTTTACACAAGTAGAACAGCATTAATACAGCCATCATTTTCTGGATTGTTCGTAACCTGCGCATATTTTCCTGAAATAACAAACAAACAACGCTTTGTTAAAATAACGAATAGTGCAACGGAAGTAACTTGCAAAGGAGAAAATTAACAAACATAAGAGTTGTGTTTAGATGGTTATCGTAGGGGCATTCAACAATAATAACTGTTCTGGCGAAGAAACAAATATCGCCTAGGAATTTCTCAAGCTCAGGAAAGGCTAAAAATTTTTAGATAACCGTTCTATTTGTCTAAGAGACCGGGAGTTTTTCTACTAACTTACGAGTTTTGGAGGCTGTGTTTTCAAATTTTATAACCAATTGTTCGAAAAGGTCCCCTGAAAATTCCTGTTTAAAGACAAAGCGTCCCCTCGAATCTTCCATTGAAAGTACGGCTACTCCATGCCCTCGAATAGCCTGAATTTTAGGGGATTACTTCGAGTAGTTTTTACTCCCTTACTGAGGGAGTGCAATTTAGGTTTCTAGGAAACTGCCCACCTACCCCTCCCCTAAGCTAACATTAGCACTTACTTCTCACTTAGGGCAAAATGATGGCTGGGGGAGGGGTAGGTGGGCAGTTTCCCAGAAAACTTAACTGATCCGAGGGAGTAATTGAAACGACACGAAGTAATCATCTGAATTCAGGCCAGCCCTCGAACCGCTTTCCACCCGATTCATCGGGGTAGCTAACAGCTTCGAATGTGACGAAAAAGCCACTTTAATGTCTCTACACGACGGTAGTCCCCCAAAGACATCCAAAGAGACAAACAGTTTTTAGGGCAGCTCCAAATTAACAAAAAAGGCATAGAGAAAATCACCAGACACTTCTAACGTACCTGGAAACATTCGGTCGTTGGGTGCCCCTGTTATCATGGGAAATACGTATAATAAAGATACTAGCTTCGGATCGTTGGGACGGTGCAAAGAGATGAAAGAAGAGAAAAAAGGCGAGGGGTGGGTTAGGGGTTTAGGTTCCTCCTTATTTTTTTTCCCCGCTCTTTTACTTCGCGTCGCACTCCAAATCCGAACGCCTGGAAAACGCCAATGGTGACTACGGTACTTAGAGGGATTTTCGTATGACCTTGAAAAGTGGTTTCGATAAGTGTTCGTTATTTGTTTTATCAGCCAATGGATGAAAAGATCAAAACATGGCCTCTTAGTTTTCTCGCCAAAGAAAACCCTAATGGAGAGAAGGCATTGTTCGATTGGCCAATCGTGTTGCAGTATGACGTCAAAGCGAAGTATCGGTTGATTTCTAGAAAGTTTTCGGGAATAAAGTTTTCTCATCTGAGCGTTCGCTTAACCAAACAAAAGCCATGCCCGTTTGTATCCGTTCAAATCGCCCTGTTTCTGTTTTGTTCACGCGTTTTCACTTCAAGGTCATACGAAAATCGCTCTATTATTGAAACCTTTTTTGAGACATACATGTAAGAAATCTATAGAGAGCAGTACTATCCCTTTTTCTCCTAAACATTCTTGTGGTAGGATGATAAATTATCCTAATTATTAAATCTCTCAACGAATTCCAAGGAGTTAGCATTCAAATAAAACCTTTTGGCACTTTTTAGTTCTTACGACTTTACAAACGAAATTTGCAAGTCTCTGTGGAGTTTCACGAACATAATACACAATTTCCACGTTGACATTTAACCAATTTGGTACAAAGAATTTCGCCGTTTTTAGGCCTTTCGAGATTTTTTCTGGTCATTCTCTGTCTATAAAGGGCTAAAACCTACCACACTTCGCGGCTTTCTGATCCAGATGCAAAATATTAGCTTGCGAACTTCGGGCATGCACAGAAAGCAAAAAAAAAAACACTTTCTCTCCTTCCCTCTTCTTTCACTTTTATTGCCTCAATTTTTCTTTCTTTGGCCTTGCTAGGCATTTAGTATAGGTTTCATTTAGGTGGGAAATCAAACCTTTTTGGAAAGCTTTTAGGATCTTATGATTAGATGAAAGGAAAAGGTGGAACAAGATATTACAGGAATTTTCGGGTTAACGTTACATGCTTTTTTTTCTGCCTTTTTCTCCGGCTTCCCTGACCGAATCGTGCTTTGAAAGATCTCCTCGCCCTGCACAAGTTAGCAGAAAAGAGGTCTTTGGCCGTTAAAACTGATGGACGTCACAAACGGTAAAAGCGACCGAGTTAAGGGACGAATGGGTCAAGGTAAAGGTGACTATTTTGACGATGAAGCAGACTGTTTCAGAAATTCAGATATTATATATGGTGCAAGGTACCTTGCCAGCAGAGGTAGGTTCAGAAAAAGTGGCAAAGAACAACTGAGTACTACTCTCCTCTAACTAAATTCTCGGCCTCGAACAGGCTACTGACGAGACAGACAATAAAACCATACCTACCCCATACAACCTTGCCACCTTGTGTTACTAAGCCCAACTCGCTTACATTAACCTGAGCCAAAAAAAGCAACAAGATGTTAAAATCTATCCCAGCACCCACTTGTGGGATGCATGCCACCTTCATGCACACCTACAGAGCTGCCGGCAAAAAAAATATTGCCCAGTTTCATAATTCCAATTTACAGCAGTTACCACTAACACGCGCCCTCGATGGGAATTTTTCTTCTTCTCTTTTTCTCTTGGTTTTCTCACGCGCTCTGACAGAGAAGGTTCCCTCATCGCTGAATGAAGGGCCTAGACTTACAAGAATAACTTTCAATACGCCACTTTCATATTTCCCCAATGTATCTCATTAGCCCCCCAAAATTTATAAGGTGCATTATGGGAAATGTGGAACTGGCGTATGACGACAGCGTTTTTAATTATTTCATTATGAAGGATTACGCTGTTAAAACAATGAGGTCTCGGCGAGCTGAGTGAAATAGCCGAAACACTCTTTATAGTTTACGTAAAGGTTTTAAGGCGGTTTATTTATTCGATTGCACGAAAACACGGGAGCCGTGAACGAATTGCCAAGGAGGACAAATTCAAAGGAACGAAAAATATCACACCGACAAGGGAAAAAAGTTTCCTCTGAATGGAGGCTCTTTCCGAAAATAAATTTTACAACCTGCAGATCTTCTTATCACTCCGCATCTTATCGAATAGAATCCAAGCTTATCCACTACTAGCAAGAACTCAGACGAGTTGTGAGCGTGTCATGAGAAAGTTTATGTCGCTGTAACTTATAGTGCAAATTTGTACTCCTCGTGATCTTGACATGAAGTAGTGTCAGGTCCTTAAGCAAAATATTACAAAAACGGCTTCACAGCCGAAATGTTCCTTCGAGAATTCGAGAAAAGGGGAAAAAATCTTCTCTAGGCCAACGAGTGAAAACTATGGTAACGGTTGATTGACGTCCACCAAACCGCAAGTTTGAACTGAAGAAAAAACACTTTGAGAGTGCGTGTTAGTGGTAACCACCGTGAAGGACTCCCTTTCATAACTGAACACAATTTTTCACCCAACTAATAAACAAACAGCATTTTACAGCTTACCTCAATGACTGTTCCTTTCGTAATAACTCCTAGTTGCGTGTACATTGGCGACTGTGGGTTCTTTTTTACACCAATCAAGGGAAGACAGAAAGTTGCTTTTAACTGAAGAAGATCACACAAGCAAATAAAAATCAGTCACTAGCGAACAGAAAACATTTCACCCACAAACATCAAACAAAATCCACAACTCAAGCGGCAGAGAAGGTTCAATTTTATCCTAACATTGCATAACTGTTGCTACAATTCTTATGCTCCTTTGCATCGTGTATGGTGCACTTTATAAGTAAGTAAGTGCACTTTATTTGAGTGCCAATGTATTTCGTATGAAAGTACCAATTGGGCCAGGACACTATTTTTACGTCTCCTACTGGAGACGGACGTGGAGACGGACAGTGTAAAGGGAGTACCTTCATTTCTCAGTTATTTTAAGACCCTGAGTATTGGTCCGGCCCCCAAAATCGAACCTGCGACCTCCCGCTCTGCAGCTAAGAGCTCTGCCGACCGAGCTAATCCTGTGCAGTCATGATGATAGTAAGTAATGACCCTTTAAGCTCTAATATCCACAGTAGAAATTCTTCAATTCTTCAAATTCTTTCATATATTTTTTAAAGAATTAGTGGAGAAAATTTTTTAAAGAATCAAAGTAGTTGACCTTAGTTACTCTAGGGACTTTGAAAGGTTAGACCAAGGAAGAAGCAAAATTGAACCAAGAATGACGAGTCAAGACAATTTACAATAACTGCTTTCCTTGTTTTTTTTTTTTTTGTGGTACTCTGCCACAAACATCAATTTTACAGTCATTAGCAAATTAAATTTGAGGTAACAGAACAGAATCACCCACAGCTTTGTTCCCAGGGTTCTCTCCTACTCACTGCCAGGATGAGGAAGAAAGAACGTTGGGAACAAGTTGAATCACCAAGGAACTCTTACTTCAGGGTGTGTTACATGTGCCTTTTTGAAACGTAGACCCTGAAACAAATAAACAGAAAACATACAGTGATTAAAGGACGTGATTTTTTCTTATCACCACATACATGTAGAAAGATCACAGTTGTTTGAAACTCTTTAAAGTTCATCCACTACTGACAAATGTTTTGCTCAAAAGATTGTAAAGTTCAGTATCATGAACTGTTATTTTGGATGACGACTAACCACATTTAATTCTGTGCAACTTGAAATAGGACAATTGCACATCAACGTCATTTTACTACAGCTACCAGAATCCTTCAGTTTTTTGTTTTATCGTGCCAGTTAAGGCTATTGTTTTAAAAGCCCAGCGGGATTGAAAAATTTAAATAACAAAGCAAGAACGAAATGAATTCTGGAAGTTGTAGTCAAATGCTGTCATCATGAAAATGGCCTATTGGCAGGAAAAAAGATTATCGCAAAATCGTTAGCCTGTGTACAGACACCCCCTCCCCTCACAGGCTACAAAAAAGTTTGTTAGTACAGTGATTCTAACCCAGCCACACCTTGTAACAGATGTAAGATAAAAAGTTTTAATGTTCATAGGCAATGTTGCTGACTGACAACTTGTGCAGGGGGGGGGGGAGAGATCCTTCAAACAATACCCCAACGGGCCACAGAAAAATGTGAAAAAACATGAAAAGTTGATTTGAAAATTTTCATGAAAATCTTGTTCCACTACCCATCTGCACTTCCTTCAGACTAATGGCATTATCACTGGAAGCTTGTTTAAAAGTCAAGGGATCACTTTTGAACCCCAAAACAATCAATTTTTCCTCCTGTCCACACATGAACTTCAGAAGCTATTTGTTAGAACATTAGACAGTGCAGAGCTTGATTGGTAAACAAGGTTTTGGGCAGTTTTAGTCTTTTTGGCCAGATGATCAGAAAATGACTTGACTACATGTGGCCAGTCTGATGGTGTATTATTTTAGCAAAAGATTTTCAGGGGTGAAGGGGTTAATTAGGATATTAGGAAATTAGGAAGGCCAGAAGAAACCAAAAAAATATGGTAATTTCAAAGTCAAACTTAGTTAATTGTCACTTTGGGCTAACCTCCATTTAACAATATTATTTGTAATTCAGAATGTTGCTTACCATTGGCCTGATGAACCTTTCATATTTGGGTGGTTTTCTTGTAAAACCTTCACCAACATAACAAACTTTGGTGACCATCCTTTTCCACGCTTTTTCTAGGATAATACAGTTATATCATCAGTTTCACAACCTACATCAATTTTGTCCCAACAATATTCGTACATCACCAAGAGACAAAGTTAAATGAATTTTTAAAATGATCACCAAAGGGAATGGCTTTGATCTTTTATCAAATTCTTTCAACAAATTAATATTTGTTTCAAGGAAATGCACCCACACAGTGGATATTGGGGTTTACTGCGCTTTTCAAAAACATGCAAACTCTGAAGTTCAAAAGCTACCTTCACACTTGCACTTTTTGCTGCGGTCAATCATATAAGGATCACAAGCAATGAACCTTGAAACACAGAAATACAACAAACGGATGAAATCCACCAATCACAAATCACAAACTATGACTTTTTGAACCAGTTACAGTAAAGCTCTGTTTCCTAAGAGGTCCACTAAGAAGATTGATAGTAGCAAAAAATGCAAACGTCAGTTGGCTTTTGAACTTCAAAATTTGTGTTTCTGAAAAGCACAGTAAAGGGTTGGCCTTTAGTTCAGGATTTGAAAAAAGGTAATGTTCAATCGTTTGTGTGACTAGTTTTTCTGCTGGGCAAATACAAGTAACTGTTAAAGCTCACTTGCATTGGGTCATCCTCCAACTAAATCGTTACCTAAGACAAGCAAGTAGTTGCCCCAGGCTAGCAAAACACAAGAGATGCTTGCCCAAAGGAGGCACTGGAATTTAAGGGGTATTTTTTGAGCATTGTGGTTGTAAAGTGGCCAGGGGCTTGTTTGGTAAAGAGTCTTCTTTTTATGCTGTAGAAATGGACAGAAATTCAGCTAGTTTTTACAAGAAATATGTCTGCAAACTGGACCAGGGTCCAACAACCCAGGGTTAAATTTAACCCCGGTTTCATTTTCTTTTGTTCAAAAGCATTTTCTTGGACAATTTTCTCTGATATTCATAGAGCATTGAAACATCAACTTGTTGCCAAAAAGAATTAAACTAAATTTACTTTACAAGCTTTCACATTTGAATTCAAATTTCGCACTAACCCTGACTTATCTTAACTCAGTTTTGAACAACCTGGCCCTGGCCTTACAGTTTGTATTTGTGGGATAAAAACCACAATAATTATTCCAATCATAAGGTTTTGACTTGTAAAGTATCTAAACCCTCAGGTCTGAAAGGTTAATTTTGTCATAAATCAATGCTACTGTAATAGCAAGAGTCAGTACTTGCCTGTATCCAATACAAAGTTATCTACCGGAGTAATATGGTCCCAGTTCAAAGAAGGTTATCATTTTAAGGGATTTAGTGGGAAAAAGAAAGAGATGAGTTGCTTCAATTACTTTAAAAATAATTATTTATAATAATTGAGGTGTGATTAATTAAACTAATAAAATAATCCACATTAAAAAAGCAAAATAATAATAATAATAATAATAATAACAATAGTAAAAATGATAAATGGATTGAAATTTACTTTTAGACTTTCCAGTTTTTATAACTTTGAAAACCTCATCTTCTCCTACAGCTTTTACTTTAGGAAGAGGGACATCCCATTTTCCCTAACAAAAAAAAAAAAAAAAAGAAAAAAATCAGTACAATTTTTTTAACTTAGTGAAATGCAGCTGTCAAAAAGCATAATTAATTCCCAAAAGTCTAGCTTTATATAATTCAGTAGTAACTGTAGTCTATTGTGCAAGAAAGAAAAAGATAAAGAAAGCTTGATTACAGTACAAAATGATGCTACTCCACTCATGTGCCTAACCTACCTGATGAATTAAGTACGGCAAAAGCGTGGCATCTCAATCAATTTGGTAACTTGCATCTTGGTGTGGTAAAACTGCCAAACTTGACAGAGTCTAACACATTATTCGACATTGGAGTGGCAAGTGATTCATCATTGTGCAAACATTGTGCAATCATTAAACTTATAATTTTTCCCACAATCTTGTCATTTTTACATAGTTGCCATATGTAGAATGCTAAATTGAGGAAAATATGGTACTCCATCCTTGCTACCATTTTGGTCGCCATGGCAAGTGAAAAAAATTGGTGACTAAACGTGCAGCGAACGTCACCGATTTGGCGACCTGTGTTCGGTGGTCATGTGCCAAGGTGTACAAAATTCCTTTTAGCTACAATGTAGTTTCCATGGTCTTTCTTAAGTTAAATTGAGATAAACATTTACAAAAAATATTATTTTATGCTCTGTATTGAAGACAATATTTATCTTTTCAACCTGGTGAAATTTGTGATGTACACTGTAGGCAAGGAAGTTGGTGCAGCCATTTTGATAAGACAAGTGGGAACTGGGCAGATGACAACAAAAATGGGGGTATCTTGTATCTTGTTCAAAGAAACTGTTTTTAATTATTGTTCTCTGGGTTTTGCAATGGCACTTCAGTTGTCAAGCAAGTTAAAAGCAATGAGAATCAAGGGCTATAATCAAATCACAAGGTTAAAAATTTGTTTGACAAATAAGTATTACTTGAAAACAGATTTCCTGTGAGAAAAAGTATTCATTGTATGCGCTCTTGTGAAAAACAAAGTTGGTAAAATGTGTCTGTTCTTACAGGCAACATCCAGGCTTTGTGAATTAAGTAAAATTATCAGAGTTTCAAGCTTTCATCCTACATGTAAAGTGTACATGTACCATACTCAAATATTAAAGTAACACTGGAAACTGCATTATTGTAGATTTGAGTTTTTTTAGTAGCTGTCATCGAGATCAGACAAACATTTCGTGCCATACAGGGTACTGCACTAAATGGGTTTACATGTGTCTCAAATTACCGGTAATAGGCACCACATTAAAGTAAAAGTACAGCATTTCTTTTATTTCATCATTCAATAGAGTTTACAATGATATGCCAGGTAGACAATGTTTTGAGAAATTTGAAGGTTCTTTTTGCTGCTAGAGGTCCATTTGCTGCAGAAAAAGCTACTGAAACTTGGCAAAAATATGAATTGCTATTTCATTCTATGGCAAGAAACTGTTTCAAAAATATACTTTAGCAGCTTACTTGAGGATAGACATAGTCAGACAGCTTCATGTGAAACACGTAAAAATGAAGTACTGGTAATCAACGTGGTCTTCAGTATAACCACTCATGTAAAATTACACCATGCATGTTGTTTTCAATGGCGACCAATATTTTATGTCTGGCAACCATTTTATAATTTTAGGTCGCCAAAAGGTGACTTTGAAAAGCATTGTGCTTGGAGTACTGAAAGGGCAGGTAAAGAAGAACAATCCTGCTCTTCTTGCTTTACGAATACAAAATATAACTATTTACGATGCCAGGAATACTATTGTATGCCTTGTTCTGTCTTTGAGAATGATGAAACTGTTTAGGGCTGGAGTGGGCAGTTCAGTCGCATATTGTGAGCCATGTTTCTGAGAAGTTATCCATGGAAGAGCACGAAAAGGTTGAACGTAATGATTCAAATGAAACTGGCAAAAATAGAGATCTACAGAAGCAAGAAGACCCAGGCCTTCCTCTTTCTCCATACATGAAATAAAGGTTAGGATCCACACAAGGTAGGCCATCTGAATCAGTTGCCGTGCCAATGTCGCTCCAAAGTTGGACCTTATTCAATTAGGTTCAGCACATGAGTGGAGCGGCATCTGAACCGGGCCTAAGCAATACATATTTAACTTGACTTGTAACTGTTTTTTTAAATACAGTGTACAGTACTTACAGCTTTTTCTTTTCTCTTCTGTTTAACCATATTGCTGAGCACTTTAGCCCGGGACTGTCCCTCTCGATCCAACAAATATGCAGGCACAGCTCCTTCTGGCACATTTTGGCTGTCCTTTGTTTTTGTTTGGCGCTCTTCATGCATTCTTAAACTGTGGCACATTGAGATGATAATGGTGATGTTAGCTACATGTATTTTCAATATTCAGAACTAACTTTCCAAATTACTATACATGTACTACTACTATCAACTAGCAGTTTGTGGTAGAGTGCATGTAAAATTTCACCAGCCAAAATTACTTCTGAACAGGCCAGAATTGAATGACCAAGGAGGTTAGTTTACAGTAAGGTGCAACACTGATTAACCCAAGAGTAATCAACATTAAAATTTCTCCTTACTATGTCAAGGTTTTATAAAACAGAGTGGTGATAAGAATTTCATGAGGACATGGCCACAGAAATAAAGTTTATTGATACTTCTATTTCATTTTTTCCCCACTAAAAAAATGTTCTTTGTGAACTGTAGGAAATGTTTTAGGGTGACACATGAGAAATTGAATTCTGACACATTGTGTATATTAGGGTTTAAAGGCTGACGAAAAAAATCTGACTGTGAGAGAAAGTGACAAAATATCACCTGAATATGGACACCCATTAATGTTAAAAATGGACCCTTTTTTGTTGCCCAATCAACAGATTCATAGAGGGTGAACCGTGCTTATGCAGACACTTCATTGTTAATTGTGCACTGCAATAGGCCTTTCGTTTCTGAAGGTAAAAACTTCAGGTGTCAGCGTGTTGATGTTATTAGTGATACAATATACCAGATAGGATGAATTGTAGATGTCAATTTTCATACTACATGTACTTTGGCATCAAAGCAAGTTACTGTATGCAGAGAACGATATTGACTGGTAATGTACAAATAAAGCTACTTTTGGGTGTTTCCATGCAATGACAACTTTGTGAAGGCTAGAAGAAGTGTTTGATTTTCACGATGCTAATGTTCTGTTTCTTTTTTTTTTTAGTATTGTGTTCAAATAAAAGGTATATTCTCGACCATTTTCGGATATTTTAGGGTATTTAAAGAATACCCACAAAAATTCCAAATTTGGAAGAGTGAGACAAGTCCCAACCAGGGAACTTGGTCGGGAGTTCCCTGGTTGGGACTTGTCTCACTTTGGCAAATTTGGGATTTTATGGGTATTCTTTAAATACCCTAAAATATCCAAAAATGGGAATCCATTATTTTTTCCTGTGTTACCAGTAACGAACATGACCTGCCTAATACAGACACCTCATAAATTATATGGACACTCTCTACAGCCCCCCTCAGTGATGGTATTACAAATCAAATTTGATTTCAGGTGAAAATTTTTCAATCTACATTTAGGTTGATTCTTAACCCATTCGCCCCTGAACCGCCCGTAACCGCCCGTGCAGATCCAGGTCCTTTCTACCCTTTGTGACGTCATCAGTTTTAACGGTCAAGGACAACTTTCTTCGCTAACTTGTGCAGAGTGAAGAGATCTTTCAAACCATACCAGAATGAGCACAATTTAGTCAAGGACACCGGAGAAACAAGCAAAAAAACACGTGACAAGGACCTGAAAATCTCCATGAAAATCTTGTTCCATTACCCACCTACCTTTCCTTTCACCTAATCCTAAGATCCTAAAAGCTTTCCTAAAAACTCTTCCCACCAAAATGAAGCCTACTAAATGCCCAGCAAGAGAAAAAAAAAATGAGGCAAGAAAAGCAAAAAAAGAAGGGAGGAGAGAAAGTGAAAAGTAAAAGTCAAGACTGCTGTGTCACTTTTAAACCCAAAAACTATCTCGAAATTTTGCTTTCTGCGCATGCCCGAACTTCGCAAGCTGATATTTTGCATCTGGATCAGAAGGCCGCCAAGTGTACGACCTGTAAATCGGTTTGTGGTAAGTTTTAGCTCTTTATAGCACGACAGTGACCAGAAAACCACTCGACTAGCTTCAAAACGCGTTTTTCGGCAAAATCTCTAGGAGCGAATGGGTTAATTTCCTTTGTTTTCTACATGTAGGGCAAGGAGACAAAGGAAATATTATTGTGAATCAACCTCGGTTTAATCAAAATTAACCTGAGATCAAATTTGCTCTGTAAAATATCCATATTAACAGGGTTTGACTGTACTATGGTTTACATGTACCTGTAGTACATGCAAGCTCTGATCTCTTGGATTGTAAACTTAAAGTAATAAATAAATAGTCAATTAAAATTAATTCAGACTTAACTGGGTAAATAAAGATTGCGCTTGTTAAACTGGACAACTTACGTCTTTTTCATCTGTATTTTCTCTAGACGGCGCTTTCTGTTGTAAAGTTTTGCCCTGTACAGAAAATAATATAAACAAGTCAACTTCCATTAAATACTACATAAATAAGGAGGTTAAAAAGGCTATCAAATCACTACTTTCTGAAAATAAGGTAGCTGGGCTTAGCTGTACACTTTTCTCCCTGTTCTTCATGTATCTAAACTACAGAAGACATGTATTGGAAGTGACTGTACATAATGCAAACTGATTAATCCATAACAGTTCATTTCGTGAGATTAGAAACGCAGGGCTGTCATTAAGAGCCAGGGGCCAGGGATTTCCTATGGCTAATATGAGTGTGGCCCCTGGCTACTTTTATTGCAAAGTAGAAGAAAAGTAGAACCAAAAGACACCCCTAGCTGTTTGATTACCCACCCTCTTGTTGTATTTACTTGGCAAATTGAATAATCTTTGGGACAACCTTGGGAACGTCAAATATATGTGCGTGATTCGTGAAAGCCAGACTGGGAAAAGTATGTGACCAGTGATTTGAAGAAAACAACCCACCCCAAGGATATAATATACCAGAGGGGGAAGGGGATGCATCCAGAAATCTGTTATGGTTTATATTTTATTTTAATTTGCTATTAGGCTTGGTAGTGTACACTGTATGATAATGATTTATCTCTTCTTTGGTGGCAGTAATTTCAGAATTCCACCTTGAACTAATTTTTCTCACTGCTCCCATCATGATCTTGATCAAGTGAATGGTGTGGTTCAGTCAACTTTCCTGTGTGTTGTAGAGTGTTGTATGTCTCCAAGCTAATCATCTTAAGTTCGGGCAGAATACTGTTGGGTGAATTGACTATAAGGAAAACAAACCTAATTCACTACAACATACCTGAGGCCATGGAGTTTGTGGGCATACTTGGCATGAGTATGTGGCTCACGGCTTTCCTTTTTACGCCTGAAAACAAACATTTAGTCTGTTACCAAGATGAAAATGTACTCAGACTCCGATCCACCAACAGACATTCTACTGATAACAAAACACAAAAGTCTCAGAATGTGATCAGGAGCCAATGTTTAAAATATACTGGTCATGTTTACTGCTGTCCAAACACTACGCTGACAAACAAGGTGATGTGTCTGAAGTCTGGGCATGATCCATACAAACGGGACCCTTGGACAAATATTGCTAAATCATTCAAATTAATGTCTCCACTGAACAAGCAAAGAGGTCTACACAAGATAAGAGTGGTTTTGCTGCGCTTGTCGACCATGTAGTCGCCAGTGCAACTCCATGGTAACAGGTATAAGGTCTGGAGGATTTTAACTGTACTGTGCTGTTACTTACAATAAATTTTAAAAGCAGTTTGTGGAGCAAAATAAAACATGTTGAAATACAACGTAGTTCTGTTGTTTACAGGTTTCTGGCTAGATAAACTTGGCTAAATTCATATTGAAAGGATGATTTCACATAAAAATCTTCTCCATCCTCGATTATATGTGAGCCTTTGATTACAAGATCCATTAAGGTTATTAAACGCAAGAATTTAACGGCAAAACCACTGACTGCGAGTAGGACCATTGTATGATCATAAATTCGCAACAGTCGAGAGAAATAAAAATAGAAATTAATTATCAACTCACTTTTTTTCGAAATGATCGAGTCTGTATCCACGACGTTTACGTGACTGTTCTACATATTCGTTCTGAGGCTGAACAAAATCAAGATCAATCATAATGTTAGCAAATTTTCTTTAGCACATCCAAAATAAGCTTAGTTTGCTGAAGTGATCATGAGAAGAATTAGTTTTCGAAAAAGCAAGCTTCTACAGTGTACATGTATTGACTATACTGAGAATTGCACGCAGGAAATCTACACTCTACAACTTTCTAGTACTCACCATGGCTGTATGTAGTTATATATATCACAGGAACTTTACTGCGATAAAGTAAGTCGTAAAATATCGATGTCTCTTTCTGTCGACTTGCAATTTTCGCTCCTACAGTTCGTCGGCCATGCTGAAAAGACCTTCCCGTGGTGCAATGCAAGAGTATGTGGTGCAATAGTGTCTGTGCGGTCACATGACTATGACGTAGGTGAAAAGTTGGTTCCGCCATATTGGAGGAGTGAAATCTGTGTCACGCGACTCCTCGCGTCTTGTAGCGATGCCTTCGTTTTGTCTAATCGTTGGATGTTCCAACGATAAAAAGAGACGTCCAGACCTTAGTTTTTGTAGGGTGCCTAAAGTTATTACTAGTCAAGGCGAGCAGACGGAAATTTTGTCGAATGAACGGCGAACTAGATGGTTAGCGGCCATTAGCGGTCATTTCGTTCCATAGTCAGATCGTTCCAAGTCAGATCGTTCCAATCAATAGTCAGATCGTTCCACAAAATAGTCAGTTCGTTCCACAAAAAAGTCAGTTCGTTCCACATGTGAAAAGTCAAGTAAATTTTTCTAAATTTGTTGAGTGAACTTTATCGAGAAGAAAAACGTTTCGTTCATACCACAAACTGATAAAATAATAATTTATCCAAAGTCGATTCGATCCATCCCAAGTCGTTTGAAAACAAACAAGAAACGATTTCAAACAGCCACGGGCTTTAACATTTAAACCGCCGCTATGAGAGCTTTTGAGCTAGAGACGATTGATGGCTTTGAAAGATATAGCACAACAAGTAAAAGCTATGCCGTTCTGAAGGTACAGTATTTCGAAGCGCTTGCGACCAGAAGCGCTAGAATTATGCAAATTTTGTAAACAACGCGAGTTTCGAATTACAATCTCGATGTTATGGTAATTTGTCTTGCGGAAAATGTAAATGAGCATTATATTCTAATTCGCTACCCCGCTCAAACGAATATAAAACATTTATCATGCAACAAGCAACCTTAATTGGGGTGTGTCAACACGAGCCGTGTGCGAACTAAAAGAACGGGAAATACGGAAAATTAAATACCCAGTGATAACGAAACCGACAACAATGAATGGACATTATCCTTAATGTAACCGTCTTTTGTCTTATCGGATTTCCAACGGCCGTGTCTTTTAAACAATCTGTCAGGCACTCGGGCATTAGCAGCAGCGGAGGCACCTCCAGCCCTAAGGCTATGGAGACCGTAGTCTTGCTTGGGAAGGCCGATAGAATCGAAAGCGCTAAGCACTCTCTCGCGCGCTCTAGTATAAGACAAAGGAACGGACCCGCGCAATTTATAAGCTCCGGTACCGCGAAGGAAAACAAGAGGGCGAAAAATGAATTCTTCGCTGTCAGCTGAAAAAGAAGCGGCCACAAAATATCGTTGAACTAATAAATACGGACATGTATTCTTGAAAGTCTTAGCGATAACAACCCAAGCCCCATCCCTGTAAACGTCAGTCTTACTTCGATGAACAAAGATTCTCATAAAAGAATCCTCAAACTGAAAATCACACCTGCGTAACTGGACCAACTCGTTAAAGCGAAAAAACCCTGCATAACCTAAAACGCACAAAGGAAGCACTCGTAAATAGGACAAACTAGCTGAAGACGATCCATACTTAGCAAATAAAAGCTGAATAGCCTCGGGGGTCACAGGCTCTTTCTTTTTAACAGGGATACTGAGAAGCCTCTTAGCAGATTCTATTAAAGGTAAAACTAACGAGGAATTACAGGGGTCGGGTAGACCTGCCAAATCATGCACCCACTTGAGCCCATAATGGACTTCATCAATAGTACTGCAAGAAGCAGATTCTTGAATCAAGCTAAGAAAAAAACAATGAAACGTACACACTAGAAGCGGGAAATATTACAATTTCTTTTAACTGAGAAGCCCATTTTCTCCACGTATTGAAGCCCTTTTCGTACTTCCTCGCGGTACTGTCGGCTTCGGATTTAAGAAGAACTGCGGGGAGATCTTGAACCAGTGCCCGGAGTCGCCTGTCTTCAACCTGTTGAAAATTAGGCTGCAAGGCATCTTTGAGAACTTCTACGAGGGTAAGAACAACAATATATGGCAAAATTCTTCAATACACGCACTGGGAGTCAATACAGCAATAAAAAATGGACGCTTGGTGATGCCGCTGACCGGATGCAAAACTATTTAAGGCCATATGGGCCAATTCAAAAACGAAGGTAAACAAGCCACTCGGCGAGCTAGTTTCATGCGAAACGAGAACAAATGAACTAACAAGCGGAATAAAAAAACACGTGGGCCAACCTAAAGCCACTCGGCTTGAAAAAAAAACAAACACAAAAACAAAAACTAAGGCCCCTTAGCGCCAATTCTGACTGCCAGGACCGCGCTGTTAAACCTGTCTGAACCAATGAGTGAATCTTTGTAACACCCGAGGGCAAAAATCCCTGAGGGGTTGGGAAAATGAATGTACTCAAGGACGTACGGTTGGAATTGAATTGCATTTGCGAACAAGAAAGGCCAAAACACATTAGACGGCCAATAAGGGACGACTAAAGTACCAACCGCACCGCATACAAGGAGATGCTGAACCACCCTAGTAATGCAGTGGACGGGAGGGACTAGCCAATTATTCTCTCCATTCCACGAGATTGAAAATGCGTCAACAGCTTCAGTGCCGGGTACGCGAAACCTGGAATTGAATCTGGGAAGATGGGCGTTGGCAGCATTCGCAAACCTGTCGACTGTATGTGGGCCCCAAAGGCGGTCCAAGTGTGCGAAGAACTCGGGGGTTGTATACCAGTCATCGAAGTCTACAATGTGGCTAATCGCATCAGCACAAGCATTAAGTTCCCTGGGAACCCACTGGGGAATAATTGTAATACTGTAAGCTCGACAAAAATAGAAAATATCAAGCGCAATAGAATGCAATTCTGCACTAGGACTCCCTATCTCCACAATACGAACGGCCCCTTGGCTGTCAGAATGCCACTTTACACACTTACCCCGAACCGAGGCTTTGAACGCACTTAAGGCAAATTGTATAGCCTTAAGTTCTCTCCAGGTAGAGCTCTTAGCTGCTTCGCAAGCAGTCCACATACGATGGGACACCTCATTAGTGCCCACAACAAAAGCCCCGCAGGTGACGTTTCTAGCGTCCGAATAGCTAAACAAAAGGGGAGCATTATAAGGCAAAATAGCTCTCATATTAAGACTAACGATATTGTTTTTCCAGAAAAATATTTCAGAGAGGCAATCATTATGAAGCCCGATATTAAAACGGGAATCTCAACTACGGCGGGATTCTATGACCTTGTAAAGAAAACGGGTTTTGAGACGAGTCAGGTTACCCAAAACTGGCGACTTGGACATAACATGACCTGCGATAACGGCACAATCCCGAGCCGTAACATAAGGTGCGGATAGAAGAAATTTGTCAATCAGAGCGATAAATTTGCAAATACCTCTATCGGTAATAGAAATGGTACCGATAACTAAGTCCCAGTTTAAACCCAACCAAACAAGCACCTGAGTGGGGTTCCATAGTGATTTGGCGGAGTTCGCAACAAACCCCGCACTGCTTAAGGATGATTGCACAAACAATGAATTTTCCTTGGTCATAGGCAGTGAATCCCCTTTTCCGCACCCATCGTCGAGGAACACAACAATTTTAATCCCGTAAGACCTCCAAAACTTAACGAGTGGTCTGAGACACTTGGTGAAGACGTATGGGGCTGAGCTTAGACCGAACGGAAGTGATGCAAAAGAAAAATACCGAACGGTACCAGAAAAAACCCAGGAGAAACCCAGAAAAGTTTGGTGATCCGGAAAAATATCGATATGGTGATATCCAGACTTGAGATCGAAACTGAAAAGGTAATCGCCCTTATTAACATGTGATAATAAAACTCTCCAATCTTCACACCTAAGCTTCTGTTTCCAAATGAAATGATTGACATGACGTAAGTCCAGAATAAGCCTCTTCCTGCCTGAAGACTGTATCGAGACAGAGAGCGGATTAACTACATGTGGAATAAAGGGCACCTCAACGACGGCATGAGTGTGGACTAATTCAGCGATAGCCGACTCCACGAAAGAGGCATTATTAAGAGCTGACTGATTGTTAGAAAAACGCGCCTGACAAGGTGTGCTAATGAATGGGATCCGATAACCGAATTTAATAGTGTCGATAACAAAACTATTGGCACCAATAGCGTGCCAATAACTTAAACAGGACCTAAGTCTACCCTTAAGTACTGGCAATGTAGAATTCTGTTCAAATTCAAACAGATTGCGATCATAATCGAAATCGACTAATGAACTAGAGTCTCTTTCCCTGAAATACTCCAAATAGGAAGGATACATGTCTAATAAATTGAGTAAAGCTAATATCTAACCTTGGAAAACAAGTTTTCAATTCTGTGGTCCTATTTACCTCCAATGCCCGAAAGACCAGAAGAACTAGGAAAGGACGGCCCCGAGCTTGAAGATCTGGCTTGAGGATTAACTTGCCACTGAGACCTCCAATGACCTTGCTGGCCGCAGGCGAAACAAATATCACTTGGTCTTGGTTTGCTGAAAGCGCCAAAAGTACGAGGAATAGGTCTGGACGTTGATGAATGTTGGCCAGCAAACGCGGTGGTTGCGGTAGATGATTGGAGTTGTGAATAACCTTGCTTGGATGGCTTCGCTTTCTGTTGGCGTTGGTTGCGTTTACGAAGGGCCCTCTGTTCGGCACGGCGGATACGCTTTTCGTCCTCTGACCCGCTAGCCAGCTCGTCAGATAAATACTCGTTCACCAAATCCCAACCGGCGGTGGACTTGTCTGCCAGTCTGATAAGTTTGTTGCGCTTCTTGATGTCAGAGTCTAGTTCTTCCAGGTGAGTTTTAACAAGGTCTAATTTTCTCTTCCCGAGAGCAACTGACGCCGACTTCACCTTCTCTGCAAGGTCGGAGTTGAATTGAAACTGTTTCTTATTACCTTCGAATCTAAACGTGATCTTGGATTCTTCTTTGAGCTTTTTGGCCACAGAATCGGTATTACTGCACGACTCGTCTTGAATATCGCGCTTCAAGGCGCCCAACTTCTTGTCGAAATAATCCCTAAATAGAGAGAACGCGGACGCTATATCACTGGTTCTGAAGACTGGATTGGTACTGACGCTTCGAGAGATTGAGACAAAGGTTGTTTAGGAAACGAAGGCAGCAAAACGTCGCTGCTAGGAAAATCTGTGTTTGCTGGAGTAACGTCTTCGACATCAGACATAATTTTGAGGGCGTAGGGACGGACGTAAGACGCGAATGAATATAAATGAGAACAACTCGAATACATATAGCCTACCGCTAATGAAGCAATTGTAACAGCATACCATGTAACACCCCAAAGAAAAGGTTACATAACCCATGATAAATACATTTACAAGCATTTTATCGCCTTCAACCTTTTATTAATATCCTTTTTACATGCGGGGACGTTTCGGTCGTCCTAATGACTCCCGCCCCTAAACAACATACAGAATTACATAAAATAACTAAAACTAGCTCTCGTTAATTTCGCAAAGCAGCTTCCCTCTGGGATAAATTCAATCTAGACTGGGTGCCTAGCTTGCATTTGGGCCACAGCAAGTTAAAGAGTTCAGACCAACAAGAGAAACAACAGGAAAGAGCCCAGAGAGTAAGAGAAAGACGTAAACGCGAGAGGGAGCGTGAAGAACAGGTTCAGGCTGTGAAAGAAAAAAAGGCAAGGGAAGATGAATCAGAAGCCCATGGCGATAGAATCAGGGATATTTCTTTCGCGGTTCAAGATGAAGAAGATTTGGCAGAGGTTCCAGAGGAGGAGGAAGAGGGGAACAACATGGCCACGCAAACTGAGCGAACTCACGCAATCACGGTCAACGCAAACCGAGCAGTGTGATTACATGTTTCGAACGCCTAAACCTTGGATGCCAGAAAAATCCACCATATTTGAACAGGAATTTTTTGAGGGAGATGACGGTAAAGTTCGCTTTTACACTGGATTACCCTCGTGGGAAGTTTTAATGAAAACATTCTCCTTTGTATCTCCACATGTCAACAGACGCTCCCGGTCATTGAGTAAATTTCAGGAGTTTGTTCTGGTGTTGATAAAACTACGACTGGCCGTCCCACGCCAAGATGTTGCTTATCGTTTAGATGTTTCTAGAACTGTTGTTTCTCGCATTATTGTTACCTGGTTAACTGTCATGGATGTTCGTTTATCTCCTTTAATTTCCTGGCCAAGTCGGGAACAGCTTCAAAGAACAATGCCGAAATGTTTCATTGACTCTTTTGGTCTAAAGACAAGTGTGATCATTGACTGTTTCGAGATATTTATTGATAGGCCATCCAATCTTTTAGCAAGAGCACAGACCTTTTCGAACTACAAACACCATAACACTGCGAAAGTGTTGATTGGGATAACACCACAAGGAACAATATCATTTGTTAGTGAGGCCTGGGGGGGGCGCACATCAGACAAATTTCTTACAGAGAACTGTGGCTTTTTAAAAATTTACTTCCTGGGGATCTTGTCCTTGCAGACAGAGGTTTCACTGTCCACGAGCAGGTGTGGTTTCACCAGGCAGAACTGAACGTCCCTGCATTTACCAGGGGCAAACAACAGCTGGATCCAGTTGATGTAGAAAAGACACGTAAAATCGCCAATGTCAGAATTCATGTGGAGAGAGTTATTGGAATTCTGAGACAAAAGTACACAATCTTACAAAGTACTCTGTCAACTGACTACTTAGCATGTGAGGACAAGAGCAAAGCCCCACTGATTGACAAGATAATTCGAGTTTGTGCTGCCCTTGTTAACCTCTGTCCTCCTATTGTGAGTTTTGATTGATTTCTTTAATGGGTAATAACCCGTCAAGTTGTCCGAATTAGCCATACATCTTGCCTGAGTCCCAGTCCATTTACGGTACACCTAAATACATAGCCAAGAAGTGTAGCAAGCTTGTTCAAAGTGTGGTTGTCAAATCCTTCAAGACCTGCGGTATTTCCAATGCCTTGGACAGAACAGAGGACAACATGGTCTACGCTGAGGAAACCCCAGAAGTAGACGATGAAGACATAGAAGAGAACGAGTTCGAGACAGACAGCGAAAACAAAACGGATGGCGAGTAAACTATTGGGTTGAAAGCCCTTGCACATATCCATCAAACGGCTCCTTTAGGAGCCACCAATTTCATAAAAGTGAATAACCAATATTCAGAAGTTATTTTTGTTGTGTTTCATCACTTCTGCTTCATTGCTAACTTGACTACAAGCCGGGGGGGTAAGGTTATTCAGCAACTGTATATTTTTAAAATGTAAAACCCTCGGCTACAAGCCGAACCCCGTTCTCCGTGAAAAATCTCCCAAAATTTTGGGTCGAAAACTGAAAAAAATCGCTCGGCTTATAGGTGAAGAAATACGGTAGTTGTTGTTACTTAAGCCTGAAAAGTAATATGCATGAAAAGAGGGTGATTAAAAACACTGCAGCTCTATGGGGAGTCAGCTGCAAATCCATTCAAGCAAGATGAGTTTCAGGGCCCGGTTGTTCGAACGCCAGTTAGCACTAACCCCGGGTTAAATTCTAACCCCGGTTTCTTTTTCTTTTGTTCAAAAGGATTTTCTCAGATAATTTTCTCTGTTATTTTCAAGAGTATCCAATCATCAACTTGTTGACAAAAAGAATTAAACTGAATTTACTTTTTAAGCTTTAATGTCTGCGTTCAAATTTCGCACTAACCCTGGGTTATCTTAACGCAGCTTCGAACAACCCGGCCCAGGTGACCAACCTTGACTGTAAACTCACGACTTAATGGTTGAAAAAAATAAGGATTATTGAGAAAATGTAAACATTTCTTACATGGTAATGATTCACCCTTGTCACAAGCTTCAGCAGGTTCACAAACATTTTTTTATTCAAAGAAGTTTTGATCAGTATGGTAAAACATTTGGTTAAAAAAAAAATTATGCAGTTGGCCCAGGAATTAATTAAGTAATATTAATTAATAGCAATTGAAGTCAAGCTTACTAAAACAAAAAAATTGTTTTGGTTTCTAAGAGCAGTGCTTGTGGGATTGAGAATCTAGTACCCAGTGCAGCACTTATTTGGGTTCTAGTGCTTAGTTGAAAGAGTTTGACAGTGTATTTCAATTTAGTAAAATCCAGCTAGTGGTCGATTATCAATGCTACGTTCTGATTGGTTGAGCTACTACTAGGCTATATGTTACAGCCCACCAGTAGCGAAGAGTGTCGGCTTTGAAAACCAAAACTATGTTTTTGCTAGCTAAAGTTGTTTTGTCTTGATATTTTTGACCAACAAGTTGGTGTCTGCTATAGAGACATTTTGACCATGTATTTGGTTTTTTTATATGGTAGCTTTCCTTTGTAAATAGTTTTTTATTGTATAATTTTAATAATGCAGCTTTCTTTCATACAAATATATATATTGCATGGTTCATATTAGCCTCCCACACAGATACTTGACACTGTTTCGATCAAATTTTCTGATCCTGTAGAAAATATGGTGAGCCTTAGTAGTAAATGATATTTTTATCCATGGATAAGGGTAATAAAATTGATCAACTATAAAAATATTATTGAATGGATAGTGTGATCCTCCTTTAATATCTAACACTGGGTTGGAGAGGCAGTAAAATAATTACAACAATATTTCTAGCTCTTTGGAATTATGCCTCAAGTGCCTCCTGATGAACTGCTAGATTCTCCTTCCAATTTGTCTTGTTTATGCTCAATTATCAAAGGGAGAATTTAGTACATGTAGTAATATCAGGAGTCATTTGTAACTGGGGCCTTATTCCACACATTCCTTTAGTACAGAATGAAAAAATGCCTCTCAAGATAACTGGGTCCTTTCATTCTACCTTAAAATTAGTTCTCTACTGGGATTTAATCTTTACGGGTACTACCTGGCAATCACTGTCCCTCATCTATGGGATTTTTCCCAATAAACAAGTACAAGATGTGGCAATGGTCACTTACAGCGTATCATAACAACAACGGTATTTACATAATTTTATATAACTGTGTGCAATGAAGAATGTAACCTTTTAAGCCCCATATCAAGTTCTGCCATACAGTGCATTTCTTATGGTACTGTTCAGTTAAACATTGACACATTTTATCTTAGATGGTCCTTTTATTCATTCTCCTGACCTGTACGTTTCATTAGGCAGTGATAATGTAAGGTCAGGAGAACTTATTTGCTACGCGCTGTTTGGGCTTGAAAGGTTACCAGTTGGGAAAATGTCCATCATTAAAGATCAACGGTCGGAAAAAGTTCCATTCTACTGGACCTCAAACATCTTGAAAGGTGAGGACGCATCTTCGGGATATCAAATTGAATACTCAAGGGGTCTTGCATAAAAACAAGGCTCGTAGCAAATGCTATAGCAAATATCCCACAGTCAGATCCATTTAGTTGCTGCTGAATAGGGACAACATTAATTCCCCTGAAGTCCTGTCCGAGTAGACTTCTTGCCTGTTCCTCAATGTCGTCACAGACAACATCATGAAAAAAACTGTCATATAAATTAACATGGCCACTGGAGCAACCAATGGAACTTAAACATACCCAGTGGTTACCTCCAGTGTTCAAAATCTGTATGAATTCACCACTGATAATGTCAAAGGCTCTTACTGGACCAAGTGTTGGCCTTTGAAATCCTTCAATAATAATAATAATAAAGTCTTTATTCATCAAGAGATAAAAATACATATCTTTTGTTACAAGTAAGTGTAAGAAATTTAAAAAGTTAAAAAGTAAGAAATAAAAAATATATACCGGTATATATATCTAGTATATTACATAGCTAATTCATATTTAAAAACTAAACGATTAATAAAAGAGTTTTTAAAGCGCATAGTGTTAATCTTAGGTTTAAAACTAGTTTCTTTTCTAAGATTGTAGCTGGAGGGTTTAACACGAAGCATAATAGATAAAAGTGGATGTCCTTTGGCATTAAAAACTTTTTTGAAAATTTTACGGTCTTGCCTCTCTAAGAAATCATAAACACTTACAGGCTTAGACGTATATTTCCTTTTAAAACAGCGGTCTAAGAAACATTGTACGGGTGTAAGATCGGACTCGGACGCGGCGTAGACAGATAATGCGTAATTAATATTAGGTAGAACTATAGTATTAAAGAGAAGGTCTATTTCTGACTGATTGTACCCTTCTTTGCGCAGCGTTCTAAGGATATGTAGGGATTTGTTAGCTTTAATAAGTTTGTTCTTCACGTGCACTGAAAATTTGCTGTCACATTGGAAGGTGACGCCCAAAATCTCAACTTCTTTACAGCTTGGTATCATCCCAATGGGTGAATAGAGATCGTGGTTGCCTCTCTTTTTGATCTTCAACTCTTTACATTTGCTTGGGTTGCAAGACATTCCATTTGTATTCGTCCAATCTAAAAACTGTGACACTAACTGATCGGAGTAGTCTACCTCCTTCCATACAGGAGCAATAATTGTCGAGTCATCAGCGTACTTAAATAGCGCGTCATGATTACCTAAAGTGATGTTAAGATCATTGAGGAAGATATTAAAAAGGTAAGGACCGCTAACGCTACCTTGAGTTGTCCCTTGGTTGACCGGTTTCCAGTCACACTCAAAGTTGTTACAACATACCCTTTGTTTTCTATCCTTTAAAAAGTTCAAGTACCAATGTTCGGATTTAACTGTTTGAGGTAGATTTGTGCCTGGTGGATTATAGAACAGTCTAACCAGCCATGTGTATCCTCTATCAATGCAAATTCTCTTTCAGTCAGATTCCCTAGTGAACCCGTCTTATTAACATTTGTATTGACAGTTTCTTTGACAAACAAAACATCTGGGTCAGGATTTGGGGATGATTCTCCTTCCACATCACTATCCTGTGGGGTGTTTGCACCGATGTTGATTGGTGTTGCAGGTGAATCTGCCTTCAAATCATTATCACTTTGGGAGCTTGAATCATTAATAATAGGGGCTGACATTACACTATCGGGTGTTCCAGCTGGTTCTCCTACCAAATCAGAATTCCCTTGAGCTGGTGTTGATGGTCTACTTTTAGGTGCTGTAATCTTGCAGTTATAGCAAAGCCAGGTTGTTCTTGCATTGATTGGATAACGTTTGTAAGACATGCATGACAGATGAAAAAATTTACCATTTGAGCACTGTTCATTATGACATTTCAGCAGTTTATCATTTGTCTGTGCTTTTTTTTGACATGTGCAGATAGTTGCAAGTTTTGTTGCCTCACTTAGGAATTGATCCTTCATTTCAGGCAATTTCTTGCTTTTTGCCCTGGTAAATTGGGGCAACTTTCTACAATGAGGGCAGTACCACATTTTTGGAACTGTTACATTCTTGATACCCAAACAGGATGGGTGAAATTTGGATATTTTGCATGTGTGGTTGGCACATGTTATTGGTGCTTCACTAGTTGTTTCCCTGCAGTAACAGTCACCAGGTTTTGTGACTTCTTCTGGGGAAAGCTGGGCTTTTAAATCCATCTTTCGGGTATACCATCTTCCCAATATTTCTGGTAATATGCAAATTCTCCAGAAAGTCTCTAGTTTGGGAATTTGTGTTTCCCAGTGTTTCATGTCTGGAGCAAGCCTTTCCAAGAAAAATTTCGATGTTTGCCCATCTGAGGCGAACACAATAAAATCTAAATATCCTCTCCCACTTGTATGGATTTGTTGTTGTGCTTGGTAATAATAGTCATGATCTCTTTTGAGTTGGAAACAAGATTCTGTTTCAATCGCCTTTAGATATTGAATGAAAGGAAATAAAATCATTTTACTAACAGTGACCCGTCATAACCTGTTTGCCAACGTCTCGTGAAGTATAACAGTACGCACCCAAAACGTCGCGGTACTACCAGTGACACGCGACAATCGATGTACTTTTCCTAAAAATAACTACTTCTGCCATTTACTTCTACGCTTTATTTTTGATAAATGACAATCGTGCATGTTGGTGTTCCATGGCCTTGTTGATTTTACAGGTACCTTTCAAAAAAATGTCATCTCGACCAGCAACCAAACACAATGTCTTCCCAAAGTCAAAATTCAGTCAGTAAATCGATCATACAATTCGTTCATGGTTTGAATTAAGTAATGTGGATGTACCAGGGGAACCAATCACGAAACTCCACTTCACCCCTTAACCATAAAAAGACAAACAATGTACAACCAGCTTCACTACGTTGCTATTGACTCGTGACATCCTATTTAGCGCGCTGTAGAAGGCTCCCAAGTCGTGTTTTCTTTTGAGGGGCTAAAGGAGCAACATGGCCTTTCAGAGATTGCCTTTACTTCTTGTACTTTTTGTGTTAAATGTACCCCCCCCTGTCCGTTGGTCAAGACAGCAATGATCTGTCAGCCGCCTCCTATACCCTTTGCGAAGGATCTCCTGAAAACGTGAACTTTCGGATCAAGGTACGACCGAAAGACAAAGGAGGACAAAAAGGAAAACGCTTTCCGCCAAATTCAAAGGAAAGACACGCCAAGAAAACTTAGATGGAAAGATCGAACAGGCCAACGTGAAAGATGTCATAGTCATCTCTAAGGAAGAAATATGTTTTCAAGCCTTCGTTGTCGATACAACAATCATCGTTGATCAGCCAACCGACTTTAAGATGGCCTGTCCGACTCCCACAGATGACGACGCTCTCCCTTGCAAGGAACTCGGGTCCAAGGTAAAACCGGTCTTAATTTGTCCACAAGCCTTAACGGACTTACTGATGAAGAAAGAGATCATCCAGACTGAGCCAAGTGAAAGGCCTGGACCGAACTCTTTCAAAACCCCAACTTATGACATCACCAACGATATGCGACAAGCTTCACTTGTCATCGCCGACGGCCTAACCCAAGAATTCAACAAAGTGGTCAAGAACCGAAGAAATGTTTTCAATGCCGCAAAAACACTGACTTTCGCGACATAGGTAAAAAACTTGGGAGCTTTTCATCTTTTCTGGATGCTCTGGGTCCAATGCTAGGTATTTTTGGCGGCATTACGTCCATCATTACAACCTTCCTCACGCCCAACCCTTTTGATGAAATGGTCAAGTATTTGGCAAAGGAGTTTGATGAAGTCAATCGACGCCTTACATACATAGAAACTGACATTCAAGACTTGAAAAAAGTCGTTCAGAGCGAAAATAATATTGTTGCAATGGCGTCTCAAATGAAAGCCATAAGATATTCCCTTCGTGCATATGAGCCAATGGTAAAGAGTCTGTCCAATGCCCCCGTGTGTGGATCAAAAAATCTACTCAAGCGACCTGAGGTTCGTGCATTTATGAAGCAATACACGAAGGATAATGTGGAAAACAGTCTCAAGGACCTGTATGGAGTGGATTTTGGCGAGGTACTGGAAGCCTCATCACTGATGAAGTCGTTCATGCGTGCTTACTGTGGTAAAAACCCTGCTAAAGTTGAACGCTTTATGACTGAGATATCGAACTACGCCTACGCTGGCTCCATGGTCCACTTTGCATTCAGGGCTCTTGAGTGCCGAAAGCCAAAAAGGAAAAGGCCCATTTACTGTAAGAAGGAAGAGGAGGAGAAAGACGAAGGGAACGAATTGTTGAATAAGCTCTACCGATTTTTGAAGAAAGCCAATGCCATGAAAGAAGCAATTCAAAATCCTCCCTATGGTCTGCAGCTGGATATGCAACCAGATCTTGATGACCTGATCAAAGACGAGGTATTAAAGGCAACAAATAAGAAAGAGTTCCCGGGAATCCTTGATAAAGTATACGATTTCATTATCAAAACGTTATATGATATAAATGATTGGCCCGAAGCCTGTATTGTGAACCTCAAACCTGATAGTGTAGTTATTATTCAGGTAGCTCAATTAATTAAAGACGCGGTTGTTTACGGTTATGATTATAAGCCCTGGGCCTTGGGATATGAATATACTAACATAGGCTTAGAGAAAACTAAGTACAGAGTTAGGGGCGTTGGTAGGGGATTCCGGCATACATTAGTAACTGATGACATGCAATTCCAACCACTTTACAAGGAAGGTGACAAATCATGTAAATGCCAGCAAGGGCCTAAGCTTAAGGAATCTTGTAATGTGACAGCTTGGCAGCATTTCCCCCCACAAAACTGGAACCCCCCGTTCGAGTATCATCCATTCGAAGATCGAATTCTCTACTTCTTGTTTAACCCTATGAGTTACTTAATCCGATATCATCCTTCATTTAATAGCATCAGGAACAGGATTAAGCACACTCCCATCGTGGTAACTAATTTGATTCCGATTTATGTGTTTTACAAAGAAAAATCGTTCACTAAAGATTTTTGCAAGTTTGACTCAGAACCGGACGTTGTAGTGGCGTGTTTGCATTACTTGAAGTACGTCGCTAAAAACCAATTTTATGACATGACTTGTCGAGGTCCAGATCCAAGTGATCCAAATCGAGGACCTTTGTGGCCGGAATTTGAAAACTATGTGGCAATCGTTTCAGATAAGCTGTAGCAGTGTCTGGGGATCTCAGTTGTAAAGGTTACGATTTGAGTGTACCACTGGGACACTAAGCGCCTTACCTTAAAACAGATCATAACAAGCAGTATTGTCGAAACAGGCAACTGCTTAGCTAGAATTTGAAGCATGTTAAAAGTCCATATGACTCAATAAACCTGTTTTGATTCTGTGGCCTTGTGTTTACTTATTCTTCTTCGCATGATAGTTTCGGACGCTCCATTTAACTTTTGAGATGACCGGGGGGGAAGATTTAGATTTCTAATTCAACTCAAGGAAAATTCGCCAATTCTTAAGATCCCTATTATTTCTTCGTCTAGAATTGAGCTGACTAGCCCATCTGCTGCTAAACCTTGTTCATCGCTTTGTGTTGTTTCCCACTGATCTTTAGAACAGGAAAGCTTACAACAAACCTACACGTGCATATCAAATGGCCCTACCATCTATTGTGACTTCATGTTCTAGTAAGAACCTCTCAATGGTTTTAAATGCGTCAGAGTCCGCAGTACCTTCTGTCTATTTCTCTATTTCTTCCCTGAATCGATCCACCAGTTTTTTTTTCTATCTCCAATCAACGAGAAAACTACCGAATATTACAGTGCGACTACTTCAACCAAGACCACCCAGGAAAATTTCCTGCAAACTTGCCAATGAGAATCTCACATCGGAACAATGGATTTTCACAAAATTGATTATGTATGACAAATTTACCCACTATCGAAGCACAGCAAAATTCAAATTGTGGCTATTCTGTTGTTTCATCACTCGAACACTATTGGCCAATTTTCTAAAAAAAATTTACCATTTGAGCACTGTTCATTATGACATTTCAGCAGTTTATCATTTGTCTGTGCTTTTTTTTGACATGTGCAGATAGTTGCAAGTTTTGTTGCCTCACTTAGGAATTGATCCTTCATTTCAGGCAATTTCTTGCTTTTTGCCCTGGTAAATTGGGGCAACTTTCTACAATGAGGGCAGTACCACATTTTTGGAACTGTTACATTCTTGATACCCAAACAGGATGGGTGAAATTTGGATATTTTGCATGTGTGGTTGGCACATGTTATTGGTGCTTCACTAGTTGTTTCCCTGCAGTAACAGTCACCAGGTTTTGTGACTTCTTCTGGGGAAAGCTGGGCTTTTAAATCCATCTTTCGGGTATACCATCTTCCCAATATTTCTGGTAATATGCAAATTCTCCAGAAAGTCTCTAGTTTGGGAATTTGTGTTTCCCAGTGTTTCATGTCTGGAGCAAGCCTTTCCAAGAAAAATTTCGATGTTTGCCCATCTGAGGCGAACACAATAAAATCTAAATATCCTCTCCCACTTGTATGGATTTGTTGTTGTGCTTGGTAATAATAGTCATGATCTCTTTTGAGTTGGAAACAAGATTCTGTTTCAATCGCCTTTAGATATTGAATGAAAGGAAATAAAATCATTTTACTAACAGTGACCCGTCATAACCTGTTTGCCAACGTCTCGTGAAGTATAACAGTACGCTCCCAAAACGTCGCGGTACTACCAGTGACACGCGACAATCGATGTACTTTTCCTAAAAATAACTACTTCTGCCATTTACTTCTACGCTTTATTTTTGATAAATGACAATCGTGCATGTTGGTGTTCCATGGCCTTGTTGATTTTACAGGTACCTTTCAAAAAATGTCATCTCGACCAGCAACCAAACACAATGTCTTCCCAAAGTCAAAATTCAGTCAGTAAATCGATCATACAATTCGTTCATGGTTTGAATTAAGTAATGTGGATGTACCAGGGGAAC